CCTTATCGTCGAGGAACATTATCCGCCCGATAATATTCTGACCGCTGAATGTTCTGCCGGTAGAACGTCTGACCGCTTGGCTAGGTTCATAACATTAAGAAGCTTAAAGAAGAATAATTATAGGAAAATATAATACTAGCTCTAGATATTAGCCTAAAAGAAGCATCTAGTATATTACTTAGATATATAATTTATCCTAATAATTAGATTAATAAATAGATAACTAAGTATAATAAAGTATATAAAATTTAAAAGGAAGAGACTAGTATTAAAGGTCTTAGAAAAATTATTAAAAATATTAAGCTAAAGTATAATAGAGGATACTCTATAAGCTTTAATAGGAGATATAGCTTAGTATTAATATAGGAAAATCCTCTCTTTATATACTAAAATTAGAGAGTAGTATAATTAATAAATAATTATAAGATCCTAGATTTAAAGAAGTTCTACTAAGATCCTTTAATAATTTAGATTAGTAATAAAATAGTTATAACTTACTATAAGACTTATAAAACTTAGATAAAAACCCTACTTAAAAGTAATATTAAGGATAGAGAACCTTATAGTTATAAACTAGCATAAGTAACTTACTAGGAAGATTTAGGAAAAATATAGTAAGATTATATCTTAAAATATAAATAATATAGAGATTAAATATTCTTAGAATACCCTAAATATAGAAAAGTTAATATTAAATTTACTAAAGAATATAAGAGAGTATTAAATAAATAAGGAACTAGTTTATATAGTAAAATTCTAGGTTATATATACTAATACTCTTATAGATATTATCCTTAGCTAAGTAAGAAGATATATTAAGAAATTTATTAGATAGAATACTATAATAAAGATTATACTTAATACTACTAGTATAAGTTTAAGTATTACTAGATACTATAGCTACTTAAGGTACTATTAAGACCTAACTTTAGATATCTATTTAAAAAAGATAATTATAATTATATAGAGGAAGAATAAGGATATTTAAACTATATAAGACTTAGTAGCTATAACTATAAAGTTAAGAACTATATATTCTACTATAAGAAAGGAAGGTTTAAACTATAGAACTAGAATAATATTCTATAATAATACTATAAATAGTACTAGAAGAAAGTAAACCTTTTTTCTATAGAAAATAATAAATTAATTATAATTATTATAAGATTAAATAGGTATAATATAAGAATCTTACTAGATTTAGGATATTTAGAATAATTCTTAAGTAAAAGATTTATTAGTAATAATAGTATACTAATAAAACTAGCTAGGTATAACTTAAGAATCTATAGATTTAGAGGAAAACTATTACATAATATACTAGTACTTATAATAGATAAGATATAGTTTAATAGTAGAGAATATTTAGAAAACCTAAAATTTAAGGTAGTACTAACCATGGAGTAAGGATTCTATAATAGTATTATTAAGGTAATATAGTTATATATATAAAACCTAACTATTAACTAGATAACTAGAAATATTTAGATCAAGGAATATTAGTTAAGAACTAGGAAAGAAAAATAATAAAATATATAGATCTAGGTTACTATAGGAGTATTAGGGAAAACCCTACTAGAGCCTACTAGAAAGAATAATGTAATAGCTTTAGGGTCTAAGACTTATAGAATAGAAATAATAAAAGAAGATATAGCTATATAACTAAAGCTAAAAGAAATTTATAAAAAGGAACTTACTAAAGTTTTAGAGAAACTACTAAAAAAATACTATAAGTTTATTAAACTATTTATTAAGAAGAAATATTAAATACTATAATATAATAAGTACTATAAAGCTAAGATACTATTAGTTAAGGGAGTAGAAAATAAGCTTAAATAATTATAATAGTTTAGGAAGTCACTAGAAGAGTTATAACTAGAATAGGAGTTTATTAAGGAATTCTTATAGATAGGATATATTTATAAATCTAACTTATACAAGGCGAGAATAGACATTACTTACCGGATTGAAGCATAACGAGTCTTTCAAGTTGATGTTCCCGCTTGTCTGGAATGCAGTCCCGATTCTACTGGCCGTTCCATCACATTTCCGGAAAGCCACAGGAAGGATCAAGAAAAGGGTCAAGTATAAGGAATATAGCGCGAAGTATTGCTGAATGATATACCCATCAACCACACACTGTTCACTCAATTGACTTCTACCATAATCATTCCGAACAGACCCCAACCCTAAGACCGGAGCTCGACCAGTCTTCGCTCTCCAAAGGAAAGCACATCTTCCCGCCCATTCATTTCAGCGCCCAAAGGTCTCTCCTGTCCTACCTTGTATTCTTCCTCTTCACGTATTCCGGAACAGAGCAATATTCTCATTATAAACATTCGCATTATCCGCGAAATTGGCAACACTCTGGCCGTCAATGTCGACCATGCTCGTGACGCCGACGGTGTTCAGATTGTAAATGGAGATGGACGAGTCTCCTTCGATGCTGAGGATCGAGTTCTGGCAGGTTTCTGGTGACGACGGGGGTGCGCATGCTGTTTTGGTTGATTAGTGACAGGCAAGAGAAAAGGAGAGGAAAGGGAGGAAAATAAAACGCGGTGCAATGTACTTACTCGCATCATTGTTAATGAAAAAGGAGTAAAGACCAGCACCGTAGACAAGGATATCCTTCGAGTCTACAACGCGAAGACCCCATCCATCAGCACAGCGACCTTCCTTGCCTGCGCAGGATTCTGCGAAGTCAGGGTCGTGAAGAGATTCGACAGGTGGGAAGGGCAGGGTAGCGTCCGGGTTGGGCTGATAGTATCTGGCAGGAGTGGATTCCAAGTTAGAAGCTGGTCGACCAACAGGCGCTGCAGTGAACTTACGCGGTTTCCGTCTGGATTTGGCCCATGTAGATCTTTTGCGTGTTGACGAATTGGTATTCGTACAGCACGTTGTGCTCGACCGATGTGCCGGACCTGGAAGCAACAGTAAGTGGAGGAAACAACTAGAGACGGAAGACCGTGAATAGGGAGTAAGGGAGAGCAGGACGTACAGCCAGATGTTTCCCTCGGCACTCTCAACGAGCAACCCACGACCGCTGTAAATCGTAATCTGGCCATCGCCGTCAATATCACTGCAACAGTCAGTAAAGAATCCCTAGTAACAAGAATAGGACGACAAACTGATCAGCCACCCAAAGCCAAGTGTTCTCCATATAGATCCCGGAGGCCCCTTCGGTAATATGCATCAGCATATACGCGACAATGCACTGCGTCCTAGGCTGGTTGGGGGGGATTGGGGTATCCCTCGACACGAGACACTGCTCAGTCTGCTGAAGAGAACCCGTGAATCCTCCAATCCGAATATGGACCTCCCACATGCCCGAGGGCTCGTCAGCTGGGGACGCAAGGTTCCACTGAACGAGAATGGCGCCGGCTTGCGGTCCGCGCGTGCTGAGGATCATATCAGACCACTCGATCCTCCCCGTGTCGCCGACTTCGCCTACCTGCACCACTGGTTGCGGATTCTCCATGTCGTTGAAGAAGTCGCCGCTGGAAATGATGACTGGGAGTGCTTCACCGATGATTCGAGAGCCCGCGGGGATTTTCAGCGTCTCGGTGACAACGTACATGCCTGCGTCGACGTAGAGGATCTTGTTAGACGCCGCGGCTTCGTTGATTGCTGCCTGCAACGCTGCTGTATCGTCCGTTTGGCCATCTCCGGTTGCACCGCTTGCTCGGACACTCAGGAACGAGGATGCGCTCTCGGATTGATATGTCGGGCGAGACTGCTCATAGTATCTGTTTCCCTGGACGAGACTGGCGGGCCTGGCGTTGGCAGTAAACGTGTCCGCAAAGCTTGTGGGCCCATCAGGAAGGTAACTGTGGCCTTGGCCCCAAGCCTCGATGACAGAGTTGGAACCCTGAAGGAGGGTCGTTCCATTACGTCCAACAACAACGGGCACATTCTGAATATCGATATTCTCAAGAATGACGCTCCCCGCAGTAGCTGGCTGCGAGGTAGAATCGCGGACCGTTTGTATCCCCACCTGGACGTTGGTGAATGAACTGTCCAAAACAACGATTGAACCGACCGCCTGTTGATCATGGCCTCCTTCGGTGATGTCAATTCCAACCTCGCAGTCGTTGATGTTGATGTTCTTATAGGTCCAGCCCCAGTCCCAGAAGTGGCTGATGGCAGTGGCAGCATTGTTAAAGGTCAAGTTCCGCAGTGTAAACTGCTGGTTGCCCAGCGCGGCGCCAATGTTTCCGCCATTGAACACAAGGTCTGCCATGAAACCGCCCGAGCCTGGTTCAGATCTGTTAGCCCTGTCGTGACTCAAATGTGCGCTGTGGGGAAGTATAGCATACCACTTTCACAGAAAACACCCTGGTGCCTATTGTTCGGCGCATCACTCATCTCAAAAACCATGTTTTGGAGACTTGTTGCCTGTGCGGTGGGCCAATGGATACCGCTCACTTCATTCCCCGCAGGGATGTCTGTAGTATCCAGAACCAGGTTACGAATTGTTCTGAAGAACACGGTAGTCGAGATCCAATTCAGGTCAGACGTAAAGTAGGGGTTGGAGTCAATCAAATACCCGCCCTGGAAATTGGCAGAGCCCTTGATAACGGGGAGATCGTTGGCGTCTCCGATAATATGCGTCAGGTAATAGTCGAAGATCGGAGCCGAGATGATGTATGTTCCGGGCGGGAAGTACACCAGTGCCGGCATGGTGGTGTCTCCAAGGCACCCCTGGCCGCAACGAGGACCTGTTGCAATGGCAGATTGGATTGCAGCGGTATCATCCGTGACACCATCACCTAAACTAGTTGAGCACATCGCGTAACACGATAGGAAAAGGTGCATTGCGTACCTTTGGCACCAAAGTCCTTCACGTTCCGAAAAACCTGGTAACCATCCGGGGCATATGGTGCGACACCCTGGTGGTCGATCGACTCCATCCAGTAAGAGCCAGCTGCAGGTGCCTGCCTTTTGCTCACGGCATGAGACACTCCGTAGTCAACAGCCACGCTGCCGCCTTGTAGGGCAGCATGTTCCCTTGCGGCCACACCGGGCCGTGGGTGCAAAACATATGAACTGGCGGATAGCGCCAGTGGCACGAGAAGTAAGGGACTAGGGCGAACCATGGTCGATTCAGTCGAAGAGTCAAGGTGAGCTGCGTCGTTGAGTACGGGCAGTGCGAGGTGTTTGGCTCTGCCTTGGGGTTGACCTGGGGTGCACTCAAATGCTTTTATATATTTCTGTAGACACTACGGCCAAAGTGAACTGAATCAGGCCAAGCTCATCGCCTACATTCTTCTATGTTTGCCGAGCCCTTCATGCCTCATGATGCTATACCCGACAGTCCGCGTGAAGGATGAAGTCAACCCCATTGTCTACTAACTGTCCCGGCTGCCTCGCCCGAAGCCCGAAACACAGCCTCCGGAATTACTCTGTATTATGGGCCTATCAGCGTTGCACGGAAGTCAGAAACCTTGTTATATTACCCCCGCCGTTCCTGAGACGGCGGACTCATACCGAGTTAGCGACGACCTTGGCGCGCGCCCTTGCAGACCAAAGTTTGTCCGTCACTCCCCCCGCCTTTGAGGATGAAGCATTCCCTAGACATCCGGAGCTTGCAAGCACTACCGGTGCACTTGACAAAAAAAAAACAAAGTTGGCATGAGTTCGCACCAGATGGTGGTCGGGAATTCTAACAGGGCATACTCAACTACGAAGCTACGAAGACAGTGCAAACCCACCTTATGCTCTCAACACGAAAACTTGAAGCAAAAATATAGATATACCAGGTCCCATCTTTTCTTCAGGTAGACCAGCATTGCCGCCTTTCAAAGACCTAAACTGGTTTAGGCCACCCACAACTCTTATCCGCGCTTCCGCGAGGATTCCTCCAAGCCAAGACACGTAGATTAAAAGGGCGATGCGGAGGATCTTCATCTCCGTATTCTCCTGGAAGCTAGCGAGATTGCGGGGTTACATTTGCCCATCACCCACGTATTTTGCCCCGCAAAATCTTCATCGATGATCCTTGCCTGCAGAAGTTGAATACATTCTCGCCCGAGACACTGATATCTTCGCCGACGGGCCACATATCTCTCTGCGCCGGAGCTCAGGCCTTGGGCACGAAATACCAGGTCGGTGGCGAATTCAGTTCGAACCCCTGTACATACCTACACAGGTCGCCCTTGGACACAATCGCTCCAGTTCATTAGGCACCAGGCGATACGTCATACCGGCAAGCGCCGCGACATCCCGCGTGTCCCCCGGTTCTGCACCATCCCACGTGGCCTGTGCATGAAATTCGTCCCTGATTTTAGGTCATGCTCGTCGATGTGCCAGGGGTGCTTGCCTCAGGCGCAGGATGAACGCCCAGGAAATAATGCCTCCTACCCTGGTTCAGTCAACCTTCCCGTCGCGGCATTTGTAGGGTTGGTAATGACAGACGCGTATACCATCATCAGGCAGCTACTTTGTTAATATTCGACGGCATGTTACTAAGCGCCAAACAAAGAATGCATTGGACTGCTGCCTCTCCAATATGAGGAGCACTGCTTTGATTATGTTATTTTAACGGCTACATAGCCTAGGATTAGGCTTGAAAGACCGGCTGGTGAGGATGGATATGCTGTAGTTACGGGTGTGGAATCTCGCCACTACTGGGCTCCAGCCAGAAGAGTGAATTTAGCTAGGAAAGGGCCGTCTGCTGCAGGTCCAGCAATGCCACTTGCTGTGCGGCGTTATGGTCTGTCATGCAGCAACACTTCCTGGCTGCGTCATCGATACATGAGCTTTGGTCGTGCGACAGTCATATTATCCAGGAAGCATTAATGATGCTACCAATACCTGTCCACACTGTGTCTAGTGTATCCTCTCGTCTCCGCTCTTCTTCGCTCATGGTGCAGGGACGCGATCGTGGTGTCTGAGGCCCACTTGCTTTCCGAAAATCCGCGCCTGTACATGAAAGACTCTGACCCTCTTGGTGATCGTCCGGGGAGATTCTTCACTACTGCTTCGAGAAGGAATCCTGCAGAATACAAGGAATAGTGTCCAGGTATCATTCCTGCGATGCTAAAGAGCTCTGGGGGTCCACCTTTTAGTTCTTCTTGGTTTCTGTGTGGCATCTTGAGCCATTCAACCCCCCGGCATTCCGCGAACCCTGTCCAAAGCATCGGGTGGAGAAAGCCGGCTGAGGCAAAAGATCTTCACTCCGCGTTTTAGGCATATTGAAGAACACTTTTCCTGCACGGTTTCAAGGAGAGGGGTGGGGGCGGAGGGTGCCGAGTAAGACTCACCTACCCCGGGGCGAATGCAGGAACGCCCGTAAATATCAAGAGCGAGGGGAAAGACCGCCGATCACCACTTTAGGAGGAAGGACAGTGCCTCAATTGTCCAGATGGAGGAGAATGAAGTTCTTACCCTCCGGGCAGCGACGTGTCATAATCCCCACCATCTGACGAGGTTATACCATGGGCCAACAAGTTATAAATACACGATTCGTTTCCTTCTTCCTATGGCTTCGGTTATAAAGAAACAAGAAGAATCAAAGCTCATCACCCATCGTTTTCACGACGCCAACGCGGAACACCACAATGCCACCAGTCTGGGTGATTGCTACGCGCGGATTGCTCCTATGCGCCGCGCCGGCTTTAGCTCAAGCTACCTTTGTTTTGAAGGAAGACTTTGGCAGCCCTGCGGACTTTCTCGACAAGTTTGACTTTTTCACAGTGAGTACCTCAATGCGAAGTCAATATGTGAGCCGTGCTAACCTCTCTCTGCCTGTAGGAACCGGACCCAACCCATGGTTTCGTGGAGTATGTTGACAAGGCGACTGCTGAAACCACAGGATTGGTGACCACCAACAATGACTTCGTGTACATGGGCGTGGACTCTACGACCATGGCACCCAAGGACGGTCGGAGAAGCGTCAGGGTCACCAGCAAAGGCGTATATAACCACGGCCTCGTCATCATCGATCTCACACACATGCCGGGAAATGCATGCGGATCTTGGCCAGCTTTGTGCGCAGAGCCCTTTCCCTCCCTACCTCTATCCTAACACGCCGCCGCTAACCGTTGAGTCTATGCAGTTGGATGGTCGGTCCCGACTGGCCCGCCGGAGGCGAAATCGATATTATCGAGGGTGTCAGCCTGCTGGACTACAATGCCGTGGCCCTGCACACAACGACGGGCTGTACCATCGACGACAGCGGCTTTACGGGCGATATCCAGACGACAAACTGCTACTACAGGGCACCAGAGCAAGCAAGCAATGTCGGCTGTGGCATCAAGATCCCATCCCCGCAGTCGTTTGGAGACGGGTTCAATAACGCCGGCGGCGGTGTCTATGCAACCGAGTGGACGAGCACTGGGTTTAAGACGTGGTTCTTCAACCGCGATGCTGTGCCCGCGGACATCACCGCAGGGAATCCGGATCCCTTGAGCTGGCCAGTTCCGGACGCGGCATTTGCAGGGGACTGCAACTTTGAACGACACTTTTGGGACATGCAGATTGTGTTTGATACCACATTTTGCGGCGACTGGGCGGGTAATCCGGACGTCTGGGCCAATTCGGGTAATTGTGCAAGTCTGGCTCCGACCTGCCAGGAGTATGTGGCGAATAATCCGGCCGCGTTTGAGCAGTCGTACTGGGAGGTTGTTTCGCTCAAGGTCTACGAGGACAGTAATAGTACGCAGACTGTGGCAGGAGGGGCATTTCCGTCTGCCCCGAGAAGCCGAGTAATGAGGAGACTGTCGGCTTGAGGTTGTTCGTCGCGATCTCTGGGTTGTTCTTTTATGTATTGGTAACAATACGAAAGACTTTTTGCTCTTGACATGTGATGATATTTCGTATGCTATGTACATCCTCTTATAAATCCCTTTAGGTGAATATTTCGTAAATATACCAGTAGGACTTAGCACATTTACAGACTACCAGAAACCATGGAGCTCCAGGGGTTCCATGGAATCAGACAGCCACTGCCGCGATCGACCTGCATACGGGATGCACAAGGTAAGAACCACTACTTGTATCCTGTATCGCGAGCTAGCTATACAACAGCAGTTGTAAGCTGGGTGCATTTGTACTTTCTCTAAGCAACAGACTTCATAGGCACCGCATAGTTCACCGAGTGGTTGAGTCGGCTTATTCCATCCAATATTTGACCACCCCTATACAGAGCACTAGCCACAATTATCACCAGCTTGACTCACTGGTGCCATACATGCATCTCCTGACACCGTTCCCAGTCGGAGAATACCCGCAACCCCATCCCCTCCCTCCGACGGCGATCCAGGTTATATATTGAGTAAATGGGATGATTCAACGGGGGTGGGGCTTGAGACCAGGTCTGCTCCCAATGATAGTGTGGACTTTTAACATTACACTATACTGGACACTATATGATGGAAACTCTATAGTCATATTTGGGGAAAGAAATTACCTCGAGGGCCTGTTTCTTCAGCCGGCTGTTCTTGCAAAACCGAAGTGCAGGTGACGATAGTTCCTTGCAAGTAACATGAGACTAATGCCTGGACTTTCCCCACCTGGAGACCTGTGGATAGATAGTGCTTGTCTAGAACGTCGTGTCCGCTAGTCTGCGTTTTCCTTGATTTGAGGAAATTTTGCCCGGTGAAGCAACGCATATTCGGCTCTTTTGGCTATACTGGAGATGTCCTAACTCGAGTGAGTAGAGGCAACGTCGTGGTTAGCTTCAAAGATGACTTTGCCCCAGAATCTTTCCACCTTTTTGCCTTTGCCCTAATGATTAGGTGAAACGACGCTAGTAGTATCTCCATCCTCCGCGACATTCCGCCATTCCGCGGCGGGGAACTTCCAACAAAGCCCCAGAACCTCAGTTGAAGAAAAGGGGAAATGACAGGGGCATCAGCAATAATGCAAGAATTGCGCAGGGCCCACTCATTTTGATAAAGGTTCACATTATTGGTCGCATTCATGTTCATAAACCAGCGGAAGTGGCGGCGTCATGCAGCAAGACGTTAGACTAAGCGGAGTTCAGGGGACCACTATCCAAACCACACGGTGCTCGGCTTTTGATTTGTGGGGTGTTTGAAGACATGCATTTCTGACAAGATGTGGGGTTATCAATTGGCCACTAAACCCCTCCTAGATCGTTCACAGGGCTTGATATCTTCAGGAAGCTGCCCAAGCCGTTCTTCCGCGTGTCAATCAGTTCACGGGACACGCTGGGTTCCGTATTCATGGGGTGCGTTGCACTTTCTGGTCATATGCGGGGTATGCCTGGTCGGGCGTTGTCTGGGGAAATTTACTTCCTACCTTGGCAGCCAACTGACGCGTCAAATCGGAAGAATCTCCGATACTGCATGCAGTATCAATACCATCAACATCCTGAGGTGGAGTGGTCACTAGTCTCAAAAATGCCGACCATCATTCAATCGCTCCAAATTCAGCCTGTGCTGAGGGCTTCTGGGTAACCAGGAGGATGGCAACCCTTAATAAAGGCATTAATGCCAGTCGCCTCTTTCGGCGAGTGCCTGGAGCAATATTTAAGGGGATGGTGCACCTGCAATTCTTAGAGATCCTGGTTGATACCAAACTATCGCCAGACGACTTCCCACATTTCACTTGTCTAGTCTTCATCCCCTTGTCTAGTATATTTTGACTTGAGAGGCTTGCATCATGCGCATCCTGGATATTCTGTCCGCCTTCCCGGCGCTCCTGCCGCTCGTCAATGCCCAGGGTGAATTCAATTTCCCCTGCGCTCCTCTGACGATTCAACGTTCCGATCCCATCGTCAATCCCGGCGCACCTGGCGGTCATACCCATGCGATTATCGGTGGCTCGGCCTTCAGCCGCAGCATGTCCAATGAGGCTGCTCCCAATGCGAGAGATACCACATGCGCTATTGAGATCGACCGTTCCAACTATTGGCAGCCTCAGTTGTACCATATTCGATCTGATGGGCAGTTTGAGACTGTCCAATTCCAGGGATCTGTAAAGCCTTCCGCTTCCATCCCCCTCCTCCTCGCCCCATCCACCGTCAGCAATGGTAGAAGGTGCACTCTAAACTGACTCTGTATTTACTTTCTACATAGGCTGCCTACTATCTCAACCGCGTCTGTGATTATGCTCCCGGAAAAACCTCCTGTGCTCGAGGCGAATATCCCAGGGCTCCTCCGGCTGGCCTCCGTATCCTCGCCGGCGATCCATTCCTACGGTGCGTACTCTGTCATCTCGTTGGGCCACCTATGGCTCAGCTATCATTTCGCTCAATTGATTCGTCGTTCCACTGACTCCTCCGTCATAGCTCTTACAACGATACGTTTGAGATGCGTGCCATGTCTCATGTCTGCTTAGCAGCGAGTGGACCAAGCTCCGAGACTCATGCGCTGCCGACGCGCCCCTGCGCCCGCATTCGAGCGCAATCATTCTTCCCGTCGTGCTGGGATGGTGTGAACCTGGATAGTCCCAACCATAAAAGCCATGTAAGTGTCTGAATACCCCAACTGCCATATCATCCGGGGTTTCTCTTCCCTTCTGCCTACTCCGCCCCGCTTTGAAACATCCACGCTCACCGTATATCTCTGTACACAGATGTCCTACCCCGCAATCGGCGACTACAACACCGGTGTCTGCCCCCAGTCCCACCCCATCGCAATCATCTCCATCTTCCTCGAGTTCTTCTATGACACTGCCCGGTACTCGGACTGGGAGAACCTAGTGTACGCAATGGGCGATCGGACCGGATACGGACTGCACGCAGACTTCGTCAACGGATGGACCGACATCAACGCGCTGGGCAATGCGTTTAGGACCTGCTCTGGAGGAGATCTTACGCTTAATTCCCCCGGGTGTTCCATTACGAAGGGGAAGCTGATTCCCGCCGGACCTAAGAACCTTGAGGTCCCAGCGCCGCAGGAGGATCTGGGGCTGCAGGCACCTCTGAGGGCTCTTCCGGGGAATAATCCCGTTACGGGGAATCCAAGCGATAGGGTTAATTAGGATCTCGGTGGCGATTGTGAGGGTGGGTGTGCTGAGAGGATTAGCATGGACCGTGATGGGTAGCGTACTGTTTGATGCGCGCCACGATTGCCTACTGTGTATGTAGCTTAACCAATGGTTCCTATCGTGCTTGCGCAATTGAAATGTATTCTCGTTCAGGTCTCGACTAGCATTGGTGGCCGATTCAGAATACCAGGTGCCCTCCGAGATGTACATAGTTAGTACCTTCTCCGGCGGGAGATACCGTAAGGCTTTAAAAATGCATTATCTCATATCTCACCTGGCCGAAAATTGGCGTCTCCGAAAACTGCCAAACGTTATTAGTTTCCTCCGGTATGTGATTCAAGAAATCCTTTACCTTCGCAGTTTCGTTCCTCATCCAATGGCCCTCTGGTCTAGGTGTCACCGTTCAGTCTTGCAAGTAATTCTCCAGCCGGAATTCTCGGCGCCTACTTGCCACCGTCTGCAGTTAGCTATCACAACACTTAATCCCATTTTACTTAGGCCGTTCACTTTTTTGGATCCTTGTTTGGCCCTTGAGAAGGACGGATTTACATATTGCATTAGCTGTATACATAATCTCCTAGCTTTATTATCATTTGGCCACATCTTAGAAGAAAGTTACCATATCAAGTCAGAAAGTCTGTCGCTACCAATCGATAGAGTACTGCCGAGGAGGCTAGAGAGTGGGAATCAGCTCCCTCCAGGGAGCAAGCAGTTTCTTGATCACCTCTCGGTACCGAACCAGCCAAAGGGCACCTGCAGCGACGACATATGTTCCCATGGATATCACAATGAATGTGATTATGAAGGGGATTTGAGATGCAGACGACTCATCACCAGGGTCAAATAGATGCATGCCGTAGAACGACTTGTGAAGGCTAAGGGTAAGCAACCGATTCGCAGACAGGGAGAGAAGCTAGCGGGAAGAGAAAAACGTACGGTGACGAAGCTCATTGGGAGATAAAAGATGGTGGCTACAGTGAACACTAGAATGTAGCGGTTCTGCAGGGCACTGTTCTCGGCCAGGCTAGTTCCCCTGGATGCTTCTCTAACTGAGGTGGCATTGAATAGCTACATGTCTGTGAGTTAGTCCTCCGCTTTAAGGATAAGGAATGCATAAGCAATAAGGAGAGACTCACACCATCCCGAAGACTTTTTATCTCTTCATTATTTCTCTCGATTCGATCCAGCAAGGGCTGGAAGAGGGCCTCGCTGTCGGCAACAAGACGAGCCAGGATTGTGTCCAGTTGTTGCAGCTCTTGGGATCTCTCCACTAGATTATCCTCAGGCATGCCTTCCCGCGTGGCGTCTATCACCTCGTGGACCTTTTCTGCTATGCTCTTCACGTCCCGTAAAGTCTCACTAACCCAATTCCGACATAGGCGAAGGGCCTGAAGAATGGTGAAATATTCCTCGGACTTGGAACAATCGCCACTGTCGAACATAAGCTCACGTCTTCTATGTGGAGTAAGCCGTTCGAGCTATGCGCATGTTAGCGGAAGAAAAGAAAAGGGGGGGAATAGATTTGCTTGAGTGGACTCACAGAAATGCCAAAGCGGCTGTCGAGATTATCTAGTGAGCACGACCATTTTTTGGCAATGATCTCTAGACCCAAAGACACCTCGGCCAGGAACACGGCGACTCCAGTCAAAGAGCCGCAGCGGGATGACTGCAGCCTTTTCCTTAGGCCATTTGCGGGATAATTAGAGTCGTGCGCATACCCAGCCTTATTATCTAACAAGGTGACGATCGTATACTGTGGAAGCCTGGTATGGGTTGTGGTGCGTGCTGCAAGAGCATGTCGCATCTCAAACAGTTGGAATTCCCGGTATTTACCAGCACTCGTCGTGTATGGGATCACCGCGTGACCTCGCTCCAGGCGCAAGCCAGTCTCATGGGGATTCCCACGATATCTTCTGTTGATCTCCTCATCAGCATCATCCATATCCATCCAGCGAACTTGAAACACGAGTAACAGCTCCCTTGGCGAAAAGGCTTGGCAGCAGGATATATTGTCTAGCTGTCCCCAAGTGCTCGCATAACCAAGAACTAAGAGCAATCCCGACCTTCGTATTGTCCATAGCATCCTGTATTCAGAGATTGCCGGGTAGTTGAATATGTCCGGATGATGGAGCTGCCACAAAATAAACGCAATTGCCTGAACAGGCAGCGCATCAATTCTCCACACTTCAATATGTCTATGGTCCATGCCTTGATCAGTGCTGATCCAGAGTAAATGGCACCTTATTTTCGTGGCTCACGTACAGGATGCGACAGTATAAACTTTCCAACCACGGGTCTTCAATTGCGGCATTTCCCTGCTTCTTGAGGATCAACTCCGGTAGCAAATGTTCACGCTAAAAACCAGAATTAGCACTATTGCGCCAGGTTCTAGAGCGCTGTGGACTGCTAGTAACTTAGTGCATACCTTGTGTCTCTTACCTCTGACTTCAGGGTCCCCTTGTGAGTCATATTGCATTTCCAAGATGGCAATTTCGAGAGATACCCAAGAAGAATACGGACAGAGCCAGTTGAAGTATACGGACATGGAGTTCTTGTCAGAGATAGGGCAATCACCCGAGTCTTCAACCTTGGCCGTTAGGTTCCTCGGCCACGCATACATTAACGTCTCGATGCCGTCCCTGAGATCAAAGAGCACAGGATTTGTGCTTTCGAGGACTCTCTGAGCGACAGAAACCGGTGGGATGGATATCTGGACATTATCTGTGTGGTCAGAGGTAGCATACAAGCCTCTTCTAATAAGCTCGCCCATGGTTTGCAGTCTTGGTTCGTCCGGGACTAATGATTGATACCATGCGTGAAGCTCACGGGCATCCCAATCGGATTCGCGCGGCCGAAACTCTAGAATAGCCCTTTTGGGGGTGGAACTCTGATCTAGCCGGCTCAGTTGTTCGTTCTGCCTTGCAACTTCGGATTTTATCGAGTTGAGGATTTCCGCAATGTCCTTGACCTCTTTGAACAATGCAAGGATTGGCCCCGTCATGCTATCTGGTGCCGCGTCGTTTTGACTTGTGGACGCCCCTGGAGCATCCTTTGAGGTATTATCTGGTGTCATTTGGGGCAATAGGTTTCGAGTGATCGACGAGGTGAAATGACCGAGTGTGATGGAGAGAGAATGAAGTGAGGGGGTGGGCAGCTGAGGCTGGCTGAGGATTAGACACTCCGTAAGCGCTGTGCGTTAAAACAGGCCAAGCAATGAAAAAAGCAAAAATAGAACTCGTACTTCGTGCTGAAAATCAGCCAATGAACATTATCCATACTATCCGAATTATATCAACAATGTGAGGCAAAAAAGAAGACCACAGGCCAACAGATCCCATTATAGATGTTAGATCTAGGAGATATCCTTCACCGGGGTTGCGCCCTGGAGATGCGGACACTGCTAGAAATTATCGATGCGAAATTTTCGATCAACATCGCAGATACACCCAGCAAAGACTTGGTAGCACTATAAAGCAGAAATGTGGTCTGAGAACCCCGCCCAATAGTAGTAGCAGTATTGAATATCAAGCCCTCCGTCCTGGAGGCCTAGCCACAGGGCGAGTCTGGTGCAACTACACATCCACCCAGAATACCACCTAGCATGGCATCGGCGGTTTTGTTGCTGAGAACCATGTCAGGCGGGAGGACCGGTATATCAGAGGTGTCGTTTGCCGCCAATACATTTTGTAAAATGGAACTGGCAAGATATGTCGCGTGGGTCGCATGCTGAACAGCCAATCGATTCAAAAGGAGGGAGACCATGGGCGTCTGGGTGTAGTTGGAAACCCCAGTAAAAGCACCAGATATGACAGTCTCCAGGTACCAGGATTTTGCTATATATTCGGTGATAGTGGAGGGGGTGGGTATGGAGAAATTGCAGTCAGGTTGTTGGAAGTCCGAGAGGTTGGATGCGAGCTTGTCGACCTGGAGGGCACCATACAGATTCTGAGCTTGTATACCCTCCAGATTGCTCGGGTAGTTTGTCTTGGATGTGTTCGGAGCGCTAGAAAAGTTCGTCTGGTTCGCTGAATTGGTTTCATAGAACCAGTAACTCAAGCCCTGGATTGCCCAGGCGTACTGAAGGACTTTGCTATCCTGTGATGTTGGCGAGCAGTTACTGCACAATGCCGCGGTAGACACGGATGCACTGCTGAGCAGCAGGCTGCCGAAGGTGAGGAGACGCATTGCAGATTTAACTTCGCGGCCGGGTATATCAAGGTGGCTAGTGCGAGTAAGATTGTATTAAGAGCACTAAGAACAACCTCCTTTCTTATAAACCGTCTCCCTGTGGCCAAATGGGATACTGCTGCAAGAGCTACGAAACGGAGGCCATAATTACAAAAGTTCCAGATCGCTCTCTGATCGCCAGCGGAACCTTGGGCCCCCGCTCTCCCATTAATGCATGTGGAAAGCTTAAAAGTTAATATCGACGTCATGACGTGACCACGTCTCCTACATTGTACAGTATTCAGACGGCGAACTTTCGTCATATTAAGTTATTAATAGACCTGTATTCTAATGCCATTTGCTGAAATTATATGATTCGGGCCCAGGCTAGAGTCTTTACTGCATGCGGATTCTGCTTCCACAAAAAAACATCTGCCACTACCACGCGTCTTGAAACCTTGTTCGTGCGCAAATACAGGCCAGACGGCTTGAAGGTTACCCTTATCAGTATGGCATGATCCCCCTCCGAGTCTCTTATATCATATCGTGTCCCGTACCAGGCTGTCGACATCTTTAAATGATTTGGCCGGGGCCAGATCCTACTGCATGCGGATTACTCTGCCACAAAAACTAGATGCGGTGTACCAAAGGCGATCATAAGCACGTGTGTACGGACATGATATCCTGGTTCGACAAGGTGGCCTGGCAGAATTAAGGTTATACACCGTGGACGGGATCAACTCTGCGTCCCAGGAGTCGTGTGATGAGATCAAACCAGACGCACGCGTGCACAATCCCTACCAAGCAAAATTAGCGCACATTAACTATCGCTTCACATCCAGGATGCGAAGATGGTATGATGCTATACGAGTGTCGAATATGAAGGAAACCGCCTCGACATGGAGCCTCACCACGTACGACGACGTCAGCATCATTCCCGTTGTTTGTATGACTTACGCACCTCTCGTGTGGTGTATGTGTCAAGAAGTCTTCGGACTGGCGGCAGAATAACATAAGACCTCGATCAGAGACTGATTCAGGGACCCGCCATCCTATTGACTTGTTACCAAGCCCTAGTGAACGGCCTTGGTTGCCACGCCAGCCAAGACACAAGCAAGCAGATCGTTCATGGATGTTTTGTCCCCGTTGCCCCATCGGCATTGCCTTACAGGACGAACAAAGGTTATCCTCCAGCTCGAACCCCTGGAGGTAGGATGCGTCCTCTTGGCCAGTCCCCTTTTCCTCACATGAATGCCGCTTGGGTTCACGAGGCAAGAGCTCATGTCATACTAGTAGTCGACCACTACCGTCCCTACTTGCAAATAACCACAATTCAAGAGATAAGATGCTTCCCCAACCATTGTGCACATCAGGAGCCCCCGAGCCAAGAGGACTCAGAGAAAAAAAAAATATGGGGTGCCCCTGAGCATTGCATAGTATTAATATTATTAGCTTCAGCGGAGCCGCAATTCCTCGCGTGGCGAGATTAATGGGGGATCGGCGGCGGTGATGATGACAGATACGGTTATCACAGTTGCCGGCCAACCCTAACCCATCAATATCTTAAGTATGACTAGTACTGGGCGGGAGTGGTGCGTCCGAGTAGCCAAAGGGCGGATTATAGTCTTGTGTTCTATAGGAAATGCTCGTGTTTTGACCCCGTTCTATAGTTTGCCCAAATCAATCTTCTATGAGTAGCCACGCGCGGAGAGTGGTCGTCTCTAGACCCAGAATGGCAAGATCTCAATAATCAAGACAAGATATACGACCTCTCGCTTCCATAGATACCCTTCGCTGGTTTCCTATACGAACTTAGAGTCAATATACTCTAACACGATCTCTACGCAATAATTAAAACAGAATCATTCCAATTTTGCCGCCATGGCACTCCTAAACAAGGGCAAGAGTCACGCAATTAAGCCTAATGCGGGATCTGAGGCATAAAAAATCCTGCAACTCCTTTCATTTCGTGCTATATCGTGAGGGAAGCGCTGATTGACGCGACACCAGACCGAGCACCACCAGTTGGTGAGCTTCAAGTCTTTTGATTCCACTTAGGTGGAATAAATACCCCGGTATTCACTATAAACACCTGGATCTGAGTCACATGGATACCCTTCGAAACATAAGAAAAACCGAATCGTGACAAAATGCGTAGACAAGATTACGTATTTTATTTGTATGCCATGGGAAACCACCTTTGCATCAGGAATTCTTCGGTGTGATATTTCGAACGGCTAGGCCTGGGGCAACTGGGACTCGCTGCTGGCTCGAAGCTCCAAGGTCATACCCCGTGCTTGGGTGGCCATAGTGCGACGCGCAAGGGCTTATGTCTCGTTTCACTTTCCCATAACAGGGTTCGTGCACATGGTTAGTGACTGCCCATGGCAAGCTGCCGGAATTACAATATATGTCATTGCTACATTGATATGGTAACTAGAAGTGGGTTGCGAGAGGCAGATAACGGTAAACATGCGACTACAGAGCTTAACCTGGTAGCTAATTGAGGGAAAGGGGCAGAGGTGTTGTAAGGTCAGTCTACGAAGAAATAAGGTGATCTTGAAGTTGATTTAGTACATGTTTGCTACAACATGATATATATTTAGCAAATGACTAGTATTTACTAAGGCCGCGGATCTGATGGCACTGTTGGTCCTAACAAGAACAAAGAAAGTAATGTGGAACATACATTGGCTGAAAGGTTGACTTATTAAGAGCAAAGCAGAAAGGAGTACGCAAAATAACAAGGTAGAAGGCAAGTAAGTATCATACACCAGGGACGAATAAATGATACACCAAGCATTTATGAACCCATATCATACCTAGCCAAGATGATGGCAACGACGCAGATGCTCCTGGAGGTGATCCTTCCTCCCAAAGGACCTATCACAGCCCTCCACATAGCAGGGGTGCGCGTATGGAGAGATATGAATAGTGCGGATATGGCGAATGAGATCCGCCTCACGTCGAAAGTGGCGGGAACTTCGACATCCTTGCCATTTGCATTGGAAGGAAGTCGGATGATGGTTCAATTGTGGGGTCCTCGGTGCGGCGTAGTGGTTCGGTCTCTGGCGGGCAAGGGGATCGATGGTAGAGGCATTCGCGGCCGGAGTGTAGTTGGGATCTCGCATCTGGAAGCCAGTACCGGAGATCATGGTGTCCCATGTACGTCCTCGACTAGTGCTGGTCGTCCCCAAGTCTCCGTATCCACGTGGAGAGGCTGGACGGCTCGGCTGGATGTGCAGCGTGGGATAGTATGGACCCTCGTCAGAAAAAGCGGTTCCCATAACGCGTTGAGCTGGGATGTCCCCACCACTAAAGGAGGTAAAGCTTGGAGACGCAGATTGGTGAGTGGTCATTGATATACCATCAACATATTGCGAAGACACCATAGTCGCAGGTCTGGAGTGAGGGATTTCATTGGACGTGGGGAAGATAAACTGGTCATCTTCAAAGACGTGTGGATCACGCGAGTGAATGTTGGAGAACTCCATAACCAGAAGTGGTTGGCTTGCTGAACTGAAGGATTCTGGCCAAGTGAAGTGGGGTTGGTGGGGGGCAAACCCCCAGTAGCTTTGTATGTGACCACCCTTTATACATCTGGACCTCTACAGCCTCGCTGTCGTCACTGAATGGCCAGACCCGTTAAGCGAGGGCCGTTTCCCACGCAATTTGGAATTGCATATTCGCCACGGCCGCTGCGACAGATATGTTTGCTTTTTGTCCATACGCTTAAATGCTGCCCCGTCATCCAATCAGAAAGTCCAATGGGACTCAAACATGTGCCTCGCGCCCATTAGATATTCGAGAAACTCTCCGGCCCCAGAACGTGTCCTGTCAGATCGAAAGACCACGGAAAAATAAAAGAGGTACATAGCTGAAAAGCCGTTGCACGACGCCCAGCAGTAACCATGTCGTGGTTGATTGCGATCCCCTTAAGATGTATCGGTCGTTGGCGTTCATCCTTTAGTGAGAACAACAATCGGTCTTCTTTCCTAATTTGGGGTTCGCTTGTGTTTGGGTCAGAAATCAGCTTTGGGTGCGCCTGCAAAGCCCGCCATTTGTCCACTCGTTGTCTGACATCGACGAATTCGGATAGACGACCAATGCTGACAGAATGCGAAATGAAAAACGGCGGAGCCTCAAGTCCCCAACAGTTTGACCAGGCACAGACTTAGCCACCGCGTCGTGCGCCTACCACGACTCGGGAAGAGAAAACTCTGGCCCTGGAGCGCTCGGGCTACACAGTGTGGCTAATGACGTGGCCGTGTGCAGAGCAAGCCAAGGGTCATCATGGTACGCCAGTCAGCAAACAGGTAATAATAGCCAAGCCGCCGAAGCCAATCAAGACTCGGTTGGAGATTTCCAACGCCGATACGTGCAGAAACTCTATCTATGCACCTAACCGATTCCAGCAATAGCTCAGCTGGGCAGTGGCTGACCGCAGCCTCAGGCTGCCAGCCTTGCGCGCAAGTTTGTTTCACTTCTTAGTGCCGCATGGGGGCCCCAGGCCTACAGTCTCGTTCGAGGCTTTCCTCCGCGCCTGTCTACTCGAGAGGAGATTCCGGAGTACGGGGCTCGGTGCAACTGCGCCATGGACCCTTGACGCGCGCAAAGCCACAGCTTGCGCCCGTCGGCTTACATCCCGATTTCGATCATGTCTCCGAACCGCATTCGAGGTCCGGTTCTTCCACTCTCCATCGTCAGCCGCAACATATTGTGGCACGGTCCACGATAAGTCTCTTGGTGGCCGAACCGAGGACATTCGGGACGATCCGATAGGTGATATGATGTCGCTGGATGTCTTGACGCTTTGACAATGTTGTTTGACTATGGCTCCGTGCGTCTTTTTGCCACCTTTTGCAACCAGTGCGCAGGCCGGAAGAGCACAGCCAGCTGGCCGCCGTCGTGAAATCCCAGTATGCTTTTGAGGTAGAAGATCAGCATTGAGCTAAACTTGCCTCAGATTCTTGATCTAAGAACTGTCGGGGGCAAAAGGCACAGCAGCGTCTTGCTGTCACTGACTGAAGATCCCAAGGGCCAGGGTAAGCAGCGCAAACTAATAAACTTCGATCAGTCACGTCTTCGGGCCAATACGTAAGACACTCTTCTTTTCCTTTCTCTGCAGCCGCGCTCTCTATCATAAGGATCTAACTCTGCCCGGCGCCAATTCCTTTCCAGGCCCCAGATCCAATCATTTTCGTCAGTACGACCATCAAGACGTTGTCGCAGTCGCGGAACGAGCCATGGCTCGTAAGCTGCTTCTACTCATCCAGTACTCAATGTCTTCAACGCCAGGGGACGATCTTAAGGTCATTCATCTTAATACGGCATAGTTTTAATAGATGGCTGATTGTATGTAGTTACATGTGACTTCTGATAGTACAGTACTGCCTACTATGATGCTATCCACTTGAGACTAATACTTCGTCAACATTCCATCAGCCAATCAGCTTCCTTGGGCTGGGCGGTGCCTTGGCATTTCCAGGGGACGATTGGCGCCTGCCCCTCGTCACGCATCTTGGTCCTGCTCTACCTCTTCTCCTTTTGACCCATCCTCGCCCAAGGAATTAAATCCATAATGCGCGACCTCGCGGATTTTCCTGCTGAATTATTGCATCCAATCCTTGGCCTTGCATTCGCCGGCCGCCCGCCGCCCTCTAGGTTCGACCATGACCCCGATGGCGTTCTGGATCTGCGCGGTCTCAGCCGCCTATTGCTGGTTAATCATAGATGGCACGAAACATTCTTGCCTTATGTTTATTCCTCCTGGTCCTTTGATGGTGGCTACCAACCCTACAGGTGTCTCTGGAAGTTCTTTCGAACAATAATGACCCACCCACACCTGGCCGCCTTGGTGCAAACCCTAAATATTGGCAACTGGGGATTTGGCCTGCCGTACTATATTGCAGAGCAGCCTCTTAATCTTGACGCAGAAGAGCTTGGCTTGGTCTCCAAGGCCGTCCACCTAGCTGGACTTCAACACCTGGAAGTGGAGATTCTGTCCAAGGTCTCCACACCCTTGGCCCGCAATCATCCCCTGGTCGCTCTACTTCTTGCACGCCTGCCAAACGTGTCAACAATATATGCACACATTCCAGACTCGGATCCGTATTTACATTCCGTCTTGCTAGCTGCCTTGGAGCGACCTTGCACCATATTCACAAATCTCAAGACAATCTATCTTCTCCCCGAGGTGCCAGTCCTGGAGCCGTACGCACCTGAATTCAAATCAGACTCTGCATACTACCCTGCGTTGAGCCTTGATATGACCTGGCCGGCTCTGTACCTGCCTACTCTTAGAGCCTTATATCTTTACAACTTGGAGACCAAGGGGCTGGCTGATTTGCTAGCAAGCCATGCCCCAAAACACGCTCGGGAGTGCCTAATCACGTGTCTTTCCATCGCAACACATAAGGACTCAAAATGTCTCCCAGAGGACATATCTGCCCTGTTAGCGTTACCCAAGGCCCTAACCAGCGTCTCGCTTTTCTGGAATAATTACAAGTTCAAAACAGGTCCCTCCAAGAAAGATGTTGTGTATAAGGTCTCCAATAATCAGATCTACCACGTCCTCCAAAAGCATTCATCCAGCCTTGAAAACATTGACATTTTCCACGGACTTAGCACTGGTCACCATAATATTAAGGACCATTTCGGTCCCTTGACGATGTTTGTGGTAATGAAGAGCCTTACAGTACAGGCAGAGGTCTTGCTCGGCTGCGATGATTCTAAAATACTCACCTGCCTGCCAGCAGGCCTCAGGACCCTGACATTGATGGTCGACACGGTTCGCCAGGCACGCTTGCCGGGTTTACTCTCCCAGCTGGGCCTCCTCGTTGAATCCGACAAACCCACTCTCAAAAGACTACGGCTCTGCGAGAACAACCCCAAGTACACGGATCCTGATACCTTAGAGGCCTACCAAAACCTCCTCGGCGTCTGCGCGCAGCACAATGTTTCATTTGGCATCGTTGGATATTGGTCACCAGGCGACACAGACTGTCTAATCGCCAGTGGCGGGCGGTGCCCGTGGATATGGAGGAAGACAATGCACATGATGGGCACGGGCATCCACCGGAGGGAGAAGGTGCGGACAAGGCTTGTTAGACGAGAGTTTGGGGAGTCATCGTCGTCTGGCGGGGAGGATGAGACGAATTTTACATATGGAGTCCATACGGTTCCATTCAGGGACCATCGGGGGAGGGCCTCATTCATGGTCTTTGAGGCCCGGGATCCTCCAAAGCTTCCGCCATTGATCTCATGCTCGTTCTATTTCACGCATCCGGATACCGAGCCCGGAAGTCTCGATCTGGAGGGATTGTTTAGGGCGATCGAGAACCAGAAAGACGACTTCCACGTCCGGCTAGATATCTACTTCCTCCCTGGCGCGAGCGAAACAGACTGCATAGCACACTACCGCGCAGAAAGGGCCACGCGCGCCGACTCCCGCGTCCAAATGCAAGAGTCCCGCCAGCGGCGTGGCGTCGAGAGCATCCCTCCCCTTCTCCGGCCACTACCAGGCATGATCCAACGACTACGGGGGCGGGAGCGCTTCGAGGGGGCACTGTGCATCTGCGCGGACCCAGACTGGAACAGTAACAGCGGTAACAACAACAACAACAACGGGAACCCGGAGCAGACTTTCTCCTGCGTCCAGTTCCGGGCGAGGGATGAGGTCGAGGAGACTGGGCTGCCGCCACGGTTCACAGAGGTGTTCCCGCTCGCGGGGAATACCGAGTCGGCTGTTTCGGGGTGGGTGTGGAATCTCGCGCATGGGTTTTTGGATGAGTTCCTCGGGCCTTATCAGAGGGCTGAGCGGAAGGGGTGGGGGTATTGGTAGACAAGAGCTCGGAGGGGTCGATTATCTCAAAGTACTTTTCCCACTTCCCTTTTGGGATAGACATGCTCATAAAATGTGTGAATGTGTGTGTGTGAATGTGTGTGTGTGAATGTGTGTGTGTGTGTGTGTGTGTGTGTGTGTGTGTGTGTGTGTGTGTGTGTGTGTGTGTGTGTGTGTTTCTCTTTTCGTAATCGGAAGATTTGATCAATGTGCCCTGGCAATGATGCAAGCAAGACATGCCCTAGACGGGAGGCGACACTCAGATGGACCGTCAGTGGAGATATTACGAATATGGCCGATATGGGGAACAATGTCTTCCGCTATAGGGGGTGAAAATCACATGGAATATACAGTTCTAGTAGGTGTGTATTTTGAACAAACAAAAAAGAGGAAACGAAATGGGGCAAACCTCTAGAGATGAGGAAGGAAGTCTGTCCACCGAACACTAGCATATGCCCCCTTTGGTAGACTTCGAACACCACGAAACGGGCCGATTGTCAACTAAAGCATGCAGAGAATGTACCACAAGAGGGCCAGCGACACTAAACTGATCACAATAGACGAGCCCGCCAAGGGAACCAGCCAGGCCATGAGTTATTACCCGCGAGATCGCCGAGAATCTTCACGAAAGTACTCGAGAACAGGGTCTAGTTGAGCTTGGGGCTGCCTTGTCTCCCCAAAAGGACCATATTCAGACACTTCCGCACGACCGGAGCTTCAGCCGATGCGCTGGAAACAGCGAGCAGAATGATGGAACAAACCACCGGCATTAACGGCCAAGATGCGCCAGGGTAGGTGGTCCATGTTTGTGGGGAAGTGTCCATTCGAGACTATCAGGTGGGGGTGCACCATTCGCAGCGGCTAACAGGGCGCCAAGGATGGACTGCCGGCTGTGGTATGTGCGTATTCTGAACCCTCATATTGCGCTTCATTATCCGTTATAATACTAGCTACGGTTCACACAAAATAGGCTATATCTCCTTCTCTCTCATATCTAGCACTTATAACAATCAACCAACTAATGTATACATATCCACCTGTAAGCGACGTAGCTATTCCCTAGAGCTTCGCTAATGATAGCCCACAAGGGCTCTACGTGTGCCAAGTTCCCTCCTTGAAGAAGAAGAAGCAGGTCTGCAAAGCCACTTTGTATACCTGCCAGAGCCTTTCGCGGCAGTTAACTAAAAGCCGCATCCAAAAGACCCGCCGGATCAGACTAGAATAATCAGCCCCCTGCTTCTATAGACGGTCGGTCTTTCGGGATATAGCGGAGAAGTATCGGAATAAGTCGGGAACATGGCATCGCAGGATTCAGGCCTGATAGTCCAAAGACGGGAGTTATAAGGTTTCCTGGTGGGCGTAGACGAGTATACGCGGCTTCTACGTGAATGCCGCCTCCGCGTAGTACAAGGCTGACAGGGCAATGCCAATGGAAACCAGGTTATCATGCGGGCGATTATGGTTATTTTCCTAGTTGTCCCGACGACGTACTCTCAGCGATAACCCCAGTGCGTATAATCGACGAGTAAAGGCCAGCGTCTCTGTGACGGCAGGTTTCTAGCTAGTTTCTAGTAGGATTCAAGAGCGTGGGGTGGTTCCGAGTGTAACCGCGACCAGGAGTCGATGGCCAATACGAGATTCTTTATGACAGGAGGCCACAAGACCGCCACTGCTCACAAGCCGTACTTTGGCAACTTGTCTGCCCAAAGCGTGTACTTTGGGTACGGATCCTCGTTCTTTCGTCCGACATGCGCGTCCTCGACCCCGCATTTCCCGCAATCCCACCGTTTTGGGTCCCGGTGAGGAACTGTCATCGAACCCTTGACACTATCTAACCCCAGTATTGGCTGGCTTTAAACGTCCGGCACCCTCTTTTCACCCTACGTCCGAGCCTCGCGAGGCACATCGAATCACACCCAGATCGCGACAAAATGATCATGCAGCCTTTCGACATCGATTGGTCATTGGCACACTCGCACATTAGCGTTGTTTCACCGACTCATCGGTAACTTCCGAGAGGTTGACCATTGAGTTCGTGATCAGAAGGTCTGTGACCTTTCCGTCAACAGACTGCAGCTCAGCTGTGATCGAACCCAATGCCAGGGTCACTGCAGGATTGGCAACGCCTTCAATCTCAGGCGGCCGACATTAAATCGCGCGTTGCCTCATTTTCCCAGCTCCCTAATACTGGGACAGCCTCGAGTAGTATAAGATCCCAAGCCTCGACGGGGTGGTTTTGGTGTCAGTATCGCCTTTCACTAAATTCTAAGCTCGTAGTGTCTTCAGCGATTATCTCCAATCATGCCCTTAAATACTTTCTTAGGCTCCTCTTCCTCTTTGAACCTTGGGCCTGGTACTGGAACCGCACCCCTGTTGGGGGCGCTCCTCGAAGACCCTCGCTACCCATACTACAACTCCATCCATCGACATAGTCCATACCAATATCCCGGTGGAATACCTGATACCCCTGATACACTGCCTTCTCCCCCCCAGTCCAGTGGTCTCATATCCCCGTCTAGTGGCTATAGCTCCGGCTTCGCTAGTCAGGATATGTCATTTGACATGTCGCCGCTATACGAATCACCCACTGGCTACCACCACCCAGATAGCCCTACGCAAAACATGCCGATGGAAGTTCTCTCTTCCCTCTTCCACGTCAGCCACTACGCAACCAGCCCTCTGCAACCTTTCCCACAATCGTCGGCTCCCGCAACAAGTACCACTTCCCATTATAGAATATCCAAGGCAAGGTATGTATCTCCACTTCCATTTGATCGCAATATCTGCGCACAATATCCACTAATCTGTCGCATAGCCCAATACCTGGCATTGCCAACCCTATGAAGTGCCACTGGCCCGGATGCCGCTACACCGGGTCGTTTTCGAAAAAGGGCCAGCTGACGAGACACGTCAACACGCAACATATTTCCCCGCATTCGTTTCAGTGTCCGGAACCTGGGTGTGGGAAGGCGTTTCATAGGAAGGATAATCTGGGTGAGCATACCAGGCGGATACACTTGGGGAGGTATAGTCAGCCTCTGGCGTTGGGTAGTCATAGTTGAAATACATCAATACTGGTCTCCATTCCCCCAAGTCCCGTTGGCACTCGCCACTAAACCGTTGGTAGAGTGTGCATTTGAACGCGTCCAGCGGTCATTGAGACAGTACTCACACCACTGGCGTGGTTTCAAGACCATTGAGTCGTTAGTCTCTATAGTTACCTGTAGCGACTAATTACGAATTGTCGCCTAATCTTGGTTGAAATCCGGAGCAGCGATATAGACCAGAAAAGAAACGTAAAAGCTTATGAACCTTGGCAATGGAAGGGGTATTCATTGTGCCTTCAGCGAGCCCGGCATGGATTATAAGACTCGGTACGCGATTTAGGAACTAGAAGCACTCACTAACCTATGACGTTGAGTTAGCTGCCACCAGACTCCCTAGGGTTCCAATATCCCACAGTGTAACTCGCAAGTTAGAGCTGGCTCGAGCTACAAGACTATCCCAAGACATTGATCGCCGAGCTCGGCACCAATCAAACGGCGTTGCTCAAATCTTATGTAAATGTCGCTCGGCAATCCTATCGCCAACAGGTGCCAGTGGTTGATGATATCAATACATGTCCCTATATATATTTCAACCTCCCTGTAGCTCTTACAAAGCGGTTTATAAACTACCTTAGAGAGAGGATCTTCCAAGTTATACATATTCAATTCTTAAGCCGGAGTGAAGCCGCTCTCCAGCATCTTTCAGCCACATGGCGGAGGTGAGGAAACCACGTGATGAGAATCGACCGCAGCAAGCCTCCAAATCGAGCTTAGCGAAGTAGGAGTCGAAGGCGCCTTGACTCCGGGTGCTGCTCTGGGGATTTGTCGGCACCTGATAAAAGGGCTATGATCGGAAAGACGATTCATTAATTTCTCTATCGAATGAGTGGTGTTGTTGGAATAACCAACTGGAAGAACCTCTTTCCTATATAGGAAAGGATCGCACGTGAAGGCGCTAAACCCCCTTTGGAAGACAAAGAACTAGTCTTCCAACAGCACCTGCTACCTGGCCTATCAGCATCTGCACGAATTATTACATGCATCACCCAAATGAACCACGGACTCAAATGGTCATCAATACCGCCAGGATGTTCCTTCCGGAAACCAGCCTTGAGCTGGATAAGACAAAACGAAGCCCAGTTTAGCCCTGACCTACCAAATCGCGAATTGAAAATCAGCCTCCCAGCTGCAGACTTTTGCTTTTCTTTCATAAAACCACAAACTCAAACACAAGTGTGCCTCTCTACATAATGCCCTCAAGGCCACTCGCAGTAAAGCAGGTGTCCGAGTAACCGTGTATTGATATTCTTGGGGCGTTTCGATCTTTGACAGAGCGCGCTACGGCCAGGAGAGAACTCAGTCATGATCAAAGAAGATGCATATATGTAGAAACCATGGGGCTATCTAACTAGGGAATCGCTGGATATAGCTAAATGACATGAAGACATGTGTGCTAGAACCTTCTGCGGAAGACAAAAGAGTGATAAGCAGGGCTTCTAACAGTTTTGTGACAATTTCATGGTCTGCTAGGGACGAAATTCCAGTTGTTGTACAAGGGAATCACAAAGTTTGACATTTGAGGGCAATGGGGCAGCGAGCCCAATGTCTCAATAATGCAGCATCATTGCGGGGCATCAGTCACTGTGCTCGCAGACAGAGAGGTCCTTGACACCATCCACCACCATATCGGGGCTTCAGTCGCTGTGCTCGCAGACAGAGAGGTCGTTCACGCCGCCCACCGCCATATGATGTTCAGAAAGCGGGCAGCTGCGTTTGATAAACTCCACAAGATCGCGAAATTGCCCAACCTCAGGGAGCCACTGCATGTGCGTCTTCACCTTATACAGAGCTGCCTCTTTGATCTCAGCGGCTTCGCAGTATTAGTCAGTATGTATTTTTCTCAAGGGGTTAGGCAAGTCCAATAGGAGGAAGTTAAACATACCCACAAATTTCGCCTTAAACTCCTTAGTGATGCCTCTGTCGACTTGAGATTGCAATGTATCACGTGACTGTATGGAAACGCTTGGTATTCCTGTTGGTGAAGTCGCCTTAGCGCCGCGACCCTGTGAACGTTACCAATACGAGATTTGAGGCTGGCAAGCAACTGTGGCCACCAGGCACGAGCGGGCCGTCAGATACCCGTCTTGCTCACCCAGCTCCTCGGTGGCTTCCCCACAAAGTACTAGCCTCTCTGGCTCGCCACTCCGAAAGACGCTCGCAGCCAGTTGGAGCCCAAGATTGCTTCAGCCATTGCTAAATGGAGCACTTTTAAATCTTAAATGCTATGCAGGCGTGGTTGGTCCATGCTTTATGACTTGATTTCCAGAAGTAATCAAGCCGTAATGGACCTGCAGCGATTCGTTGTCTCGTCGAGGATATCGCGTCACAATTGGACCTGCAGTCTATGCAGGTTTTATTTTGCCCAAGCGATCATTCGCTCATTTAGCCTGCGACCAATCCAGTCGGCACTACGCCAAGCCGCAGCGTAAGACGGAGGTCTGTCTGCGCCAGAAGGATTTGGACTCCGGAGCTTGTAATATTTGTGGAAAAAGCAATCTGAACGGCCGGGCTGAGACTGCCCCAGCATTGTTCACCATCTGTCGCGCTTCTTTGTCAGAAAAAGATGCCCCCAGCAGGCTCTTCAATGATTTGCCCCTGAGATCGGTAGGGTTTGTTGTTTTCCAATGACACCGCCCTCCAAGGACAAATGAACTTTTCTGGCCACTCGTAACGGCCACTCGTAACGGCCATTCGTGAAGACCACCCGCAGGGAAGCAGGCTAGTCTGGCGTCAGCTGTCTGTGGCATTGAGTTTGCGGCGCTGCTCAATTCTTAGCAGAGGGCTTATAAGATCTCCTTCTCCCACTCCTTCCCCCTTTGTCCCTACTAGTACTCAGTTTCTTCCTACCAGCTAACTCATTGGCAGTTGTTTTGCACGGCGTTGTTATTTTCCATTGGTCCTACCAGTGATGTCTCCCAATCAGTTTTCTTCCGGCCATTGCTCCTCATTAGTAAGGCCTGATGAGAATGAACCCTGGCCTTCGCAGCTCTTCCCTGCTGGCCATGCCGACCTACCCAACAATCTCACGAAGCAGCAAGATACCACTGACTCAGTGGATATCGTAACCGCCGCAACGCCCCAGCAGTCATACACCATGTCGGCTGCGTGCAATTCGGACTTTTCGATACCTTCCGTTCCTGCGAACCCTCATTGGCTCGCATATACCACAGCGCCCTCTGCAGCTTTCGGGCACTTCAACCAGCCTGCCGCTCGCCAACCAATTGAGTTCCCACAGAGCAGCGATATTTATGCGCCTCAACAGCAGCTTTCAATTAGGAACTCCACGCAGCAAATCGGAGATTCACTTCAGGGCCTTATAGCCACATCGCACCGCCCCGCAGCTCAGAGGGTACATGCTGCAACGTACGTCCTTCCGAAGTCATCACCCTAGATATCAAACTCGATTCTCTTCTTCCCCAACTAACCCCAGGTCAGCCCTAGGACGGACCCTCCACGAGCATTCATATGCGAATGGCGTGGTTGCACCTACACCGGAACCTTTTCCCAACTCGCGCAGTTGAGGCGACACGTTGATACTCAGCACGTCAACCCCCGATCGTTCGTATGCCTCATCCCTGGTTGTGACAAGGTTTTCAATCGCAAGGACAACCTTAGAATGCACCTGCGGCAGATACATGAATGCGATAAATGGTTTTGGGAATCCCTGACGGGGAAGCGGGAGACGGATCCAGGCGATCCCAGTGGTGAATGGGGACTTGAGTGACACTGCTGCGCGCAATGAGGCTGGGACAGACTGGCTTTGATCGGCCCCAAACTCCTTTCCTTTCGTGACTCGATTCTTCCATTTCGTTCTCATTTGATGAAGACGTATCCATTGCATAGGCCTTTGTATCCCCCAAAATTGTCTAGCCCACCCGAGCGTCGCTGTTGTGTCTGATTAACATCTGGAAAAGCGTTCAGACTGTATTGTTTTATTAAACATAACCATCGTCGCCTGAATACTGGGCTGGCTCATTGCTATACGAAGTGGAGAGGAGATAAGTTGGAAGGTTGCCCCAAGGGTCCATTCACGTAGTAGTCTCGCAGTGTCGCTATATATATAACTCCAAGAATACCATATGGACGATCAGCGTGACAATCTTCAGTTACTAGTATGCCTTGGACTACCCATTTCCGACCCCCTCTCCTCCCATCCCTCCCCCATCGGCCCAACCTCATCATCACCATCATCACCCTCCTACCCCCCCAACGCTCGGCAACGTCCCCGTCGTTTCAGTGTCCAGAACCTGGGTATGGGAAGGCGTTTCATAGAAAGGATAATCTGAGGGAGCATACCAGGCGGATACATTTGGGGAGGTATAGCCAGGTTATGACGATAGATGGTCGTAGTTGAATTGTACCTATCGATGGCGGAGTTCTAGAGCTATAGTATTCTTACCTTAGCAGGTACATCGTTCATACAAGCTAGGTTTGAGTATCTTTTCCAGCCATTGGGTCCATCTGCGTAATATTGCGATCTCAATCTCTCATACGTACCAGTCTGATGGTCTTCATATGTTGCAGACGCAATTTCGATAGCCAAGTTCTCTTTAATATAGCGTGGTCCCAATCTAGAAACAAGCCATGTGCTCGCAACTTGTTCTTCGCCACAACCATATTCGTACCTAAATACCAATTTCAGCTTCAGCACGGACCTATATCGCCTCATCACGTTTTGGCGGCTGATGCGGGCCTTATAGTACGTACAGAAGCTCTAATAATTATTAACGGGCCGATGAGTCGGGCTTTAAATCGACAATCCCTGAGTAGTAATTTTGGCTTAGATACTGCTGCATGTAGGGGTTCGCAACACCATAAACTGGGTGTTGAAAATTGTTGGCGCAGACGCTTCTACTGGCCACGCAACGCTCACGTGGCTCTGAGCAGGACCCCAGTAAGCCACAACTTTACCCAGACACGGGGCCCAGTCCCTGCACCTACTCCTATTTTTTATCACTCGGCGGGGCCAGACTCAGTTTACTAATGTTGTTCTTCCCAATACCACTCTCTTGACGCGGGACGGGTCTAATGAAAGTGAAACCCGAGCATTGCAGCTGGTTCCGGCTGTCCATCTCGACCTATCTTACAATTCCATAGAGGGGCAAGGTTGTATTGACTCCTGCGCTCAATGCGAACTTCTCCGTACCTTCCCTTCATGAGAACCGTAATTGGCTCGCAGACACCACAGCTCCCTATGCCTGTTTCGGTCGCTTCATTGAACCTGCTGTTGGCCAAGGCGTCAATTGCCCACAAACCATTGCGGGTTACAGTGTTCAATCACCATCAACCACGCCCGTCTCCACCCACCATTCTGGGGAAATACAGAAGCCTTTATGTCCAAAGGTATTCATCATATATTCGGTACTCCCTATTACCAGGTCCCAAGTATATATCTTACCTTTCTAATCTATCGCGTAATCACTCTAGGACTGTCCCTCCACTAGCGCTTACATGCGAATGGCGCGGTTGCACTGGGAGCTTTTCACACCACGCACAATTACGACGACACGTCAAGACACAACACATTTCGTCGAGGTCATTCAGGTGTCTAGAATCTAGGAGTGGGAAATTCTTCCATAAGAAGGATACCATGGTTGAGCATATTAGGCAGATGCATCTAGGGAAATATACCCAGGCCATGGTACTAAGTGGTGATAGAGGTTGAGGGATGATTCTAATAAAAAATGTCGATAACATGTTATACATAACATGAGGGCCGCAGAGTCTTAGCTCCAACAGGTAGGTTCGAACTGTCTTTACTAGTCAGGGCCATTATCAAAAGTGCACTTCGCAATATATGTTGGGCTCGAGATAAATGCTAGGTGATGAAGAAGACGCCCCTCAGGCTCGTAGATGTTGTAAACGCAATTGCTAGAGTTTCTGTTTGCGTTTGCTTTTGCCTAGTATTCCACTGTTGCGGCGCACATGTGCAATGTTTGCTGCTGACCGTGTCATATACTGGAGAGTTAGTAACCAATCTAACTTCGAGCGACCGTCATAGGAGCTCATTGAAGCTGCCAGTCTTAGGAGCCTCCAGTGGACTCGCCACAAACACCATTAGCTCTTCTCTCTATTTTCTCTCGCGTATGCGATGGGCCCGCCAGGTCTAAACATAATGCAGGCTCATGAGTCATCAGGGAGCATCTCCAGTGATTATTATCCTGAGTTTTGTACTATCCAACGTTTTGTCGAAAAAGGGTCTTAAAAGAGGCAGGAAATAATCAAGTTCAACTACAACTATATTATACCAATACAATTAGTGACAATGAGAACGTTAACTGTCGACAGGTGCTGAGTGGGAGATGAGGTCCTTGAGAACATTGTTGGCCGCCCTTCCCGCCTTCGCTAACGGTATGTGGTCTGTGTGGTGTATGTCCTTGATCAATGTATAACTGCTGGTGTCAGATCAGAGACCGTAAGGGTTCGACCATGTCCAAGTGTGGTGGGAAGATTTACTGTCCTTGAGTCGGCTGTGGTGAATGGAAGGCAGACGGGAGCTGACTAAGGAGGCCTACTAACTAGTCTAACCTCTCTAGGCTTAGTGCCTCTGCCTTGCATTTTCGAGACGGCAGATTGTTTTCTGCCAGTTCTTCCCGAGTTCTGAATAGCTGTAGACTGGAACTCGCAACTCATGCAGCCACCACCTGGGATCACCAGTAACATCATCCTATATAGGGATGCATTCCTAAAAACAGCCTCTAGGCTCATACTTGGAATAGCTCAAAGCTGCGACCGTAAAAAGTAAGGGAGCGGGTCTCTCAAGTATTATTCTATAATCTTCGAATTCGGAACTTAATTGGCATCGCTCTATATGGGCGCTTGAGTTTGATATTTGACTGAGCTGGGCCCACGGTAATGAAGCCGATGGGCAAATCTGGTTTTTGGTAAAGGAAGAGGTTCATGAAGCGGATCAAAAGTTCTTATGGAGGTCACTAGCAAGCCCACCACGCGTTCCCTAACACTACCTAAAACTTGAACAACATTTATCTGTATAGGGCTTGCCATATTAGAGGAATAATGTATTGTTTGGTGCAAGTAAATCTAGTCGGCGCATTCCGCTGACATGGATAATTCTCGCCGAGGTGATGAGCAACCCGGTGGGGTACGTACCCTGATTTATACCAAGGTTGCAATTATTGAGCCGCATACCAATTCGGAAAAATGATACCAATTGGGGAAATGACCTGGACAAAAAAAATAATGTGGGATCGCATCAACGCCACCGCCGGCACGGGGCAGTGTCATCATCCAATGGGAAGCTTAGGAGCCCCTCCCGAGCTTGCAGATTGTTTTTCTTTACACCCCTAAACCTCGGCAAACACTGATGGGCTTTCAAGATGGCGCCCCCAAGGCCACTCGCAGGGAGGCAAGCAGCTTGCAAGCATAGAATCAGGCATTAGAGTATCCCGGTCTGCCTCACCTGGCCATGCGATTGAAATTCGAGCACTGACCGGTCATCTGGCAGGCGCACAGATAAGGCCTCTTCTCCCAGGTGTTCCTCCATTGATTGAAATCAGTTTGCTCCTACCTGCCACCTTATCAGAAGATATTTACTCACTACCCGCCCAAGTTCTACATTGACTCCTCCAACGCTCCAATCATGTCTGCCGAACAGTACTCGTCAGGAGCTTACCACGCATGCGAAGGGCTCGAAACGGATCATGACAAGGTATTGGATTTCTATCCAGTTGTCCACAGTAACTCGTCCGTGGATATCATGCAGCCAGAAAATGCCATTGACCGAACAGGCCTTGCATCTTCCTTGGTGGCTGCGCAGCCATACTGGCGTTCCCTGAACGCGGATCTTTGGGTCCCTTCTACCCAGGACATTGCTTCAGGGATCCCGATGCTGCCACCCAATACCGAGTTGCCCTATGAAGACTTCGGTTACCCTGATGGGCGTGGCGCTGGCCAATCAATCAACCTCACCTACAAGACTAACACTCTCGTGTCTCAAATCCTTCCTGGAAGCCAACATCCTACACCCCAGGTCGTGAATACATCCCCACGCCCAAACTATACGTCGCACGGGAAGCCCTCGACCCAGAGAGTCTCTACCCCGAGGTACGTACATACCATCCTATCCAGCGCACTACCTCAGTGTACTCATAGACCCTAACTCCTGGTCAGCCCACGGGACTTTTCTCCGCGGTCCCTCAAATGCGAATGGCGCGGTTGTACATACACCGGAACGTTTTCCCGCCCTGCGCAATTGAAACGACACGCCGACACACAACATATCTACCCTGGCTCATTCGTCTGCCCCGTCTCTGGGTGCGATAAGACGTTCAATCGCAAGGATAACCTTGGCGTAAATCTTCGCCAGATGCACCATAGTGATGAGGGTCATCCACAATGCCAGACTGGCAAATGCGTGATTGATTTGACTGGTGAAAATGTGATTGACCTGACGGGTGAGTGATGTTCTAGGCGATATGATAGGATATGAAAAGGATGGAACTATCTGGCTTTAATGGGTCTCAAATTCCTTTCCTTTAATGACTTGATTGCATTCATTTCGGTTCTCCTCTATGATACTATGACCATGTATGCGCTGGATACGGCTCGTTACAACCTCTTGAAAATCCAAAATCTTCAAGCACAACTGAGCGTCCTTCTTATATAACGTGGTTATATCCCTGCAACACTTTAGGCTGTTTCTAAACGTAATAGTCGAAAGGTGAGTTCTGTACAGCTCCATCCGCTATGGCTGCGACCTAACAACATTGCAACGTATATTATGCATTTCTATCGATAATTAATCAATGCCACTCCAGGATACTTGTCACTACTTCGTGACCTCCTCATCTCCGAGCCCCTCTCCTCCCCTCCCTCCCCCATCGGCCCAACCTCACCATCACCATCATCACCCTCCTCCCCCGCCAACACTCGGCAGCGTCCCCGTCCCATCCGTCTCCATCTCCGTCGTCGCAACCGTGTCCCCCGTAAACTGCCCCAAATCCACGGGCTGCCCAATAAACTCGGACCTCTGCACCCTCGTCCTCTGCTTCACCCCCCGGGACTTCGTAACGGCAATGAGTCTCCCCAGCACCGCAAACTCCAACTTGAGCTTGATACTATAAACCATAACCTTAAGACATACCTGCAGATAATACAGATTCATATACTCGATAACAATGAGCGCGACGTCGAGCGCCATGACCGCGAAGCTGATGGCCAGGAGCTCGTACATGATCCGCTTGACGCGGTCTCTGCCCTCCGGAGACAATCGGAGCAGTTTGACCGTGGACCAGATGTACAGCGAGGAGAGGGAGAATTCCATCACGCAGAAGCCGGTTACCTGCAGGCGCTCGACGACGTTGTACGCGTAGTTCCAGCCGCTGGAGCGGACGCGTGCGGAGCCCCATGTTGTGATTGTGGTTGGGATGAGGAGGAGAACGGACACCGTGATGATAACGCCCAGAAGAACCTTGAGGAACTTCTCGTTGTAAAACACGAGATGCAATCTCGAGTACAGCACGACACTCTGCAGTGGTACAATGCTCACAAAGCCCACGTATGCAATCGCCAGCCCCACCGGCAGGGGGACGATCCTGTAGTAATGCAAGATCGCACCAACCCCGTAGGGGATTATGCCGAAGGAGGAGATGAGGATGGACCAGAAGTAGAGGCCGCGCGGTTGGCGGAAGGTCCAGCAGACGAGGGCGATGAGTTCGAGGGAGTTGATGAGGGCGATGGCGAGGAAGACGGCGACGGTGGCTTTTACTTCGAAGCTCTGGTATTCGAGGCCGTGGACGAGGCCGGGGGGGACTTGTGCTAGGGGGTGCATTGTGGGTCGTCCGTGGACCTGCGCATCCTGTACAACTACCACGTGGTGAAGCAAGCTGTTGGTCTATGTAATTGATTTGGGGTTGCATCAGATTACCCCATTGGCTGTTGGTCAATGCATGCATGCAGCAAATAAGTGCCCAAGACGTTGAAGGATCGAATTACCAGGCACACGTCAAGCCGTTAGGAGAAAATAAGCTTTGACGAATGATTTCATGGATGGTCATTGACCTTGAATCTACTAGCGAATCAAATCTAGCATAAAAGTCACCAACCATGGATCAACCTTGTCTAGCTCCGACGAAAATCTAAATGAGCTTCGCCAGCGCCACCGAGGCTGCCGGTAACGTGACATTAGTAGGAGGAACATATAGTCGTTCAAAGGAGCCGTTCAAGCACTTAAGAGAGAATGATATCAACAAGCCTGGAGCAATGAAGTCCACATAAACGCACACTGCAGCCAGTCCAGGCCCTCAGCCCTATCATGGTTCATCTCCACTGGTGACCCACGATCTAGAACTTGACTCGGGCAGGGCCGGGATCAAAATCAGAATCGGGAACCCGACCCTTCGGCGATATTATTAGATCCCGATACGAGCGCAAAATTTGATCTTCGCGTTCCGACGATTATCGTGAGATATTTTATCGTCGCGAGGAATTGAATCGTACAAGGAGCGTACAGGCTTGGACCTCGACCTTTTATCAAGCTCTCATCAGCAGACTGCAGAGTGCCACAGCTCAGGCAGAAGCAACGCCCAGATCCTCGACATTTGAAATCATATCAAGTTCGCATACGCGGTAGTAAGGAAGCAATGATCAGGATGTTGTCAGACGGATGCTGCAACGAAGTTAAAGTTTGACCATGAGAAAAATGCGCATCCCTTGCCTCCTCGCAAATGCGCCATAAAACTAGCAGACCGGCAAAAATCCGGCGTTCTCTCGGCCACTGCTAAATGACATCATTTTATGCTGTCCAGCTTACATGAGCCCTCGAAATCCCCTCACAAATACTGATTTATGATCATGAGCAACCAATAGAGTCACGCTGAATTAACTATGCACAAAATAAATTTCATGACTCGGCGCAAGCCGGAGCCCAACAAGCCCAAACATCTCATCACGAAGCAGCCAAGAGGTCGCGAAATCCCTAGACTCGGCGAGGACCCTGGAAAGAGTAACTTCAGGCACTGATGTCGTCGCCAGGAAAAACTTTTCCAGCTTTTCCAGCGGTTCTGCAGCTCGTGTGGGTCTGTGAGGCGACTGTGGTTGGCGATGAGATGATGGTGACTCAGGGCACCCGCTCGGCGATGGGCTGGAGATTGTTCGGCGTGGGCGACAAAAAAATTTCTATAGATCTGGACTGGGCCTTTACGAGGCGTTCAGGGGATGGAGGGTTTATAAATATGGGCTGGACCTGCTATCCAGGGGTTTGTTTTTGGATCCAGATTCAGACTCAAAGCTTTAATATACAATCCTCTTTCCAACTCTGGTGTTGTGGTGTCTATCCTTACACTCTTATCCCTTCCTACGATAAATATATACCTCAACCACCACCACACACTCAAACAAACCATCCATCACTCCATCCACCACAATGAGCGAAATCACCTCCCTCGACCACAAAGAACAGTCGCCCAGTCTCCGCGGCAAACACCCACACCTCGCAAAATTCAAAAAACACCTCCAACACATCAAGGAACAATGGGGTCCCGGTCTGCCCGCCAAGATGACCTGGGATGACGAGTACAATTTCCCTGCGGGACGCTGGGCTGGACAGGGGTGGGAGCCGAGGTGAGCATCACTCCTTACTACACTTTAAAAGTCCATCGCTGACTGACCAAGTTCCAACCGCAGATCATAAGCGATCTAGGCAATGCTCTCACTCTCTCCCCGAGGGAGACAGCGCCACAAGACACCCACACGCAGTGACAACTCGGAAACGACACGTTCCGGTCGCTTTGCGTACGACGAACGACATTATTGAATTATTGAACACGGTATAGAATAGAGGCGCACGGCTTTCGGAGGGTAATTGCGATAGATGAGGATCTCCGCTCTGCATTGGATTATAGACTGGGATATAGACGGATGTGGCGTTCGGGTTTGATTTTGATACCCTTCTTTTCTATGTATTTCTATATAATCTCGACTTAATTTCTATTATCATCTTGCCATGCGGACGAGTAGAAGTACTGGACTTTCAGCCTAAGTTGGTGTCTTGTCTGGACGTAGACGCTGGAGAGTCCCTCGCCGATGACAGCATGCCCCAGACAGCAGCGCCACGAGACATATCACAAGATAACCCGCCGACAAGCCACTCCAGAGTCGACAAAACAAGGTTTGCCCAGAGCTCTTAGCGATGGAGTTAAGCGCAGAAAAACGGCCATAGCGGAGTCCGGAGTAACTTGACGGGCAGGATGGTGGGTATATTGCTTTTCCCGTCGGGTTCATCGCGACGCCGTATTCTCACCCCGCAAATAGAGTGCCGGCGCTTCTGATATGTTGGCTTGGCAGTTTGCAGATCGCCGTAGGTAGCTGGGGGAGTTTGTGACGGTTTGACGTGTCGCCCACTTGCGGAATTTGATTAAAAGGCTGGCATGACCTGGGCAGGCGCGGGAGGGAGTGGAGAGGAGATCCATGCCCTCACATTCTTACTGACATTGACAAGATGACGTCTTCTGATCGAACGAAATATGTCTGCAGCAGTGCCATGTCGCTGCCATTCGACGTAAACATCGGTATAGTCGTCGATGGCGTTCTCGATGCATCCATTTTGCGGGAGAAGTATGCCCGATTAATCGAGCTGTCGCCGCTGCTCGGGGGAAAACTACTGAGCAAGGTACAAATCATCCAAGAATTGCGTAAGCGATACTAACGAGGATAGCTCGACATGCGACAATTCCAATGCGGCTCAACCGTCGATTTCGAGGACCGCACATTAAAGCAGGACCTCGCAGCCGTCCTCCCCTTCTCATGGCGCGCGGGCACCGCCCCGAGAATCATCTTCGACGACCCCGCTGGACTCGACGAAAAGTTCCTCTTCAATGTACCGTCAAATTCGACCTCGATAATGAAGCTCCGCGTGACGATCCTCAACGACGCGACGCTTCTCTGTTTCAGCTTCACACATGCCCTCTGCGACGGGTCAAGTGCATACCATGTCATCAGCTACTTCTGCGACCTATTATCAGATAAACCGGTTCCGAAATTCGTGCTCCCGCCGGACGCGACTGGGAAAAGGATCTCCGAGCTTGTGCGGAAGGTCTCGACCGAACCGCTTCCCGCGCAGCCGGAACAGGATATCTTCGTTACCAATCGATTGACGGTCCTGAAATTCCAGGCGAAATATCTGCTGCTGCGACTGAGCGAGGTCCTCGGTCTGTCGCCGCTGCTCACACACCGAACCGTCCATCTCCCCGGATCCTGGGTCGACGATGTGCGATCGCGGGCGCAAAAGGAGCTGGAGAGTAGCGGCGAGCACCTGGGGATGCAGTTGACGCGCAACGACATCATCACCGCGCTATACCTGAAGCTGGTCTATGGCGCGAGGAAACCCAACGATGACCCCGTCGACTATATCGGCCCGATCAACTATCGCGCGCTGCTTGAGCCCGCCGACCCGGACACGTACTATCCGCACAACAGCGTCACCTTCCTCCTCTGCCAGTTCTCCGAACGCGAGCTGCAGACGGAGTCGATCACAAAGGTCGCTGCGCGCCTGCGCATGGCGACGATTCGCTACCGCCACCCGGCGAGCATCAAGCGCGAGATCAGCCGGTTCGAGGAGAAACTCGTCGCGCCGGCGATGCAGGATAGTCGCGGGGGTGTCAAATGGGGGGTTCCGATGGTCAGTCCGTGGACGACGTTCGACTATACGAGTCTTGATTTCTCTGGTGCGAGTCGCCAGGCGAGGAAGCCACAGGTTGTCTTTGTGAATCCGAGTGTGCCGTTGACATTGGGGAGACTGCCTAGTCCGATTGCGTTTAATCTGAAGGATGGCGCGGGCGGGTACTGGCTTCGGGGGGCGAATACGCGGGCTGGATGGGAGGCGTTTGAGAAGCTCATCGATATGGACAGTTTGTTTTGTTCCTGAACATAGATGTCAACGCGATGATGATGTGGCTGTCAAGCTTTTCCGCTCGTATTTGAAGATTTCCAAGCTCTTGGCGCGCAGTCAGGATTGTGTCAGACAAGATGAGGAGATTAATGGCCGATGGCAATATAAACTGATAGCATCACAACTCCACAAATTCTCGCCTTATCGTGTGACATGTACTCATAGTAGATAAGATGGCGCAAATGTCTCAACACCCCCTCTTGCAGAGGTTACATCCTGTTTATCAGCCTTCTTGGCGTTGCAACCCAAGCGAGGCTGGTATTCGCCCGCAATGCTTAGCACCGGCCCACTGTGGCCAAGCCCCGCCATGGTTGCTGCTGATCCCTGCCAAAGCGAATACTAGCCTTGCTCGATAAGGCAGGTCCCAAAACATTCCCAGCAGGGTTTCCCGCCGCGGTGCCTGCCGATTGCTGCAGATACCTGCGGCCCCCGGTGCTGGTGGTTATTCGCGGCGTTGAGCACACCATCTCCTCATCTCCCGGCCCAGTGTATAAATAAGCTGTCATTCCCGGGCATTCTTGAGGGATCGTCGCACTGATTGAGCTGAGCTTGAGCTGAAGCTGAGCTACTGTCATCATGGGCGCTCTTCGCTGGTTGTCGCTTGCCGCTGCCGCGTCTTCTGCGCTGGCTCTTACCCCAGAGTACGCACCAATTGTCCCATTACACCCCGAGCTTGGACTCTGGGGTACTGTCCCACGTTACTGTGACTGACCTGCCCCCGCACAGGCAATTGATCAGTGCGCCTCGCCGATCCGAAGCCGTCCCCAACCCCTCTGGTGTTTGTGCTCCCTCCCATCGCTGCCCGCGCCTGTGTAACAATGACAATGCTAACCAACGGGACTCGAAACAGAGCGTCGCGTTCTTTTCCGCCTCGCAGTACTCCTTCGAGACCAAGGAGCGCCCCTCGTGGTGGAGCTTGATTGATCTCAAGTCCGGGGAGATCTCTCCCCTGACGAATGACAGCAATGTCTCGGAGATTGTCTGGTTGACGGATTCGACTCTGCTGTACATCAATGGGACCAATGAGGATGTCCCTGGTGGTGTTGAGCTCTGGGTTTCCCCTTTGAAGGATTTTCCTTCTGGGTATGTACAACCCTCTTTCGGTTTCCCACAATTGGACTGTTTACTGATTGCAATTATAGCTACAAAGCCGCCTCCCTTCCGGCCCCCTTCAACGGCCTCAAGGTCGTAACAACCAAAAATGGCGACCTGCACTACGTGCTAAACGGCCAGTCCTATCCCAACGGCACAGCCTACAACGAAGCCACCGCAGCTCCCCAAGCCAGCTCCGCCCGCATCTATGACAGCATCTACGTCCGTCACTGGGACTACTACCTGACCACAACCTTCAACGCCGTCTTTTCAGGCACATTGAAGAAGAGCCAGCACAAGAAATACACCGCCGCAGGCGGACTCAAGAACCTCGTCTCCCCCGTGAAAAACGCCGAAAGCCCCTACCCGCCCTTTGGCGGAGCCTCGGACTACGACATCTCCCCCGACGGCAAGTGGGTGGCGTATAAGAGTAAAGCCCCCGATAGGCCGCAGGCAAACCATACCACGGCGTATATCTATCTTGCGCCGCACGATGGGTCGAAGACTGCTTTCCCGGTCAACGGGCCTGGGAGCAAGGTGCCCGAGGGGATTGAGGGCGACTCGAATAACCCCGTTTTCTCGCCGGACAGCAAGACGCTCGCGTACTTCCAGATGGAGGACCCGACGTATGAGTCGGATCGTCGGGTTCTGTACCTGTACGACCTGTCCTCAAAGGAGATTACTGCTCTGGCCACGGAGTGGGACCGGTCCCCCGATTCGCTCCAGTGGGTTGATACCCGCACCATCGTCGTCGGCGCCGAGGATACAGGACGCGTCAAGCTGTTCCTTGTCCCCGTTAAGAAGGCCACCGGTGACGACTTCCAGCCCGCGAACCTGACTGCGACGGGCGTTGTCAGCGCGTACTACGTCCTCCCAAACAAGAATATCCTCGTTACCGGCGCGGCGCAGTGGACGAACTGGAACGTGTACACTGTCAGTCTGGATCCGAAGAAGGGTGTTCTCAAGACGCTTGCGTCGGCGAATGAGATTGATCCTGAGCTTGCGGGTCTGGGGCCTGAGGATATCAGTGAATTTTGGTATGAGGGAAACTGGACTGATGTACGTCGACTTCCATTTACCAAAGAACCCCCACCTTCCTCCCATTCCCCACCCAGCTAACAATTTATCTGAAAATAGATCCACGCCTGGATCATCTACCCCGAAAACTTCGACAGCTCCAAAACCTACCCGCTCGCCTACCTCATTCACGGCGGCCCGCAGGGCTCCTGGGCTGACTCGTGGAGCACGCGGTGGAACCCCAAGGTCTTTGCCGACCAGGGATACGTTGTCGTCGCGCCGAACCCCACTGGTTCAACTGGGTACGGCGATGAGCTTACGGATCGGATTCAGAATAACTGGGGTGAGTTCTCAATCCACTTTTCCTAACGTCGCTGCAAAAGCCGTGGAGTGGGGTGCTGATTGTATGCAACAGGAGGAGCCCCCTACGATGACCTCGTGAAGGGCTGGGAATACGTCCGGGATAACATCGACTACATCGACACTTCCCGCTCCGTTGCCGCGGGCGCGTCTTACGGCGGGTTCATGATCAACTGGATCCAAGGCTCGGACCTGGGCCGCGAATTCAAAGCGCTGGTCAGCCACGACGGGACCTTCGTCGCGGACGCCAAAATCTCCACGGAAGAGCTGTGGTTCATGGAGCGCGAGTTCAACGGGACCTTCTGGGGCGCGCGGGAAAACTACCGTCGCTTCGACCCCTCTGCCTCGGAACGGATCGAGCGCTTCGACACGCCGCAGCTGGTTATCCACAATGATTTGGATTATCGGCTCCCTGTTGCGGAGGGACTGAGTCTGTTCAATGTGTTGCAGGAGCGTGGAGTGCCGAGTCGGTTTTTGAATTTCCCGGATGAGAACCATTGGGTTGTGCAGCCGGAGAACTCGCTTGTTTGGCATCAGCAGGTCCTGGGGTGGTTGAATAAGTATTCGGGGGTTGGGGAGGAGAATGACAAGGCTGTTAGTCTTGAGGATACCGTTGTGCCTGTTGTGGATATTGACCCGCCTGCTTGAGTATGAGGGGTGGGAATGATGTGTATGAGGCAAACGATGTATGCTATGGTACATGGTAATATCAGGAATAACCAATGGCTTTCCAGATGATCGAGGTCCATTTGCAGATACAAACCTCGCTATGCGTAAGACGACAATTCAGCAGATGGACCAGGCACCAAAGAAAAACATTCAGTGTTCACAGTACATTCCAGAAGCATACTTTCAACGCCGGAGAGTAACCTCAAAGTCCGCAGCACGGATTAGGCCAAGGCCCATGGTCGCTCCGGCATCGTACTTTTTCGTAGCTACAAGATCCTCCCCTTCTTGAGCGATAACCAGGAATATCTCGCCCTCCTGATAGGATAGACGCCGAAGGTCAGCCACAGTGACCGTGCCGGCAGAGGGTGGGACCCTTGTTCGTACTTCCCGTGCATCATTCTTAGTGTAACGATTTAAAAGATGCTCTTTCATAGCCGGCCAATTGTCCAGGTGCCCTCGTTGAGTAGGTGGCCGGGGGCGAAGGTGGAGGGTTTGCCCATCGGGGACCCAAGTCTTGATACACACCGCTGTTGCCACATGATTCAGCCCGTCCCAAGATAGTCGGCCAAGGCAAGTTCCAGGCATACCAGATACTATTGGTGGGCGCTCTCTCTGGCGGGAGGAGTTTCGTACCCAACAATGGGCACACCGGGTAGCAAGTATCCGTTACACATTGCCAGCGTTCGCACCTGCAAGTCCACTTGCTCGAGGTCTTTTTGCCAATCCCCCACTAGATGCTCTAGGCTTCCTGGTGTTTCCCGCGCGAGGGGCCTGAGCTCAGCATACATCGTTTTGTTCAGGGCTTCCTGGAGATGAGCCAGCCGTTGCAAGCACATGTCCAGAACCCTTTCGGTGAGTGAGTAGAGCCTGGGTAGCTCCTCGTCAAGGGCTTCTGTCAGTGCGATAAAGTTTGGAACACGCTGGCCATGGGCGATAAGAACCGCGGGGCGGCCGTACAGGGATAAAACCTGCTTCAACGGTTCCACGACCAAGACGTCGACTTTTGTGGCCTGCTCGATGTGTTATTCTTTGTGTCGAAGGTTCACGCTGGAGGGACTTTCTCACATATTCCAAACTATTTCTCAGACCAACATTCCCGACAACTGTGCCCACCTTACCCAGACTATCTGGTAGGGTATGATCATCTGTTTCTGACATATCGATGAGCTCCCGGAATGCGACGAGGATATGCCGAACCTTCTTTACGAAGCGATCGGTAACCTTCACAGACGCTGCTATGTTTGATACCAGCTCATTAATCGCACGAACCTTCTCATGAAACATGCCAATATAACCTTGGGTTCCTCGACTTGTGACTTCTGATGTCTCTCGCCATCCGGATGGTAGAGAGCCTGCGAGGGCACTGTTGACGATTCCCCGATCCATTGCATTATTCACTTGAGAGACGATCGCTTCGACCTTGAAGCGTGCCGCAAAGAGTTTAGCCCAGTCTGGATGGACGGTTGGGGTATGATCAAGCAGTCTCTTGAGCAGATTAGGGTACTCGGACAGATGCCGGATGGGCTTATCAAGGAATGTACGAAGGCCCTCCAAGTTCAATGGATCTGGCAGCGAGTCACTTTGCTCTGTGACCCAATCTTTGAGTTCTTCAAGGCTCTTTGTAGCAGCCTTTTGATTTTGCAGGCATCGAACGTATATCTCTTGCAACAAGCAATTCTGTGCCATGAATGCATTTCCAATCGATGTACTACTGTCATTCTCGATTGCCGAAGTGATCGAGCCCCCTGCCCCTCGGCTTTGATCATTTCCCGCAGGTGGCCATGCCGTCCCATGAAATACACTCGCTGCCGCCCGTCGGAGATCAATAGCAAAGTCAGCAGAAAATTGTGCCAGTGGGGCTGCGTTTCGGAACCTGACGCTGATGTCCTGGGAAGGGCACTCTGGAAACTCTTTGGAGGACACGAGCTCTGCGATCGTTGTCAAGTAGCTTGCGAAGCTCTGCTCACGACGCACGAGCTCCTCAATCAGTTGGTAACGAGTCCGCAAGCGTACCCATGTCTGTTGCTCATCCTCGCCCGGTGGTATGAGCATTGTTGGCAACAACTCTTGGACGATGGTCTGTCTCGATTCAGCCCGAGGAGTATCGTCGCGGGTGATAAAAACGTGGCTCCAGTCAATATACACCGAATCTGGGACATCTTGCAAGGGCGACAAGGAACCTTTGGATTCCGCCCTGTAGTCGTCATCTCCCTGATACCCCCCCTCCGGATCGTCAGGCATATCCGTGTTGGGATCCCTTGGTTCCGAGCTAGCCCATGATGATTGGTTATCGGTCTCCGAGACTTGGCTCTGGCTCTGGGTAGTCTCGTCTGAAGGGGCTTCTATCGACATCAAACGCAAGGTAAGAAGCATGATGTTCTGAAGATGTGCAGTCATATGAGCAGCAATAACTGTGGCATCGATGGCACGGTCGGTGGGTTGTTTCTGGCTGGTATCAATCCGAAGGCGTTTTGGTCCACTTTTCCCTGGCTTGGAAATGTATTGCTGTCCCTTTGATGGTTCACCCGTGCTTTTTCCTTCCGGCAATGCCGCTTGAGCTTGCGGATCCACGATTGGGAAGCAGCAAAGGGGACATGAAGATGGCGGTCGGGGTGAAGCAAATTTGCTCTGTCGGACAATGGCTTTAACTTGCTGATCGCTGAATGTGCCACTATGGCAACTCTGGATATGGTCGGAAAGGCTTTCTGAGCCGGGAAACCTGGCGTCTTCATCCATACAAAGGGGGCAAACCCATGAAGATGGTGCATGGACGTCTCGATGCCAATCGTTGCCGTGCTCTCCAGTCATATGCTGGAACCATTCTGTCGACGAGGCAAATCTCGGCAGAGACTGCAGGCATTTCTCTGAGACACAAACATACGGCTTGAAATCGTCACTGATATGGTGCCTAAACCGTGATCAGCATCCATGATAGGAAAATAATGTGATGCGCGCAGCTTACTGCCACTTGAGCCCTTCCAGCGAGTCCGGCATGATAGGCTCGAAGCACCAATCGCAGGTCAATGTGTTCTTTCCCGGCCGAGGATAGCAAGCCCGATTTCCCAAGATAGACGCCGGTTTGCTTTTTATTGACGGATTGAGCAGTCTTCTCAGGCGTGCCTTGAATTCCTGACTATCTAGCGACGTGGGCTCCGACTGAGGTACAAGCTGCATAGGCGGCGACCAGATGGGTTGCGAGACACCCGCTGGCGCTCTATCGTCCTCGTGAGTGGGCTCGGGGTAAGGAGCAATGAGACAGGAAGCATCAGAGTTGTCGGCCCGCTCTTCTCGGATCGTGTGTAGATACGGCCTGGGCGTGTGCTGCGTTCTGGCTACGCTCAGTCGCGTTTTCCGGGATCTGCGGAGGAGAAATAGTGCGTATGACTCCACCATTGATCGCGTAAGCTGATCTAGAAGTGGACTACTAGCATCAGGATAGTGTGTCCTGAGTAGCATATATGCCAGTTGCTCAAAGGATCCAAGGTCGAATGTCTCGGCAAGCTCCCGGGCCTTGGAGACCTGGCTGGTCACCGATGACCGACGGATAGCGGTGCCCAGCTGGCACAGTCTGTCAAGGGCAGCTGATATAGCATCTAGGCTTTGGGGATAGACGAGAAGAGGTCTAGATGAGGGATCTGATGTCGCGGCCTCGTGTGGTGCAGACGAGGACTGCTTCTCAGATACTGCGGGGTCACTGTTAGGTCCTGCAATCTCAAACTCGGAACAGGGCCACATACAACAAGCAAGATTTTCCCGCATGATATCCAACAGGCGAAGTACCTGGTCTTGGATATCGATGTGCCGCCGTAACCGCCGGTCCAAGCACACATTCGACTCGGCGAAAACACCCAGAAACGCCGCCCAGGAGGTAAACCTCTGGTGAATGTCCGAAAGAATCTTTGTTGCATCTTCATCGCCTTCATCATTGAAGGCTGTGATTTGCTTAGCGAAAAGATCTTCACATTCGACAGCCTGGTCAAAAATAGGCTCCTGCTGCTGGATGTCGTCCATGGCACCTCTTACCCCGCCCGGATGGCTGGCTGGCTGGCTGGCTGGCTAGTTAGCCGCGTCTCAACACCCACGCTGGCAGCGAAAATCGAGAAAGGCGGCATCAGATGGGCGAGCAGCAGCTATTTCGCCTTTTGAGTCTTGTATCGGGAGAAGAGATGATGTGTGTGAGGAAGGAGCGACCGGTGGGAGGCCCGTCCGGAGCAGCTGACACCAGCTGGCCAACCTGCAGCCAAGACGCGAACGGCTGTTGCTGTTGCACAAACCTCTGAAAAGAGGGGAACTTGACACGCTGCAGTGCACGAGTTTTATCTCTCCCATCCCACTCACTCTCTAGCACAAAGGCTGCTCCCTGATGAGAAAGCGATGGGGCCAACGGTGTTGGACCACTGGAACAGCCTGCTGACGCTTCGATCGCGCTTGTCAAACAGGCTGGCCACCTTTGCCAGAAGCGACAGGAGCGACAGCAGTGCCAACAGCAGGCTGTCGCAGAAACACCGGAACGACGCCGCATTCCTCGAAGCGGATCTCCGTTACATCTTCACCACCATTCCGATCATTATCACTCTTCCGCTTGATAGCTATGACGATGTTGAAAAACAGGCACAGCGTCTTTTGGAAGTCCTGGATCAGCTCGTCAACCCAGCGCTTCTGGAGCAGCCGCCCGAGAAAGTGGACGCTGAAAGGCATCCGGGTCCGCACGACCTTGTAGCCCTAGGCAGACGATATCCCAATTTGAGCTCTTTACTGACTTGCTTGGGGTCCTCTCTGATTCAGTTCAACCTGGTGACCGGCCAAGGTTCATCGCTCTTTTTTCTGCCAAAAGGTCCGCTTGGGGATGCGACAGTGACATGCATCTCTCAGGTGAAGGAGATCTTGGGCAAGGTCGCCTACGCAGCAGAGACGCAACTGAACTCTTCCACATCTTCGCTGCCCACAGACAATGCCATAGATAGCAGTTCAACTGCCCTGCACGAGCCTGCAGATTACCAGGACACGGTGTCGCGAAAGTATGCAAGCGCTGTCGTCAACAGTATCTTCAAGGAGCTTCAAGACCGCAACTGTGGAAAATCTCACGAGATCAAGCTCAAGGTCTCGGACGACTGGCAGATAGGTCCACGAGATGTTCCCCTTGATATGTTTCTCTCGTGCTGTGTGGATCTCGAACGATGGCATCAGGCAAAATGCGGCCCTTTCGAGTACAGTCTCCTCACTCGTTCGATCCCTGGTACAGCGCGCTAATGGGCGATAGGGTGGCTATCAATGAGGCCAGGAGTGATGGAATCTGTGCGGCGATTCAACGCGCAAAAACACAAGGCAGAAGCCTATACCTCGTCGTGGATAAAAAGGGTCTCTTTGATATTTCCGACAAGATGCCCTCGACACCGCTCTCGCTGGCACACTTGACCTCGGAGACTCTTCAGGACCTACTAGACCAGAAGGCGCTCACGCGCATCACCCCCAGAGATTGTTTTACAGGGTCCGCCAAGAACAAGCTTAGTTCACGAGAGAAGGACGTTCTCGCTCTTGGCCTTGCAAGATGCTTAATGGAATTCTTCGACGCCAATATCGAGCTGGCCTTACACAGCTGGAGACCGGAATGCGTATACTTTCTCCGGTCAACTCGGGGTCATGCACGAGACCGTATCCTGTACATCTCCCTCAAGCCACTTGGGCCCGCAAGCTCAGAGGAAGGCCCCATCCAGTCAGCGAGCCCTGTTGGACCGGGAAACCCAATCCTACTTTCTTTCGCGAGGCTTCTACTGGAAATCGAAAACGGCGAAAATATAGCATTGGAGGTCAAACCAGACCGCAGAGCAAATCTGCCCAGCTGGGGAGAGATGTGCGATATCGTTGAACGCATTGAGAGCGAGGGAGGGGGGAACTACCTCCAAGCAGTCAAAGGATGCTTGTACCTGCATATCGCTCTACGAAAAATCCAAAATGAAGCAGTGGACCTTTCACTAAGCGACCTCCTCAGGAAAACTATATACGAGCAAATCGTTCATAGGCTGGAAGCAAATGTGAACCCCGAAAAGTACAAACGTAAACGTCGAGACTCTGTCACCGAGATGCCTCTTGCAAAGAAGCTGTCACTGGCTCCTCCAGCGCCGAGTTCAACCCCAAACCCGACACAAGTACACCCAGAGAAGCGGAATCATCCCACTAATCGAAAGGACTTTGAAATCGCCATTGTCTGTGCGCTCCCGCTAGAATACGATGCGGTCGCAGGCCTGGTCGATGAATTTTGGGATACCGACTTTGGGTGCGCTGATGGAGATCCCAACATTTACACACACGGACGCATTGGAAAGTTCAACGTCGTTCTTCTCGTTCTTCCCAGTATGGGTAAAGTTAGCGCTGCAGGGTCATCGGCAAGTCTTCGCCTTAGTTATCCACGACTATCCATTGTTCTTCTCACCGGGATTTGCGGGGGTGTACCATTCCCAGTCTCTGGAGAGAAGATTCTTCTAGGAGACGTCGTCATCAGTCGGCATATTGTACAGTATGACCTCGGCAGGCGATACCCCAACGAGTTCAAGACCAAGGATACCGCCGAAGATACATATGGCAGAGCCTCGCCCGGCGTACGCCGCCTTCTTACACTCCTGCAGACGCACACAGCCAGTGAGAAGATGGAAAGACTTACCGCAAGATACCTACAGGATCTTCAAAGTAAGTCTGCGCGGAAACGCCGCGGCCCGAATTATGATTTTCCCGGGGCTTCCGAAGACCGAGTCTTCCAACCGAACTATCACCACGAACGGCATGGCTCGCATAGTCTCTCGTTGAGTTCTGTGATACACAAAATGCAGGATTCCAGCCAGTCTTACAATGTCTCATGCGAGGAGGCGAGATGTGATCTTGGGAAGCTCATACCCCGAGAACGAGTTGAGCAAAAGCAGCTCCTTGAGAAACAAGGCCGCATCGCAGAGGCTCAAGCCCCCTTGATCTTCATTGGTACCATCGGGTCCGCGGACACGGTCATGAAGTCGGGAGAGGAGCGCGACCGAATTGCCAGTCTCCATAACCTGATCGCGTTTGAAATGGAGGGCGCAGGACTTTGGGATGAGACGCCGTGTCTCGTGGTGAAGGCCGTCTGTGACTACGCAGATAGCCATAAGAATAAGAAGTGGCAAAACTTTGCCGCGGCGACGGCAGCCTCAGCTACAAAGGCGCTGCTGGACTTTTATGTTCATCGCGAACCCTCCAGGTGAGCCTCATCAGCTGCGGCCCCCGCTCTCTCGCTTTGGGGCGATCACGATATTGCGAATACGAGGTCAATTCGGCGCCAAGCAACCCTTCAGTCAGTGATAACAGCACAAGCTCTTCTCCACAGTCCTGGGTCCCATCCCATGAACAATCGAAGAACGTGGTCTAGTAGTTCTGCGTTCGAGCAACAATCGCTCCCCATGTCAGATCCAATCACGCTCACTACACAGCGGATTCTCCTCTCCCAGTTTCTGTGGAGCGACCCGAACCACTGCCAATTCCTTGCGAAACTCGAAACGACCCTCCGCATCCCGAATGGTCGGCCAGGGAAGACCGCCATCAGGACCAGCGACGACGCGAAGCAGTCTCTCTACCACGATAACCAGGTTCAGTGGAATCGCTACGGCTACGGAACATACCTAATCCTGATAAAAATCTTCCCCGCGCGACAGATTACCGAGCAGAATCGCATCGACCCATGGGAATATGAACCAATCGGCAAAATCAGCCTCACAACTTGGGATGCGTCCGGGCCCATCCACGCGACCGAGTTATTTGTCTCTATCCTGCCGGAGTATCAACGTCGCGGATATGCGACCGAAGCGACACGCGCCCTACTAGAGTTCGTAAAATCTCAGTTTGGATTAGCAGAGTTGTTTGCATTCGCAATGCTGGACACGCCACATACTGAGGTTGCTCGGGCTTTTGCGCAGAAGCTTGGATTGCGAGAGAGAGGCCTGGGGAGGCGATTCCACTCGGATGGACTTGTTTTCGCCACGCTAGGAATGAGGAAAAAAGTCTTCTTGTCTTTGTTGACGCCGATAACGAGTGATGCTGATCTGATGGATGTCGACTGATTCATGTTTTAGTTTCTGACCGGCAATATATATATCAGTGCAGCCGACAGAACTGGACTTTGAATTTTAGCACACTACCTGGTGCGTGGCGACTTCAAGTGATATAACCAAGATTTACGAGATCCTTCAAGGCTCATCTCACTTTAGAAGTTTAGAGGCACATGCCCTTGCAACGCGCCAAGGCACGAGATTAAGGGTCTGCCCAGAATTGACAATTGGATGGAGAGAATCGCACACAATCTCGTATAACCACCACTTATTAGTGAGCTGATGTTTCTTGGCCAGGATATGAACCCCTGCCTTTGAAGTTTCTTTGTTCTTCCAAGTCACCCATGAATTTGAGAAACGCGAGACCCAGAACCAACATGACACATGCAGGGATGAGGCTGAAATTTGCCAGCAGCGCGAGCCGCCGGACCGCTTAATCTGGTTAGCAGCGGCTTAGTGCGGGAAAAGAAGTGAGACATGACCAATCAGTGGCGGGGACTGCAATTGGCTTTGTTGGGTGGGGAGATGATGCAAACACAATCAGGGGCCCGGCCAGGCACACCACCTCCGCACCTGGCGCCTGCGGTCGGGGTTTTTCCAAGATAAGAACTCTCGCCTCCCTCTGCTTCCTTTTCGTTTCATCTCGAATCTATCCCCATTCCATCGTCCTCCGGCAAGATCATCATGGGCAAAATTCAACTCCCCCCTTCACCGTCGCTCCCGCCCACCTCCGGCCCGTCTGCCTCGGCCGACGACGATCTCGACCTCCCCACCTACGACGAAGCCGCTGCGAACCCGCAGCCTTCAATCCAGCAGCCATACCGCGACAACCCCCTCGCACCCCCAGAACGCGACCACACGATCCCCGGCGGCATCCCCTACCTCAGCGCCCGCCAAAACACCCGCCTCTCCAACGCCGCCACCGTCCTCCCCAGCTTCTCCTCATCGATCGACACGCTCGAGAACTTTGTCGAGCGCCAGATCCGCCTCCCGCCCCGGCCCTGCCTGATCATCCGCGGAACACACAATGAGTCCCGGAAGAGCGGCAACGAGACCAAGAGCGAGACCGTCACCGACTTTGACTTCCGAATCGATCTGACGCGCACGCTGCTGAGGTTGTGTCCGAATGGCGAGGCCGCGCCCGATAGTAATTGGTCGTATACGGCGGTTATTAGTGATAATGACGGGTTGAAGGCGTATCGGGGGACGAGGTGGAAGACGAGGAAGAGTAAGACGAAGATCGGTCGCATTGCGTTGCCGGAGAGGGATGGGGACGCGCAGAGCGTGGTTGATAGCGACGAGGGGAATAGACTCATGGCTATCGATGTGGATTTGGAGAATGGGGAGGCTATGCCTGGACTCAGGGGCTGGTGTGAGCGGTACTGCAATGATCCCGCGTCTGTGAAATCGTGCGTCCCCATTACTTCCTTCCTCTCCACGAAGCCCTTCCTTTACTAACCCGACACAAACAGCTTCACCTACCGCCGCCACCTGCACGGCTTCAACCTCGAACCGATGCGCAAATCCCTAACCGACCACATCCGGTCCACCGGCTACCAAGGCCACATAAGCATAACACACACTCTCTCCAACGGGCTCGTGACAATCTACTCCCCGCACTGGATCAACACCGCCCGCAACAACCGATTCGTCTACTGGCTGTGCATAATCCTGCAACTGTGGATCCTCACCTGGCCCGTAATCTGGATAATGGAACGCCGCTACGACATCGTTCGCTCGGAGTGGTATTCGTCACGGTGTGTCTCGGATCCCACCCCCGAGAATCCCGGGCGCGGGAAGAAGATCTATGCCGGTGGATTCGACGAGGCTACTGCGGCGGAGATGTGGGCGCCTGTTGTAAGGGAAGCGGCGTTTCAGGGGAGATGTAATGGGGAGTTTCTTGGTGGCGAGGAGATCGAGCAGCTTAGACGGCAGGGGGAGGAGAGGAGGCAGGCGAGGAATTCCCAGGCGGGGGATTTGATTAGTCGCGGGCAGTCGGCGCTGAATATTATGGGGATTAGGAATATTGGTGGGGTGAATGTTACCGGGGCGTGGGGCGGGGATCGGTCGAGTGCGAGTAGTTCGAGGTTTAGTATTCGGATGGGATAGGCGACGTGTCTCCGTTGGGCTCTTCGATCATTTCTTATACCCTCTTCGTCCTTGCTTGATTGTCTACGTCGGTCTCGTTTTTCACTGCTCGATGGATTCGCCGACCCCCGCGTTTCTGTTGGTCTCACCATCTCATATCCCAATATCCAAACCGTAATAAAACTTCTTTACCATTCGCGGATACGAGTTGATGGGAGTCAAATGACTCAAGGAACAAAGCAGCTTCTCCTTGTCACACAAAAGTGTCAACCACGTGGATACCCACGCATCATTGGTTTTTGCCGTCTAACGTCCAAGCCTCGGCATGAAGACTATGAAGCCATCGGAATGCATCAACAACCCCACAACAGCAAAAATTCTCCAAGGTTTGTCGAGATAAACTTTACCCCCCGACCCACGGTACTACTGAACCGCAGGAAAATGTCCGAGAATTTTGCATCCGACAAGGCAGTCAACAGGGTTACATCAACCCGTTTTCAGCACAAATTCCACGTGATGCTTCCATCATCGACTATGACAGCTTCGCAGAATTGAACAGGTACTCTCGCCTGGCTGCCTGAAAACCCAAGATGGAGCACCAGAGATAACTGCGGTGTCTTGCCGGTTAGCGATAGCAGGATTGGAGCTGCAGATCGCTCGGAATTCGTGCCGCAGTCGGGGTAAATCCTCCTCCTCCCCTCGCGGCCGCTAGTGGGGGGTTGCCGGCTCGGGGCTTTTTTTTTTTTTCTTTCGACTTTCGAGTTCTAACCTCGAGATTCGAGACTCGGAATCTGCGGGGGAGTTCTGCTGGAATGACCCTTGCCCTATTCTTTGCTGTTCGAGAGGAAACTGCTTGGATCGAGTCATATGTGAAATGCCCGCTCTGCTTCGTCATTACCCACACCCGGATCGCCTGCCTATAGCCGACATCCGAGATGGACGAAAAAGCCGAACCGCAAGAGCGTAATGCGCCTGCGAGTCCCATTGAAGTCCCAATTTCTATACCAGGCGCAGAGGTACGACGACCACATTCACATTCAAATGAACCCTCACGCTAACATCTCAACCGCAGACTTCCTCACCATCAACTCTCCAAAACCACAAGCACAGCATCCTCCTCCGCACCCTCCTCTGGACCCCGCCAAATTGCCGCTACAACCCCACCTCCCCACCAACATTCAGCATCCCTCTGAACCTCCTCTTCGCCTTCGCGGGCACATTCACCGTCGCGAATCTCTACTACGCACAGCCACTGCTCGACCTGCTGGCAGAGTACTTCAATGTCTCGCAAGAGCGCGCCTCGCTCATCCCGACCTGTTCGCAGGCGGGATATGCCGCGGGACTGATATTCATCTGTCCGATGGGTGATATTGTCCGGCGAAGACCGTTTGTGTTGCTTTTGACGTTTGTCACCGCGACCATGTGGATTGGGTTGTGTTTCACAAATAACTATGGCGTGTTTCTCGCACTGAGCTTTTTGACTAGTATCACTACCGTCACGCCTGTATGCCCCCAACAAACCAAGAAGCCCGTTCGAGGCTGTTGTATGCTAATAAATGGGACAGCAAATAATGCTCCCCCTAGTCGGCGACCTCGCCCCCGCACACCGGCGCGCAACCGCAATCTCCATCGTCTCTTCTGGCCTGGTCTTAGGCCTCCTCTTCGCCCGGCTATTGTCCGGCATAATCGCCTCGACCTCCGCCTGGCGAAATATCTACTTCCTCTCGTTAGGTCTCCAATACCTAATCTTCATCCTGCTGTGGGCATTCATGCCCGATTACCCGCGGACAAACGACGACATCTCGTATTTCCGAATCCTGGTTTCCATTTTCGGGTTGTTTGGGAAACACCCCGTCCTCGTGCAGGCGACGATCATGGGGATTCTCTGCTCCTCGGCGTTTACGGGCTTCTGGACGACGCTGACGTTCCTCCTTTCCGGGAAACCATATGAATACGATACATTAACAATCGGCCTCTTCAGCATCGCAGGCCTAACACCCATGATCTTCAACCCGATCTACTCGCGGTACATCATCGACAAGTACACGACCCAACTCTCAATCACAATCTCGCTGCTGGTAACAATGGCCGGAATCGCCATTGGCGCATACACAGGCCTGCACACCGTCGCGGGCCCGATATTGCACGCCGCCCTACTCGATTTCGGGCTCCAGGCGACGATGATTGCGAACCGCGCGGCGATCTATGCTGTTGCGCCCAAGGCGCGAAATCGCGTTAACACGGGGTATATGGTGGGTGTGTTCGTGGGACAGCTTATGGGGACGGCGGTGGGGAATCGGGTTTATGCAAGTAGTGGGTGGGTGGTGAGTGGGAGTGTGAATTTGGGGATGGTTGGGGCGGCTTTGCTTGTTGGGTTGTCCAGGGGGCCGAGGGAGAGGGGGTGGGTTGGGTGGCATGGCGGGTGGCAGTGGAGGAGGGGGGAGCAAGTGGCACCTCAGGTTAGGACTGAGAGTCAGGCGCAGCGGGGGCAGGATAGGCAAGAGGTGGAGGGGGTTTGAGGCCAAAGTGCAGATAGATTGGACATTCGTCGTGCACAGGGAACTTTATAGACATGGTATAGGAGTCGTTACCCACGGGAGATCGGGCTATACGAGACATATGCACTCCAACAGTTTGTTGGGGTGAGCCGATAGCCGTGAATATAGAGCGATAGGTCCATGCAAGATTAGAAATGGGTAAATTGTGACACGTCATTGACCGGTGTGATTGCCCACTAAGCGGCGGTCCTGACTCGGCCGCCGAGCATGGAATGATGTCGTGCAGAATCCCTACCGAGTAAGACTGCTTGCTAACCAATCCGGCATGCGGTAGACCGCGACGCAAGGCGGCCCGATGCGCTGGTAGCACATTCGAACCGGCAGTGACTGATGAGGTCGGGAGCGATTGGTTGTGCCGGATGTAGGTAAAATCAACGTCATGGGCAGGTGATTATGTGTATCCTTGGTCGTTCAGCCAAGGATTAAGGGCGAGGATGCCCTGATAAAACGTCAGTCATCTTCAAATTTTACTGGCAGCAGTGCACAGAGTACGTCCTCGGTGCACCATACGACACGCATCCCCTCACAATGTCCACGTTTACGTACTTGAGACATGATGCAAAGGAGCCGACGTATAACAGCTAAGGCTGCAGTCCCCTATTCGCCTGAAGTCACATTTGGCATGATGGTAGGGTATAGCCTGCAACGGGATTGGCTCACCCACAAAACAAGAGGCTGTAAATGGCACCATCAATCCGGCCCATTTTCAAAAGTGTAGTTTCTTAGAGTGGTAGTCGTCGGGGTCGCAGAATGGCATTGAAAGAAAAGTCCAGCAATATTAGCGGAAATTTCCACTGGTTTGGAAGCATACCGCGAAAACAGCCCCAGAAAGAAAGAACACTGTGGGGATCGGAATGATTAGATATGTTATAAAGTATGAGGATGAGTCGTACCGCCCTGATGGCCATAACGTCGCGTCCCATGTCTTGAGCTAGGTCGTGGGAGTCTTTGACTAATTACCCGCTAAGCCTGGCATCCTCTTGCATGCTGCCCAACATGGCCTGCAATGTTTGTGCAAGCCGGCGGCCGCCCTTGATTTGCATGCGGTAACGAGATGCATTGTTAGCTGGAGCTGCGACTGTGGAGCCATGTCAAGGTATCTCACCGGTCCAAGATCATTTTAAACGTTCTTCTCAAGCTCTGCTGCAGAGTCAGAGAGGACTTTAACATGCGAAGAATCTGATTGAGCCCCTTCAAGGCATGCTCATCTCTCCAAGCGACCAGGGGTTATATCATATGTGTGAAGGTACGCTTAATGAGTGGACAAATCTATCAAGTTTGGTTCTAGTGAATTGAGCTGTGGCAGGTACCGGATGTAGATGAGCGGCTATAGCGTTCAAGGCTCGGTTGAGGTCCACAAGGACTTGCTTGGGAGTGGCCTGCTTCCTGCCGAGCCCCGGGCGAAGTCTCACCTCGTAGGCGTTGAGTTTCTCGTCGATATTGTTGAGGGAGTTTCTCGAGCAGCGCAGCGGACTTCTGAGGTACGACATGCCGACGAGATACCTATGGCCATAAGATACGCTGCCTCTTCGTTTCAAAGCGCCGTCGATACGTGGAAAGGGTTCCAGAGCTGTCTGGGTGTGGAGCTGATTTGGTAGCCGTTTACCTGGACTGGATGGAGGTCGACGCCCTGCTAGATATCGCACAGGCACCTAAGATTGCGCAAGTGACCTGACCTGACTTCTGAATGAAGCAAATGCGAACCGCTGCAGAGCCGAAGAGCCCTCCACCCAGGCCGACTGTATGTCAAGTGTTGGGGCAGATAGCTGGGAGTGGCCGCAAAAAACCTGCTGGCCGCAACCCTCACAGAGGTTAGGCTTGTGATAACCATGACATGACTTGCAGTTCTGTCTTGAACAAAAGACCTGGTGTGACAGACGATAGTGCAACTTAGAACCGGGGGCATGGAAGAAGATCCCTGTCGGCGGCTACAGCGGCCATTTTCAGCAAAGGCCCGGAAGAAAAAGCAAAGACAGCATTCGCCCCTCAAATGGATCCCATGGTGGGGGTGGGATGAGTTTGTGCTTCAGCGAATCTTACCTCGTCAGCTCTTTATTTATGCCACCCAAGTCCCCAAAACCGCGAGATGCTCGAGGCAATGCCCGCTGTTCCTCTGCTTGGAACCCTCCTGGGTCCTTCCCTCTGGGGACTCAGAGGAGATCCCAACTCATCGCACCTTCCCAACTAGAGGGACCTGCCGATGAAGCCAAACCAGCGTCAGAATGGAAACTGGAATCTCAACCGGCTCGCACCTGCACCTCAGAATCCTTTCACTAGCGCCATTCAGAACAGATGTTTCAGCGACGCCGCACCCCTCCCATCACAACCTTTAGGAAACTCCGAAATGACAGGCAGGGGATCGGACCCTCGGTTCGTCTTGGCGCATGGCAGTGAGTCAGATGATTGGCCCGATGTGGACATGGGTTCGTCGCACGAGGAGAGGGGAAAGCGAACTTCTCTCCCAGCAGGACGAGTTCCTCGAACCCAGTGCGGTCTTTGGCGAAACCTTTTCATGCTTCCAGCGAACAGCTACGAGCGTGAGATACAAAACGCTCTCAATCCACTACCGCTTCCACCTAATAGTCTTGGACGATGGTACATCGCGGTAAGAGGGCAAGGCTATGGTAGCGCTCGGTGTCGGCACTGCGTGCATGGGTGGGGGCTGGGACGGGATGTCCCTAGCAACGTGACCCCCCACGAGTTGACCTACAGTTGAGACGATCCCGAGTGACCTGCGTCCTCCTCGTCCCACTGAAAGTGCCAAACGGATCGATTCTTTGCTCGAATTCTTGAATCTGTCTGAGGCCTTAATCCCCGAGCCACAGCAACCCGTGCAGCGTGAACAAATGTATGATCCATCCCTATCTGCAAACACGCCTGCTGCCCTGCAGTCCATATCTAACAAACTTCTCCAAAGACTCAACGGCAATCGCTCAAATTACTCCATCGCCCCTCCCGCCCCCAGCGTTTCTCCGCCCTGAGACCACCGACGGTCCGACCCTTCGGTCGCCTATAAAGAGCGAGATCGATCCCACCCAGGTGTAGGTGCCTCCTAACGGCATCACATCCAGCGTGACAGAAACAGATTTTCCCCTGCCGTCGCTGTTACCCCTAATGACCTGAAGGAGGACACAACCCCCAATGCCAATGTACGCTTTCACAGCCGGTCCAATACGCAGCCTTTTCGATGTCAGTTTCCGTCTGCGGACACAAGCGACATTCATGCGCGAAGAGAGATATGAAGTCACAAACGGTCCCTGGCGCCTAGCTAGGCGACCTTGTCTCGAAACCCGCTATTCTGCCTCAGTGCCACCACGGTCCGCCTCCGCCATTCAAAGCTCGTATGGAAGGGATTACGATCGAGGGAGCAACAAATCCGGCGATGCTGCTAGAGGGCACCACATGCAAGAACGGATTTAGCGGGGACAGCTTGCAATGTTTCTCAAGGACGGGGTCATCAAAGTAAACCTCAGCGCCAGGGACTCGCGGTCCCTGTTGCAGAGGCCGAACTGCCCCAGAGGCCCCATTGGCGTGGCGGAGATAGTTGTCCTACTGCAAGTGTTGATTAGCATGTTGTTGTTTCTTACCGGACGACACGGTATGTCGTTTTTCCCCCATCCTAACGGGACTCGTTGTTGATGCTGAGCCAAGATTTACTGGGGGAACCTACTCACTGGACCTTGCATAGGCAATTTACCACCCTCAGTTCCATCACAAGAAGGGCCCATTCGATTCGGATAGGACACACAGGTTGGCCTGTTAGCCCCAACCAAGACGCCCCGAGCACGGTCAAACACGTAAATGATGTGGTATTAGACTTGGAGTCTCCCCACAACGACACCCTTCCAAAGGGATTCGTTCACCAAGCACGCTGCTCTCGACCCCACTTTCCCGATAGCATCACCCGTGGAAAATATGACGTCGTCAATACCTCTGTGCTGTTGACACAGTCAACAAACAGAGCAGCAAGATGTCAACGCCTAAACTGGAGTGGTCTCCTGTGCTGTCCTCGTACAGTCATGCTCAGCCCCGGAACACTCTTAACGCCTCATATCCAGGGTGGCACGCGCACCGTGCCCCGCTGTCTCTCCGAGGTTGTTGTACCCGCGATGTTGGAGCTGCACCCTTTCCGGACACCGTGGACGTGACACTCTTTACCGTGGTTGAGGGATGATGATAGGCTACCCCGGTGGGTAGAGGCTGTAAATCAGGTAGTCGAAAATTGCCTCGCTGAGGACACGTTTTCTGGTAATCTTCTGCTCACCTAGCTCGACGCTTGATGACCTGGCTGACAACGATGAGTCCAACTGGCATAGCCACCCGCGGTGCGTCGGATGGTGCTGTGCTACCCGTTGCCCGCTATTCCTCTGTCCGCCGTGACAGGCCTTACTCGCCGCCCATAGGCGCAGCACCTCGTGCCCTTTGAGGCGAGCTCCGTCGACGAGTCATCTTCCTAGTCAGCCCAGTTGAGGGCAAATCCCCATTTCTCGCCTATTCACATGATGGAATGTTACGAGTGTGCATCAACCTTGCTCCTGCTCCTGCTCCGCTAATTGAACAGGGCAGATGAGTTTCTATCTCAGAGCGTCTCCCCGACTATCCCGCAGGGTAACATGGGATCCAGCACAACAAAGATGGCCAGTCATGAACTGGGGCTCATTGCATCCTCATCCTGTCTCATCCAATTCAACTGCACCGCGCAGCCTCACACTGCCTCCTCGACCCTTTGGTCCTAGTGACACATACTCTTTGTTCGGGCATTCCGGAGTTTCGCCGCATTTCCATGACGTGCACACCTGTTCATCCCAGCTAACCAGATGCTTTTGGCCCTGATTAGCTGTGAAACTCGGAAAGCCGCTTTTCTACTGCGCCGAGACATTATAGACATCCTGAAACTACCTTTGATTTCTGTTCATCAGATATTTTATTTTTTACCCCGATAGCTACATCTAGGCCAGGCTGTCGGCCGAGAAGGACTGTTCAAGCACCAGCTGCCCGGTGAGAAGTCTCATCCTTTCCGTGCCAAGGAGATATGTCTTGTGATGAAGCGCAGTCTGAGACGGATCAGGGTTGACCCAAAGCCGGCCTCACTTTTTCTCAGTTCTTACTGACGAGCCAGACGCGTTGCTTGTCGCGGGCGCCGTCAGTCTCCAGACTAATTGCCGCATACGACTAGCGGAACGTTGGCTGACACCAGGAGAATTGGGACCCAGTAACCTTATTGCTCCGCGACGAGTATAATACTCAACTAGCTGCTGTAAAGGCGAGAGGGCGGACCACGTATCCGCCGCCTCGTCGATGGGAGCTATCCAAAATCCCCTATTTGCTAGTGACCGGTGCCCTACCATTTCTGGAAGCTCCGTAGGTCGCAGTTTGGTTGCACACCGGTATTTTGCCCTTTTCCACCCAGAGCCAACCAATTGAGCTCTGCTGGAGTACTAATTCCATCGTACCTTTGAAGCTGTGGGACGTATTTTTCCATAGGGTACCGGCTTGACGATGTGCGCCTGCAGATGCCCAAGATGCCCACTCTGCCTTGAGCCCCTTCCAGGCTCCTACGTCACGTAAAGGAAACCGAGGCCATGTAGGCGTACAGCACACCTCTGGAGGTCTTTCTTAAAGACATTGTCCCTTCTCCCACAGACATCTCTTATTGCTTCCCCATTGTCCACCCGAATACTGCGCTCAAAATTCGAACTTGACTGTTCTGTTTTCTACCACTGCCTCCCACCTTTGAAACATTCTCCAAAATGCAGAACAGCATTGAAGATCACGAAGACGCCGGCTGCGACGTCGCCGAGGCCGCCGCCAGACCACCAAGCTGGATGTCATATTCAGGCTACTCACTGGACCCTTGGTACCAGTACCCCGACGCCGGAAACACCAACGAATGGTACTCGGCGGCATCCGCCTCCGCAGAGAGAAACGCAACGCTAAGCGGAACAACCCACCTGGATTACCACACCACCCCTCAAGACAGACTGCGAAGAGCGGATCCATCCCCGTTGTATTACAGCCACCTTGACACACACGGCCAGAGTGCCGCGGTTGCAAGCACAGCCGCTGGGAGTGCGTACACAACTACACCGCTACAGCGCGATGTTTCCTATCAGGCTGACTCAACCTTGACGTTGAGCCCAACCTCAGCCTTGCCTTCTGCCCCTCCTATCTCGGAAGGGACGCCAGTCGCTGCTTATGGTGGCTATCCCCGCGGCCAACGCCCCGTGAACACGCGCTCCGACAGTCGGACCTTTCCTTCGAGACGGTAAGCGCGGATTCCTCCGGTTCTCGCTTTTCTCCTTATATTAACGTGGTGATGGTCCAGCGCAAGGCTGGGGTTTTTCTCCCTTTTTCTGCTCTTGTTCCATTTCCCTCTCGGTCATTCCCTCGTCTCTTTTCATATTATCCATTTCCTCGTTGCTTCTATGCTTCCTTTCATTGCAACTACCGTTCATTCCCACCCCGCTGCTGCTATCCCCTCCCCTCCCGTCTGTGCTAACCACATTCTTTAGGACTCGCCCCTCGACTATCCAACCTCGCCAACCCCGCGAAGACGATTCCTCATACCCACCCTCGCAGTATCTCCATGCCCCCGGCCACACGCTGCTCGCCCCTTCCCCCGCTACCTCCCCCGTCCCAACCCAAATCGCCTCCCCATCCCTGACCGCAATCCACTCCCCCACTCTGTCCTCACTCGCGACGCAAACTCCCTTCACCCCAAAACGCTGTGGGTGGGTGGGCTGCGAGAGCGACACGTTATTTACAACCGAGTCCGGCCTTATGAGACACCTCCGGACCATACACGTCTCGCGGGAGGCTTACCCCTGCGTGGAGGTAGGCTGTCCCATGAAGTTTGGGAGAAATGACCACCTCGTTGCCCACCAGAAGAGGAGACATGGGGTTTAGGTGGGTACCGTGTTGAGCTTTGTGGGTGGACCGTAAGACGTGAACGGAGAACAAAATGAGTGGTGTGGAGTTTGGTTTGGTATATATTGATCGGCATCCAACAGCGAGCGGCAGCGACAGCGACAGCGTTATAGTGGTTCTGGGTTGAGCTCCGTGCTGGCGCTTTACGGTACAGTGGCGAGCTTGGGGTTTCGGGGTTCTGCGGTTCAATTTACATGGTTTCATTTTCTCCTCCTGCCCTCGTATTAGTTAGTTCTTTTCTTTTCTTTTCCTGTATTGGCATAGCGGGTTCATGAGCGCATCGATCGCGGGTCTCGGGCTAAAATGCATATCTTTATTTGGGGTTTCTTCGCATTGCCTGTGCACTGTAGCTCTCGAGTGTCATCCCTAGTTCGAGTATACTAATGTATCGTGCTCTTGACTGGGCTCTACTCTACGCATCCTCGAGTTCAAGCTGGTCAACTGTCGCGAGTCACCCAACTCGGAGCGGTTAGATGTAGGTTGCAGGTGCACTCTAGGTTCGCCTACACTCGTATTTTTTTAACCTTGTGAGCGGGGTGACGGTGATCTGAGGCTTCAGTCGGGAGCAGTGCTTCCCTGGACTGAGCCTGACCTCTGCCGATATGGAAACCAATATTAGACGCCAACCCGGTGCAACTGCGAACTACGAAGGTCAGATTCCGATATGTAAATGAATAGAGAATGATTGATAACACACGGACTCCCGCTAAGCACAGTCGCCATAACCCCCAATGGCATACCGCGCTCATTCCATACGCTCCTTAAACTGCCTCAAAAGACGAGCAGCAGCATAATGTCCATTCTGTTTCGCTAGGTAGACAGCCCGCCGATACTGGCGCTCACCAATGACCCCAGTCACCGATGCCCCCGCATCAAGAAGCATCTGCAGTATATCAATCCGACCATTCTCCGCCGCTCCCTCGAGTGCGGATCTCCCGTTAAATTCAGCTGGAGGGGCATCGACCTCAGCGTGGAGGTCGACCAGACGTCGTGCAATCCCTAGGTACCCTCGGATAGCTGCAAGTTGCAGGGCGGTCGCTCCTCCGTTACTTGCTGGTCCAATGTTGACGTCGGCGTCGTGGTCTCGGAGGAGTAGGTTGACCAGGTCCATGTTTGCCTTGTCGACGGCGTGCTGCAGCGCAGTTCTCCGGCGGAGGCCGTCTCCCAGGTAATTAAGGTCGATTTCAGGGTGTTCGAGGAGCTTCTTGGCGATTGGGAGCTGCTGGTATTTTGCCGCAGGCTGAAGCGGCGTGAAGACTTCGTTATGCACCAACATAGGCGCGTCGCCCGCGCCGTCATCCTCGCCTTCGAAATGGCAGATGATGATCTCGTGGTTAACATCGATATTAGCGTTCATGAGGCATTCAGCAAAGTCACTACGGTTCAATATGATGGAGAGGGTCAAAGCACGGCTAACCGCTGTTGGGTCCCCATCGTATGACTGCAACAAACATTCCAGCAGTGACTGGTTTCCCCATCTGGGAAGTAGTTCAAGAACAGATCGTGGAGCCCCGAGTGGAATATCATTGCATCCATCTCGTTTCCAGTAGTCCAAAATCTCCAGTGGTTTCCCCGTCGGGTCTGCGCCTCCTTTCAGGAGGAGTTGCACAAGCTCCGGCTTTCGGCCCATGATTCCTGCTGCGATAGTAGTAGGAGCTTTTCCTCTGAGGTGTTTGAGCATCAATTGCCAGAGATCATCAGTGCAGCCTACTCCGCTGGTGTGCACTGCCGTCGTAAGATCGCGATCTGTAACTTGCACCCTAGTGTCGAGGATCGCATGCACAAAACTGAGTCGGCCAGAGGAGATCGCAGCCTGCAGTGGTGTTGTCTCATTCCCATGATTGGATGAAGCTGCTGTATGTGTCTGTAGAAAATCGATACTGGCATTCTGATATAGTAACCAGTGGACCAAAGCGTTATTGCCGGCCGAGATTGCTGCCACCAGGATCCTGGTCCCCGAGACGCGGAGGATGCCTTCTAGAATGCCTAGCTGTTGTAGATACATGGCGGTATCTATGTTTCCGATCGTTTGCAGCCTGTCGGTGAGTGCTACGGCCCCGGCATTGACAAGTGTGCGGATGAGGTGCACGTCTCCCTTTTCGATAGCCGCTCCGAGTACAGTCCCTGGGGGCTCGGTATAGGCATCGTTTAACCTTGCGCCCATCCTGATCAACATAGCGCAGATTTCGGCGGCACCACTCTTGATCGCGCTCCCAAGTGCCGAGGTATATTGCGTCCCCTCAGAAAGTGGCTTCTCGATTCTCGCACCGTGCTGTATCAGGACCTCGCATGCGGCAATATCGTTGGACTCTAGAGCACGCTCAACCAAGGTCATCTCTCCACAACAATCAGCGACATGCACATTGATTCCCGCGAGGAGGAGCAGGTCAATTATTAGCGGCTCTGTTTTCTCCCGATCTACCGCTAGGGCAAGGGGAGAAATATAGCGGAGCCCGTCGAGTTCAGGGTTAATGTCGGAACACGCATCCAGCAAAAATTTCAACATTTCGACACCATTCGCCTCGACTGCAACACCTATAGCCGTGGTAAGGCCCCACGATCCGTCGAAGTTGATACCTACCAATGCATTTACATCGGCGCCGTTGCTGAGCAGAAGGCTCGCGATGTGTATTCTCCCAGAGCGCACAGCCTCAGACAGTGGCCACCCGCTCCGTACATCCATATCCGTTGCAGGACCAAGAAATGTGGAGAAAAGGTCTGCATCCGCGACCTTTCCCGCTGCAGCAGCGAGACATGAAGGTGTGATGCGGGGACCGCGCCCGACTAAGAACTCAATGACCTTGGTGTGGTCCTGCTCAACTGCGTGTTCAAGTGGTGAAATCTCACCAACCGATAGATCAATATCCGCCCGGTAGGACAACAGTAGCTCGATCAAGTCAAGAGCGGGGTGGTCCTGTGTACCAATACTGGCGAGGTACTGCAGTGGTGTTTGTGGCCCAGATGCCACCGTGTCGATAGGTACATTTGGGTCAACGCCGGCTTCGAGCATCATCTTGACTATATCTCTGTCCAAAATCCGGAGAGCACTTGCAAAGGCCTGCTCGGCTATGGCCCCGGCTGTCGGCTCCTGGGTAGACAGCAAGATCCGAATTTGAGCCACGCTGTCCCAACCAGATGCTCGAAGGAGGTCAACGACGCGTGCATCGTGAATCTCCATGCTGGCAAACGTTTTTCCCTTGGCTTCGTGGGAGACTAGATTGTTGGAGAGGAGGAACATATCCACCGCCAAACTATCAAGCGCCGATTGCCTCCCCTCGCTGAACCGTTCAGCCAGCGCCTGGTGATGGTCCTCGTACTCCTCCGGCATCAATATTGTCAGCGCGGCGGCGGTTCGCGATGTACTGGTTCGGACGGGAGGGTGGGAAAGGCGGCGCCATGGCACAATGGAGGTTAGATGGGCTAGAAGACGTCTGTTCAGAGTGTGCGATTGCGTAGTGCTGTCTCGAGGGGAGAGTACAGGTAACCCTCTTGCCGATGAAAGATCTGCAAATCACGGAACGGGTCAGCCAGCTCTCAAGACCCGCGCGAGCAGCGTTATACGCAACTCACCCCCGGCTTGCCCCGGTCGCAGAAGGTTTGTGAAGCGCAGCCACGGGAGGGATACGTTCCAAGTAAGGTGCATTCCCGCGGATGCTGGGGTGCAGACGAGGATTCTTTCTGGCGTATCCGGGGAAGGAGCTGATGGCCCAACCCGCGCCCGGTCTTATTAGCCACATCCTGGAAAAGTGAATCAAAGAAGACAGCTACATGCCCCATTGCCCGATCGTCGAGACATACGCTTTGGCGCACAGGGCCTTCTTCAGTTTCCTTGGCGCATACTCCTCGCGGTCTATGTAAACCTCGCTCGCCTTGTTGAACACCTTCCTTCGTTTGTGGGTGCGCCGCCCGATGAAGTTCCCGTCGGATGGCGTGAGCCTCTGATATTTTTGCCACCCCCATTGGTAGAGACGGTTCTCGTATTGTGCTTTCCTAACTCGCTGTGAGGTCCCTTCCCGATCATGACAGCGATGAAAGTCTGCTTACGATCTCCTGAAATCGTACGTGGATGCCATATGGTGGATTACCTGGCTCAGGCTTCGGTTCTGCTGAAGATACAGCTGTTGGAGCTCCAACTTGTGTGCTTCCCACGTCGGGTCGTCCATCTGTGCGGTTGTTGGATGATGGAACTCGCCAGGCCCCATCTTGTGGGAAAGTTCGCCCAGGAGCTAAAGGGTTCAAAGTCAGGCGCGAGGCTCACCGACCCATATTTGAGCGAACCGCTCATGTGTTCGCAATTGCACAACCCTGACACTTGGTTCCCCCACGCACTTCGGCCAGCCTTTCGTGTAACCTATTCATTGGTTTGTAGCCGCCCATTGGCAGATTCACAATCTTGCTCCACCAGGGCAGTCCGTCACGGTGCGTCTGACATGACCATTGGTTGATTCTCGTTTCCTCGCTCCCAGAGAGATTGACCTCCCCCCCAGGCAAGTATTTCCGCGCTGGGACGCTTTTTGACTGGCCAATTCCCAAATCGTGACAGGACTTGACCTTCTTTCCAGCATGCTGATCGCCAACTGGTCTGCGGGTCTCTGCGGTGGATGACAGATGGCCCACCACTCCGATTATAACGATCCATTTAGACGATAAATAGTGGTGATGTTTCTCCCGGCCGGTATTCCTCTGTTATAAAATCATATCGCCCTCGGCTAACCGGCTGATGAATGGCTCTTGCAACTGATCTTCCATCGCAATGGAGCGGTCAACCTGGCCAGGGCAGTCGCACGATGATGATGTCCCAGATCATTACACACTCCCACATCTCTATACGCCACACAATATTTGGTCCTACTACGATCCCGATCTAATATCCCAAGATGGAGAATCAACATCCGCGCGAGCCAATATCTTAGTCCCACCAACGTTTCCGGATCTCTTACCCGCTATACATGACCGCGTGATTTGAGCTCCATGGGAGAGGAACCACTCAATTGTGTCAGTATCACTGCAACGCACAGCCTCTTCGAGAGGTGAGGTTCGATGGCCCGACTTGTCAATATCTGCTCCGTGGGAGTGAAGAAGGTTAAGGAGGCCTATTGGGTCAGTAGCACGCCTATCCCAAAGATGTCCTGCCAGGAACCCCAACGGTGTACTGGGTTCACTGCAGTCGCCGCGGATCAGACAGTCGGGGCTCATGCCAGCGTCAAGTAGCATGCTCACAATATCTATATCAAACTCCCGCAATGCGCTTCCGAAGAGCTGTTCCATGATCGCTCCAGCCGTTGGCTCCTTACTTGATAGCAACTCTTGAAGTTTGGTCCGACTATCCCAACCGGAGGCTCGGAGCATTTTCAACACACGCTGGTCGTGTGACTTTCGGTCTCCTGTCGGGAAGTTGTTCGATAACAAGAACATGGTTATACTGAAGGTATCCAGGGTGGTTTGTTTGTACCCGCAGATTCTCGCAGCTAGTGCATAGTGCTGACCCTCCTGCGCTTCTGGTAAGAGAATTCTCAGAACTGTGTCGATGCGCGAGGCGCTGTTAATGCCTTCCGCGAGGGAGAGGCGGGACCAAGGCACGACATCCTTCAGCCACTTCAGTAGCTCCGGGATCACCGTGTACGAGTCAGCGTTGTGGCTTTGTGGGGAGGTGACGGCGAGTCTCGCGGCCGGCGAAGGTAGATCTGGTCATAAGACGATAAAAGTTAGCTGAAGCCAATTTCCTGTGCCTGAACAAGAGGTTCAATTACCTTCAATTGATCCAGGTTGCAATAGCCTCGCGAACCGTAGCCAGGGAAGCGAATTGTTCCAGTGGATATTCATCCCAGGTGATACGGGGGTGCAGACAACGATTCCGTCTGGGGTTCGTGGGGAAGGAGTTGGGTTATCGCGAGATTAGCGGATCTTCGTGCTGTAGACCTGGTTACATGGCACCTACCAGAATTGATATCAACTGCGGCGGACGCCGTCAGGTAGGCTTTGCGGTATCGCGCTCTTTTGACCTTTTTAGTGGGATACTCGACGCCGTTGATGTACACCTCGCTTTCTTTGCCGAACATTTGCCGTCGTTTGTTGACACGTCTGTCAATGAACTTGCTATTTGATGAGGACACTGTCTGGTACTTCTGAAATTTCCAGCGGGAAAAGTACTTCGTGTACTGCCCTTTGCTGTTCCACAATCAGGATTATTGGACTCCGATCGCTGCTGAGTGGGAATTGGAGGTTACCTTGCTTGAAAGCCGTGTTCTGTCGACATAAAGTCCATGACTTCCGGCAGTTTCATGTTCTGTTGGATGTACAGCTGTTGAAGTTCTGGCTTGTATGATTCCCAGATAGAGTCGTCCATGGCGGCGGTGTGCTGACCGAGTTGGTGATCAGAGGAGAGAAAACCCCCCCCTGGGGAAGGCTGCCGACTTTAAGACTGATGGTCGAGGCTGCGCAGCTATGCATTGTTTGCCGCAGGCTTCGAGAAGGGCTCTCACCACTGGGATTCGGTGTGTAACTTGAGCCTAAGACTGCAACCTTTGGCGTTCGAGCCCACCGTTGGCCGCCGTTGATTGGCATATTACCAAATTCTGGTCCCACCCTGACGCCCCTCAGCCCGGTTTCATTTGACGGACGATCTGACTGGGAATGGCTGGTTGGAGTTGACAGTAATAGTTGAGGGTAATAATCCAGAGGGAGTGGGGAAGACAAGGAAGGTGATCTGTTGCGCACGCAAGGCTAAAGGAGCCTTAGGCTGTCGGACCCACTTGCTCGCAGCCCAATGAGGTACGAGGTCAGGTTTCCGTGGAAAATTTCCACGGTTTGCCAAGTCGCCCAGCTGCGGAGCTGGTGCCCTGCAGTTTCTGGATGATTGGTCAATTACCGAATTTCGACTCCACTCATATGTGCAGGTTTGTCCCTGCTGCATGGATACTTTAGGATTAACCGACCCCTACGGTAACCTTCGGTGGTCGCGCTAAACAGCTCCTCCGATAAAATCTACGTCCAATCCAAGAAAGAGAAGTCGCGCGGATGATTTTCGTCAGATCAGAATAGTTTGGGATGGCCGGCTCGACGAGGATATTCGACCTTGACACAGGCACCCAGTGTTTGTCCCAACTGCATCCGACTATAAGAACACCAGGATGGTCGCCTGTCCGGTTGCTCTATTCTTTCGCTCATCAGATTGGTTTTCATCCGTTCAACTTTGCTATTTCCTGTTATCATGAAGTCGTCCCTCTACCTACAAGCGCCGTCGGACGCAATGCAGCAGCCAATCAGCACGTCGCAGTCGGTTCTGAACCATACTGAGGACCAACGCAATTCACACCCCTATATTTCCGAGGCCTCACTTCATCCTACGGCAAACTCGCAGCTACCTAGCACTTTCTGTGGTTCAGGAGTTACCACTCTTGTCAAACCAGGACACAGAGCTACTCCCAGATTTTCGGCTGGTTCCTGGAGACAGACCTGATCCAGCGGCTTGGTCCAGTATGCGAGCGGTCGAGCAGAACGATTCTACGACTTTGCTAGGGCAGCCTCTAGTGAACGAACCATGGAGGAGCACCAGGCTTCCCGACTCCTCAACCGATCGGCGCGATCACATCCCCGCCAAAGGGGCGTCCGGCTATCATTTCGCTCACCCTCCCGAGCTATCGCTGCAGGAACGTGGGGAACGAATTTCACACTGGCTCCCTAATTCCCCGCCAGCTGGCCAATCCCTGGTGTAAGGACCCGCCATCTTTTCACCCCCCCTGCTATCGCTGGAATTGCGTTTCTAACAATGCTTCGTGCAGTTATCCATCCATCGAGGATCCATCCGATTTCGAACGCACACTTCGGTGCGAATGGGCTGGCTGCCGTAGTGTCACCGTCTTTCGTCGCGAAAGCGACTTGATGCGCCACATAAAGACGATTCATGTCTCTCCCAAGGCGCATCGCTGCACCCAACTGAACTGTGCCATGGCGTTTGGTAGGAGAGATCACCTCAAGGCTCACCAGAAAACTCATCACGGCTGGTGATCTGACGGGCGCGTCCCCCCAATGTTTGCTTTTTCGTCATTACCCTTTTTGGTCATCGTGTCCAGCGTTGTCTTGAGCTAGTTTGGCTTCCAGCCTCACCGCCGTCCGAGGTTTCTTTGCTCCTTGCTTGGCTTTGACGCTTTTTTTTTTATTTTTTTTTATGTGGTGGCGTCGGATATGGCAAGTGAATTGGGGCCTGTCACAGAGTTTGACCTGGGCAGTATGTGGCGTTGGTGGATGTCATAGGATTGAGCCTGTCTGTTAGGATTCGGTCCTCCAGTCACTCTCTCCTTCTCAAGCAGTCTTATGTAAACAAAATTTTCCCTTCTCCCTTCCGCATGACTCTGAAGGAGTTGCCCTTTCCTCTAGGATTCTCCGGCTCGTGTCTCGTGACCATCGCTCTTTACATACAAGCGATGCGCACGGTCATCTTGAATCGTCCAATCGAGTCATACCCTTTTATTCCATATCCCTCGTCCTGGCTTTGTATGGGGCTCTAAAGATATAAATACGCTTGGTATTGCGAAGCTAATGGAAGACCGAGCGGAATAATCGTTGCGTGGCACGCTACGGCCGCTGACACCTCAGGCACCCACCCCGACAGGTTCTTTGCCTGTTCGAAACAAAACGAACGACAGATCCTTACATTACTTAGTTGAGCGGGACTGGCACGTCTCGATGGAGAACCGTCGCGGGTAGTGCGTACAACGTCCCAGACTCTCGGTTGCGCTTCGGCTGTTATTTTTAGGTACAGATCTGGCCGACTGACTGCACGTGCCAGGCTCGGCTCGGCCCACCCGCGGTCCTCCGCTTCGGAAAGGGTCGCGAACTTCCATGCCGTGTCGCGTCTTGACTCGCGGTCGGACCGGGGATGGCAGTGTGGAGGAGACGGATATCTGTTTATACGCCGTGGGAGGATAGTTACAGGCACACGATGTGCATGACTACTACGCCTTTCAATCCGAACGTGAAGATCTATCTTGTGGTCGACGTACCGGAAATATATATCCGCCGACAATTACCCCGAGAGCGATCCGCAGTAGCCACCTCTCGCCATGATGGTAATCCGGCCTGTGACAGCCTTGGACTATGTCACGGGATCGTTGAGGAGAGAATGGTTCTTCCAAAGCCCAGATCTTGTATTACTCCAAGCCCACTAGGTCCTTTTGCTAGGCTGGATCTCAAATTCAGACTTTTTGGAGAAAGCTATAGTTATAAACGTCTGGTGGTGAAGACACTGATTACCGCAAACCAAAATTCAACCCTAGCACTAGCCCAAGGACAATCAGACCGCAGCATCCACCCAAAAACCCTACATTAATGTCCTCTTGACCCTCCTGTCATTCGCAGCTCTCGCCCTTCTTGACAATGGCAGATTCTCCAGCATAGCCGCCGATGTCATCATCCGAAGCGCAAGATAGCAGCAAAGCCTCGCGAGGTTCAGCTGCACATATCGCGCAAAGCACTCGTCCGTCAGCGACTAAATCTGAGCCATCTTGTGTGATTCATCGCAGACGCTCCAGATACGCCGCTTCACTGGCTCCATATGTTTGGTCATTGTTGCTCGGATGTCGACCTGGGTGGGCTCTACGCCGCGGAAGCGCGCATGAGCTTGTGGAGGGCGTTGGCGAGCGACGCGATGGAATTGGTGCAGAGGGTTGCGCCTTGGCGAGGTTTGGCTTGACCCACCAGTCGCTTCTGACGATAAGTGGATGAGGACGGGCGCTTACCTTGGGCATAGTAAGTGGAATACAGACAGTTCTCCTAAAACTCTGCCGCTCCAAGAGTCCCTCATGCGCCTGTGCCGATGTAACAGACGGTGTATTCTGCCATATATCCCGAAACGGCATTGGCGCCTAGGTCTCATACTCTGTAACTTCGTCCAACTTTGCTTCGATCTCCTTGTCCGTTCCATTTGGGAATATAGGTATGCAGATGCCTCTTATCATTCTTCACAATGACAAACCAATAAACCGCCATAGTTTGGTTTAGGCTAGACATGAAGAAGACACCGCGGAACGAGCTGCTATATAGCTGGCGCAGGTCAAGACTCGAGCGGGGGAGCCGTCGGGAGTGCGATCAGTGATGCCGAGGAGGCGGTAGTAGTCCGCGGACGTGGAGGATCTGTCGGACTTTGGGACCAGACTGGGGTGTTAGGGGAAACTATTTTTGTTATGTCACAATCACACAGAGCCATCGACATCGCTTTGCTAGTTAGGAGAGTTTTTGATCTTTCGTATCCCTTTCGAACGGACCCGCCGAAACCCCCGGCTGAAGCTTCATCTGTTGCCCATCGTCACATTTCGCCTGGCCTCGCTCCCCCAAGGAGGTAATACTTCCATAGGCCACCCAGCTAGAGTTGGGCCAGACGAGCATTGACAACTCACTAACCAACTAGGGCACGATAATCAGATAGGAAGTTCATTTCCAGGGCGCGTGGCTTTCTCCAGATGTCCGCCGGCCTGCAAGTAGACATTGACCAGTTCTCGTTTATGGAATTCCCACGACCAGCATCGAGCACTCACACGTATTTCGTTGGCAGCATGCCCGGAGTGGCCATCCAGTGTGACCAGTTGCATTGGGTGGGACAGCTTTTGAGCGAGTATTGCTCTTGAAATAGGACCTCAGCTGTCGCCGTCTTCATCATCGGAAGGGAGCGTGGGGACCCTCCGTCACAGAAAAACTGTGGTTCTCCGCATTGTTTGCATGTCATTCATTATGTTGATTGGTTGTCTGGTTGCGGTTTGACCACATGGCGAGCGAGTCGATCAGGCTCACGACTGCACGTCCAGGAGCTCACTTGTTGTCGCACCTGAGGCTCAGAAAATATCGGCATAAGAAGGCGGAGCTCGAGAGACCAAAAGCCAATACAGTTGACAGAAAATTGGAGCGTAAGCAGTAGATAGATTTGGGTGGGGGCTCCCAGGGGAATAGTGTTGCTGATCGTCCGACTGCCAGCCGAGGACGTCTTCAGAGACGGTTTGTACACGTCCGAAAGAGGGCCTTTGGCAGGAGCTCGGCGTAGTATTGCATCCTTTATGGCGTGGACTGCCTGACAGGTTTTTGTTGATAAGTACCTGGTGATAACGGGTGGTGCCAGTGTTAGTGCTTGGTCCTTGGGGATGGTATCTTGTTAACGTCCGCTGTTGCGTTCCAACTGAAAATCTTCTACCCGTGACAGCCGTAAAGAGGAAGGAGCAGAATTGAGAGATGGTGAGGTTGGGTGGAAAACACTAGAAGAAAGACTCCGTCACTTGGGCGAAGGGCTCAGGCGCCGCTTGCTGACTCTCCTCGTCGATGCCAGGGGTCGCTCGATGGGTCAACGTTGTTTGCTACCCACGGCCGATTACGAAAACGAAACACCGGAACTTGCGCCTTAAGTTTAAAGCGGAGTCACACGGCCAAACCACACCCGGGCGAATCAAATTAACCGAATTTATCCAAAAGCGACACTCGGTGAGAGTATGCGGCTCATTCGCTGTAATCAATAATGCCCGAGTCTCACTCCGTGTGACGAAAAAGATCCGGCCTGTTGGCATCCATGAGCCGCCCGCTCAGTTAAGTTGCGGGTCAGTCTGACCTGTTGGCGGCCCAGATAGGTTAGTCAGCGCCTAGCTAGGTCTAGTCAGTGGTCACGTGGCTCATCTTTGTTTTCACCTCTGCCTCCATTCCATAGTTAGGAATGACACCAGGGTTCTAGCGCCTTTTTCGTGCTTACTATGACCCCAGGATTCCGGGAGGATTGTCGACGCCTTGGAGGATGTGGCATGTGGGGGACACAACTATTCCCCTTTCGGCATTGTCCGTTGTTGAGCGTTTCGGATCCTTCTCCCCTTTTCTCGATAATACATGCCACTCGTAGGTGATCCGATGATTGAGCAATCGAGCATGCGTGGCTTGGCGATTTGAGCCCATTGAGGACGCAGGGCTATTCCCCTTCATCCTTCAAGATGCTCAGTGTATAAAGATGTCTGACCCTCGTAAGAAATCCTGCTTTGTCTCGCAGCATTCTCTCAACCGCCTTCCGTTTTAACAGTATCCAACTGAGTATAGCGAAAATATCGTCAACGATGGAACAACAAGGCCGGTTACCACAAACCACAGTCGGTCACTATCTGCCAACCGCAAGCGCGTACGAGCTATACACATCAACTCCGCATATAGAAATCGCCACAACCCTACAACCCCGCCGGCCACTGTCCTGGCACAATCAGCCTGGTGGGGATCCCGGCTTTCCATTTTGGGTACCTGGCGCCGAGGCCGGGGGTGCGATTGTACCCTGGAGCCCCCACGAAGGTCCCGGGACTGGAGCCACGGAGCAGCCCACCCAAGGCGCGCAGTCGATGCCAGGAGAACCTCGAGTCCTGGTCAGCGACTTTGGCCCTGTGGATGGCAGTCTCCCGCGTATGGCTGAACGCGCTCTGCAGGAACCCGGCCACTTACGCGTGGTCGTGTCTTCCGGCCTCGCCCAGGGAACCACCCAAACCGCCGTTGATGAAACTCTCATTGGATCATCAAGGTATGATTATTTCCTTGTCGTAGCAGGTCTTGATTCTGCTGTTCCACACCCCTTCCAATCCATGCACGACGTAGCTAACTCGAGCAGCGCGCCAACTCATCCTACCCAGCCGACCACTCCTTCACTGCAATGTAGATGGCAGGACTGCACCAGTTCAGCGACTTTCCGCCGCGAGGCTGATCTTCTCCGCCTCGTGAAAACAGTCCACGTTTCGCGGGACGCATACCGCTGCCCGGAATCGCACTGCGACCGGACCTTTGGTCGGAGAGACCACCTGCGAGCGCACAGAAGGAATCGGCATGCCGAAGGAGGAGATAGATGATTCTTTCCCGGTTTTCTTTTTATCTTTTACTCTTATCCTGTATCTAGTAAGACATTTAATTAGCTATATGCATCCGTTTCTCGCCGCCCGGCCCCGACCCATTCCTCTTCCCCGGACTAGGTTGCCAGCCTTGTGCTATACGGAGTACATCCTTCATGGTCATGACATATATATCTTACATATATTAATGCATTGTAGTTACCCAAATACCCGGGATATGATAGAACCAGACACTAATAAAAACGTGGCTGCCGATGTGCACAGCTGTACACCTTGTGCGAGCCACCATGTACCGTCTAGGTGATACGCCGAGAATAGCGGTCCCTCACCACCTCCTGCAGCCACATCGGCAGCCCGCGCACCATCGAACCAATTCCCAGCCACCGTGGAATCACAACCTGGCCTCCATTTCCTCGCACCAGTTGCTTTACTACGGCAACGGATACATCCTTAGCAGACAGCATGCCATTCCTCGTTTGCGCAGAGCCGGTCAGAAGGTCGTTGATCAGGGGCGTCTGCACCCACATCGGGTGGATGACGCTAGTGAGCCCTGGTTAGTTATATCTTATATGAAGTGATCCCGTGAACCCATCCAAGAGTTACGTTACGGCCAGAGATTCATACCTAGTGCGTACTCGCTTCGAGCCATACGAGTGTCGTATCTCCTGCGTCAAACTTTCGTGGAACGCTAGAGCCGCTGCTTTAGAGCACGCGTAATCAGCCATGCCATCTAGGCCAACAAAGCTAGCCATGCTCGCTATGGTGACAATATGTCCATGGTCGTTCTTTATCATTGCGGGCAGGAACTCCTTCACCAACCAGAAGTGGGACAGCGTGTTGACCTCTATCGTTCGTCGAATGTTGGATTCTGGTTCTTCCGTAATGTTTCCCATATACCCCACGCCAGCATTATTTATTAACACAGTTGGCTCGCCGTGCTCTTGGCGGGTCCGAGTAGCTGCCTCATGGACCGCAGTTGAGGAGGTAATATCGACGTTGTAGAAGAAGACATTCGGTGCTGTGGGAAGATATTTCTTAGCTAGGGCCTCTTACACTCCTTGTTCTGGGCTCCATCACTCACGCAAGGGAATGTCCAGCTCTTGGACATCAAAGATAATGATTTTCACACCCAATTTCACTAAATCAAGCACGATCTGTTTTCCAATCCCGCTGCTCCCTCCTGTAAGGAGGACCAGCTCCTTGGATGCAACCCAGGGGCGTGCTTGAATCCAATTGTTCTGCTTCGCCAGTGAGATGTACCTGTTAAATACTCTGATAAAATAAAAGGCGACGAGAAATTTCGCAAGCTTGCGCAACAACGCGACTGATGGGTGCTTCTGGGCTACCAGCTGGGGTGGCCACCATGTCTTCAAAGACAAAAAGTTTACGCCGTTGATGGCCGACATGGTGTCAGGTATATGTTAGGCCTGAGTGGAATTTTCAGTCCGCTAGGCTGCTGGCCCTTGAGCCCTTTTATAGTTATCATATAATGATTTCTGACTATATTTATGTTGGGTTGTAATTATTTCTGGCGAATTGTGTAATCATTCCTTAGCGCAATTGCTGCTTAGCGTAAGCATTTATCGCACCCCCAACATCGGGTAATTCTCCGCGCCCCTTATGCACTGGTCCCGTCTGGCCTAGATCCAGAAAGGTAATCATCACGCCGTTACACTGCGGCGATTGGTCGGTAAATTAAGCTGAACCCACTTTTTGCTGGTCTCAAGACGCTGTAGGGCTGAGTAATGATGGCCTCCGCCGCGACAGAGTTTATGCCTTCTTAGCGAGCTGGTTAACGTGCCCTTTAAATGATTCATTCAGATTTCCATATATCAACAAAAATTGATGAACATTGATGGTCTGGAAAAACTCAGCCATAAACGAACTCCTCGAGCTCTTTAAATGCCCTCTCAAGATCATCATTAACAATGATCTTGTCATAAACACCTTCAGTATCCGCATACTCAATTTCAGCCTTTGCTTGCGCTAGTCTTTTTTGAATGTCCTCATCTTTCTCAGTGCCACGTCCTCGAAGACGCTGCTCGAGAGTCTCGAAGCTTGGCGGTTTGATGAAGACATACCGTGCGTCAATGCTTGGGTTGGCCTTCATCTGTTTGACGCCCTGCATTTCAATATCTAGCACAACAACTAGTCCCTTGGCCATTTCGTCCATAATTGTTTGTTTGCTCGTGCCATACTGGTTCCCGCTGAACGTAGCATGTTCAACAAAGGCCTCTTGGGAGATGAGGTTATCAAATGTGGAGGGAGTGACGAAGAAGTAATCTCTTCCTTCAACTTCACCAATTCGGGGTTTGCGAGTTGTGTGAGACACGGTAAATGCGAACGTGTTGGGATGTTCATCAAAAAGCTTCTTGATAAGTGTTCCTTTACCGACGCCAGACGGTCCAGAAATGACGATAGGTCTGCGATCACGAGGAGGTGCTGCGGAAGGTTAGGCGCCAGCTCGATATCCGATAGTTAAAGGTAGGACATACTGGGAACCATGTTTTGAGACAAACTAGTCCTCAATTGAAACTAAGTCTTCACAAGATTTGGGCACGCTGCAGGGAAGTGGTCAGGTTAGGACTGTGGACAGGGATGCCAAGCCTGTCTCTTTAAATGGTTCACCCATCCCTTGGCAGATATAATCACGCTGATTGGCTAAGAGGTGGAATGTCAGCCAACATCATGACTTCTTTTAATGTGTGGTTCCAGTGTCCTGTACTATGGCATACTTTCAAATGGACATCAGTTTCAATAACATCTGGCCTATCTTTGAAATTGCTCCTGACTATGTTTTCTGTTGGCACAAACTGCCACTAGGTTCATGGAGACTTACCCTATCAGATACAGAATAGAACCCTTGTAGATAAAAAGAATTGTTATTTTCACGGGCCTTACTTCTGTACGAGACAATTCACCTTGGATTCCCTCAGGACATTACCCAGACTTTAATTCCAGCCATCAAACCTGCGAGTGAATCAACGGACAGAATTCCGCCAAGCACTATCGGACCCGGAATGTCCATATCTACGGCTCGAACCTTAACGTGCTCCACTCGTCATCTTACATAGAATGCGCCATAACCTGGGAGCGTCAGCCCACCATGTATTATCTGTGTCGCAGTGAGATAATAACTCTGAACGTCTGAAAGCGGATATTGTATCCTGCAATCGGCAACTGAGAGCAAGGATGGCGATTGTTCATGTTCTAAATTCACACACTCTATCCATTCCCTATGACGTAAGGACTCTATGCAGCCAGTGTAATGGCTGAAGCTTTTTTTTTTTTTTTTTTTTTTTTTTTGTCGCCACTAACATTAGTTTTTAAGCTCCAAGGAGACGTTTCAAGACTACTGTCCGGACTAATCCTTTATTAAAGTCTTGCGGGGTATTTTCACCGGAGGTAGCATGACATACCTGTTCCAGGAGATGGTCCTCATGCCGCATCCGATTTCTCCTGCAGTTTGCGTGTGTACAATCCTTTATCGGGTTTCTGGCTTTAGTTATTATTATCACCCTAATTGTCCGTCGATACATACCTTGGATGTGATTTGAATCAGGATCATACAACCAGCCACTGCTATTGCGAAGAACAGAGCTTGGCTTTACCAGGCCCTAAAAACCTCGCAGGCCTGGATAGACACGAAAGTAATATATGCCCTCGCGAGCCCTCTGGGGAATGAAGAAATCTGGGCCTAGTCCATAAAGTCTCCTGACCGAGATCAACCTTGGCAGATTCCCATGAAGAGCGAATTACCTGGAACATAGCAGTCATTGATATATTAGTATGATCTCATTCAAGTCTGAGGCCCAGTTTGAATGGCAGATCTCAAGCGCCATGATCCTTGGCTTACATGCCTCGAGTATAGCGACCACAGGGACATAACGTCACCATAGCTCCTACCTGTTTGGCGGACAAGGTTAAAATCCGCATGCCAGTACCTATTCTCCCACAAAGTATGTTACCTACCAGTGAAGAAATATGCACTGCAAGTAAGGACGATGGCTGATTTACCTGACGGCACAAAACCAAAATGTTCCTTCATACGTGTCTCATATGACCGAAACAAAATTCCTACGATCCCAGATCTGTGTCTGGGAGAGGCGCACAATGATTTCCACCACGTCCAAAACTGCCTTTGCAAATACAACTACCTGAAGGAAGATTCTTCTTTCACACCCGACGAGCTCGACGAGACCACAAAATCTGCCCTTGAGAAGTTTCAAAGCCGCTTCGACATCCCACAGAGCGGTGCGCTTGACCAGCAAACCAAAGAAGCCATGGCGCAGCCTCGTTGTGCCATGCCAGATCTCCTACCGGGATCTCTTGATTCCAGCGTCTCGGGCCCCTGGGACCACGTCGAGCTGAAGTATGCGCTGGGCAAGCTGTCACGATCAGTCAGGCGGTCCGTTTGCGAGGAGGCCATTGACCGGGCTCTAGCCACATGGAGTAATACCGGAGTCGGTCTGAAATTTGAAAAGGTCTCTAAATTCGACGACCACGATATTTTTATTGAATGGCGACAAGCAGATGACCCTGACCACAGTATGGAGGGATCCACCCTTGCTCACGCGGACTTTCCACCGGGGTTTTCTCTCATTGCTGACATGCCTCCTCTACCTCTCCATTTCGATGATGAAGAGCACTTGTGGACTGACGGCGCTGTTAAGAATGGGTTCGATATTGAGACCACCTGTTTGCATGAGATAGGGCACTGCCTTGGACTCTATCACTCCACCGTGCGAGAGAGTATCATGTTTCCAACCGTTTCACCGAATATGACATCGCGGACCTTGGCGAACGACGATTTGGAAGGTATCAGGGATTTATATGGCAGTGGTATGTCTCATTCATCGCGTGCTCTTTCTTATCCCTTTGCTTGCAAATATGATCTCTAATTCAACGATCTAGCTGCCATTCCATCCACGCGATCTGAACTTAAGTAGTCTAAACGCATCTCGCAGAACACATCTTGTTCCAACTAACCATATCGTCAACTTGAAAATAATCGCAATATTGCGGAGTTGCGGCGGTAACCTGGTTATCGCTCTGTTGTTAGGATCTCTAATAGCGTGCTTTGCCTAACTGGGAGGCTAAGGCTCAAAAGTTCATGCTGCTTAGGCCCGGATATGGTGAATTTTGTAATTCTTTCAGAGAAACGCCGGGCACTGCTAGTCCAACTCTAATCTGGCCACTCGTACTTGTGCTTAATATCACTATTATTAACACATTCTACAATCTTCTGTGGTCGGGTACGCGAAAGCTTCCTCCCGTATATGTAGACCCCAAACCTTCATCATCAACACCATAGTTCACATGCTACCAGTGCTATGTGCAATCTAGACCTTGACCAAGTACAAACTTTCTCGGGGCGCTTTTGCCGCAGGCACCGTGGGAGCGCTGGTGGCCAGAGACCCCGTGCCTTGCTTCTTACTCTCGGCGTTTGAATCATCCTGCGCGGTGAAGTGACTACATTGGGTTGCGGCATACCCACTTGGACATTGCACATCCATCAATGGTACTATAGGAGTCAACGGACGCAGCTGCTGTTGTGCCTACATAAATGCTTGGCGCAATGGCCCCCATTCTCGACGGGATGGAGGAAATGGCGCCTCCTGGCACTTTGAACTAAGAGCGCCACTTTGAACTAGGAGCGCCACTTTGAACTAGGTACATAGAATCAAACCCTCCGAAATCCGACGGTGGCGGTTATAGCAGGATAGGTACACTGTAATCTTATTGCTCCGGAGCCCGTTGTCGCCAATCAGAGGCGGAGGTGCTCCGCGTTTGTGGAGGGGCGATGAGCGAATCACAGCCTTCATAGTTAAAGGGCAAAAGCCCATTGCCTAGGTGACCACGCTTACAAATATATACTGGGAACTGCACTCCCCTGCTAGACTATAGTGTTTATCCACTTCTGCACGAGCAGCATCTTCAGGGTATGGCGGGTTGATAACCCTAACTCCCAAGTCCATTTGCCTCCCCCGCCAATGCCCCGTACTATCCGTCGGGTGGCGAATTGCGGCTCCTTTAAGCTGATTAGAGGGCTAGCATTGGCCGCTTACTCTGGAGTAGAGTCGATCATTTTCTGATTTTTGATCATTTGGCTTGATGACTAGAGCGCACAAGTCAACTTGTCACTAGTACAGTCCGTGGCAGCGATGGCAAAGGAGCCTGTGGAGAAGGATTATAAGAAAACTTTGCTGTCACATTCCTATTACATTTTCTTGCCAAGTACTTGGATACGAAGTCCAAGATCACTCAAGGCTTGACACGACACCCATAGCCTCATGCATAGCCTATTAATTAGCAATTGTGAACTCCTGGCAAAGACAGGGATTTGCTAGTCGCTAACTAGCTTAGTGCGATCCTCTCTTACCTGTGCTCCTCAAAAAGGAAGGCCAAGCATGTCACTGACAATTGGTGGTGGCGAAATCCTTGGCCTGAGGATCAGGGCTTGCTCGGGTAACCGCAGTTCCGCTTCCGGATGGGTAGGAACAGCGTCAGTACTACAGGACCTCAGTTGTTTCACGGCCAGGACTATATATTATGATACCATGTCCTGTTCCTGCCACCTTTCACTTGATGTACATTTTTACTACGCTCGGAGAATACCTAAAGCTGCTCATGGCCTCTTCCCTACTGCCTGCGGGTGACATGCACCACCATTTCCAGCATCATTTCCCGTTCAATCACAACCCATCCCTAGATAATCTCAATCCCGAATCTCTACTTTCCTTCCCGAGTGCTTGCAACCCCTCCATGACTTTCGAGCCCGACACCTACCTTAGCGGCACAACCCCAATCCTGTCTCATACGACCGCCGATCAGTTTACCCTCGGACAACCGATGAAGCTACAAGATACGCCCCAGCAAATGCTACACCCTGAATGGCTCTTCACGACCAATACACCAATCATACTCCCTGGTGACAAGCAGAGGACCACCACGGAGTGCCACGTCCACAAACCCCCCTCCTCAGCGCGCCGCAGTCCGGCATCGTTCAAATGCAAATGGGAAGGATGCAGAAGCTCAACAGTCTTCCGTCGCGTGGGCGATCTGATCCGCCATCTACGAACTATCCACATACTACCGACTGCATATCAGTGTCCTGCAAAGAGTTGTGGCAAGGCGTTTGGGCGGAAGGACCATTTGAAGGAACATATGAAGGGCTGCAAGTGTGAGGTGGAGGAGGCATAGTATAGTCTTTATAGTTTCCTCCGGTGTTTTTGTTGTTCCTGAGACGTTATAGACGCGAATCCCTATTGATCTACTTGTTTCGCTTGCTCGCGTAGCCTGGCTTCATGCTTTATCGGCATCGTAGGCATAACGAAGAACCCATTATATCCTGTACTCTTTAGAGGATTTTCTACTCCATAGTTCTTGATACGTTAGGTAGCATCTAGTCCTGAGCGTAAATAGCATCATGTAAAGAGGAGGAAACCAGCGACAGCTAATAATGCATTCTCATAATGTCACGAACAACCCGTGCATCGAGAGCCATACGTGAGCCATTGTAGCGACTCGCCAGATAAAGCTGTAACAATCGAAGAGAAGGGCCGCAACCGACCTAGAATTGGAAATCAAGCTGATCAACTAGGTGGATGATGGTTCGGTCTTCAAGGCCAACGGAGAACCAACCATCCAGCGGATTCCATTTCCTGGCAAACACGATGCATTTGGCGAAGGAGGATTGTAGACAAGGCGGATCCACCAGGAGACTTAGCTAATCACCTCCTAACAGGAAAGTATGCATAGGCTGACAAGGTGCCCCGATGATCTATGTCTTGGCGTAAGGCTCATCCTGCGAAGGGAGTTCTAGCTGAAGTAATCAGAACATAACGTTATGGATTGCTATTCGTAACATTTCCGGATACCCCATTAATGCAAGATAGTACCACAGTCAAGGCACCCAGTTCGCCGAGCGTTCTATTTCTTGATACACCGGGGTCCTAGACAAGGAACCAGGAACATAAACATTAATCTGGCTTTAAAAAACGTTCTTCAAAGCCCGCAGACGCAGAATTCTAGCCCAGATAATATGCCTAAGCTCCGACACGGAGATACTGGTCGCAAGGGCACCGGGGGGCGAGGATGCAGACACGCAGGTCAAAACTAAGCCCGCAACTTATGGACAGATCCAGCCTTCCTCCTGATGCGGTAATTGAACCAGCATACTCGGAGGCGACGGGACAGCGTTGAGCGATATGATGGCATTCGAAGGTTGCCTGTAAGGCGGAATTCATCTTATATTGGCTGCGAATCTTTCTAGTCTTTCAAGTGCTATTGGAATCCCTGTGGTGCTGGATATCATGGTCCTTGGGAGCCTTGTCATCCATCCAAATAGGAAAAGTGGGATATTTTCGTAGTATTACTTGCTGACTGGTCATATTAAAACATTGCTTGTGTTGTATCTACCAGTCGTTGGCCAGGGTGAGGAACGTAGCCTTGCAATGGTGGACTGTCACGGGCGTGTCGTAAAGGTGTTGGCGCGCAGTCTTGTCAGATCGTCAATGGCCTTGCACACAACAGATCCGCGCTCCACTGCAAAAGTTTGAGTTTCCTGCAGTACGCCTAGCTATGTGCGACTTCAGAGCTCTCTTGTATAAATCCTAGGATGAGCAAGGTTGCTCGGCTACGCCCGCTTATATGTTGAGCAGGCGCCATAGGTTCGATCTAGTAGCCACGACCAAGGTCAAGGAAACCTTTTTAGGACTAGTAGTGCGAGGGAAAAGAATTCCATGAACTGTAAACCAATTGGGAAAGCGCCGTGGAGAAGACATGAATTGTACTGGGGTGTCGTGGACAGTGGCGTGGCCACTAGACGAGCTTTGGTTTCCGGGTCAGATCACCAGATGGCCGATCGGGAGGTGCTCTGGAATAATATCTCAATAATAGTGGATCACCTCTAGAGACGGGACCTCGTATTCGATGAACTCTGTGATACGGCACGATGTACGAAAAAAATTGTTCTGAGACATCGTTCCCAGAAATTATCAGCAGAGAGTAGTTCTTCACCATGCGCCCCCTTGATCGAAAGTAGCACAGAATGCAGACGATGACGCGACACAACTGCTGACCATTGTGCAAGAGCAGCAGAGTGTGCTCGGCTGTTGGTGCCTGCGTCAGGAGTGTCGTCCGGGAGGTCGAGACACAACCGATGCGTCTTCAAGGCTACCTTGCTTATTTCATTGCTGCCTGGACAGGTGCTACGTCATTCTTCTAGAACAAAAAACGAAGCGTTCGGTGTCAAGGGTCCGAGAGCCTGAGAAGCCAATAAAGTCAGGCCACGATTTTATGGCTGTGCGCGAGGCGTGGCGCATTGCTGACTGTCCTCGGGGCTCACCTTCCATCTTCATCCTCTAGATTATCTCTTCCGTTTGGTACCTTGTGATGTGTCCCTGGCAATTGTCTTTGGAAGGGTAGCTGCACCTGGCCATGAAAGCTGTCGTATCAGTTTAGCGCCTGTGCATCAAAGGGGAGGCCATGGATCAGTAGCCTCTTCAAAGCCCAAACATCGCAGGGTCTCTCCCGAATTGGCGACACGGCCTGCTTCTCGCTACGCCATTAGATCGCCTTCACTTTCATGAACACCTCGGGTTTGATTCACTGCGTACAGTGGATTTGCCCGCCAGCGAGTGCCACATCTCGCAGGCGGGATCCGAAACCCTTATTGGCTGAAGGAGCTGGGCGCTTACTTTGCACGAAAGGCTGAGGATTTTCCCCAGCGCTTAGCCGGGGATGTCCTCCCCTTTCCCTTTCCTGTCTTTTTCTTTCTCTGTCTTATTCCGACAATCTAGACCAGCCGAGCGAACAGCTCCCGTTGCTTGGCGTCGATGACGAAATTCGCCAACTCTACTTAGTACGCTACTGGGTAAAAACAGATTCCAAGGGGAGCTCACTCGATAGTCTCGAGCTAAGAGGACGTATGGCGGCTACAATTGTAGCAGATTATATCAGCTCAGGTACTGTGGTTCCTGAATCCATTGCTCGCGCTCGGCCACTTCCATGGAATTGTACATCCAGGCCCGCATTTAGCTGTCCATGACATCACTGAAACGCCAGGAGGCCAAAGCCTTACATTGCGTCTGGAAGCTTTGCCCTTTTGCGTCAGTGGCAACAGAGCTCGGTGTTCCTGCATTAGTTGGCCCCGGCATGGTCTAGATTCACAGTCGATGTCGAGCTCAGTCAAGGGCCTGAGTACGAAAAGAGTTGGTCGACACGGAAACACCAACTGCCAAATCGCATGACCAGCATGATACATAGCGAGAGAATAGTGACCTTGCGTCAATCTGTCGCGGGGTGCACGGATAAAAAGCGCGGTCTGTAATCTACTAAAGCGCCGCGGCATCCTCACATCTGGGCCTCAGCATGCCTACTCAATTGTCATCGTTTGACCATACACAGCAGAGTCTACGTGAATACTCGCACATCTTGCAAACTGAGCGCTCCTCAACTGTCTGGACTACAACGCAATGGCGTCGTTATTCAATTCTTCCCGCTCAACACTCACTGGCAACGCCGCCCCCGACTATTCGGAAAATACCTTTATTCTCCCAGACTTTCCGGTGTCACTGGACTTCCAGCCGGATCGTAACGCCGTGAATCTGCTCCCCACGCCGTACCCCGAGTCTCCTCTCAACGGTCTTGATCCCATGGATGTGGCGTTTCCTCCAAGGATCAATCTAGGAAGTGTTGGACAACCGGCGGAAGTAGGGCCCATCCACCGTCCATCCAGCTCCCTCTCGCACCTAGGCAATCCCATTATTGTGCGCCATCCATATGCACGAGAGCCCCCGACCTGGAATGCTACGTTTGCTCCGCTGGATCGCCAGGTACAAGCGGACGAACGATCCACCTCCAGAGCGACGGGCTATATGAGCGAAGTCGTCGACCAATCAATGCACAGTACACCCAGCGAACGACCCAGCATTTTCCGTGCCCCAGCCCCATTGCAAATCCCAGACAGCTTTCGATGCAAGTGGGCGGGGTGTCGAAGCTCTCGCCAGTTCCATCGGGTGGGTGACCTCATTCGTCACCTGCGAACGATACATATCTCGCCCACGGCATTCACATGCCCTGAAACTGACTGTGGAAAGTCTTTTGGAAGACGCGACCACCTATCGGAACATGTTAAACGACGTCATGGCGGCTGAGCCTTTCCTTTTGGGCGTTGGAGTTTGCTTTTGCTTTTGCTTCCGGTGGCTGTGCTCTTGTTGCTTTTTTTGACGAAGGAGGGCCCGTACTTTCTGTCTGGATGTTCGTTCCGTCTCAGATTCATTTTAGCCCTCTTCGAGCCTTGTTCTAGACCCATTCTAGCCTTCTTCTCGGGTTTCTTTTCGTCACCCCTCATATCACTACGACAGCCCTGGTTTCTTTTACTTTTTTTTTTTTTTCTGACATCATGATAAGGGGAATGTTTTCCAAACGTATTATTTCGTGTTCTTTGTTTCTGTCCTCTTTTTCGCTTAGAACGAGCGTGGTGTTTACTACAAATATTGGTCTTACTGCCTTGCTTAAACAAGCTATCGCTATGGTTGCAGCCCCTAACCTGCCAGCCCAAACTGTACCCTCCACTATCACAAACATTGTGAATACCACTCATTCACCACCGTACAAGTCCAGGGGCTCTGACAGGCCCTCGGACCCGTCCACCCATTTCCGCCACACTGCCCCCACCTCGGCGCTCCAGTGCTCGTGGCCGTAGCACTGCTGGTCGTGGTGGTCGTCGTCGTCAACGTCGTACTAGTAGTCGTAGTACTAGTAATAGGCCCTCCATCCCCACCAACAAAATAAGGCTTCAGGATCCCCAAATACTGTTGATACCCAACCCCACTCGGCGGCTCCATATTGAAGATATAATTCCCCCACCAGGGCCCCGCCGCCCACCACAACCCGCCCAGCCAAACATCACTCGCCTCGCTCAAAAACGCCAGCATATCGCCAACAGCACTCTTGCACGTCGGATTATCCCCGCCCGCAAACTCCCCCAGGATCCCCTTCTTCCCATTCTCCCTCAGCCACGCCGTCGCAGCGCTCACCCTCTCCCGGCCAATCGACGCGGAGACGCAGTTGGGCGTCGTACCCGAGCCGTCACTGTCGAGGTACTGGTGCATTTCGTAGATGATCTTCGAACCACTGGGGTCGGAGGGGTCCGTGAGCTGTTTCATGTTGTCGTTTATAGTTGTCCAGGTCCAGGCGCCTGACCAGGAGTTGCCCTCGACGAAGATGTATTGTGTTGTGGTGATTGCGCGGATGGCGTTTATGGCTGCTTGGTTTAGGTTGAGGACGTGGGTTTGGTCCATTGTGTGGTATTCATTGTCTGCATTTGTATTAGTAGCCGTGCCACCTTTTGGAGAGGTCGATGGTGGGGAACGTACTGGTGTCAAAGATCACGAGGTCGTTATCTGCGAATTCGGTTGCGAGGATCGTCCAGAATGCGGCGAAGTCGGTTGTTGAGGTTATGATGTTTCCGTAGCTGTTTATTGTCTCTTGCTTAGTATTCCTACCGTGATTATTCGGGACCAAGATGGATGTCGAGTGGTACATACTATCGCCCGTAGTTATGTGGATCCAGAACGGCATACGCCCCCAGGGCCGTGATTCCGTTGACAGTCTGTGATGTCATTTTGTATTAGCAATCCAAACCAATCCATCTGGCCATTTCATTTCCTATTCATGTATTTATCCTCGAACAGACCAAGACTCACCGTCTTCAAATCCTGCATATAAGCGTCAGCAACCGGCCCCGTAATCGAGTTCGGAACAAGTCTCTCCATGGAAAAGGCCACGCGGAAGATATTCATTCCCTCGTTCTTGAGTGTTGCGATGGTACCGAGGTCGGGCCAGATGTAGTGTGTGCCTAGTTCGCCCGGGTACGAGCCCTGGCCGAACTCGGCGCCGGCTTCGTTGGTGCCGAACCCTGCGGGATGTGTGAGTATGATGGACCTTTGATTAGGGTAAGTGTAGTGGGTGGGTAGTCAGGGTGGGGAATGCGGGAATCGTACAGACGAATTCAGAGCGAACGTGGGGTGGGTTGATGCATAGGGCTAGGAGCCCTACTATAGGGAGGGCGAGGTTCTTCATGATCGCATTCAGAGTATCGATGGAAGGGCTGGGAAGGTGTTGCTTGTCAGGATATCCATTGAATCGAGCTGAACAATTACTGTTTCACCCCTTATATATACTCTATTCCCAACTTCAATTCCCAGCCATATCCCCGAGCTAAGCCTGAGGAACGGACACCCGGACCGGCCCCCGAGCACTCTCGCACCTACATGCCAATTTGACAATGCCCAAGGTCTTGGGACACATACCGAATTTCACTTCATCACACCACCCCCACCTCACCACACCCAAGAACCGTATGATCATGCTACCAGGCATACAGCCAGGGACAGATTTTCCTCCCAAAAAGAGCACGGACCGGGAACGGCGCCGCAATGCGGAGTGCGGAGGCGGGGTACGGAGGGTCTACTTTGGCAACGGCACAACTCGGCTATAAAGCCCGTTGTGCTGCGGGGTAGACTCTGCACATGCTGTATGGAGTCGACCGGGGCATAATTAATACCTGAATAAGTTGCAATTGGGTGGGCTGGGCTAGAGTGAAATTAAATCGATGCAAGTAAGCCGTCCCTGGATATTAGCTTGGAACCGTGTGATTCTGCACGGGTCTTGGTCTGCAGAACTTGGGGGTAACTAGGCCTTGATAGTCTGGTGGCTGGACGGGGTAAGTGTCCCTTGCTGATCCGGGACTAGCCGGATCGGCGTAATTCCGGGGAAAGGTTTCTTCAGGCGGCATTTGGGTTACATCTGGTGCTGGACTTTGGCTCACTGTCCTTTGGACATGGAGGGTGTACTGTGGCCGTCTGGGATTTGATTGCTAAGAAAAGGAGACGATTCAGGGCAGGCTGGGTAGGTGACACAGTTTACGAAATATAGGTCGCTTCTGTTCCTGCATTGAAGTGTTTTGAGTTGATATCGCAGTCTAAAAGGGACGATTTTTTGGGTGATTTACAGTCTGATTATATGTGCTAAGCTGTAATAGAGTATATATTCTATGATTGGCTATGCCTGATAGATGTTGAGACTTTACTCTGTTCTAGGCCTTTCGAAACCGTCGCCCGCCTCTTTTTGTCATTTCTCCCTCGGCCCTTTTAATCATGTCGCCGCATATTGTCCTATCCTGTCTTATACCCCATCTTTTGTTCTCCCCCACCACCACTTCACTTACATGGCAAGTCTGCATTTGACTCTCTTCTACATCTGCAAATTTTGGGACTTATATACACTTTTCTCCTCGTTCTCCACGTTACACACCGCAATACCTAGAAGGAAAAATAGTGTCACGACCGCGAATGTGAACATTTCCAGTCTTTTTTTTTTTTTTTTTTTTTTTTTTTTTTTGGAAAAGTCGTACTATCGTCTTCCTCATCTATCCTGCGCCTCCCTAGCCAGCAAATCTCACCCTCACAAAATATCTACAGTAGGAGTTTCCGTCCGCCAACACTAGCAGGACGACGCCGGCACTGCATGGCGAAGCCGCAACTGCTGCGCCTAACAATATCACAAGGCCACAAACTCTTACGAGATGCATCTTGACTGAAGTACCATGCTAATCAGACAAGACCCCATAGCATTCAATTGATCTTCCCTTATAGAACCAGTTTATCCTATGCCCGTCCCGTCCCGTCCCATGCCTTACTCCAACTCAACCGAGCGCATGCACCCTGTCTAGCCATTGGCATACTACTCTGGCAGTACTGGATGCCATCTCCCGTGTGGGCGGACAAGGGCTTCTTACTAGGGTTCTCAAAGCCGGAGCCCAGAATGGAGATCCGCCCCGCGCGCATGCGCCGAAGCAGATCCAGATCCCTCGGTGGAACCTGTGAGCAGGTTTTGAGCCTCGTCAATCATGAGAGATACGCCTAGAACCGCCTCCTGCGTAATCGGCTCGCTCTTCGTGGTCCAGCCTAGTTCAGTCGGGAGACGCTCGTTCTCTGCATACACATCTTACGTCAGAAGACTGACCAGCGAACGAGAGTCAGGGGTGGGGAAGAAACATACCAAAGAAATACTCCACCAAGCCCCTATCGACCTCTCCCTTATCCATATTCCCGAAAACGATAATCGGGGCCGCGACCTCGCCGAGACTAAACTGTTCCGTGGACGCCGTGAACGTGTAGTTCGGGTTAAACGCGCGAGAAACAATCTGCCGGGCAATCTTGCTGTTCGCGAGCATCTGCGCTGTGAGGGTTTCCGCCGTCCAGAAGGCGCGCGTTTGGGCGAAGATTGTGCGGTTGAAGATGTGGTTTGAGCCGTGGGCGGCGTCGGCGCGGCTGCGCTTGTCAATTGTGCTCTCCGGAGATAGGGAAGGATATTTATTGCGTACCTAAGACTGGCGTCGTGTTCGAGGACGTTGTGTCTGTTTAGGTGGTCCCTGCGTTGCATTAGTGTCTAACACACGGCAGTATGGACTTCCACGAGGTGCTGTACAGAGTGAAATACGTAGCATTCGGCTGCGGATTCGCCACGATAGCCATATCAAACATGAGACTGCCCAGCGACTCGTTGAAGTTTAGAGCTGAGGCTAGGGCATCGACCACGACCTCACGCGTAAGGTTTCGGCCGTCGTGTGGGAGGAAGTTGTGGTTTGCGAGCGTGTTCATCATGGGGCAGGGGCCGCGGACTGTACAGAGGATGGTGGTTAGTATACGGTCAGGGTATGGACAGGAATGGGGTAGATTGATGATCCATGATGTGTACGTACAGTCTCCTGGACCCGGCGGGTGCCAGTGGTGAGGATCGTGAAGGTGAGGGTTTGCGGAGGCGAGACCGAGGAGGCCGAGGATTGACTGGACGGTGAATTTCATTCCGAGTGCTTGACACAATTATCGACTTGTTCTTGCCAGACACAATGGTAATATTCACCCAGGATATTTGGCGTTCTTAAATACTTTACCTGAAGCAAAACCTCCGAAGCAGCGAAGATCGACGCACGTACGGCGCAGGCAACCCTGAAGATTTCATTCACAACCAATAACCGACCTAGAATTACCTATCCCGCGCTTCCAAGTTTCACTCTAAACACTGGCGTCCTTCAGATATGATGTTGCCTGCCAAGGGGTGCTTGTCGATCCTGCGCAAGGGGGAGGCTTATTGGGCCTGCGGGTTCGTACTCGTACACTTGGCCTCATCCGGGGGGATCGACGGTGGCTGAGGTACCACAATTCCAAGATTTGCGGAGTCGGTCAGGTTTAGACCTGATCTCTGGATGCCGTACTCGTATTTGTAGCCAGGAAAAGGCGAAAGATCACCAGGGATGCATACTCGCTTTGTCGGGTTGAGGCAGTCATTCACCACTGACTCGGAGTTACAAGACTTGCTTTGGTCCATCGCTGGAAAGTCCTTATTCTTTCTCTGCGATTGTTCTGGCCTCTGCTGAGGGTGAGCGCCAGCAACACTGGGGTTTGTGTAGATGATGTCATGCGCTCTGGACAAAGCCTATTGTTCTCAGTCGGGATCCTGCGACGTCCTCGTCATCTTATCGATAAGAAACCAGTCGAGTTGTTCCGACTTGCATTGGACAGCTCCTTTTTCTCGAATACTTCAAGACCTTACTGTCTCCCTCTGACAAGACCTCTCTCCTCCATTCCATCACGATGACCGAAAAATTCTTCTTCGGCGACTGGGTCGGAAAGACCATCAAGCTCACCACCACCAACCCACCCTCGGAGTGGAAATTGGTTACGAAATTAAGCGACAAGAACACGCAGGAGTCCGCCGAGAGTTACCACGAGAGCCCAAGTCCCGGCACCGCATACGGGTCCTTCATCTGCCAGAATGTCAACGACCCAGCTGACGAGGGATTCATGAGGATTATAATGCAGTACGCACTTGACCTGTTGGATCTCATTTGCACTACTCACTCCCAGGCAAACGCCCACAAGCTCGGGGCCCGAGCTAACACGATATCCATGTCAGGATCCCATGCAGAGGATCGGAATACGCCATCCATGCCGAACGAGCTCGCCAGGCATCTTCCGAGACGGTCAGCGGAATGACCTACAGCGAGCTCTGTGCCGTTGAACGTTTACGGGACAACAATTGCACGGCGGCGCCCAGGATCCGAACACATGAGGAGACCACCCAGGATGATACCATGCTCGTTCCCGGTGGTCCGCTGCATTATATCCTAATGGATAAGGCCGGCGGCGTTCAGCTGAGCGAGGAGATCTTCTGGGCGTACCCACGCAACGAGAGGGATCGCATTCGTGAGGCATACAAAGAAGCATGGAGGTACGTTATACCTTATATCTAGCCTAGCCTCAGTTATCTACAAGGCTTTGAAGAGCTAACGAATTGAGCGGTTTACGTATTGACAGTGAATGGACTCGCTGCGGTGTCTCCAACCGTTGGCCACACATCTCGCATCTGTTCTGGGACAGCGATGCTGGTAAAATGCAAGTCACTACTCATTCATGTCTCTATTTTTACTAGGCAAAGGTCATCTAATCAACAAGTGTTCTTCCTGCAGAATCATCGCAGCCGCCAGCTTCTCCTCCCCGCTGGAACCCTTCCGAACCGTGAAATGGAGAGATTCTATGTGGCGAGCGGCAGGTCTTTTGCGCGCCGGTAGCACACACAGCTGCGCCTGGAAAGAGTCGATGAGGGATAACTGGATTTGGTAGTCCTATTGACGAGGCCGCGGAAGCATAGTGATGGAGCTTCTGGCTGGCCTAGAGCTCCTGCTTCTGCACTCCTCTCGCAGTTGCTGTCCCGTTTCGGTTCCATTTGCTCTGCAACGTATCCCCATAGTCATGATACACTGCGGTAAGCGCCCTGAGATGCTCAAAAGCAGGCGCATCCTCACCAAGCCCCCACGCAAACACACCACCGAGCCCCTTCCCTGCAACAACAATGGGGACCTTGCGCTGAATCGCATCGACCGTATCAAAGGTCCAAAACAGATTCTCCTGCTTATCCCAAAAATAATACCCGCCTCCCTGCTCATCATACACGCCACGATCCAACGCGCGCTGAAACGACGGATCTAGATCCTCGGGGACGGCGTCATGCCACGAGAACCCACCGGCATGTCCGAGATCGCCGCCTGTGCTGGGGTCTTCCATGAGGACGGTTTTACACCCGACCGGGTGCGCAGCACATTCCCCAGCAGAGTTGGGGTCCGTGCGGACCCATTTGACGTAGAAGGCGAAGCCGAGATTTACCTTGTCAGCCTCGACTCCGTTCGCAATATACGCGTCGACCGCGGTAAGAGAGCCTTGGATCCCCGTGTGATGTTTTGTAACGTTATCCCGGCGGTTCATGAGGTCGTACGTCATTACGTTGAAGAAATCCAGCGAGGCGCTGATGGCGGGGATTGTGTCAGATGTGAAGGCGAGCATGTCGCGTGGGAGGCCGGGGACTGCGGCCGAGATGAGTTTGTTGGGACCTATTGCGGTGCGGATTGAGGAGAGGAGTTTGGGATACGCCTCTATTTCCCATTCCTTGGCGCTATTTGGATTTCGTTTGTAGTCTTCGCCGTTGCCGCTGGGTGAGTGGTTAGTACAGTCGTGCGGGCATATTGTAAGCGGGGAACGGGGGGAGGGCGGACCCGGGGTATTCCCAGTCAATATCGACGCCTACAGTTGTCAGTCTACATCCATTACATGCATCGCCGCATATAGGGACAAATTCATACCATCGGCACCCGTATCCTTAAGCATATCCCTAACATTTCTCGCAAACAACCCCCGACTCTCCTCCGACGCCGCCGCAGCCGAAAACCCCTCCGTGTCGCCCCATCCGCCAATCGCGACCATGATCTTAGTCCTCGGCGAGAACTTCGCTCGGACATTGTCAACTGCGGTAAAAAGAGGCCACTCGGTCACGTTTTGGCGATTAAATAGATCCGATCGCATGAATGCCAGCGCGACGTGGGTTACGTCTTGCACGAGCGGCGCGTCGGGGACGACGTTGTGTTGGCTGGTTCCGACCGGTTAGCTGGGTGCGCAAGGAATAAGAAAGGGGTGGACAGACCCTGTGAGGTACATGACACATCTTTTCGCCGATGTGAGTTGGATGAGCCATAGTAGGCCGAAAAGCGCGATACGTGGAATATGAAGCGAGACCATGGTGATGGAGATGGTGAGATGAGACGAGGTTGCAGCTGCGGTCCGTGTTTATTTATCTCCGAGATCGCCATGGTGACCTAAACATGGTTTTCTCGAGTCAGTTGAGGTTACACAGATGAGCTCAAAATGCACAAGAAACAGCGACAAGAGAGATGACCTAATCATAATTGCTGCAAAGAGCTAGTTAGTTTATGTGGCATCTGATTCGCCATTTTCACGCCCAGTCACTCGCTGTCAATTTGCTCGGCAGCTCGGCCGGTGACTGTGGCCTCCGCCTCCACAGCCGAGGCTGATTTTCTCCCCGCATATTAATTCATGCCATCTCTCCAAATCTCACCTCACATTCCTCTTCACTCCTCACCCACTTAACACCAGTCTTCATCCCCCCAAACCAACCTACCGCGCCAAAATAAATCCCCAGAATAATCACTCGACATGTCAGGACCCGGCGCCGGCCACGAATTCCCCGCCAAGGAAGTCTCCTGGCTGAAGCGCGACGTGCTCCTCTTCGCAAACAGCATCGGTGTTACCTCCAAGGAGCTGCACTTCCTCTATGAGCTACATCCCGATTTTGCAGTTTTCCCAACTTATCCGGTTATTCTCCGTGAGATACCTCCCTTTTTTTTTTCCCCCTTAGTAGAGCGAAACCTTCAATGGCGTGGCTAATACTGACACGACCTGCAGCATTCAAACTAACCGACGCCGAGGTAACCGACTTCTACGCGCGGAGCAAAGGATCCCCGATCCCCGGTGTTCCGGCCTTTGACCCGCGACGCGTCGTCGATGGGCAGCGGAAGATTACTGTCTTCAAGCCGCTGCCCCCGACCAGCGCGGGGCGCAAGTTCGAGTTGCGGAGCAAAGTTGTCGGCGTGTATGACAAGGGCAAGGCGTCTGTTGTTGAGACGGAGCAGTCGATTGTGGATGTTGCGAGCGGCGAGGTGTATTCGAGTGTCGAGAGCAGTGCGTTTTATGTTGGGCAGGGGGGGTGGGGAGGGCCTAAGGGTGAGTCGAGTTTTCTTCTGGGTGATGTCGTTCAAGCGTGAGTGCTGTGAGTGCTGACAAGGAGCGTAGGACCTGCCACGCCAAACTATCCCCCGCCCGCTGGCCGGAAGCCCGACGCTGTGAATGAGATCGTGACCACGACCGAGACGGCGCAGCTCTACCGGTAAGTCTTCTCCTCTCACCATCGCGTCCTCCCAATCTTCCCGCGGAACTAATCATTATATCCAGTCTAAACGGCGACTACAACCCCCTGCACGCGACCCCCGAACCCGGCCAGAAAATGGGTTTCGGCGGGGTCATCATCCACGGGCTCTACAGCTGGAACGCGACGGCGCACGCGGTCCTCGAAGCATTTGGCGGGAGCAATCCGGCGAATTTCCGCGAATTCCAGGCTCGCTTTGCGAGCCCCGTCCGGCCCGGTGATAGGCTTATTACGGAGATGTGGAAGACGGGGGAGGTTGTTGATGGGTTTGACGAAGTGAGGTTTGTGACGAAGAATGGGGAGGGGAAGGTTGTTCTTAGTAATGGGCGGGCGTTGATTAAGGCGCCGAGCGGGGGTGCGAAGTTGTAGGATGCGGGAAATTCCTGATATGTTTAGGGCACTTGGTGAAGTTGAGCTTGTTGCATCGATTACAGGTGCTGTGTCTATCTACTCTCTTGGGAATCGGAATGCTACAGGTTGAATAATATTCGAGGAGGACAGCTAAGAGCTCATGTTCAAGGCCCAATAAGGACAGGATGTTGCTCAATTCTTATTCGCAGCGTGTGCACCAGGCTTGCAAATAAGCATAATAGCGTTGCAGTCATACAAAGTCAACGCAATGCTCTCTTGTCAGCCAGCGAAAAGGGACGCTCATATTGAAAACCCACCCCCGGCTGTCTCACCCTGCTGGAGGTAAGGGAAGAAGAACTTAGAGCCTCAAAACCCAAAGGCGATCGGGAGTAGCTCATGCAGAAGAAGCAGCTACATGATTCAGTGATCTTCAAGCTTCACCGGGAGATTGTTGTCCGCGAGAGCTATCTCAGGGTCTGTATACGCGCGCATTGCGGGACACTGCCAGTTGCGATGCTCGCGATCTTTTAGGCGCAATTGCAGGGATTATGGTGAACCTGGGATCAGAGATGGCATATGGGTTTCGTTTTTTGTGATGCGATGAGAGCCCTCATATTAGGCGCGGCGTCTTTCGTGGTAAAGCAAGAATTACCTCCATCGATTCGGCCAACATATATATATAGCTGTGGCAAAGGGATCACATCCAGCAACGATCAGGCTCAATGCATATTGCCTCGACAGATTGGCACAGATCTCCGCCAAAGGATGAAATACTGTTACCCCAAAACGACCCTCGAACGCACCGCATATAAGCTCAGGGCTGGCGGGTTGTACAGGATATTTTCTCGGCGGCCGGGTCGGAAGCAAGCAAGCACACAGCAGTCACGCCGTCCAGTCCGCCGATGGCGTTATACGAGGGTGGATGCGACAATTTCCCGGCCGAGAACCACCTTGGAGACACATCGTCATCCGCGAACAATCAGAGCGCGTTTCGAATCGCCTTGAGCCATTGAGGTTCCAGGACGCGCGCGGATGGCGTGCTCCGCGGGTCTGATTGCGCTGGGCGCGCGATAACGATAAGTTGGTATAAAGCATAGATCGGGGTCGCGGGGTTGTCTGTCTACCCCTCCAACATTTCTTCCTAGGAACAAATTTTATCCAAATCGAGTTTAATCGATTGACTCGCTCAAAATGGCGCCCGAAAAGAAACAAATCATCCTCAATGCCTTCGTAATGAACACCCCCGCGCACATGGCCCCGGGCCAATGGCGGCACCCGCGCAACAAAACCGCCAACTACACAAAGTTATCCTTCTGGACGGATCTCGCGCGCCTCCTCGACGACGCAGGCTTCCACGCAATGTTCATCGCCGACACACTGGGTCCCTACGACGTCTACAAGGGTCCCGCGAACGTCGTCCCCGCACTGGCCTCGGGCGCACAGTACCCCGTCAACGACCCAATGTACCTCGTACCCAGCATGGCGAGTGTGACGAAGAATTTGATCTTTGGGGTTACGGCGAGCACGACGTATGAAGCGCCGTATGCGACTGCTCGACGGCTCACGACGATCGACCATCTGGCTGAGGGCCGGATCGCCTGGAATATCGTGACGAGCTACCTCGACTCGGCGGCGCGCAACTTCGGACTGGACGAGCAGGTCCCGCACGATGAGCGGTACGCGCGCGCACACGAGTACATGGACGTGCTGTACAAGCTGTGGGAGGGGTCCTTCCGCGACGACGCGGTCGTCAAAGACGAGGAAACGGGCGTGTACATCGCCCCCGACGCGGTGCGGCAGATCCACCACGAGGGGAAGTACTTCAAGGTGCCCGGCCCGCACTTCTGCGAGCCGTCGCCGCAGCGCACGCCGTTCCTGTTCCAGGCGGGGATTTCCGAGGCGGGGAATGGGTTTGGGGGGAAGCATGGGGAGGCGATTTTTATTGCGGGGCAGACGCCGGAGCAGTGCAAGAGTGTTGTGGAGAATATTCGCAAGGTCGCGGAGAGTGAGGGGAGGGATCCGGCGCATATCAAGGTGATTGTGGGGATTACGGTTATTGTTGCGGCGACGGATGAGGAGGCGTTTGCGAAGCGGGAGGAGTTTTTGAAGTATGCGGATGAGGAGGGGGTGCAGGCGCTCTTTGGTGGGTGGACGGGGATCGATCTGTCGAAGTTCCCCGACGACGAGGACTTTCGGTTCGGAGAAGCCACGCGCGTACAGAGCATCGTGAAGCGGTGGGCCGCCACGGTCCCTGGAACAGATAACCTCCCCTGGACGAAGCGACGGATTGTCGAGTTCCTTTCCGTCGGCGGGATCCAGACGAAGCTGATTGGGAGTGGGAAGACGGTTGCGGATGAGCTAGAGCGGTGGGTGGAGATTTCTGGTGTGGACGGGTTCAACCTGGCGCACATTACGAATCCGGGGAGTTTCGAGGATGTCATAGAGTTCCTGCTGCCGGAGTTGCGGTCCAGGGGGTTATATCGCGCTGCCCCGGTCAAGGAGGGGGCTACAGCGAGAGAAGTGTTTTTGGGGACGAATCGACTGCCGGAGGATCATCCGGGGAGCAAGTACAAGTGGCGGGCTGGGGAGAAGGTGCCCAAGTACCAGCAGGAGCAGGTTGAGAACTAAACAATACATAACTCCTATCCTGCCTACCAATCTGAAGATCTCACACTAATGATTCCACTTATCCTTCCTCCCATTGACAATAGCAACTCCAAGTAAAAGTCCACACACAAAGGCGGCCATGAACGTCGCAGCAACCATCCCGCAGCAGAACCGCTCGGCGCGCATCTTTTGTTGGCGCTGGAGGAAGCCGTCGCAGGCCTCGCAGTGGACGTGGGGTTGGAATGTAGCAGGCGCAGGGAGGGTAGTCGTGCTTGTGGTGTTGGTGCCTAGGTACTGATGCTCGTGTGGTTGCGAGTGAGGATGGTGATGCGGTTCATCGTCGACTTCAAGTTGAGCGACTGCTGCGTACTATCAACGTCAGTTGCGTCATGCCGTAGATATTGGATTAGCGGTGCGTACGCGAGTCCCCGAGCTTTGCGCCTCCAACTCCTCGTAGGGAGGGGCGGCATCCATAGATTTGTTTGTGAATCCGAACATGTTGATGGCTTGTATGAGGTACTTTGTGTAAGTTAATCCAAGTCGATGACATGGACGTCCAGGGTTGATGTATGGGCTGAGCACCTGAACTGAATGGCTGTTGCCTGGATGACAGCTGAGCCACACCAGCTTGGGCGTGACTCCGCATTCGCATATGCAGGATTCGTATCCCCGCAGCTTGGACAAGCTCATTTGTGGGCTCGTAACGCACAGCCATCTTGTGGCTGGAATTCCCTGTCATGAAACAGTTCCATGATTCTGATCAGGCACATGGTCGGAAGGTGCCGCCATGGTGCGATGGCATTGGATACCAGGTGCTCTGGGCTCCAAGGTGGACACCGACTTTGGTAAAGGACGCCGCCGCCAGGATGGGGGCCGAAACTGATCATCAGAACAGACGCTGTCAGTGGTTCAAAATTCCCCCGGTGAGGGTCGTGTCCATCACCGATGGTTGGATCGAACCTCGAGAATTGCATTCCGCGTGCTTCTCTCCCAGAGATCTCCGTTGTATTTCCCCTGCAGGCTGACCTAGTCCACTTCAAGACTAGCAGGGCTGAAATAGATGTGGGGATCGTGTCTCGCTCCCCTCGTTCGTTCCTAGTCGTTCCACTCATCAGCACCAGAGACTGTCAGACGACTGACACCTCGGAGCTCCTTGACCCTGCTTCGATCCAAGACATGACATTAACAGAGCGTCCCACCGTCCCGGTACGATCACTTCCAAAACCAGACCCCGAGGCCGAACAGGATAATGACACCGACCGCTGCGACATCCGCCTCCTCCGCGCAGCCCGGTACGGCTGGACAGATCTCGCCCGCGAACTCTTACGGCAACGCATCCCCCTAAACTCCGCCAGACGCGATGGCCACACAGCGCTCTCACTCGCCGCAAAACACGGTCATGAAGACATGGTCCGTCTCCTCGTTTCGCACGGCGCAGATATCGAGACGAAATGCGACGATTCGCGTCCGATTGGCGGACATACCCCGCTGTGGTTCGCCGCCGGCCAGGGACACGCGAGTATCGTTAAGATTCTGCTTGATGAGGGAGCTTCTACGACCGGAGGCGAAGAATCCGACGGCCGATTGATGCCCTTGTCTGTCGCCTCCGTCCGCGGGCATGAAGACGTCGTTCGCGTGTTACTTGATGCCGGCGCGACGCCGGATAGTCCCGGTCTCGCGAACGGGCGGACTGCATTCTCGTATGCGGCTGAAGACGGGATGGAGGGGATCGTGCGTGCATTTCTGCAGCACGGCGCGGATCCCGATTTGCCGGATTTCGGGGGATTGACGCCGCTCGCGTATGCAGCGCAATCTGGGCAGGTAAGGATGGTGGAGATTTTGCTTGCAGCGGGTGTGGATATTGAGGCAAGGGATAATCGAAAAAGCTCGAGTGTTTCTGATATCTCCATGGGCGGCCGGACACCTCTATCCCGTGCTGCGGGGAGGGGGCAGGGTGCTGTTGTCCAGCTTCTTCTGGAGAAAGGGGCTGATAGTAATGCGTGGGACTCGTGGGGGAAGACGCCGCTGCTGTATGCGGCGAGGAACGGGCACCTGGAGACTGTACGGATCCTGCTCCAACATGATCCGAAACCGACTGTTCCAGGACCCGAGGGTTTGACATCGCTCGAGATTGCGCTGCGAGAGTTTAAGAAGTTGGCACCGACACTATGGTATGATGACATGTGGGAGTTGCTGGAGCCGGCCAGTACCAGGCCGCAGCCAGGGTTCTTTGAGAGGGTTTTCGGGTTTAGTTTGACCTGAAACTCGGCGTGGTGGTTCCTAGAATAGATGAATGTAGGATACGTCTTTTGCAGTGCTCCTCAACGATCCTGGAAAGGGATCAAGCTAGATTCGACACAGTTTTCTCCCTGCCGATGTCGACATAATGTAGGCCACCGGGGGTCACAAAAGCGGTGTTCTGGTGAAAGCCTTGCATAGCCCTGCATGGTGCCACGAATACCCCACGGTAAGCATTGTATGCAGTTGATCAGGGGTTGTTTTATTAAGCAATGCTGAGTGAATGTATTTTGTGCACTCGTTTCAGCACAGGGATTGATGAGTTGCAAGGAACAATGTCTGACAATAGGGTCCATAATAGAGGCCCGTGCATGCGTACCTCGGATGGCAACTGCCGGAGTCGGGGGAGGGTCCATCGCCAAGCCAAGCGCCGACTCCCCCGCATCTTGTCAAGCGAGACTGCATAATAATCGTGGAGATTAAAGGATGTCTGGAGCCTATTCATCGGCCTTGGCCTGTGAAAAAGAGAGATGGGGACATGTTTGAGACCGAGGTCAAGCCGAAGTGCCATTCGGCAGTTGTGAGCCTTAACCATCTATCGATAAAGTATATAAATCCGCCTGCAAGGGACTTTAATATGAAGGTGTCTAGGCAGTCAATTCCGAAGTGTGAAAAAAGCATCATGCTTACTGCTTTCCTGATCGTAATTACCTCCGCCCTCGGCGCCCTCGCCACCCCATGGCACCCAAACCCGGACCGCCCACTCGCTCTGACCACCAACGGCCTTATCTACGGCAAAACAAGCGCACTCCCCAACTCGACCGTGCAAGTAAATACCTTCCTCGGCATCCCCTTTCCCCCCCCCCCCCCCCCCCTCCCNCGCCCACCCGCTTCTCCCCTCCCCGCCCGCCCCGCCGCAGGCTAGTCCCCTTCTCCGCAACATCCTACGGCCCCGCCTGCATCCAACAATTCAACTACCCCGAAGCATCGCGAAACCAAACAATCGCATTCTTCAACACACCTCCTCCACCAGCGGGCGAAAGCGAAGATTGTCTGACGCTAAATATCTGGGCGCCGTCGGGGAAGAGTAAAGATGGGAAGCCACGCGCGGTCTTGTTTTGGTTGTATGGTGGCGCGCTCATGTTCGGATCGGGGTCGTTGAAAGGCTACGAGGGGACGAGCTTTGTTGTCAATCAGGATGTGGTGCTTGTGACGAGTAATTATCGGACGAATGTTTTTGGGTTTCCAGGGGCGGTTGCGGATCTTCCCCCGAATGAGAGGAATCTAGGGTAAGCAATCCTGCCAATCCGCCCACAGGCCGCGACATTGTACCGCATTGTTCGGGTGACGAGGTTCTGATATTTCTGACGCAGTTGGCTCGACCAACGCCTCGCCCTCGACTGGGTCCGACGCAATATCCACGCCTTCGGCGGCGACCCGAAACGCGTCACAATCTTCGGCGAAAGCGCTGGCGGCGCGAGTGTCGATGCACTCATCACTACCCCTCCAAAGCCTCTCCCCTTTCACGCGGCGATTATGCAGTCTGGCGACTCATCCATCAACGACCGCGCAGACGATAGCGGCACCTCATGGAAGAGGCTCGTCGAGCTCGCGAGCTGTGCTCACAGTAGGGATACCCTCCGCTGCATGCGTCGTCTGGCCGCACTGAGGATCAAGGAGATCCTTGAGCGGAATGCGCTGAGTTTTGGGCCCGTCCATGATGGCGTGACCTACGCCGCGCATCCGCAGCGACGGCGGCTGAATTCAACAGAGGCGAAACCACTCATTGCGCGTGTCCCGCTGATTATCGGATCGAATGCCAGAGATGCATGGCCACTTGTTTCTGCGGAGCTGAACAACACAGAGGCCTACCTCCGCGCGAGCTTCCCAACATTCACCGACGCGCAACGACAAGAACTCCTATCGGCGTACCCCATATCCGCCAGCTCTGGCATCCGCTCGCCGTCCGAACAAATCGCCGTAATCGCTACAGAATACGGCTTCCAATGCCCCAGCAAACTCATCGCGGACGCTACGTCCGACATTGGTGCACCAGCATGGCGATACTATTTCAACGCGAGTTTCCCGAATACGCAGATCTTCCCAGGGAGTGGCGCCTATCACTCTTCGGAGATCGGGCTTGTCTTTGGGACGTATCGTCAGCAGGGGGCAACGCCGTTTCAGGGGGAGATGAGTAGATTTATGCAAAAGGCTTGGGCGGATTTTGCAAAGGATCCCGCTGCGGGGCCAGGGTGGGGTGGGGTTACGGATGTTGGGGTTCTTGGGGGCTGGGGAGGGAATGGGCCGAAACCTGTTGTGGCGGTGGGTGAGGAGGTGATTGATAGCAGGTGTGCGTTGTTTGAGGAGTTGTATGTAGGCGTGGTTTAGGGGGGTTCTATAGTGATTGAGAAAAAAAGCACTCCGTCACAAAGGCAACTTTTGGATTGTCTGACAAGGCGCCTTGAATTCCTCGTTGGCTTATTCTCAACAATCTCATCGTCCCCCGGGCCTTAGTACTATCGCTGGTGGTCATACCGTGAACCAGATTGATCTCTATAGTGGATAAAATGCCCGCACCGCGTCATTTATAGAGCTAATTAATAAGTCCTCGCATCCTAAATAAAAGTAGGGCCGCCTGGTTACTAAATCTAGGCGCCCAATGTTTGATGGTGATCTAGGGTACCTGGCAACGGTGTGAGCTTAGCTTGATCAGGAATTCGCTCCATATTAAGCGAGTTGCCTCTCAAAGTATTGAATGTGGCGAATCAACTTCTTGCTTGGCTTTAAGCGCTTTGACACTTCTTGGTTGGAGTAGGCGGAGTCTAAGCAAGAGTCACTAGACTCTGCATGGACCACGTTAGTGGCTGAATAAAGGCCAAACTTATATGCGGGATATATTAACAAATTCATAAATGTGTAAAGTACCATAATATAATAATGCTAGCCTAGTTAGATAATGAAAATTTAGTTTGGACATAGAACACTTCCCCTAGATATCAACTTTATTAGTATGTTTCCAGCCCGCAATTTAAGTCGTATTCCTTGCCTTTCATATCGTGCCTTACCTAGATAGAGCCTGCGTAATCTCCACATATTTCGAGTTCATGACAAGCACCGTGGATAGATTCTGCATATGAAGGATACTCCACGTAGTCTAGGGATCTTTAGCAGGGATTGAAGGTCTTTGAGCTTTATTCATGCTGGCACTGACACCTCAAGAGAGGAAGCTACGCTAATATCTAGGATGCTAAGGCTGCATACTATTACCCAGTTTTATTCACCTTTGCATACATATCAACCTGGCAGGTTATGTCTAGCACCTGTTATAGGATGTTAATAAGACCGCGTGTCGAGCTTAGATCACGGTATACTTACTACCGTCATTTGTACTGGTAGCCGTATCGGCGGTTGGTTTTTTTCTCCCATGTCTTCGCCGAAGCCACAGTAAGATTGTTAAAAGAACAGTCGCAAGTAAAATGGATAGGATAATAACTCCCAGAAGTGGACCAGAAATCTTCTTAGTGGTATTATTGGTCGACTTGTTCGCCCGGCGCGGGTCGAGAGAGCACCAAACTACTCGCCAAACCTACCAGATCCAAGGCCTAGCAACAAATTTATCAGCGTGATAGTAGTTAACTTAGATGCTACTGCTTACTAATGATGCTGAAGATCTGGGATTTTGCAAAAGCCTGGAAATCAATAAGCCTGGTCCGCTACTACTGGAAGGACTCCGAGGACGCGTGATCCTGCGCCTGCATGATTAAATATTCCTGGTGCATCATTTCCCAACCACCAGGGTAACCGCTGATGGATCCACTATTAATAAGAATGTAAAATATCCCCTCTCTTTTTTGAGCCGTTTAACCAGGCTCATCATAAGACATAATAGATTCTTCTTAAAGCGAACTCGAATCATGACCAGAGCATGCTAGTAATTGCCACCTCCTGATGACATTCTCCCTCTCTTCGAGCGAGGAGCACTGGTATTCACTCACTCCTTGCGCAATTCGTGCACACTTGACGTTAACTTGGTTTCCCTCGGACAGGGCCTGCTGCAGGTGCTTATGCAGACCAGCTAATGGATATCCTGCTATCCCGAAATATCACCGAGGCCCTGCCAAATGAGCATATCGACAAGAGCGTAGGAGACGAGATTTGCAACCGTCCGCTTTGTGGTATATTGTCGGACGCTAGCTACTGCAAGTAGCTTCCTTCTCCATAAATTGGGCCACACCATAACAGTCGTATTGCCCGAAGGAATATTGTCGGTCAGCGGTGCGGTTGCCATGGCTGCCGGAGACACAAAGGTTGTCGTGCTCTAGTCTGCATCCGGCTCCACAAAGAGCCCATGAGCGGTTAAAGGGATCCGCTCCAGAGTGTACTCTATTTCAAGGTCACTCCTAGGTATAACTCATTCCATTACCTTCATGCCTCAACTTAGTATTGACGGATTCATTTTCAAATTCTCACGAAGGGGCAATCCGTCTACCTGTCGGATTATTAGGGGATCTAATATACTTGCCGTTAATCCACCACATTATAAAAGAAACAGAGAGGTATCGGTATTTTTCGGGTCCATGCAATAATTGTTCCATGGATCATAGATACAAATCATGGACGCCTCAAGGGGGGACAACCCGCACTTCTGTATCCGGAGAAGTGGTGATGTCAGAATAAAATCTGACCTCGAACTGGTGGCTCCATCGCACCACCGCTATCTAACGACATCATGATCAGGCAATTAAATCAGGCTTTGTGGTATGGACGATATTTACCCCTTAAATAGCACAGGGAAAATCTAAAACCAGAAAAGAGTCCATTTAATGACAGTCTACGAACTGCCCACGGCTACACCTAACAGAAATTCTGAGTGTCTATTTTGGACAATGAAATCCGATAGACGGCCATCTATACATGATCTGAGCAGGCAAAGCCTTCAGCAGAAGGACAGCTGGAATGGACCACCATTTAATGTGAGTCGGTATGTGTTTTTCGAAGGGCAAAAGGGCGACTAACAGATGATGCAGGCCATCTATGCAGGTATCGCGGCACGTTTTCATGTCTTTTCTACTAGAGCATCTTTTGCTATTGCCGTGCGCGATAGCTCATATTTACTCGACTTTGCGCAGTATGACTTGCCCTCTGGTAGTGGTCGCCAAGACTGGCCGGATTTTTCAGGTTTCGTCCTGGCCAAGTTGAGGGAGTATCAGGAAGAGCACCTTGAGAAATTCATCGGCGTGGCGATGCAGGCTGGCTTAGCCGAGAAGTGTCCGGAGCTTTGTTCCCGTCTTTGGCTGGAGCTCGATATCATTCCCATCGTACTGCGCAAGGCAGAGGAACATGTGAGCTGGGGCTTGTACGAGGAAGATATATCATATATGTCGCTGGATGAGCAAGCTGAGTCAATCGCAAGAAAGTGTATTAGGTGAGGCTTCCCTTCGTCTGCCTTTGAGATTGAGGACTCCACTCACTAGTTTCCAGATTTTTCGGCCCCAGCAAGGCTCCCATTCCAGAGATCGGGTTTCAAGGCCTTGTCGAGGTCGATGCCGCATTCCATGTGAGACTGACGAGACTTGCTGATTATGATAAAACCGTTCGAGCCACAACGTGGAACGCCGTTAACAATTACGCGAGCGACCTGAAAAGACGGAGAGTAAAAATAGCCTTCTTCAGTGCTACTCCCCAGGGCGGTGGCGTTGCGCTTATGCGCCATGCCATGGTTAGGTTTGCGAGAGCAATTGGAGTTGACCTTAGGTGGTAAGAGTTTGCCAACTCAATCTTAGTGGGAAGCCTTTCTTGATATTCCGCTCACTTCTGGTCGCAGGTATGTCCCGAAGCCAAGACGTAGTATCTTCCGCGTAACCAAGAACAACCATAATATACTACAGGGGGTCGCCCCTGCCGGTACTCGATTCACCAAGGAGGACAGGGATCTTCTTTGCGATTGGGTGCTTGAAAACGCAAGACGATATTGGCTGAGAGCAAAGGGCGGCCAGTTTTTCGCATTGGTTGAGAAGTTCGGCCCACAACTTTATCCCTGGCTTGCAAAACATGGCCCGCCGCCGCCCCCCTGGATCGAGAAGAATGGCCCTCTGGTTCCTCCTTGGGAGGGCGGCGCCGACGTAATCATTATCGATGACCCGCAGCTACCGTTCTTGATTCCCTTTATCAAGGAACAGACTCCAGATCGGCCAGTCATTTTTCGCAGCCATATACAGATCAGAAGTGACTTGACTGACACACCTGGGACTCCCCAGGCGGAGGCCTGGGGATTATTATGGGATGCGATCAAGCAGGCGGATCTGTTCATCAGTCACCCTGTACGTTCGTTTGTTCCTAAGGATGTACCCCAGGAGAAGCTTGGATATCTTCCAGCCTCTACAGACTGGCTAGATGGGTTGAACAAACCAATGACAGACTGGACCGCCAGTTGTTATGGGCGGGTCTTCAACGCAAGATGTAGACAAGAATTCATGACGAGCATAAATTATCCAGACGGTCAGCCACCCTGGTACCTAGTTTCCTGTTTTCTCTCTGAGCTGACGGAACAACGCACATATTGGTCAACCTTAGAGACTTACATCGCCCAAGTTGCCCGTTTTGATCCTTCCAAAGGAATTCGAGACGTTCTTATATCATATGAGTTATTCCATCGGCGGCTCGTGGAATCCTGTCCTGGCTTACGGCCCCCTAAGTTACTTATCTGTGGACACGGATCAGTGGATGACCCAGACGGCTCACTTGTGTGGGACGACACTTTGGACTTCATTGAGCAGCATCTGAAGCCCTTACAGTCACTCATCTGCGTCATGCGGATTGATCCCAGTGACCAGATGCTTCATACTCTCCTGTCCAGAGCAAAAGTTGTCCTTCAACTCTCTACGCGTGAGGGTTTTGAGGTCAAGGTTTCAGAGGCATTACATGCTGGCAAACCTGTAATTGCCACGCGAGCCGGTGGCATTCCATTACAGATCCAACACGGTAAAAATGGTTTTCTGGTCAATATTAGTGATACCAACGCAGTGGCGGAGCATCTTCTTGAACTATGGACAGATTCAGAGTTGTATGAGCGGATGAGCAGCTACGCAGCAAAACACGTGAGCGATGAAGTCAGCACGGTAGGGAACACCTTGTCGTGGCTATACCTGGCGTCCAAGCTATCGAAGGGTGAAAGAATCCGACCCAACGGAAGTTGGATAAATGACTTGGCTCGCGAAGAAGCAAAGGAGCCGTACCAGAAGGATGAGAACAGGCTTCAGAGAGTATTGGCAACATAACAGGAGATTCGAGTCAGACATGCCATGGTGCAAATATGGTCGAACTTGAAAAAGCAGGTCGAATAATGACAGGCTTATGTTTCTCGCTCCAAGTGAAGAAGGAAAAGCAGAAGATATTTTTCCCTTCCGACTCCAGTGCCATCTGGGCGGATAGTGTTGAGACTTTTAATTAACCCCCTTTTTTTTTTTCTTTTTCATATCTATGTATCTGTGCGAACGTGCTGGATGCTCTGATGAGCTCGATGCAATATGCAATGTGGCCTGACATTCGCAAGATTCTGTGCGCGTGGGGCTTTCTCAGTCGGGGGAGCGGACTGGCAACTTGAAACTTTGTCTGCCTTACCGGACGTAAAGGCTGGACTACGTATGTAGTAGATGTTCTGGGGGTTAAGTTGGGTTGGGGGCATGGCTATCACGATTGCTAGGATGGATATCGTTAGTTGGTTCCTGCACTCCTGTTACAATTTGGTACTAATTAAAGTGCTAATTAGATTTCATCCCATTCTGAACGCAAACATAGCGTGCCTTGCCAATTGTTGGGGAGGTTCAAAGGACCGTCTATATCTACTTTGAAAACTTCATCTTGCTTTAAACATCGTCCTGAACAAGGAGCAACCATCCTAGTCATTACCAGCATTAATAGAGGAATTTTTCCATGCGGTGCTATCGCATGGCACCTCTCCAGAATACGCGCACGGACGCTGTATAGCGAAGGAGCAATCAGGTGCTCACCACTTCCATGGAACGCATGGACGTGATGAAGACTGGCATCATTGCCCCTGTCTCTTCTGCCTGAGCCCGGAACGCTCCGTAACACACACGCCCCGCCAAGACAAACAGCGGCGCATGATAGGTTCCGTTTCGGCTAGGGCTGGCGCCCAGCAGTCCATTGAGGCTCAGCCCCCAGCGCCCGACCGCCAGCCCCTCTCCGGGCGCCAATCGTTTATGGCCATCTGCCGAGCCAAGGACTCTATATTGCCCTGGGCAAATAGACGAATGCGAAGGAGGGTTATTTAACTCAGCGACTTCCCTCGGCCCTGTGTTTTGGGTTTGTGTTCCTGAGGATTTGGATCTGGGATACGCCCATCTCGATATTTACTGTTGATTGTGGCATGCCAAGCAGAGCAGGGAGAAATAGATAGATAGCGATGGTTCACTACACCACCTCCGTCGCAGTACTTCTCGTCGGGGCTCTACCCCTGGGTACGTCTCTCTCACAAGCCCTCGATCATCCTCTTCCCACACTGACAACGACAGCAACCCTCGCGCGGGAATGCCGCACAAACGGGACGAGCCCCGAGGGCTACTTCCCACGCATGGACCTCACCTCGCCCTCGCAACTAGCCCAATTCTCCGAATGCGACACGCTCACCGGGTACATCCACGTTTCCCCAGACTTCAAGGGGACGCTCGAGCTCCCCGCCAGCGTGACAAACTTCAGCGGGTACATCACGCGAAATTATGGGCAGCCGACGGACGGGCTCGATGGCGTCATCCTGCCCAACGTGCGGTCCATGGAAAGTATTGAGCTTTATGGAGCGTACGGGGTGAAGAGTGTTTCTGCGCCGAGATTGGAGACGCTTGGGAGGTTGCTTGTTGAGCAGGCGGTTGAGGAGGGGGCGTCGTTGGATTTTGGGGCGTTGAGGGAGGTCGAGACGATTGCTTTGGCGGGGTATTGGAGCAGGTATGTATGAATGAATGGGGATGTGTCCGTTGACCTGGCTCTCAGAGCAGAGACCAGACATGAGAGAGCTCATCCTGGCAAGCCTTGCGATGGTTGGACTAACTATTGCACTGCAGCATCTCCTTCCCCTCCCTCCAGGAAATTACCTTTAGCATGTCAGTGCATACCGACCCCTCCCGCGAAGCAACCGACGTCCTCGTCCCCGTCGACATCGACCTCCCTGTTCTAAAAGAAGCGGGTCAGCTGTCTCTGTACGGACAGATCAAGAGGTTAGTTTGTTGGCAGCGCTATGACTATAGTTATCTGATCTAACTGTTTGCCTCTAGTTTGTCCACGCCTCTTGTTGAAGTCCTGGGCCGTGGCAATCAGCACTATTACACTCTGACGTTGCGAGCGAATTATACCGCGATGGAAGGGGTCTTTTTGCCGGCGCTGCAAGAGCTGTATGGGGAGTTTAGGGTCAATGGGAGTGTATCCGCGTACGTCAATCATTGAATCCTGGTATGTGGGTATCTGCTAATGTCATTATAGTGTTGACCTTGGCGGTATGAAAAACGCTTCGGCCCCGATTAAGATCGACGTCGAGACACCGATCGAGATCTACTCTGGTCTCGAGAACGCAGGCAGGATTTTCGTGCGCGGGCCACTTGCTGTGTAAGTCCCCGTCCCTGAGTAACAGCCCAACCTCCCGTCTTTCCACAGATGTTGGGGCATCGCTTGAGCAAGACCTAATTGAGTACGGGTACCGTAACAGCATAAACTTCACAAATCTCACCACGGCAGCGGACCTAAACATAACAACCACCTCCTCAACCCCGCTCTCCTGCCCTCGCGCTCTAGTAGACATCTACCGCTACTTCTCCGACCCAGACGAGCCGGCCTTCTGCAACGCCGAGTCCCTCTCCGCCGCCGGCGAAAACCCTTACCTCAATCCAGATTACATGCCCAGCTACCCGGTCACCGGATACGCAACCGTAACCTCCGATTCAGCGTCAACTTCGACGTGGGGATATGGATCTGGGTCTACACCTACGCCGTGGTGGAGTCCCACGCCGACGCCCATCTACAGCCCGACACCGACGCCCGGGGGAGGGGGTGGGAAATTGAGTAGCGGCGCTGAGGCGGCGATCGCGACTGTGGCTGTTGTTGTTGGGTTGGTGGGGATTGGGGGGTGGGTTTTGGCGAGGCGGAGGAATAGGCGGGCGAAGTCGGGTGGAACAGGAGCTGATAGTAATGCACCTGGTGCAGGAGGTTCTGAACTGGGGGCAGTCGCGGCTGCTGGGGCTGGTTATACTGCTACGACCAGTCGGCGCGGTGACGCTGGTGAGGAAGAGGAAAGGCTCCCACGACACTCTGCGGATGTGGCGCCGCCGCCGTATTCGCGCGAGGAGCCGAGGAAGGCGTGATAATACATACCGCACATACGCTGGTCAAGGAGGGAAGGGAGGTACAGTACGTTGTACATGATACTGGTAACTTGAATGATTGTCACATTTGATGATAGATAAGCAGGAATAGATGCCGCTTTTCATGAAGGTTATCAATTTCCATTACTATATTTGCGTGCAGCTTTCCCCATACTGCTCTGTTGACCAGATATACTCCAGTCTAACGTGAATCTACGGTTGTGCTCGAATTGGCCGTTATAGCCCCTCTTGAGGGAAGTGGGATTTTTGGGGGTATTTACTATATTATACTATGCAAATATATACTTAGCAGCCACTCCCGGGAAGCAGAGCAGACCCGTGCTATAACAAGATTAATACAGGCTAAGCTACTTGTCATACATGGCGTTGATTTTCGTTAACCTTCTTTTTCTAGTTAGATCCCTCAGATAGACTAGTTGACGACTTTCTCAAGACGTTAACAGAGCACCATTGTGCTCAAGGAATAGAGGCGAGACTACGCAAAGTGTCTCTTACGTCACCTTTTCTGTACCTCGGAGTCGGATCTGGCATGAATTTGTTCGATCAGTAATATATTATTTACTAATCGAAATGCCTACTTCTGCCTCGGTATCCAAGCGAGATCGACGCCTCGGTTTGGTCGGCTCACTAATCAATTATGTATCGACCCCACATCGTGGAGGCAACAGCAAGAAATCGTTGGGGCTATGTAAAAGATATATATAGCTCGGCTCCCACATCCGAGTAGTTGCTCTTGGGAGAACTGGAAAGAAATGCGTCAGGAACTCGGCTCATCTTCCAGGACCTAAAGTCGGGAGGACGGTGTCTCCGAGCGCGGCCTTGGCACAGATGCCGCTCCCGCCGGACAAACATCAACACTGGCCCCATCGCATGACGATGGCAAATTTAACAGAGAGACGAAACTACAAAAGAATAAATACAGCCAGTGCCTTTTATCTGCCTCGTAGAGTAATACTAGTGCCACACCCTTAGCCGCATACGGCTTGCCCATGTTTATCCAATACACTGGACCGTCCTCTGAGACGAGCCCTGGCGTGCGGCGCACCATTAATGCAGTTGTGGCCGCCAATGCGAGCCTCAATCGGCGGCGCGGACGGGAGGAGAGAGAGGCGAACGCAAATAACATCAACGGGGAGGGAGAAGGGACACTGCGCTGGCTGCACGACCGACCGCATTTTATCATGCAACCACCCCAAAGCAGCCAAGTGGCTGGAGATGAGGAGAAGCGCAGGGATGCCGAAGAGACTACCCACAGGGAGGCTTACTACGAGAACTTTTATTTGTCGGATGGCTCGATCTACTGGTACCTTGAAGACGGGGTGACCTATCCAACGCCAAAGCAGCCATATTACCCTGATCTGTTGTTTCGTCGTATGCATGCACCATCCTGCAAGATTAGAGGCTATGGGCTAGCAGTCATGATTTTCTAATCATGTCGCAGGTCAGAAGCTGTTTCTCACCGTGGCGCACCAGTATCCTGGAACCTTTGCGCACAACATCTATACGTCGTGGACGCAGCAAGTCCTGGCAGACCCCTGTCTCTTCCACGCAACGCTATTTGCAACTTCCATGTTAATGAATGTTATGCAGCAGAAACAGAATAACCCTATCATACTACGCCACAAGTGCGAAACAATCCGCCTGATCAGGGATGCAGTCGCACAGGCGGACACGCATGGGCTGCGGCATGAGATTATAGCTGCGACAACATATCTGGTTTACTTTTCTGTACGTCCATGTCTACCCTTCCAGAATAGTCTGGGAAGCGGTACGCCATGCTTACATATATAACAAAATTAAATAGAAACTCCTCGGCAACTTCGAAGAGGCGCACAAGCATGATCTTGGTATACCTGCAATGCTCCAGTTCAAGGGGCTCGCTCCTGTCGCACCCGATACGTATACAAGCTATCTGCTTAGACTGTATATTGTCGCCTTATTCTTAGCTTTGCCCGGCATTGTTTACTAATTCCCACTGCACAGTCGCGATGTCTGGAACAGCATCGTTGCGCACGCCACCTCGCTTTTCCCATCCATGGCAGGGCCGAGACCGAGCTCGGGCCACTATACCAGCTTACTTGCAATCGCGGTCCAGAAACAACTAGAGCGGCCCCCAGATCTTACGCTTCCGGTGCCCATTGTGACCTTTTTGCTGGCGTTCAACAACCAATGCATTGACATGAACGAATCCCAGTCGTCCGAGGATACCCTCCTCACACCCGCCCCCACAGCCGAGCCCCTGGACCCACCAACCCTGCACGCCATGCAATGCATCTTGGTCGCAGCGACGCTATACTGGACAGCAGTCAGCCGCGACGCCCACGAACGTCCATACGACAAAACAAGCAATGACGGGTTAATCCAAGCGCTGCGGACCGCAGTCATCCAGTCTGACGACCTATTCTGGCTGCGCCTCGGGCCAGAGGTGCTGCGGTGGATTCTCATGACGGGCGCGGCCGCTGCGGCGTCGTTGCAGGACCAGGCGTGGTTCATTATGCGGGCGTACATGGTGACGGCGCTTATCGAGCCCGCGGAGATGGATGCGTTTCTTGTTGGCGCGGATCATTTGCTCTGGGTGTTTAATCATTGCGCAGAGGCGCAGGGCGGTCGTTGAGCTTGGAGTACGAGCGCGTTCTATCTGAAGGCTGCGATTCTGCACCGGGTCACCCTGTCAAGGCCTTTTTTTTGTAGGCGGCGTTCTTTTTTTTTGTTTTTGTTTTTGTTTTCTTTTCCAGAGCGACTGTAGGTATCACAGGGTGTTGGCATCCGGTCACGAAGAAGGTACTATAGGGCGAGGCCAGTTTGCCAGATCTCGCGTTGGTGATTATTCTTCCGCGTGGAGAGGGCGATGAATGCATGTATATACTCAACCGAGAAAAGAGAAACTGGTCAATTATAAGCTTCCGTTGAAGATTCTTTATGATGTTTATAAATTGATCATCATTGAGCCCTAAGCAACCTAGAAGCGAAGTCAAGTATCCCAGACGTTGGATTTAAGTATGCGCGTGCCCACGGCTTCCCACAATTTGGACTGAGGCGACATTTCATTTGCGATGTTAGATCAATAATCAGACTGATTAATTATCAGACCGAGGCAGGATCTTGATTAGTGAGCCCCATTCGTGCATTTGACAAATAAGGCAAAACGGTACTGCAGATTATTTGACCCTTGAACTCCAGTAGGGGATCATTGGATGATTTCCTCTGATTGTTACATCAGCTGACGTGCAATAAATCAAATGTATACTTGTTATATCCTAACTAAACGTTATTAGTTAGATTTATCGTATTCTAAAAGCGTTTGACGATTATTTATATAAGTTTCGTAACTCTACAAGAGAAGCATTACTAGGGCCCATATGATATCAACCTCTGCCCTAGTCAGTACAGTAAGATCTCAGGGCGAGAAGCTGTGAATTTAATGCTATCCGAGTCAAAGCCAAGTCTTGACCCAAGTTGGGGATAGAGTATATATCCCCTCTGGGTTTTATCCATCCCGCAACCACATCCTACATCCCCTCCTATACATCGCGCCATGCACCACTGCCAGCATGCATAATGGTCAAGAAGATCATTTCTAGTTAGCCCACGACATAAAAATCATGACAATTCTCATACGTCTGCTTGTTCCCACTTGCAGACCAGTACCACTAGATCACGCAGGCTCCGGCTTCCACAACCTGGCAGATAGTTAAGGGTGCGACATTATTTATGATTCCATTGCCGTGTCCCACAACGTCCAGGCAGAATATATCCGGTCTAGCGTGGGAAAGCTTTCAGTTTATACCTCTTATATATGCCCCGAGCCATTTCCACGCTTTAAGATTATACCATGCCCGACGCCACCAGGTTAAATGGATTGCACCACCCACCCCTAGATACTGCAGAGGAGTCCGACAGTTTTCTAGCTTTTGGGAACCAGAGTTAGAAGGCAATGGGCAGCCGCTGTCAATTCAATGAAGGGCCCCTGGGTACCATACTCGGCGGCGGCTCTATCGAGGTACATGTATGCAGACAGCGTCAGCGTAGTGAATCCTGGCTCGCCGTCTCCCCTGAAGGGACGTTCAATCGAGCCCCGAGCCACCTCGTCAAGAAGACTCAACCCCGCCTCAGCAGCAATGACCATCTCCATAGTCTCGCGATTCCCACTTCGCACGGCCGCAGCGAGTGGGATTGTCCCAGTGGAATCCGCCACATTTAAGCCCACAAACCCCTTGGATACTCGAGTACCATCTCAACAATGTGTCAGTCAACAGGAACAGGCGCTCGACTGCGAATCCTTGGCGCAGGATGGAAATACGAACGGACGCGAAGGGCGTGTTAGAGTTGCCTTGCGGATGTGGAGACAGATCTCGGAGCCGATCTTCTCGTATTTGGGATCGCGTGGGGCTTCCACCATGAGCCCACCAGTTATGCGAGGGGCCGCCACGGATTCAAGATGGCACAGTACGCGGCGACAGACTTGGAGCCTCGGTGGCCGTGGGTGCCGTACATAGGAACACCGATGGATAGATCGTAAGCAGGAATCGCAGGTCTCACACCACACCAATTATCCCGCGCGGTATCAGCCGTGGTTCTTGCTGGCTTTGCTGTGTGCTAAAACCGTTTGGAGGTGGGCATGCCAATGCTATTCGCAGCTAGGGCGAGTATGATCAGGGTTTGAACAAGGCACATTATTGGCTCCCGTAAGCTGGATGTCATGGGGTTTCAAGGAAACCCAGGGTCTCCAAAAGGTTTCTTGGATGGTCGCCCAAAACGCGGGCGTGAATCAGTCGAGGCACTGCACTGAGCACGGACGTCCCCTTTCCCCACTTCGAAATGCGGACTGGGGCCTCTGGGGCGAGATGTTCTGGGCGCTTTCAGCCAATAAGCTACGGATATAGAAATGACCCCAGTGCCAAGTCCCTGATCGACAATAAACAGGGCGTAAACAGCTAGGCAGGGGAGGGGGAGGGAGCCGCGGTCAGCTTTCTTTTGACCAGCGAGGCTCTGCGGCTGATGACGAGTTTCATCCTCCTCGCAAACTGACAGAGGTGACCCTGAATGTGCCCCTGAGTAGCCCGAGGCAATGGAGCCAATACGAACAAGGAGAAATGGTCTGCTTGCACGCGCCGCCGGGTCCGGCTGCGGCGAAGGCGAACTTCTCTGCGGTGGTAAGTCAGCCAGTTCACCACGCACGCCCAGCAATTAACTAGTGCACATGGCTCATTCATTGTACGGCTGACCTGTGACTTCTGGTCACTTGTGTAGATTCGTCTTGCTACCCTGTTGGCGGCGACTGCTGCGGCGATAACAGCGGCGGCTACTGCGAACCTGGCTACCGCTGTACCTTCGTCACGAGTGACGGCGGAGTGCCAGGATGCGAACTCGATGAGGCTTCGCCGACCAGCTCACCCTCGCCTATCCTCGCTTCCTCCTCCAGCCTTGAAGCCGCAGAGATCGCCGGTATCGCAGTGGGATGCGGCGTCGCTCTCATCCTCGCGATCCTCGCACTGATTCTTCTCCAAAGACGCCGGTCGCAACGTACAAAACACGTATCAAAAGAGACGCATCGATCCCTCGACCTCACACCCTCGAAATATCAGCCTCGCCTTCCCTGCCCCTCGATCGAAGTCTCCCCTTCACCCGGGACGAATTCGAAATCGCGCTCGTCTGTGCGCTCCGCCTCGAATACGACGCCGTCTGCCTCCTCTTCGACACATTCTGGGACGAACGCGGGGACCGGTTTGGGCGGGCACCTGGCGACTCCAATACATATACAACGGGACGCATTGGAAGGTATAATGTGGTTCTGGCGCTGCTACCGAATAGGGGAAAAGTGAGCGCCGCGAGTGCAGCTGCGTCCCTGCAGCATAGCTACCGGGGCCTGCGATTGGCGATACTCGTGGGAATTTGTGGCGGGGTTCCGTTCCCAGCCCATCCTCGCGAAAAGGCAGACAATGTGGAAAGCCGCAGCGAGATCCTGCTGGGCGATGTCGTCGTCAGCCAAAAGGTCATCCAATACGACCTGGGCAAGCGGTACCCCAACGCGTTTTTGCGGCGCGACACGGTCGAGGATAATCTCAGCAGACCGAATACAGATATCCGGAGCTTACTGGCTACTTTGGAAACGGAGCATGGGCGCGAGCGCCTTGAGCAGGGGACGACGAGTTATCTGACCCAACTGCAGGATGCAGCGCGTGCGAAGAACCGACGGACGAAATATGTGTTCCCGGGGACGAGCGAGGATCGGCTATTCGATCCGAGTTATCGCCACAAGCATCATGATCCTGTCGGCTGCATTTGCAAGGACTGCGAGCAGGGATCGGATCCTGTTTGCGAAGCGGCACTAACCATCACCTGCGCGGATCTTCAATGCGATGGATCCCACCTGATTGATCGCCAACGCCTAAGAATGAAAGCCGAACAGGAGGCAAACGGAGACAGCCAGGCGCAAAGCCCAGCTATCCACATAGGACAGATCGCATCAGGCGACACGGTAGTCAAGTCCGGCGAAGACCGCGACACTCTCGCCAAGAAAATGAATGTAGTCGCGTTTGAGATGGAGGGGGCCGGTGTGTGGGATCAGCTGCCGTGTATCATTGTCAAGGGAGTTGCAGATTATGCGGACTGTCATAAGACTCACACGTGGCAGGATTTCGCCGCGGCCACGGCTGCGTCGGCTATGAAGGCCCTGCTGGATAGATATGTTAGGACGGATAGGGTTGCTAGTCCGCGAATGTAGGAAATATTGGGTGATTTGGGAGTGTCATCTAGCCTCTACGTAAGAAAGGGCATCCAGTTGGTGAGACTGCTGGTTAGAGGGCACATTTGCTGCTCCCCAGGACAGAACTATCCCAGAGATGAGAGAACGACCCCAAAAATAACGAGTGCCAACTCTCCACCTCGCATTTGATCATTGGCTGTCTCTACTAGCCTGGCCAGTTGCCATCCACTGACGTTGCACTTAGTCCTCATATCATTGTTCAGTTTCAGTCTGTAAGAGGGGGAGATAACCTGTGGTGCATCGATTGTACAAAGTACTGCGCGTGGAACAGGAACGCCGTGGGTAAGGTGATATATACTCTCGCACTGTTCAGGCTATCAACCAACATGTGCCAGTGCAGAACCCCTCCGCCTATTATTCGCGGCCAAGACCAAAGATACCAAACTAGTGGAATAAGGACAGCCTCTTTACTTGTCGCACGCAGCCACATACCATAGCCCTTGATACATCGTCTATGAATAACTCCCAACGTGCGTGAATCCAAGCAGGCCGTAGACCATCTACTCCACGACATAAAAATCATGACAACTCTCATACGTCTGCTTATTCCCACTCGCATACCAGTACCACTGAATGACGCAGTTTCCAGCCTCGCTGCATGATGAGCCGAGCGAGTCTGGGATCGTGACGTTGTAGTCAACTAGCGCATCCCGTTGGTTAGCAACCGGGCAAGCTCAGCGGCGAGAGCGCGCGGGTTGGGGGAAGGGAGGGGGTGGGTGCATACTGTCATCCCGGGGCGGCCCAGAAAGATGATTCGGCCAGTCGTCCCATGAGCGTAAGGGGTCTCCTAGAACTTCGTTTGTGGATGTGTCGACTATGGACACGTTCTGTACGCAATCAGTTAATATGTACCTCGTAGAGCCTCCAAAGCCTTGATCTACCAAGACGAGGCTGCGGGAAAGAGTCAAAAAGCATGGATGGAACGAACCGCGTATCCAGGATGATGCCCCGCAATCAAGTCCACATGGAAATAGAGCACCTCCCCAACGCTAACCGCTAGGACATTGTCCGTATTATCCTCAAACTGATACCCACGACACAGATACGCGTTGCAGTTGTAGTCGTCGTCGGCCTTTGCCATGGCGTTCTCGATGGGGCCCGCGATATCTGGCATACCGATCATCAGTCACCATTTCCATGCGCTAAGAGGTGCTGTTCGGGGTACCGTTCTCCAGGACATCTACTACTGCAGCGCCACATGCTGCTTCGTGTGCGGGTCCTGTCTGTTCATACGTTAGTAGGGCTCATGTACGATTTGGAAAGGTGCCGCTGGCCTTTCGCGGCGGAGGTTCTGCGACGACAGCATGCCCGTGGGCGCCAGATATCAGCGCAAAAAGCGCGGCTTGGAGTAGCGCAGAGGACAGCATTGGTGCGGTTGGTTTGCGTTGTCAAGCAAATCTTGGTAGAAGATGGGTAGAGCAGAGTATGAGTCCTGGACGAGCTCTGAGACGTAGAGTCTGTCGGTCGCTGGACAGCTGGTTTGGGTCATGCGATCGCTCGCAAACAATAGGAGATGAAAACGATCACAGTCCGAGTATCCTGCAGCCTCCTCGTGAATCCATCGCTATTCTTCCATAAAATAATATTTCCCCGCCAATCGCGCGCCAACTGTATACAACACCCGCAGATCGCAATCGTCGCGGAAAATCCCTCCATGCTCGTATGACGTCCGATGGTCGGCAGATACACGATCAAATCCCTCAGCCCATCGCAGCCCTCATATATTAGATCACCAGGGTTCGGCTCTTGCGCATTGGCAAGGCAGGGCGCCACATCGTCAGCCGAAGCTGGTCGCACCAAACATGCATGAAACGCCGCGGAAATCCGGAGGATCCTTTCGCGCCAACAGGAAGATGTCGCCTAGAGTCGATTTAATCTATTCAGGAATCGTGGGGAGATGACACGAACCTTCGGGGTCCGTTCCCGTGCCAAATGCGGAGGGGTGAGACTTGACCCCGGGTGATCTGCATGCTCGGCACGAGACCATTGGAGGGGAAATTGGGTGGGTTTTTCTTGGTCTGGGGTAGATTGTCCTGCAGAATTGGAACTTAGGGGTGCAGGATATACTCCGGAGTATAGGTTGCGATAGTAATGGGCAGGTGCTGGAGTTGGATTTGCATGTTGGGTGTGGTTTTGAGAGGTATATAAAGCACAATGTTACCGCTGGAAGAGAAGAAAACCAACCACCTCCCAGAGCACCTCACACAGTCAGCTCAGTCTTCTCGCAGTCCTACTACTTTCAGTTCGAGACTATTGGATCCACTCAGTCACCATGAGGTTCACCACCGCCCTGCTCCTCGCGGTCGTCGCAGTCGCCAGCCCAACAGACCTCAAGGCGCGCCACGAGCTCACCCGCCGCCAGGCCTCTCAAAGTTGCCCGATCGGCTACTGCACGCAGAACGGCGGAACAACCGGTGGTGCCGCAGGAGACACTGTGACGGTCTCCGACCTTGCCAGCCTGACTGAAGCCGCTGAAAGCGATGAGCCGCTCACCATCATCGTGTCGGGCTCCATCTCTGGAAGCGCAAAGATCCGCGTGGGCTCTGACAAGACTATTTACGGCGAGTCGGGGAGTTGTACGTATCATCCTACCCAGTTTCCTCCTCTCATGACGTGGTGGATTTGTTACTGATAGCAAGCAGCCATTACCGGCGTGGGCTTCTACGTCCGCCGCGTGAGCAACGTCATCCTGCGGAACCTGAAGATTGGTCAGGTTGATGCGGATAACGGTGATGCTATCGGTATCGACGCGTCAAGCAACGTGTGGGTTGACCACTGCGACCTGTCTGGTGATCTCAGTGCTGGAAAGGATGATCTTGATGGTCTCCTGGACATCACCCACGGCTCCGAGTGGGTGACTGTTTCCAACACGTACTTCCACGACCACGTAAGCACAAGTCCCGCTATTCGCACTTCGTTGATGAATACTGATAATCTGCGTGCAGTGGAAAGGCTCCTTGATCGGGCACAGCGACAACAATGAAGACGAAGATCTTGGCCACCTCCACATCACATACGCCAACAACCACTGGTACAACGTCAACAGCCGCGTCCCCTCTGTGCGTTTCGGCACAGTCCACATCATCAACAACTACTGGGACACGATCCTGACCTCTGGTGTGAACTGCCGCATGGACGCGCAGGTTCTTATCCAGAGCTCTGCGTTTACAAACGCCGACGAGCGCGCGATTTTCTTTGCTGACTCGGATTATACCGGGTACGCGGTTGTTCAGGACGTTGACCTTGGCGGTAGTGAGAACTCTGTGCCGGTGGGGACGCTTACGCCCAGCTCCCTGCCCTATGCGGCTATTGCGGCGTTGGGGTCTGGGAGTGTTGCGGGGACTGTTCCTGGGCAGGCTGGGCAGACGCTGTAAATGGTAGTATTGATGAAGGAGACGATACTAGGGTGATTGTGTTGGGAGTGCGCTGATGGCTTGATTTGATATTACTTGAAATTGTGGCTGCCTAGTTTAGGATTTTAAGCAATCGACCATGGTTAAGTGATGAGCTTCTTGGCTTTGAGCCTCGTAGTGTAAGACGTCGAATGTGTACTCTCGTCCCAGCATCATCCCATTAGGCCATTTGCTGTACCCGGTATGGATTTAGCATGTCACAAACTTCTCTCCCAGCCAGCGTCAGCCCTTCGCACCTTCCACAAACGGCATCTACACCAGCGAATACACAAGCTTCCCCCCACTAATCGGCCTCATATGCTCCTCGAAGCCTCCCCGCTCTTGCTCTTCTCCGTTTGCTGGAGGACCACTCCTCTCCGAAACCATCCCAGAGAGCAACGAAAACGCATCCGGTACGATCCTCTCCAACCCACCCGGCATCCTCCGGACCGGGTTTGGTCGCAGCACCACCTTCCCCTCGTCAACACCAGAACCAAGCCACTCGAAGAACTTGACGGCAAAGGCACGTGCGGAGGGCGGGGCGGGGAAGACGAGGCCTGTATTTCATCATCATTAGCTTCCATTCCCCTCCCCTCTCCTCTCCAGAACGGTCCACGAGAGTTAGTCAGTCGGAAGCCAAAAGATGTACTAACCACCCCCATAATCAACCTCATACCCTAACCCCTCCCAAACCGTCCCATACACTGGCTGAATCGCCAGATCCTTCGTCTCAAACTGCCCTCCATCCTGTCCGCGGAAGACATGATACTTCCCCTTGGCATTCAACGTACTATGGACCTTGGCGACAGTGTCCCGCTCGGAGATTGTGTCGAGGGCATAGTGTACGCCGACGCCACCTGTTGCTGCCCGGACTTTTTCAGGCCAGGTCTCATCGCGGTAGTCGATGAGTAGGTCGTAGTTGTATGGTGGGGCGGAGAGGAAGGCGTGTTTTGACGGTCTCGCTGTGCCGATGAGCCGAAATTTCCGTCCGGAAGTCGACGCGGCGACGTGGACGAGTTGTGCGGCGTAGAAGCCGAGGGAGGATGCGGAGCCGTTTATTAATACGTTGATCGCCCCAGCATCACCATCACTGCTCTCACTACCTATGCCTGGTAGAGATACATCCTCCGCTTCATAGAACGGCCCCGGCAGTCCAAACCTCGGAAAGAGAGCCTGCGCAGATGTCAACGCGCACATGCTGACCGTGCACGCCTCCTCGTAGGAGAGAGTCGACGGAATGGACCAGAGCAGGTCGTAGGGGGCCGCGACGTATTGGGCGAATGCGCCGGGGAGGTCGTTCACGGAGTTCGCTGTCCGCAACATCAATAACTTACTTTCCCTTGCCACCAAATTAAGGGTCGAAGAAGGAAGATAGTATGGGGTAGGAACGGCATACCTCCTTGCACAAACCCCGCAACCCTCTCTCCCATCCTAGCTCTCCTATCCTCCACCCCGTCCAATCTCAAGTGTCGGCTGACAACCTCCCCCGCAAAATCCACACCAAGAACGCGTTGCTCTTGAGTCGCGATCGGCTCCGCGAAGTAGATCTGGTCCACTGGGTTGACGGCTACGGCGTGGATGCGGACGAGGACTTGCCCTGGTCCGGGGATTGGGGTTGGGATGGTGAGAACGGAGGCCGTTCGGGTTGAGGGGGTTAGAACTAGGGCGCGCATTTCACCAGGGGGCGGCATGGTTATTGTTTTTTTGTTTTGTTTTGATGGGAAATATCTGGTTGCGTGTCTTTCCTAAGACGAGGTCGTTGAGGAGGGGATGATCGAGGAGATCGGGGCATGAACGGGACGGTGGCTTTTTATATTTAGTCCTGGATATAGGGCATGATGATGTTACATCTGATATCTCGACTTTCTGCGGCTGAACGCGCGCGATTCCAGATTCATGTCAATACCCCGGCCAGAATACGAAGGGGGGCTGAATTCATCATCCATCACCGAGCGGCGTCGCAACATGGCGACATGTTCCGACAGCCATAGGGCTCGAGCTTTGCGTGCAGGGGTCCATCTCGTATTCGGGCGCCCGAGTTCTCGGCATGTGCGAACCATGGCTGCTTTCTAATGTGCTCGGGGTATAATTCCACATCTAGAATAACTCCTCCGTCGAAACAAATCTTACTATACAATTGAGCAGGGGTAGATATCCTTTCACCCCCATCTTTTCTCCCCGGGCATGGCACCTCAGGAACCGACCCCAAGAGGAAATACCTATCCATACTCAATGTCCAACATGCTCAACGACCGCATCCCCCTTCTTCATCACCTTCTCTCCCTCCCCAGACGAATTCTCAACATCCCCCTCTCGAATTCCCAGAGCCAACTCCTTCTGTATACTCCGCGCAACGACCACCGGATTCCCGCCCCTTGAGAAAATATTATCCACCTCCTCAAGACTCAAATTCGACGTCTCCGGGTAGAGGAAGTAAATCACCGGGACGAAGGCCAGGTTCGTCGCCATGAAGATCAGGTATGCTTTCCATTTTAGGCGTTCGATTATTATGGGCGTTATCATGACCTGCGACAAAGCGAAGAAAGGGTGTTAGTTATTGCACGAGAGTAAGGGTATGGGGAAGGGCTCTATAGAAGGCAATGCTTACAACCGCAAAATTCCACAACCAATTCGAACTAACCCCAATCGCCGTCCCGCGGGTGCGCGCATGCAGTGGCAGAATCTCAGGAACATACACCCAGGGGACGCAGTTCATACTCGCGCCGAAGATGAACATATACGTGAAGAAGAACGCGACGGATCCAGAAGCGAATGCTTTGCCGCGGGTCGTATCGTTGCTCTGCGAGAGGAGGGCGGAGACCAGCATCATGGAGATACTGAGACCCGCGGAACCCCAGAGCATTGTGCTCCGGCGACCCATTTTGTCCAAAGTGAGAGAGGGGATGAGGGAGCCCAGTGGGAACATTAGTTGGATGCAGCCGGCGATGATCTGGGCGAGGCGGTGTTCGAGGCCGACGTTTGTTTGCAATACAGCTGGAGGGGGTTAGACGATGAGGGGATGAGACTGAGGGTTAGGTTGGGTCAGAGGTGGCTTACTGAGAATGTAGTAAACAACCAAGTTAATCCCACCGGCCTGATTCATAAACTGCACGAACCACGCGAGAAAGATGCGATAGCGCGTGCTCAGCTTATCCTTGCGGAAAGTCGACACCCACGACGTGCTCCCCTCGGCCTCTGCGGCGACCGAAAGCGCCGACTCAATGGACTCGGCTTCAGCGAGGATATCCGGGTGATCCACGGGTTTATCGTAAATGGCCGACAAGACCTCAATGGCCTCCTCCTTCTGCCCATTCTTGAGTAGCCAACGCGGTGACTCGGGGACGCCAAAGACGACGAGAATCACCCATAGTGCAAACACGATCTGGAAGGCCAGCGGCCAGCGCCACGCGAATGAGCCGCCGACGAAACTGAACGCGAAGTCCCACCAGTATGCGAATGCGATGCCGATGCCGACGAACATGACCTCGGCCGAGACGAGCCGGCCGCGCTTTGTCCCCTCGCAGATTTCGGATTGGTACCTGTATACACCCTTATTAGTCTCCACTAACCATTCCAGACAGCGTGAAAAGAAGAATGCAGGTGGGACATACATAGGAACAGTCGAGGTCTTCAACCCCGTCCCAACGCCCGTAACAATCCTGCCCGCAATCAAATGCCCCCGGGAAAACGCACTCGCCTGGAGGGCCGCCCCCACAATAACCCAGGCCATAGCCAGCCAAATCGTGCGTCGGCGCCCAAGTCTATCGCCGATAATAAAGTTCCCAAAACATCCCGCCAGACATCCCAAGTTGTAGCTCGACGTGATGAAGCCCGTGAGTGTGTCGCCAGGGTGGTTGAATTGCGTCAGCCAGTCGGAGTTCTCGAGGATTCCGCCAAACACGCCCTGGTCGTAGCCGTAGAGGACGAAGGCGCACAGGCAGCAGGATGTCACGGCCAACTGCAGCTTTTTGCCGCGGCCGAACCAGGTGCGCATGGTGTAGCTGGGTTCTTGGTTTCTGTTGGGCGATGGAGGGGATGGACTGGCCGGGGAAAACTGGATCCAGGAGTAACAGAGAATGGGGCCCCCAGCCTTTTAATACGACGTCGCCTGGCACTGGCAGTCCCTGAATCCTGACTCATGAGGTAGCACGAAGTATGGGGATAGAATGCGGGATTTATTCGGCAGATGGAGACTCCACAACGGCACCCATGGGGAAAGGGCAGCCACGGTGTGCGCCTCCAGACTGCATCTCAGGGTGCATCTCGGGGTTTCTCCGTGATGGCCCGTGGGTAGAGCTTCCGCCTTGAGATGATCTCCACAACAGCCCGAGGAGAATTGGAAGGTCTAGCCACGCGAGCCGGATTTGGGGTATATGACATCACAGGCAGCGGGTTATTCCGGCGAGGGACCGGGACCGGGACAGGGCCGAGTCATCGGGCTTGATTTCTCGGAGTGTAACCCACACGCTCCCAAGTGCGTCAGGAAATGCTTAACGTCAGTGGCTTGCGGCTCCGAGGTCCTGGAACGAGTATGTATCAGACTCTGTGCTTTCATACACAATCTAGCCTTGCGGCATCCTCTGCTCGGGCTTACCCTCCAGTTTGTATACATTTTTTGGAGCCATCCATTACGTGGACGTCGGACAGCTGAGGCGAAGCACAGTCCCTGCAGAAAATAACATACATACATCAACCTGTCCTCACAGGGAGCAAGTCCGATATTATATTTCAAAAGCCCTGAATCTTACCTTTCTCGACATGGGCCGTATCTGCCCGTACCTATGTACTTCTGGGCCCCACAGGCCCTGATTTCGGCAATCTGTGCGCGTTCCAGAGTCAAGAGATTGGATTCCCTATCGCCGCTTACGGCTACCTTATGCAGCTCTGGAAGGGGGAAGTTCGTCCCCTGGCTTTGTTACCTACTATTATATCGTATGTTATGTATGTACCGGTATTTATGTCCCACTTCTGCCTGCCTGCGCAGGTATCTATAGCACTCATCCCGGTGGAGAATTGGTCTGCTTGTATCCTGCTACAGTAAATCTACTGAGGAACTACCAGGTATGTAGCTTAGCTTCAATCACATGCAGTCATCATGGCTTGTTCTTTTCCTCTCTGGTCATATCGGGCTAATCAGTGAGAGCGAGGGTTTGTTTTCCTGAGTTGAGGACGCTTCGTATTGTTCGTTGATGGCCAGTCATTGTGAGGTCGTCCCTGGGGATTTCGGCGGCTCTAGCAATTGGGAGAACCGTTGTCTTACAGATGAGGCAACTATAACCACCAACATACTTCTGAAGTTGACCTACTATTATCTTTCCTACCATACCAGTAATCACAAGTTGAGTAACCCGGCCACGGCCGCGCCACTTGCTGGTTAGGAAGCGGAGTATAAGACAAGATTAAATGACATATACTTCGGACAATCTGTGTACAGAACTCATATACTAGGAAAGGAGAAAGGTACCACCAGATTCAATCCCCACAACATCGCCCACTCGATCCTCCCACTCAAGTCACCTCATCGATTAGGCCTCTCACTTCCTCTCGGTACACCTCGGACACATATTATGATCACACCCCAAACAGACATTCAGCGGAAACTCCCGCCGCCTGGGCCCATTACCACACCGACAGCAAAACACCGTAAGTCCCGGTATAGTAAGTGGGGGCAGTGTGCCAAAGACGAATCCGTTTCGGAGGTAGCCATCGTTGCCGCGGAAAATTGGAGTTTCCGCGGTGGGATTTACGTCCTAATCACCCAGTCAGATGATAATGTTGCAGCCTTGTTCGGCCCCCGTGGATAGGAACTCTGCTCGTCGTACCTGGATCTCGCGCATGTCGCGGAGGCGGCAGAATGCGTTTTGCTGGTTGCTCACTGGGAGCCGAGAGGGGTACTTTTGTTCGAACCAGGTTGGGGTACCGTGTTTGGTGTCGCGCGTCGCATCGACTACCTCGTATATAAGTTTGCAGTTGACACTATTGCGACGAAAGAACCAAGACGTTTTTTAGACCAGCCTGCAACCAAAGTAGAGGGTGAGAAACGCACCATTCACTCATCCCCTGGCGTAGGATGCCATTAACATTGTTCGTATCGCACCTCGGACACGTATAGGAAAGGTCACTCGTTTTAGCTAGGGTAAGCCGGGAAAGAACAGTCATGGCGATGTGGGCTCGGGCTGTGACGGTCCATTCCCAATTGGCCGGTGAAATATCGGTCATTGTAGAGACATCTTCGAGAAAGTACTCCCTTCGCATGATTTTCTTGTGACCCGGTGTCCCCGCGAAGATGATTTCGACGTGGCGCTGGAGTTGCTGCAGGCTGTCAGTCAGTCACCATGCGCATAACCCCTGTATAAATCCAAGAACTAGAGTTTAGGAGTAGACTCACTTCCATGGTGATGCAGCACTCGCGTGGAATGCCAATGTAGCGGCCCATTGCGGTCTGGAACGTGGTTGGCTGGTGCTTGTGCTGCCTGTCGGCGATGTACTGTGGAATAAAGCTGCAGATCGCTTGAAGCATCTCGTAGATCGCTTTGGTCTGCAGCTCGGTCTTGCGCGTGAGAAGCGCTAGTTCGCTCACGTCTGTCTCCACTTTGCAGAGAGTCATACTATGTAGAATTAGCTGGGGCTCAAACTGCGTCAAAGACTCTCAACCCACTGCTGAAGAAAACCCTCGTACAGCTGCAGGGCTAGAATATGTCCGTGCAGATCCCTTTCCAGCTTTTTGATGTCCTCCTTCTTGATGGTAATCCATGATATCTTCCTCCAACGCCTCTCGAATCTCTCTCGGCGAGTCTGCCTCTTCTGTCCCGAGAATGGAGGGACGCTCTGGGACTTCCAAAACCCCTTTGCCATGTCATGCGGAAGCAACGTGGCAGTGTACTTGTACGACAAATTGAGAAACTTGTTAATCAGGCCTTTGCAAGAGTTTTAGCTCGTGAGAGATTCCATTGAGAATAGCTTGCTCTCGGAGCATCTGGGGACTCGTCAGCGAATGTGAAGAAGAGGCGCCTTGAGCAAAGTTTTCCACCACGTCTTTGATCGCGTTGGTGCATGTATACAATGATCTAAGAGTGGTCATGAATGACCGATAGCCTTCTACAGCTCCGTGGCGCTCATTGAAGGCTCCGATGACATCGTGGATGAGCTTTCCGAGCTGCTCACTGTTAGCTCGATGGCAGCCCAGGGGACCGCATAAGGTGGAAAAACATACAGTGATAAAGTCTGCAACGGAAATTCCAAATCGGGAAGCCTTTGAAGGTGTGCGAGCTGGAACACTGCAGACAGGAATTGGGTTTGCAGAATGGCGTGATGAAAGAATGACAGTCCTGGAGCAATTGCGCTGCCCTAGTGGGGGTGTACCTGGCGAGACTCGGATAGTGATGAGGCGATGAACATATGAGCTGTGAAAGAAATAGGACCTCAACAACGATCGTCTATCTCGTGGAAGCAATCTGGCTGCCACCGATGGGGGCGATGAAGGTTTGTGGGAAATTGAGAGCGCCGTCCGCCTAGAGGGACTGGCAGCTCCTCCCTCTTTCTTCAAGCGGGGAGTGCGATGATTGCCCATAAATCAGCAATGCAGTCAGATGAGGGGAGGGGCAGACATCAGCAAGTAAGGCAGGCTCTACTAGACCTCCCTGGCTAACAAGGACGAATGCATCGCCGCCGCGTTTACTGCTCGTTCAGTGTGAAGACTGGGATAGACCTGGTATGGCGCATGTCTTGGGCTGTCCGGGGATTCGCTGGTTGAGCTTGTGCGAGTACAAGCTCTTCTCGGCGGTACTCTGAGTTCAGATGAAGAGCCAGCGGCTCCAAGAGAGATAGGTGGCATGAAAAGAGTGAGGTTCCGGGCGGAAGACGGAAGCATAGGGAAGAAGAAGTGTGCCAGGTATAATGAAGGTATATGGGTCAGTCTCCCTGCCTGCGATGAGATCCTGGGCGACAACGTCCCTTCCAAGCGCTGTGTTGCGAAGCAATCTCCCAGCTGGTAGAAGAGCCGCGACAGCCAGGTGTTGTCACCGCTACTGAGTCGATACCGACGAATGGCGACGACTGATTGATTGTTGTAGATGATCGTGCGAGCAATACGCCATCGCACCGAAAGGCCATTGCGAGTGAGGTCAGAGCAACATGCAATGAAGGATCACCATTGATCAGGAAAGGAAGATGCGAGTGGGTTCGAAATGATGCTCACTACTGTTGTAGCAGCAGAGCTCCACGCGTGATCACGCCCCAGACGCCCATGGGTCACGCATGGCCCAGCTCCAAGCTGAGCTGGCAGACAATTGATTCACGCTGCGAGCTCGGCACACAAGGAGAATAGCCAAATGGGCTATACCATATAAGCGACAAGCTGGTGCATGCAAGAGATAATCCGTATCTCTGACCTTTTCGAGCATGGGGTAGACATTCACCGGTTTGCAACACCCCCGCCCAGGGCGTCGGAACGGCGGCTTTGAGATGGCACTCTGCACACTCGAATCGCTCCTTCCACATTGGCGCGTCCAGCATGGATTATCGGTCGTGTAAGGAAGGCACGGCCCGGACAATGTGTAGACAGGGAAGGAACGACCTGGTGGCCGTCCAGACCATCTCCAAACCACATCCCTCTTGTTTCCTCTGCCCTCCCCATGCTCATTCAAAGAATATTCATTGCTATCATAACGAAAATCATCAGAATGGCGACCGACCCTTGCCTCTTACCATCGTCTTCTTCCGTTACCCACACAGCCACTGCTCAAAAACCATCTGCGACCGACCGAGTCATATCTCCCGCAGCGGCCACGCTCATCCAGTGTCTCTCATTTTTCATCTTCTCGGCCGCAACCCTCTACTCCGCGCTCTGGGCTGTTGATGGCCATCTAAATCCCAATCAGGTAAATCAATACCCATTAGTCGCCATCTCATATCAACTTAGCCCACTGGAACTAACCGATTCCTCTCTCTCAAGCCAGCAACTGCGCCCGCCCCATTCACTCCCCACCCCGGCCTCATCTGGATCGTCTTAAACTTTTTTGCCTGGCTCGGGTACCTTCAGTTCATCTGTTACCATTCCGCCGCGGGTCCCTGGACGGAACGCAAGATATTCATCTCCATATCGGTTCGCGGAAAGGTCATCCTCGCGGTAGCACATCTTGGTGCTTGGTACATGTATAAGCGGGTTTACGTTGGCGTCCATCCGAGTATGGTGTTGTTGTTTCTCGTGTCTCAGGCGTCGTTGGATGTCCCTCTGGTGATGCCTTATGCTCTGTTGAGGAATTGGTAGTGTGGCTGTGTGGGTTCGGTATACTGTCACGTTCAATAGTTGTTTGTAGTGGGTTACTAGACGGATTGACGACATGGATTTGCCCTTTGTCTGGGACGGGTTGGTTGTCTGCGCTATGTATTACTAAACGTCCTGTTAGCAGTGGTAGAGCGTCTCTGTTGTTACAATGAAATGGTTTCCAGCTCAATTCTCCTTGACATATGTTCACCGATCTGAGTCTGTGCAATATCTGTTGTCTCTAGTACCTTCACCCAATGCTCGAGTACCTAGTCTGTCCCATCTGATACATCGTTGACCTGACAGCCAAAATTCTGACTCCAACGACAAATTCCAAGTTCCAGTTCTTCTGCAGTCATAGCCGCCTCGTCCCTCTACGCTCCCAATGCACAAGCGAAACTAGAACGTAATCGAGGGATAGAAAATGCAAGTCAGCCTTCCCTATAAGTATGCCCCTGCCCCTCTGACCCAATAGCGATGTATTCAGCGAGCATTCGCCAAGTATACAGTCTCAAGTGTGCTAGTGCCTTCTATTACACTGCCTGTCGTAATGATCCATTCATCGTGTTCCCCTGTCAGCGCCCCTAGAAGATGAGCCGCCCCCCCGCATTTGCATGCTCGTTGCGCAGTCTTATTTCTAAACAATGAATTCAAAGTACCCTCGGTTGGCTAGAAAGCTATTCTCCACGATCTGTTCCCAACAAAACTGGTAGATGCACTCCCCTCATGATCCCTGGCATCAATGCACTGGCTTTTGTAAGACTGAAACACTATTGCCAATCATGTTTCTCACGACTCCTCGAGTGAGAGCTATCGAAGTGGCCCAATAATGTATCTTGGAGTGAAGGCCAGATTCCTTTATCACTTACATATTCGTCCTATTACCTGCTACAGTGCCAAATGTTGATAACGGAGCCCACCCGTCTGGCAAGTATCACCAGATCCATGACCTAAAATAGCACATATTGATCTCTCATCCAGTTGGTGTCGCCAGAATTCTCGGTCAAGGAGGCGTCCGGCGCCCGCTTTGCGATTGGAGGCCGGTTGGCTTTCATGGCCAGGATAAACCGACGCAGGTCCTTATGTGGCCCCTCGACCCTTTTGTCCCACATTACTGTCAATCAGCTCTGAAGCTCACAATTTCTCTAGATTAGATATCGACTCCATGGTTTCAGATAGGATGCTAAGCCCATCCATTCATGGCAATTCCTTGGGGTTGGATTAACAACGGTTTAGATTCGCCCCACCCTCCTCGCCCTTGAAACGATCCCTCCCGAATACACCCATAGCGCAAACATATCATGCACCGCATGGCCAGCAGAGTACCTGCATCCACAAGTACACTACCTCCTTTGCCGCCCCCAGATGCCTCGTCCCCGTCCCAGAGAGACGCGACGGCCAACGCAGCGACAACAATAACACCAACAAGCGAACTGGCGCATCACTGGCCCGAAGAGTTAGTATCCGGAAACACATCATCCTGGAAGGGACTTTACCCCATCCGAATCCGACTCCTCACGTACGCAACGAAAACCCGCTTCAAGGCATTTGGCCTACTCTTTTGCCCCGATACGGCTGACCCCGTGAACGGTTCGCTCTCGAGACGCGGATATGCTCGTGTACGTGATGTGGGAAGGATGAGATTTCACGTAGGATAGGGCAGTGCGGATGCTTACGCTGAGAACGGGGTCTAAGGCGAGGGGGGTGCATACACTCGATGCGTTATGGACAGTGAGCCTCTGCAGGATGTTTGGGGTTCGCAAATCGCTAGGTGGGGTGCCTTTGGAGAGGATGGAGATTTTAGGGTTTTAGATGGTCTTGTGGAAGAGCTGAAGGGCTGAGGTGAGGTGCGCACAGACATCATTTCCATCAGGTGGAGGTCTCGTTGCTCGAAATGTATCCGTTGGCAAGCTAAATATCTCCTAGACTAGCATTCGATGTGAACCCGGGGGTTATTCTGTGATATACTTTCAGCTTCGTGATTGTAACGCAGACATCGCAGTACCAGGCTACCCTCGACACAGTCTCCGTCGCCAAGGTACGTAGTACGCTGAATCCCAAGCGAATGTATCATGTCGCGGAGTTGAGGTTGAAAGACAGTGTAAGTTGTGAGTACTCTCCCTGGAAGGTACATGGTAGGCAACATGCTACTGGCCTATCTACTGGTTGGTTCTGGGCTTGCGAAATCGAAAACATGAAGGACCTCAAGATATATATTCCAAAGCACGGCAATGTACGAGGCATATTCAACAGCCACCGAAGAATAGTGAGTCTAGCAACCAAGTATCTGATCCTGGCGTTTGATTTAAACGAAATACCTACATGAATAAAGGGATAATACTCCGTCCTCCACGTGTGTGGCGTTGTTATGCTGCGTCGGCCCTATGTTCCAGAACGACGAGCATATCCGCCGGTAGAGACAGAGTCGGCCATAGCTAGGAGGCAAACGGCAAGGAACGCGACAATTTGAATGAGCACGTTTAGAGTTGCCCGAGTGTCTGATTGAACCAACCCAGATGCGCGGGGTGGTAATACAACCTGAGTAACTATTCATTGCCGTTGTCGCTGATCATGAAGGGGCCACACGGAGCTAGATCTCCCCTGTCGCCCATTCGATCTCCGGCAGTGGAATTTGGAATCTCAGACAAAGATTGCAAGTAACTGGCCGCTTCTGAGATGGTCAACGAGGAGGAGAGGGGGAAAGTGCAGTTCGAGGCATGCAAGCGGCATCCGCAATGCCGCACAGCTACGTTACAGCATAATCTAGATCCTTAAAGCACGAGAATCAAGATCCATCCTATCATATCGCTAAACAGTCTCGAGTGCAGCTACAGCGTGCATAAGCGGTCAAACTTTGCTCGCGACTCCAACTACCAAGCCAAACTACCTCCAATAGTGACCGAGTCAAGAGAGTTCTGGAAGGGCACTAACAAATCAAAAGACAAGGGATCCCTGCAAAGATCAATAACACGTTTTTGCGAGCCACGTGGGGGAAAATCATTCTTCAATAACTGCTTATTCCACCTCAATAGTTGGCAATAACCTCTTGTTGTCCGATTTCCTGTCGGAGGCAAAGCACTCACTGAACAGCGATCAGAATGAAGCGAGTTGAGATCTCAGTATCCCCACACTTCCGGGTGAGCCGGATGTTATCTCAAATCGCAGTCTTGGGGATCGAGGCCAGGTTTTTGTTGACCGCTGGTCCCCTCGGCTGGACTGGGCATGGGAGGTTCCATCCTGCAGGCTGCGCCGGAGCGCCCACATGGCCAGCCACGTTTTGGTGCCACCGACATTCTGCCGTGAAGAACCTCAGCATTGCCAATATCAGCCATATATCGATAATTTGTCAACTTTAATGTGTAGCCAAGTTTCAAATCATCCTTTCCATGGATTTGCAGCCGGAACTTCTCCCCTTGGACGGAGATGGCCGCCGTTACTGTCCATGTTCGAGAGGAATTCGACGAGGTTAGACGCAGACTAACGCTGTTAGGCCCAAATCCTGCCCTTCCCTTCCCCATCGCGACACTAGCGATGGATGGGGTCCGACAAACTCCACAGCGCTGAACGAGCATGAAGAAGAGCCAATCCGGTGCCCACTTGAAGCGTTGGATTCCAATTCATTGTTCGGGGCTCCCCTCTTTCTGCTCTGCAAGCTGTACGCTGTAACCCGCCCACAACTTTCTCCCGCGCATTGCGCCGCGACAGACAATGCGATTATCGGACTAGATCCGGCACCCGCCTGGGACCTGCTCCTTCTGGCATGGTATATACCCCATAATGCCATTGTCGCATTGTCGCGATTCGCATCGTCGAGTCATTAGCCTACTTGCCGAAGCTCCGCGCGAGTCGAGTCGCGAGGGGTTTGCCCGCCATCGCAGTGCGCTTATAAAACCCCGAAGAGCTGCGCTTTGAAAATGTCGCCTCCGGTCGCTCTATCATTCCTCACTTCCACTGTTCGAGATTCACCAAGATGAAGCTCACTTCTCCCGTGGCCGCTGCGCTCCTCGGCCTCGCGCCTGAGCTTGGCTCTGCCCTTGTCACCCGCGAGTCTTCCACCCGCTGCGTATGTTACCCTGAAAGCCTTGCCAATTACACAATCTGCTACTAGCCAAACCCAAATAATACAAAAGCCACAAATGCTGCGCCGCTAAAGCTAATCGCCCCTCTCTTGCTCTACATACAGTGCCGCGCCCTCTCCTCCAGCCCCATCGGCGACAAAGTCGTCTACCCCGGCGACGCCGCCTACCACGACAGCGTAACCTCCTACTGGGCCGTCAACGTCCAGCTGGAACCAACCTGCATTGTCCAACCAACCTGCGCCGAGGATGTCTCCTCCATCGTGCAGACCCTCACAAGCGCCGGCGGCGAGCAGGCCCCTTGCCAGTTCGCCGTGCGCTCGGGCGGCCATATGACCTGGGCGGGCGCGAATAACATCGAGCCTGGTGTGACGATTGATCTGTCCATGATGAATAGTACTGTATACCAGGAGGATGCCAAGATCGCGTCTATTTTGCCTGGGTCGAGATGGCAGGCGGTTTATGAGTATCTGGAGGGCCATGGGGTGGCCGTTCCTGGTGGGCGCACTGGGCCTGTTGGTGTTGGTGGGTTCTTGCTTGGAGGTATGTCGCTATCACCGCATCCATGCATCTCTAGATTAGAATCTGCAGCGCGATCCTAATGCTCAACCCCGTTCAGGCGGCAACTCGTTCCACGGCGCGCGCGTCGGCCTGGCCTGCGACAACGTCGTCAACTACGAAGTCGTGTTGGCCAGCGGGCGCATCGTCAACGCCAACGCGGACGAAAACGTCGACCTGTTCAAGGCGCTCAAGGGCGGCTCGAGCAACTTTGGGATTGTCACCAAGTACGACGTGAAGACGATCGACAGCCCGGACATGTGGGGCGGCCTCGTTGTGTTTGAGAACTCGACGACCGACCAGCAGATCCCTGCGCTGGTCAAGTTTGTCGATAACATCGAGAACGACCCCTACGCGAGCTGGATTGGCCTCTGGCAGTATAGATCGGTGACCGAGCAGACGACCATCACCACCCCGTTGGATTACACCAAGCCCGAGGCGTTCCCGGCGGCGTTTGATGATTTCTATGCGATTCCGAATATCTCGGATTCGACTCGTTATGCGACCGTTTTCAACCTGACGAGTGAGCTGCAGCAGGCGGAGGGATACCGGTGCGTCACCACACTCCCAATCACATAAACGTGCACTGTATACTAACCGTGAATAGCGACGTCTTCCTCACAAGCAGCTACTACAACAGCGAAGACGTCCTCTACAAGATGATCGAGATCCTCAACAGCAAGATCGAAGAGGCCCGCCCCCTCGCGACCGGCGAGGACTGGTCGATCATGGTCATCGTCCAGCCCTGGCCCAAGATCCTCTGGCAGCGCAACGCCGATAACGGCATTGGAAATGTGCTTGGGCTCGATCGGTTCGATGAGAATATGATTCGTGCGTTGTCCCCAGACCCCGTCCAACATTCCATCCCCATCCTCATCCGCATCCCTCACTCCGCGCATACTAACGAATGCTACAGAAGTGCTGTACGACTACTCCTGGGACTCGGCCGCCGACGACGCGCTCTTCCACCGCCTGTGCGAGGAAGCCTTGGCTGAGCTCGACGAGTATGCTAAGTCCATCGACATGTACAACGAGTACATCTACCTCAACTATGCGGACAAGACGCAGAACCCGCTGCGCGGGTACGGAGAGGAGAATGTGCAGTTTATCCGTGAGGTTGCAGAGAGGTATGATCCTGAGGGCGTCTTCCAACGACAGGTTCCGGGTGGGTTCAAGGTGTCCAAGGCGTAGATGAGATCGATTGTGGATGGGAGCGGGGAGGGGAGGGGAGGTGGAGAGGAGCTGGGAATCAGGCATGGAGGAGGAGATCAGGGGCTCTTTAATACTTTCGCCTGTAGACTATTGTGCGAGCTGGACAATAGCATTTTGCCTTTCATAGAGTTAAGTATAGACATTGTAATCGACTCTCCATTGTGTCCGCATCTCAGCTCGGATCTCCCCTTCATTTCCTCAATCGGGGCACCCAAGCAGCTCGAGCTTCATAATCTTCTTGGCATTATAGCTCGGCAGGAGCAAGTCCGAGACATTATGCACCTCGCAATTTCAAATTCCTCTCTCCACAAGCCCGCAATGCTAAAGGTGCGACTAAACGCCGCTACGCATCGGGGAAACCAGTGCGCAGGAAGTAGCGGCCCACATGGGAGTTCCTAGCAGTACTTGGCAATCCTCTCACAGTGCAAACAAACACAAAAGGCGGGACAAGCTTCCAAAAAGCGATTCCAGGAATCGAATCATCCCTGCTCCAAATCCCTGTTGTGCAGATTGTGTTTCTGATTGAGATGGCCATGCAGGATCTCGCACGATTCAGGGATTCGATTCCCTGCAAACTTTATTCAATCCTTCCTCGCGGTTTCTTCAATAGATCATTGCAACTGACATGCCCACCCTGACTCGCCTCTCCCTCCCTTCCCACTCTCGTTTCATCACCCCTCGAGTCGAGTCAGACTCGCTGGTAGCCTAGCGAAGGTACGGAACGCCGGCCGCTGCCCGCTGCCACCAGAACACACTGTGGGCCACCAGCCTCCCGAATCTGGAGATGCAAGCGCCGATCGTAGCGTCGCGAGGAGGTCCGACCGCGATGAACGGGTCTGGATCGTGGAATTGGTCCCTCGTTTTCTCGTTGTGCCTTTGCTGTGCCTCGACCAGTTCGCTTGCCCGGAACCCACCGCCGCCCTCCCCGTCTCCATGTTTCTCCGCTGCCTGTGGCCACCGAGGCCACTGATGTCTGTGGCTTACGCGCTAGAAACACCTAGCGATGGGTTATCTGCATCGCGCAGATATTAATTGAATTGCCGACGGTCGATGGCAAGTTCGCACAAACGAAATGTCCAACGAGACAATTGATTGCGAATAATCGAGCTACTCCTTTGCGATTTGCACTGTGCAATGCAAGCGGATGTGAAACTGGAGTTACAGGGATATCAATCCTGGCCTGGGATCTAGTGCGCTTCGGCAAACTTTGCTTCCAGCTCGCTGGGTCCGAAAATCCACCTCTTACCGGTTGGAGTCAACTTTTATGCAATGCAGAATGCGTTATTGGAGTGAAGCGTGCTCTTGCGGCCCTCCAGACCTTCGGAGAATTTGGATTCTTCTCCTTCTCATCTCGTCTCGTGGCGACCCGAGATGAATCTAGCGGACGCACAGTCCTCCTTGGGCCCTGTCCCCTGGACACTATTGTCACTATTCACGCTGATTCAGGCACCGTCAGCAGCGGCACAGCACAGCAGCGTGCTGATCACTCGCTAATGACTCGGTCGCCTGTAGGGTATATCACGGAATCCTCCGGAGAATCGTCTGGCCTGCAGTGCTGTGCATGTTGCTCCTGCAGATTTTCTCTTTTAGGATACAGGCTCAGCGATCCATCTCTCTCTTGAGTCTGTGGTTGCAATATTGTATCACTACTTGCTCGTGGCGTTCTCTCCGCACTCTCTTCCTGTACTATTGACTGAGAGTGAGGATTCTCTCTCCTGAGTTTGGCCTTTGGAGACTTCCTCTTTCCTTGGCAGTGGCACATCCTGCCATGATCCAGATCCATCTCCAGGCTTTATTTACGCGGGACCCTTCTCCGGATCCGCCTGCCCTGCGCCTTTTTTTGGTTGACAGTCTGTGACAGTGACAGTGCCTGACAGCTCAGCGCCATCTCACCTCTAGCATCGAGTCATTCACTGTCCGAATTTACTCGCGACTCGCCTATACCTTACTGACCGCTGGCACGCTCTGAGCCTGCACCATGGCAGACACAGACTACCCGGGCGCAGTCCCTATTCCAGAGGGCGAGGTGTACGATCCGGATTTCTCACATCCATATCTATATATCGAGAGTCGAGCGATTGTGATAGCCGGATTGGTTTTCTGTACACTCTCGTTGATGATCCGGGTGTATACAAAGGCTGTGCTGCTGCATAAGTTTGGGTGGGATGATGGTGTGTCTTCCTCATCTGCGTCTTCATGGGAATATTAGGATGATGTTGGAGCGCGTTGGCTAACGGGTGCAGTTTCAATTATCGGAGCGTGGGTATTCGCCATCGTTACGCAGGTGCTGTGTTTATGTATGCTTTTCCCTCCGAGTATTTGGTCTGAAGTGAAGTGAGTACTAACATCACAGATGGCTACGCCCACGGTGGCATTGGCCTGCACATGTGGAACATCACACCGCAAATGTTCCTCAACTTCCAAAAGGCACGCCCCCCCAACCCCAACTCACCCCCGTCCCAAACCTGCAACGAAGCACAATTTCTAACCATCAGAATAGGGCATCTTCGCCGCCGGCGTCGTCTACGTCCCCGCCCTCGCCCTCGCAAAAGCCTCGCTGATCATCCTCTACTACCGCATCGTCGGCCAACAACGCCTCTACCGATTCGCGCTGTACGGCATCGCCGCCATCGTCGTCGGATACTCAATTGCAATTACATTCGCGCTGATTTTCGCATGCAGACCCATTGCAAAGGCCTGGAACGGCGCGCTCGAGGGCACATGCATTGATCAGAATGGACTGTATGCGGCGACCGCGGTCACGAATACGGTTACGGACGTTGCTCTGATTGTGGTGCCGATTCCGGTCGTGGTCTCTCTGCATATGCCGCTTATTCAGAAGATCGGCTTGTTTTTTATGTTTGTTATTGGTTGCGCGTGAGTTGGCCTTTTCCCAGTGATTCGAGATGAGTGCTGGTTGTGTGTGTGTGTGCTGACGAATGAGCTGTATAGGACCGTTATTACCAGCGTCATCCGTCTCGTTACCCTCTTCCCTTTCCTCCAGGCCTATGACAAGACCTACCAGATCGCATGGACGGATCTGTGGATGTGCGTCTACGTCCCCAACCACCCCTCAAAACCCTCCCGCCTCTCCGTCCATCCCCATCTAACCACCGCCCAATAACTAACATCTGAATCAAAATATAGCAACGTCGAAGCAAACTTCATCATAATCTGCGCCTGCCTTCCCTTCCTCCGACACTTTCTCCGGCGGTACGCCCCGAAACTCATCGGCGAAGGCTCCTCGGCGGGGGCGCGCTACTTCAAAAACTACCACGCCGCGGGCTCCACAACGAACGGAACGGGGACGGCAAACGGGACGCGAACGAACCGCTCCTGGCGCCGCAAACAACCCGGTCTGTCCGTCCTCGCGACGGACGAGGTCGAGCTCGCGGAGAACGGGGAGAGCATGGCGACGTCGGGGCCCGGGTCTGGCGTGCGCATTGTCAAGGAGGTGCAGTGGGATGTGACGGAGGAGAGCGTGCGTACTGCATCTTCGAGTGGAGTGGGTGGGAGGGAAAGGGAGGATTTCGGCGAGGGGTTTCGGGGGGCTGTTGGTGATGAGAGAAGATCTTGATGTCATCCATGATTCCTTCCGGGTTCCCTGGCTATGGGGGAAGAGGGATTGTGGGATGCGGATACTATCGTTTACATTTCATTCTTGGTCTTTGCCGAGCGGGGTTCTTTTTCTTTTGTACAAAATTTCCACGATATATATCCACAACAACTAATTCAATCATGTGCGAAAGCATAATATGACCAGAATTCGGTACAAGTGCTTTCAGCCCTGGCGTGCTTCGACTCATCGATCAACAATGGGAAATCCCACCTGGCGAGTAGTTTGATGGTGCCAGTGGATGCTGCTAGCTGGCTTCTCGGTTTTTCGCCCATATCACAATCTCCATGTAATACCGGTCATAAAAAATTGCATGGCCGGGATGGGTATCATGAGTCGGTCTTCTCGAGTTATATATTTTCGGTTGTAATGGGATCCGCGAGTCTGTATCGTGTCAGCTTAGCTACGTTACCCTTTCGTGTCTTCCGTCTCGTAAGGCGGCGTCCAGAATATATATTCTTTCCGCCGTAGTATTCTACCACTCCTCCACGACATACACGTCATAGTGCTCGCCCAGTCAACACACCAGGCATGTTAGAAAAGCACCAGACTCCTATCAATTTCCAGTCAAGCATTGTGTTTGGAAAAAGCGCCCGTTTGGTAATTAGCCGTCGCCATATTCCACGGCCATTGCCAAGCAGACAGACACCCGCAACCGAGCGTTTGATCGCATGCTGTAGCAGCGCGAGGCACACCAATGTAAAATTATGCATCACACATGGTCCTCATAGTACATAGGCGCTGGCTTTCGGTGGAGGTACATAGTCTACAGATACCGTACCATACGTACATACTCTATGCAGCTTACCCTCGTCAAATGAGCCTCGCGGGCGTCTGGCGCGTGGAGGGTAAAATACAGGGCCTACCTATTGATATCCCAAGGTATCATCTGTAGGCGAGTCATTTTGTTTTGTTGTGTGGAGCCTAGCAACTTGTCAGATTTGATTCCTAGCGGCTGCAAAGCACCCTTGTTGACCTGAAGTTAGTGCAAGGCACATGCGTGGAGCGTTCAGTAAATTGTCCTAGCACCCACTCGGCTAGGAGGGAAAAGCCTGGTATCCCTGCCGCGAAGGATGAGGTATATCTACAGTATTGGGTGATATTCGACACCGTGCCCTGAGTACGGGGCGGGGGAAGAGATACCTAGGTATGTTGTCCCGCCTGTCTTTTGGTATGCGCACTATGTCTGGCGGTATACATAGCCTAGTACCGCGATGTCTGAGTTACGTACGAGGACCAACTTTGTATAGCGCAAAATAATCCTCCGACTTGCATTGAATGCTAGGCTTAGGGGTATTTAGGTTGCCCAAAAAGTACATCTACACCACCGACACCTCGACCCGAAAGAAACGATATCCGTACGGACCTCACCTCAGCCCTGTAGCTCTTCCGTGACACCATCTAAAATCATTCCCCCCCTCTATAATGGCACTCCCCGAAACGTCGAGCTCTTGCCGAGTACATCGCATTATTGGCCTAGGGTATATACATCGGGAGTTGAATTTATGTTGAGACAGTGGAGTACCTGTTCGATGATTCTAATGTAGTAGCAGAGGTATAAGTGATATCTCCGAAATACACTGAACTGTTTTGGAGGGTTAGTATGCCCCATGACCTACAAGAAAAGTAGTAGAGCTAAGTCCTTCCTTAATCCACTCCTTCCCACCACCATCAACCCTAATGTCTAGGCTGATGGTGTCAGAACTATTTCAGATGGTTATATATTCCACACGTAATTTATGCCTATCAGGAAGCCATGGTAGGCAGGGTATATAGATATAAGCGTACAATTTTCCTGTCCTTTACTCCCCCGGCGCCCAGAATCCCCGCACCCCCTAGACCTAGAGGTATAGGACCACTTTTGCAAGATCTGTTTATACCAGTGTACCGAGTCCACAAAAAGGTATCTAAGGCCGGGGAGTATCTATTCTAGCTCGGCATCCGAGTTGGTAAGGCAGTCGAGCTGTCCTGCTGGCCTAGTATGCGTCTAAACACGGCGCTCCGTTTCCCTGGTTCCAAGCGCCATGTAAGGCGGGCTGGGTATACATATGAGGCGGGCGCGGCTCAACCTTAGTGTCCACCTTTGAACAAATAATTCCTCTGTAAAGATATAAAGTAAGATGCCCTGATCTTGCAGATCCAATCGCAAAGACTGCCAAAGGCACCACTATCCATACTATCAAGTATCGCCTTTCCCATACCTCCAGGTTATTGGAGACGCAAGGGGTAGCAATACCGTCACTAGGTGCTGAGTCAGCGGAATCTCTGATCACGCACACTGCTGCATCGCTGCATCAGTATTCCTTCAGCATCATCCTTGACCTTGCTGCTCCATGTAACCAGGGCCGCTACGTTGACCCAGACCACCTGGCGGCGGACCAGGAGACTCAAGCCAGCGGGATGCGCTGCCAATATCTGTTCTAATCCTATTCATCACCCCTAGACAGCATCACTTTCACTTTCAGACCAAATTGCACATCCCAACCTGTGCATTAAATGTCCAACAACTAGCATACGCGATCATAATCACCATTGTCTTCTATGCTAATGCGCTCACTACAGTGGAAAGAGGGACGGTGCTTTTCGAGGTACGACCGAAGAACGAAGTAAAACCTATCGAGTTCTTAGTCGACCTATTACAGAACTACGCGCCCTTAGTTCGAAACACTAGCCCCCTGGTAACGAAGCTTCAGCCCTGGATTCAGGAAGCGACCGGCGTGATCGTAGAAGTTAAACGCCAATGGGGCCAGATCTGAGCATCAGAAAGACGAGATAAATCCCACGGGCAAATACTTCTCAACCGGACCCGGTTCGTGCAGGATAAGGAGGAGATAGAGAAGCATTTTTCAGCTGTAATTGCGAAGCGGGTACAGATTGAAGGGGTTTATCAGGCCCGTATTACTAGGTACTGTACCGCCACGGAGTAGACTCAAAGAAATCGAGCAGGACAACTAGCTAATCATTTGATCTAGCATTGTTATTGTAGAAATACAGAAACAGAGCAGCACCCTGCAGCATGAGCTTATACGTATACAGCATATTCAGGAGGCACGGATCCAGCATATCATGCAGGAAACAATGTCAACACCACCGAGGGTTTACCCAACACGGGTTATGGCAACGAGGCTCGGCCAGCGAGACTGAAACAGAGGCCGACACCCTGAATGAGTATCTACGTCCGACCGCTGAGCGCGATTCACCGGGACGCCAAGTTGACAGCGGTGTGTGATTGGCTATGCGAGCTTTAAAGTATTCTATACTACTGTTCCCGTCTCCGCCACAAACGACGAAAGGAAGGCATTGAGCAATATCTAGGGTCAATGTAAGGAAGGATAGCGACCAACCAGGCCAGAATGATACTTCACTTATCTCATTACGTTCTTTTTCAGAATGTGTAGAAAGGCACTAATGGGGAACAATAGTGCACTCGTCGAGTTGTAGATACCCGTGACATGACAAATCAGCTTGGACCGGAGGACTTGGGTGTGGGCCTGAAGGGCAATTTATACTCAGAAGCTGTGGAGACAGGCACAGCACTGAGACAAGGCCAGCGCTTCGCCAAGGATTACTATCGATGCCACCAATACGTTGTATCAAGGCCTGCTCCGCCGTAGGATGTTCTCAGGACCGTTGAGGAAAGAGTATAGCGGACAATTATTATATCTTAAATTGTCGTTTGACAGGAATACTAGGAGTCAAAACTCCGAGTGACGAAGGTAGGAAAGATATATATCTAGAGAACTTCCATGAACAAAAGACATTATGGGCGCCGTCCAGATAAGCCATCCCGACCAGTAAGATCCCCAGCACCTAGTTTAATCCCAGGAAGAAGGGGAGGAAAGTCGCCGAGCAAATCTGAATAGCCAAGGGGACAATGGCAACGGTTGCCGTCGTATACTCGCCAGGTTTAATCCTCCACCCCCATGGGGCCCCAAAGGCGAAGAACAGCATCACTAGCGACGAATTAGCTTTGGGTCAAGCGAAAAAAAAAGATGAACAACGAGCCGGAAAAAGAAAAGGAACAACATACCCCCCGCAATAACCGCACAAATCACCCACGTCCACTTAAACTTGCGCACCATCTTATCCATCCCAATATAGAATCCCGTGGGCCCCATCTCCTTGGCCGTCGACGCCCACTCGAGATTGATACTCAACGCGTGGCAGAGGAGTGCCTTGCCGCAATTCAAGCTGATGCCGCCAAAGTAGATGACCAGGAAGGGAAGCCACTTGCAGGCTTGCAGGAGGGAGCGCCAGAAGGTCTCTTCCTTAAGCTGGTGGCGCGCCATGCTGAATGCGACCGAGGCGAAGCCGTTGAAGACCACGACGAGAGCGCACCAAATGCCCCAGCTTGGTGTGTAGATGTGGTCGATGGACGAGTTGAAGAGGCCGACCAGGACGTAATTTACTGTTGCGAGGAGCATGCCTGCGCCGATTGCGTAGTCTGTGTTGTGTTGCGAGTGTGTTAGTTTTGTCAGTAGAGACCGGAGAGAAATACATACAGGTGAATATGTAAGCGATGATTGTCACTTTGCTGGTAATGGGCATGTTGCTCCACAGGAACCGGAGAAAGAGTCTTGTGACTGGACCACGGTAGATCCATTGGTAGCTGGAGGAGGCAAAAAGGTTAGTAGGTTGCACAGACCGAGATCGGGAAATGAAGACAAGACTAGACATACAATGGATGAAAAACGAGCTCATTGCACCCATACGCATACTTCTCCCACCTCGTCAACTCATCGTACAGCGTCAGCGAAACACCTTCCTTGAAATCGCCGCCGTGGTACGTGGCCAGCCGCACCGTCATCCCCTGCATCTGCACCCGGAGACTGACGTCAAAGTCCTCCGAGACGTGGCTGTCGGACCACCATTTTGTCTGGCCATCCGAAGGGTCCTCGAATTGGATACTCTGCAATGCTTTCCAGCGGAGGAAGGCGTTGTGCCCGACAAAGGGGGAGACGTCTCCGGAGCCGACGCCGTATTTGATGGCTGTGTAGACGACGTTTGTGAAATACGTGACTGGACAAAGATGGGCGCGTGAGTTACATCTTTCTGGAGACGGGATGGCTGGACGAGACAGTACTTACTGCCGTTTTCAAATGTATTGTGGACAACCTGCATGACACCAGATCCATGCTGGAGAATAGCGACTTCGGGACTCTCGTGCATTTCCAAAGCGCCATACAACAGGCAGTCCACGGGGACACGTGTATCGCAGTCAATGCTGTTCAGGTCAGCTGAGATGAATGACTGGTGTCCGTTAAAACGAAAACGACTCACAGGAGGATAAGTTCGCCGACGCGAATGTTTCCCTCGGCCCCTATATATGCCGTTAGTCAAAAACGAACCGAGCACAGATTGTGGTTTGTTGTCACATACAAGTCTTGCCCTCATCCGCAGCCAAGCAGTTCTCCAGCGCGAGCTGATACAACCGATCATCATCCTCGACCGACAGATCGTCCACCGTGCACCCCCGCTGGGCAGCCTCGACCTCCATCAACCGCGCCATCTCATCTTCAACCCGCAGGGAAAACGCCAGCCCGTAGTTCATGTTACTCGCCTTCTTGAACTTGCCCTTGCGCTCGAACCCGATGGCGTTGGCGAGTGCCTGCGGCGCGGAAATGTCATCGGATTTCTTGACTTCACTGGTTTCCTCAGAAGGGCCCTTCTTATTAGTTCGGAACAACCAGCCCAGCGGCGACCATCCCCCGCTTTTGTTTACAGAGCCCTTTTTATTCGGCGGACGCGCCGTGTACCCGATTCCGTTCTCGCGGTAGTATTGCTTACGGGCTTCGGCGAGCTCGGGCTGGATGAGTTGCATGCCGTCGTCGTTGACGAAGACCGAGGCGGTGCCGCCTTGTTCTTCGTAGTATTGCACTGCGGCGAGGACGCTTATCATGGTTGGGACGATCACGCTATGTTTCAAAAACAAAATGAAGGAAATGTCAGCGATCTGATACTATCCCAAGAAGAAAAACAAACCGAAAAGAAAAGGGAAAGACAGGAAAAGAAATGTTCTATCCTGCGACAAACAACTTGACTCACCCCTTAAGACCCTCTTTATAGACCGGCATTTGGATGGTAATGTGAGGAAGCTCATAGTCGCGATGAGCTTTGGGGTTTGGTTTGACGGCTAGAATTTGTATATTTTGAATTAGTCACTATCCGCATAATCGTAAAGAAGCTAAATAGAAACGATGGGCATATGCATGTACCTGAGTGGAACTTGGAGTTCTTGAGGACGAAGCTCGCTGGTAGGAAGAGTTGGAAGGCGCTGGTGACGAGGACAATGAAGAAGAACTGCCAATGCGAGGTCACTCATGGATCTTATGCATGCATGCCATGCATGTATGATCTATTCGTATCTTGGGGGAGGGTAGGCTTACCAACGAGAATAAGGCGAGAGGAGGAATTGTCACGACCTGTATGTATACATCCATTAGCCACGGCGCATCTTTGAGCGCAGGCTTGATAGGGGATGATGGCATACCAAGGCAAATCGAATATAGTTTCCATCCCAGCTGTACTCGCGAAGCAACTGTGCAGGTTATTAGAACGTCACAACAAACCAGACCAGCGAGAAACAGAGTGAAAAAAAGAAAGAAAGAAAAGAAAACAAGCAATCATGAAGAAGACTTACTCTAGCAACCCCAAGCGCCTGCGTAATGATAACAAGCATAATCGCAAAGGTAATCTTCACCGCATGAACACGCACAAGCGGCCTAGGAGCAAGTGCCTTCTCCAAATCGGGCTCCTCGTCTTCATCGCCGCGCTCCTCCAGCGCCACAGCGCGACTATACAAATCATGCTTCTCATCGAGCGCCCCGCGGACCAATCCCGCAGCGAATGGCGATGCAGAAGCAGTCTTGCTATCGGGCGTCGACCGGCCCAGGATCACCGAGCCGGCGCCCGCACTTAGGGGCGTCGAGTGCCCCGAGATGCGCGGCGTTGTGAGGTTTGACAACTTGCTTTCCTTGCCGGATAACTGCATCTCGACGTCAAAGGCGACGTCGAGGATCGTAGAGGGCTCATGGCACCAGACGAGGAGGACGCGCTCCCTGCGGACGATGCATGCGCGCGAAAAGTGCGAGATCCCGGACTGGACCTCGTCGAGGGAGGCGAGGATCGGGATGCGGGTGCCTGTGTATTCCACGACAAAACTTTTCTGTTCGGGGGCTAGGGAGTCGAGCACCGAGGCTGTGATGCGCGAGGAGATGGAGACGACGGCGTTTTCATTGAGGCGGTGCACCGCGTCGGTCAGCGCGGGGGATACGCTTGTCGGTGAGAATGTGTAGCTGTTGTCTGGAAGCTTGATGGCTATGCAAGTGGAGGACCAGGCCGGGTTTGGAGCTTGGGGGTCGGATTGGGCTTCGTCGAACCAGCCCAGGAGGGTTGCTCTCCGTCCCAGGTATTTGGACATCTAGAGATGGATGGTTAGACATTCCCCCCACAGCATTGCGGAAGCCATTGAGGGGGCAGCTGGAAGAGAAGAACATACCACGAGGGGATTGGCATCTCCGTTCTCAGACATTGAAGATGGCCGCTGAAGAGAGGGAAAAGAATTGGCGATGGAGGAGGGCCGAGTGCTGCTGTTGCGTACATGCACCGGCCCTGGATGCTGAATGACGTTCGGGTAGAGGGTCCTCCCAATTTCCGCAGTTTGGAAACTGGGAGTTGGGGACCGTGAAGGCAAGGCAGCTGGGTCTTCCATCTCTGCGGTCATTCGCATGCAACGCCAATTGAGAGAGAAAAAAGAGATTAGGGAAGAGCGAACAATTGTGAACGGGTCAGGGGTACTTGGATATGCCCTGCTAAAATATCTTAACTAGAAAGAGGCGAAATATAAGCGGCAAACATAACGATTCATGAAAAGCAAAGATATCTAGCAGCTCTACAGATGCAGGCTAGGCGAGACCGATTGAGCAGAGAACGAGCAATGGGCCTGGAACAGGCTCATGGGTGTGACACGTCAACGCCGGCGCAAACTATTGACTCCATGGGCAGATAAAGGAAGCGCTGGCGACGAACGGCTCGCTCAGAGTAATTTCCTGAGTGAACATGAGTTCTCGGAAGCGACTGACGGCCGATGGCGTTGGAACCACCGGCTGAATGCAAGGCCCGTCTATCGTGGATGGCGTCTGTTGAGATGAAGCTATCCAAGCCGGCCGCTTATTCTAACTCTGAAAATGACGGCCACGCCGAAAGCATTCGAATGCAAACTAAGAGAGAACAAAGTAACTAGCGATGCCAAAGATAGACTAAAGCCTAAGACCGAGAGCGCGCATGGGCCACGAGGTTGACAGCAAAGGCGGGCAGGGCAATTGTTGGCGACCAGGCGTGTCGCAGCCAACCAGCACTGCGCCCTAAAAATGCTAAGAGGGAGCTAAGTCCGCCACACTGTCTTCCAGCAACTGACAGGTGCAGGCGATGGCTCGGGGTCAACTTTCCCCTGATTTTTTCTTTTTGCTTTTGGAGGCAGCCGCCTGCGTGACTCTTGGGCGGTCACAGTCGGTGCCTCGCTTTCAAGCTTCGGCCGACGAACGCTTCAGTGAATAATAATGAAATCAAACCCTTTCATATCTGAACTAGACTAAATAGCTGAACTACCTTGTGGCCAAGCATCCCACGTGGCATGCAATGGCTTACAGCTGGAAATTGTGCAGAAGAAGACAATAAACTACCCTAGCAGGCCCCCTCTTGCCACATGCGCACCGACTTGACGACCATCCCGCGTGTGTCCGGCTCCCCCCAGCTCGATCGCCAGGTCGCGTTTCCCAGCCAAAAGTCTCGCATCGGCGTCTTGCTATCATCCGTCCACGGCTTGTTACCCACCTCGTCGCTAAATCGACCAATCTGTGAGTCTCATCCCGCAGACAATGAGAGAAAAGAAAGGACGAAACTTACGGGAAATACCCATTCGTCGCCCCCACGGCCACATTCAACACAAGATAAAACGGCTGATCAAAGGGTGTATTCCTCCTCCCGGTGTGGGACCAAGGGTCCTCGGGCGCGGACCCGTTGACATTCATACTGGCAAACTTGCCATAGTTCCACATGTTCTTGTTCTTGCGAAAGTCGAAATAGAGCACTTGCCGCAGGCGCCCGTCCAGCCACGTGAACAGGTAATCCTCCGACCACTCCAGCCCAAACGTGTGGAACCCGTCCGGGTACTTGGTGCGCTGCGCGCCCCATTCGCCCTGGCTGAGTTTGTATGCGTCGTTCGTGTACACGGTGCCCCAGTGCATGGCGCTGCCCACGATGTTGTTGCCCAGTGGGTAGCTCTCCGCGTCGTTGCCGCGGCTTTCGGCGATGTCGATTTCGCCACTTGCCGGCCATTCGCCGTATACGTTGTCTTGGGGCATCATCCTGTAGAGTAATTATCCGAGTGTTAAAATTAATTGCGAGGCGAGACTCGAGATAATGGTAACGCACCAAATCGCAGGCCAAAGCCAGTCACCCTTTGGCAGTTTTGCAACCACTTCCACACGACCGTACTTGATCGTCTTCTTTCCCGCCGTTGTCAGACGCGCCGATCGCACGGGATTGATGATTTGGCCAGAGGTGGAGTTGCTCCGCACGGCACAGCGGGAGATCTGCGAGAGGTCAGAGAGACGCTGGTCTTTGGTCGTGCAGGTGCCGTCGCGCGTCAGGTTGAGGACGTATCTGAGCATCGCATATAATTATCAGCCATCAGCGAAAAAAAGGACACGATGGAATGAATGCATACCCATCCATCATCTGGCCCGGGGTAATGTCCGTCGTGTCGAGGGTCAGGGTCGGAACGATGTGCAGGCCTTGGGCGTCGACGTACGAGTTGTGGGGATCATCGGTCGTCCAGTCGAAGGCGCCGGTTCTGGAGGGAGGGAGTGTTAGAGCAAGCAAGCACTTTGTCATCTCTACCTTATGGCGATGGCGACAACTCACCCGTATCCGTTCAGCTGAACTTCATGGCTCCAGACGTTTTTGTCCAGAGTGGCAAAGTCTTCGTCCAGGACTAAACAGTACTGCAGTCGCGACACGTTAGAAATGGGATCTATCTCCTTGGTTGAGGTATACAGACCTCGTGTTTTGGCACTTTGGCGACAGAGTCGTAGCAGAGATACCCTGAGACGGCTTCGTAAATTAGCGAACGAGCGGAAAGGATGCAGATCCTCTTCCAAAAGCGCACAACATAACATACCCAAGGCAATTAGAACACCAGTGTAAAAGATGACACGGTCCCAATCAAGGATCCGCTTTCCATCCTTGAGCCAGGGCTTTTCGAATCTATCCACGGTGGTACACGATTAGTCCATTTTCATCCGTGGGAGATGTATCCATGTCAGCGAGGAGCTTACTCTCCAACTAGGCGGGAACTTCGAAACCGTCGTCGCACGCGCAGTGTACCGGTTGGACCTGGAACAGTGCGTGAGTGATGGCTTGTTAAGGAAATGACTATATAGTACTGGCTAACCTTGTCGCTCAGAAGACGATGTCGAGCCTGGAAGGTTGGAGTAAATGGATGCGATCGGTGTCGAGAACGGATTCCCGGATGCCTCAGGCGCGATTGTTCGGTCCATGGCGATACTCTATGAGAATTGAGACCTCAAGGTTTCTCGTAGGTGTATGAAGGCAGTTTTGCTACTACAAAGCAAAGTTTACATGATCTACCCTATATACCAATGCGGCAAAAATGGACAGTCAGAGGGTGGCCTGGTCGTCGCCCCCGATAAGGGAAAAAGAAACACTGAAGATACTCGCTGGGAATTTCCCCAGGTGTTTGCCATTGAGTCTGCGGTCTAGAGCTAGGATCTAGAGCAGAGGGCTAAATTGGGGTCTTGAAAATACAGAAAGAGGTGGCGATAACCCTGGCTAAGGCTAAACCGCTCTGGGCCTCAATACGCGATCCCCGGACCCGGCCGTAATTGTGGAGCCTTAACGGCACCCCGAGTGACGTCCAAGCATGCCCTGACAGATAAAGCGCCTTGGGGCGAGCATAAGCGAGGAGAATTTATTCGACAGCAAATTTTCTATGCAATCAGGTATCTCGCCTGTGGCTCGCTGTACGTACTTACAGCCTTCCAAGTCAAGTGATGCTAACAATTTCGGCCGCAGTGTGCTGGGTCCTTTCCTTGGGGCTACTTATGCATGTAAACCAGAAAATAGCCCAATTGTCGGTCTGCTAAGTCGCCAGCCTCTCAAGTGGAAGTCGTAGACTAGCCAAAATCTGGCCTTTCAGACTTGACATCCGCTCGGCGTCGCCGAGGGTCAGAAGATATAGGGACTGCATCCAAATGCCAGTCTATTGAAGCCTATTCTCCAATGCGTTCCAACTCTTTGGTCGGGGTTGACGCCGTGGCTGCCCGAGTACTCTAAAGTACCCTCGCTCCGCATCACCGGTGACGACAATAGGCTCGCTTGACTTGTCCTGTCTCTAGAAGCCATATTGCGCGGAGTGCATTGAGACCTGAGGACGACATGTAGCTGGCCGTGGCGCAAGCCCTCTTGACAGGGCCCGGCTGGTATTGGTTCTTGCTGATTTGTTCAGCTCTTTATGTCTCTCTGGTCCGGGAGCTGAGAAGAAAACCTTGCACGACGAGTGCGATACGATTGAGGTGCTTTTGGAATCCCGTGTGCCTGATGGACACCAAATGTGAACTATTTAAACCTCCACTTTTTCGCAATCTTGCAGGGATCTATCCTCACCACACATAATCTTGATAACATCTAACAGCCTATCGCGCCAAATCACCCCAATGGCAACACTCACTCTTCTTCTGACCGCGATCTCGCTGGTCTCGGCTTCTCCCAGGCCCACTGATGTATGACAGGACACCCCCCTTCTGCATTCACATACCTATCCCACCTAGTGTCTTCAACAGCAATCTAACTAGACATGTCACATCACATAACAGACACCCCCAAACCCCCCAATCCTCCCAGGCTCCTCCATCTCCCTCAACGCCCTCTGCGGCGCCTACAACGGCAGCGCAACCTGCACCAACAGCGGCTTCGGCAACTGCTGCAGCCAGTTTGGCTACTGCGGCAGCAGCACTACGCACTGCGGCGACGGGTGCCAGACTAACTACGGCACCTGCGGGATCCCCACGACGTACTCATGGACCGATCTCGGCTGCTACACGGACAACACCAACGCGCGCACCCTCAACACCTCCATCCTCGTCTCGGGAAATACAGTGCCCAAGTGTCAGGCCGCGTGCAGCGGCGCGGGATTTACCCTCGCGGGTGTCGAGTACGGATCGCAGTGCTTTTGCGGGACCGCGATTCTTAATGGTGGGGTGCCCATTACAACCGGGGGAACTTGTAACATCCCATGCGCAGGTGACTCCGCGCAGATCTGCGGCGGATCCGATGCACTCAACCTGTACTCGCTCATCCCCGTGTGGCAGAGCATCGGGTGCTACTCAGATAGCACGCTGAAGCGAACGCTCGCGGTGTCGTACAATGTCGCCGGGAACAGCGTCGAGCGGTGCACGGCTGCTTGCCAGGCGGGTGGCTATGAGTACGCGGGGATGGAGTTTGGCACACAGTGCTTCTGTGGGAATTCGATTGACAATGGTGCGACGCTCTCTGCGGCGTGTGCGACCAAGTGTCCTGGGAATGCGGCCCAGACGTGTGGTGGGCCCAATGCGCTCAGTATCTATCAGCTCTTTGGGAACTAGAGTGAGGGTCTAGGCCTCTATATCTATCTCCTTGTCCTTGACATGGAAATCGGAATGGGGATGAATTTTCTGCGACAGTCTTTGTATATGGATTTGCGATTGTTGTTTCGATGACTTGTACATTAGTTTAATGTACATACGCTTATTAAACGGGAGAAGGCAAATTGAGTTTGTGTTCTTGCTTTTGAATCAATTTGGATCTTCACTGTACTTTTCAGTGGAGGAGTAGCTTGGGCAAAGGAGAGCAGTTTCATAAGGGATAACAGTACCAGTAAGGCGGACCAGACACGTAAACAAAGAAGTGGGATTGTGCGGATCCCGTTGGACGGCTCCTTGAATTGCCAGGTGTGGCGGCTCCGCAAGATCTCGTAACAACTTACGGGAACTGTACCGTAAGCTTCTCTCGTGGAAGCTCGTGAGGAGGGTTAGACCAACCTCGTGCCTCACTAGAGTGGCCTTGGGAAATATTACTTCTAGCGGTACACACTCAAGTAGAGAGTTAGTAGCGAAGGGCCGGTGAAGATGGTACGACCCACGATGGGTTGAATGGCTCCGTAATCGGTTTGTAACCAATTTGTACTAGTACTGAGAGAGTGCGGGAGTACGCACAGACAATAAGCCCACCGCTAGCTAATTTAGCTATTTCACCAGGCCTTCTCTCCGTTCCGTACACAACTATCGTGCAATCTCCAGAGATGCAACGCGCTGGCTCGAGAGTAACGAGCGCTTATTCAAATTGCAAGCAGCAGCGCCGAGCGAAATGCGACGGTGCCCGCCCCACGGTTTGTTCATTCCGATTGAAACCGCGAGTTTGTCTGATCAATGCTCCAGTGCTCTCGCTGCGAGCAGCTGTCTCGCGAATGTGTATATGACGGTGTCGACCATCGCAAATCACGATATACGCACATTGAATTCGAGGCGCTACATAACAGGATAGCATACAACTTCGGCTACTTTCAGCGACGTAACCAAGAAAAAATGACACAAATATTATGCCCGACCCTGCGCCACAGACGTTCGCGACTGTCAATGATCATGGTCGCTCTCTAATTTCAGACGCAGGGGGCGCATTAGCGGCCATGCCCTCCCAGCCTCAGAGAGAAGAAGGTTTTCCCTGGGACAACCAGGACCTCGGGGCCGACTGGATAGTCGAGCTACCCCCTTTACCATGGGACAACGATAGGCGATCGCTCGTGCGGTCTCTATTTTCTCAGAAGGGCTCGGAACTCCAGTTCGACTCAGGCAGCGGGAGAACCGTTTATGTTGGCCCGACGAGTAACCATCACTTGATGGCATAATTAGTCCTCCAGACCAGCGGGTACCGTCCGAAGTGCGGCCCCACAATGTCACTTTAGGAAGGCACGAGATTGTTCTGCTTTGCACCTTCCAGGAGAGAATCCATGGCACCTTCCCTATCATTTATGACGAGGTCTCTATTGAGCCACAACAATTGATGCAAGAAGTCGTCTCCCACCCTCTGCCTTTATAGATCGTCCTCGCTACTGCTGCTATTGCCCTTGATGAAGATGTACTCATACAATGGTGTGTGTCCCGCGGTAACCTGGTTGAACATTATTGTTAGAGATTCATTGCGAGTGTCGGCCCACACCTCGAGAATTGCTCCTTCCATAATGTGAAGGCGTTCTTGCTAAAGGCGTATCTTGACTCTTTGCTAGGAAAGCTCGAATCCGCCACTATCTTCAACGGTGAGTAGAATTCCTAACTACCCTGAACTATAGCCAATGCTTTACAGGTATCGCTGGCGCAATGGCCAATTGGCCGTGTCGTGCGAGAAATCGATGTCGATTATGTTGGCATTAGAACGTCCGCAGGATCAGGACATGTAAGGGAAATCTAGTAAAGTAATTGAACTTGCATGGGTGCTCAGGGGCCATTGGTAGATTGGTTATTAGGAATAACCATGGTCTTCCACTGTTCTAGAGGTGGCCTATTAGACGTGGTTTCTGGATGGTCCTATAGTGTTAGCCATCATTATGTTAGTGTTTGACCACTAATAACATGGCTTAATATTAAGGTCTAGTAGCTAGAGGTTATTGCTTAAGTTAGACTAGATGTCACAGCGGGTGCCTCAGGCAGCGCTGACAGGAGGCCATGTGACTGCCGCTTGGGATCTGACCTGATTAGGCCTAACCCCTTTAGGCTAAATCCTATATAACTCTCTTAATATTACTATATATAAAAGATCCCTATAATCACTAGTCTTCCTAACCCCTAGTGATTTATTTCTAAATTAATTAGTATATAGCTCCTCCTTCCTCTTTTATATATCCTACGTAGCCTGACGTCTCGTTGCTTGCTAGGACCTCGCCGCGGATGAAGACCGACTGGCAACCACCATCGATCCGACCTCGCCGCTTACAGCTACTACTAATTCTACTATTCTAACTAGTCTTATATAGCCTACCTACTACCCCTAATACACACCCACTCGTTGTGAGGAACTCAACTCACAGTGAGATCGCAGTCCAGTCGATTGAACCCACCAAGGTTGGCGTAGTATCGAGGTGGCAGATTGCGCTACTCCTGTGCTATCCTGGGCGGGTTACCCCGTGGTGCTAATCTCAGCCCCGAAGTAAAGGATGCTTCTTGGCACACATAATATTGTCCATTCCTGGGGTCATTATCTTGGAGTTAACCTTGATTATATCTGGTGATACCATAAAGCATATTGACTAGATGCTAAAGGCCGGAATTGGCATTAAGTCAGAAAGGTTGCCGCTGCCCCTTTTGATGTACTGCGTTAGCCACTTCGCATGTCTCCTTTTACCCATCTCCACAGTATGTCAACTCTGCCATCAAAGACAGCCACGTCCTCTGCCTCTTCCCCCTCTACCGCGATCGCACCCTCTGCCGCGCTGCGGCGAACGTCGAAGCCTTTCGTCTTTTTCTGCGCCAGCCATATCTTGATGATCAGAGCGGCTCCAGAAGGAGCGGCGAGTGGCGCGTCTACCCCTACCTCTACCCCTTCCGCTCCCTCCCCTGACCTGTGGAGAGCGGACAGGATGAGCAGGAACATCTGAGACTTCGTCCATATGTTCAGCCAAATATTCAGGCTCTCCCTGGGCATCTTCATGTATTTCGCTGTATGCCTCTTTGGGTATAGCCGAATTCGCGACCAAGGGCGCAGCTTCAGCTATAGGGTCTGCATTCCGGACATCGACATTAACATCGGGGCCTCCATCACCTACAGGGATGGGTACTGCTTGGGCAAAATGACCCGAGGCAAGAAGGGCGAGCCCACCACCTCCGATCAGGGCGTTTTTGAGAGAGACGCTAGTGTTTGTAGCTCTAGCTGGTTCAAGGACATCGGAACCGGGCATGATGAAATGTGAGGTAGTAATGTCTCTTGCGAAAGCCAATTTATGTATTCAGCCTTGAGGTTGGTTATCTGGGACAGAGAAGGTTAGTCGACAGTATGAGGGAAAGCAAAGAAAACTACGGACGGCGGTTGCGGAGCTTTATAGGCGATGGCTCGAGGATACATGTAGCACACAATCAACCAAAGATTTACATTATTTGGCTCAAGGTCTAGGTCAGATATCGTATGATCAAAGCTGCCTTGCCAGGAAGTTATTTGTTGGCTTAACATTGTTTAATGTTCGGTCTCATACGTCATACACCACTGCAAACGGCGGAGTTGAACTTACAGTACATGATTGATCCGTGGATTAAGTCATGACACATGGTTCTAGCCACGGTCGGAAACTGCGACATGTCACACGAATTGGTTACTCTTGGGATGTTTGAGTTTAAGCATAGATATCCTTCCTTGGTAGGTGGAGTCTACACAACCAGTTTCACCGTTTTGACCACATTGGGTAGCCAGGATTCCTATGGATTGGCAGTACCAATATAATCTCAACTTGGGTAACAGTACTATCATCCTACAGCCGGGCCTGTCCATGCTTGTTCTTCGACCCAGTCTGCTGCTCAAGATGCCTTTTCCTCTCAAACATCAAACTCTGGTGCTTAATCGCCGCAATCAACCACCCCTCTTCATCAACCATCAGCAGATCCATATCGTACCGACCGTTCTGCAACCTGTTCATCATCGCCCGGTTGAGGATCTACTCTGTTTGGCCTGCGGGGTCCTCCACGAAGTCAAACGTCAGAGATATACTAGGCATGTTGAATTTCATGAACAATTTCATGCCCTCGGGCTGGTAGTTTAGGGGAATAACTGCGACCTGTTTAATATCTGTCAGCAGCAATACTAAAAGTCGTGTTATTCACTAGATACGTATAATATCAGCCAGAGGGCCCAAATGCCTATTTAGAAATTCTCGCTGCTATCCAGCTTATCCCACTAATCGCCCTTATAACGGCCGACGGCGGGACTCTAGAGTGGGGATGGACCGCCCTGGGGCGTGTACACGCGATAGGCGGCGGCCAGCGGGCAAGTAAATAAGGTGAATATGTCTATCTAGTAAATATAATCTTTTTTATAGCTTAGAAGAGGAGTATATTAGGGTAATTTAAGGCTAATCCTAGTCTTATTGCTAAGATTGCCCATTATAAAGATTGCCAGGGTGTATGTTTTTCTAACGCGAGAATCATTACTACTGCTATCAGTAGCAGTTAAAATAGTAGTAGGAGACTGTAGATAGCAAATTTCACCCTAAATAATAGAAGACCGCGAACCAGACTTTAGCATGGTGAAGCAGACGTGCAGGGGTCCGTAGGGCACAAGGTCAAGAAACTGAACATGCATGCTCAGCAGGTCTGGCTGGTTTAAAGCAATTAGACCTGTGGCTCGAGCGTATCCTCTGCTTCTAGAGATAAGTAGAGAACAGATATACCCTCCATGCAGTGAGAGGCCATTATCATCTATTTCATGGTCTGACTTGCGCAACATAGCTCAGTAACAATGGTTTACATCGAGCCAAGCTCAGCTATCATGTAATGCGTACGTGGTAAACTCCAATCCCAGGGCCCAAATGCCTTGTATAGTCCCGATTCACTAACAACTAGGGTGAGCTTAATACCTTGATCCAAACTTGTTCTTGGGTATGGTAAATCACGCCATCCGGGGGTTGCTTTTGCGTTTGGCAGGTGGGAGTCAACCATGATGATTGTATAATCTTGTGCAATAACGAATAGCCCCTTGAAAGTTCCCAAAGCACACCCTGCGAACTTCTCGTTCTTTTATAGGTCCAGGTTATTAGAGACGTAAGGGGGTAGTAATACTGTTACTAGGTGCTGAGTCGGTGAAATGTCTAATCACGCACACTACTGTGATGCTGTATTAGTATTCCTTTAACATTATCCTTGGCCTTGCTTCTCCATGTAACCAGGGCCGCTATGTTAACCTAGACTACCTGGTGGCGGACTAGGACATTCAGGCTAGTAGGATACACTACTAACATCTATTCTAGTCCTATTCCTTACTCCTAGATAGTATTACTATTAAAATAGTAGGCTTTACCATGCGGCGTTGTAACCTAACACCAGCGGCACTCACACTTCAGCTCGCGGATAGTCTTTGAGAGACTTGGTTTGCACTGCGTTGGTAGACGAAGGAACAGTGATGTACGTAAGTATTAAAATATCAACAATCTAAAGGTGGGCAGTGGGCGGGGATGATAGAACTTTGGGGGAAAAGCCTCGGGCTTGCCGGACCAGCTCTGTTACATTGCTCCTTCTAGCATTTATTATAAGAGTAGATCCACGGTCGTGCACACAATACCCGACGCAAGAGACGCACCAGAGACTGGGATCCCACGCTGCCCAAGTCATACACCTCCCCGAATGCCCCAGTTCCACAAAGGCCCTGGGGCAAGGCCGGGACTACCTATATCCTTCAACAACTCAACCCAGTCCTATGGTAGAGACGCTAATTCTCAACCGCCACCCTCCTCTCCCTCTCCCTCTCCCTCTCAACCTTCTTATCCCCCAGCGAAACCCCAATCTCGCGAATCACCAACCAGGCCGGGTACAGCGCTATGGCCCACAACCCGAAGTTCATGTAGATGCTGCCGACGGAGGCCATGATGGAGACGCTGCTTAGGCCGTACTGCAGGATACATCTGTTAGAAAGGGTTGACCTGGGGAGGGGGTGGAAGGGAAGGGGGCAGATATGAGGGATGGGTAGGTATGGGTGACGTACCGAAACAGCCTGCGACGCAGACTCCATGCCACGAAGGAGGGAGGCGAAGCGGACGACTTCCTCTTCGTCGCGGGCGAGGTTGCCGACGATAAAGTACCTGTTCGAGCAGCGTGTCAGCATCTCTCGCTCCCACAACCGCAAAGGAGGGGTGGAGGAGCATACAGGAACATATAATTCAACTGAAACCCCACAACCCAGAACAAATACAGCGGAAATCCCCTTCCGAACCCTGGGTCCTCCCAATCGAATGTTGGGCTCGTCTCGCGGGAGTGGAAATCCGTAACGATGATCGTGCCCCAAAGCCACCACGCGCCCTGCAGGGCGAGGATAAGCGCGAATCCCGCGCGACTCCGCAACTTGAGCGCAAGCTTGCTGTCGAGGAAGGCGCCGAGCAGATTCCCCGCGACAATCGCCATGATTCCCGAAACAAACGAGCCCAGTGCTCTCGAACGCACACTAAACCACATCGAGTTGTACGTGAAGAAGACAGCCTCCGCAAAGGTCGCTTGCCAGATGAGCGGCGTGATGAGGAGGAAGTTCCTGCTCACCAGTAACCGCGCCATCGCCTTGATCTCGTACCACGTATCATGCACGATGGCGAGTTTCACGGGGACGCCGTCGGTGCGCTGGACCTTTGCCGGGGGGCTAAGGAGCAACCCACAGAAGGGGCCGAGGACCTGCAGCGCGATGAAGATGTAGTACACGACATAGCTCACGCTCCCCGCCGTGGACCGATTGATGTTCACGCCGAGATTAATCGCCCCGCCGACGATCTGCCCTCCAACGCGGAAACTCAACCAGAACCCGAGGAACTTGCCCTGGTTCTCCGGTTCCGGGTACGCGAGCGCAATCGCACTCTCCGCCATCCAGAAGATCCCCGCGGAAAGTCCACACAGCGCGGCCCCGAACAGCGTCAACCAGTTGGAGTCATACCGCACCTGCGTGTATATCCCCGCGGCGTACGGTGCGTACCCCATGGTCCCGATGATGAGGGTCCACTTAATCCCGATGAAGCGCACGACGACGCTGCCGAAGAAGCACGACAGAACCATCAGGCAAAAGGTGAGTGCGTTTGCGGTGTTTACGACGTAGGGCTCTGCGGCGCCGCCGCCGCCCAGACTGTTCATTGCGCCCCAGATCCCGGGCGCGAGGAAGTTGCACATTCCGAGGATTAGGGCGTTGTAGAAGGTTGAGCGGTACCATTTTACTGAGAGTGTTAGTAGTGAACTGGGAAATGGGAATTGTGGATGGTGTGGAGGGATGGAGGGATGGAGCAAAGGGAGCTGTGTACCTGGGAATTTCTGGGGAGGGGAGTCGTTGCCGACTTCCTCGTCGGTACTCAGGTCTTTTTCAGCCATTGTGATGAACTTGTGTGGAAAGAGACAAGATACGATACTCGATCAACTGAACCGATCCCAAGCGTCGTCACGAAGGACCGACCACCTCTTGATATACTCCCATCCAAGACACCCAGCCGCATGTCACCAAGCTCCAGTGGGTACCTCCTCCCTTGCAGTTAACGGCACGATGTCTCGGTCAATCTCCATCATTGTCAGCAAAGTCTCGTTAACAAAGCGCAGACCACAACTTGGCCCGGCCTCGAAAGCGCCATGTAGCGCCGTCAAGCCATCAGGATGATTTACCCACATCTCGGCGCGTTTGTTGCAATTCTGGTGGTTGGCGGTGTTGTGGTTTCGGCTTACGATTACGTGCTCGCACGGCATTTGGCCACTTTTTCTGTGGTTGTTTTGCGGATTTACAAGGGGTGAAATGGCAAGTGAAAAATACGCGGTCACTAGACCGAGGTTCAGGGAGGATTCTGATGATAAGGCACATTCTTTCGTTATCGTAGCTATCGTGTTCTTCGAAAATGGATATGATGATGTCAAACTCCCATACCTCCCACCTTCCCTTCCCTTCCCTATGCTAACTATCCCGAACCCTAACCAAAAAACACAACCATGATTAACCACGACACCTTTCGCACTGCCACGTCCAAGAAGCGAATCTACTCCGTATCCTCGGGATGAAAAACCAACGCACGAACCTCAATACTCTCCCTCGCCGGATACCCGACCTCAGTCTCAGGATTGACAAATGCCGAATGCGGCACGCGCCTGGCGCGCCCATCCGTCTTGGAATCAAAGCACTTGATCAACGTCACCAGGTCCGGCGTCTGCCCATACCGATAGTACCACTTGAACGCGGGGTTCGCGCGCACACCATACGTCTCGCCCTCGCGGTCGGGATAGACGAGTTTGATCCCGACGAGGTCGGAGTCCGGGACGGAGTGCGCGTCGGCGACGGCGAGCGGGTCCTTGTAGATGGGCTTGATGGGCCGCCACACGTTGATGATTTGGTAGCGGCCCTTGAGTAGCGTTTCGGCTTCGGCAGGGAGGTGGTGCGAGACGCGGTTGCGGGATGCCGTGTAGGATTGGTCTATGTGCACGCGCTGCACGGGGCCGCGGAGTTGGGAGGATGGGGTGCGCGTGTCGAGGGGGGCGCGGCGGATTGTGTGGTCGAAGATGAAGATTTTGGAGGCGCCGGTCCTGGAAAGATAGCCGGTCGTCAGCATACCTGAACATGATTGATGCTCGCAGGTAAGGTAGAGTAAGGAAACGTACGCATCCTTCAGAAGCTGCTCCGTCTCCGGATAATAAATTCTCTTGATTTGTTCATCATCGAGGAACTCCTTTTCTTTACTCTCATGGTAATAATACTGGAACCCGTTGCCGTCGAGGGTATATTCGAGCTCGTGGCCCGAGACATCATGGATCGTCACGGGGATCGTCTCGATGGGTTGCTTGCGGTATGCTTCGGCGTCGCCGACGATGTTGGGGGTTGGGGGCGAGCCGTCGGGGTGGTCGGCGAAGAAGTTTAGGGTTGTTTGGACGTGGTGCGGTTTTTCAGAAGAGGAGGTGGTGGTGGTGTCGAGGGAGGGTTGAGTGGAAAGGAGGGAGGAGGGAGCGGCGGATGGGGCGAGGGGAGTTTGGACTGTTGCTGAGGCCATAACTATAACTGCGTCTGAAGTATATACGGAGTAACTATGTGGTGGATTTGTAGTCAAGTGGAGAGATAAGATAGCGACGTTGAGCCGCGAAACCGGGGTATATATGTACAGCCCAGAGAGGGGTTGCGCATTGCCAATTTGTCAGACCAGCACGCAATCGCGAGTGTGACGCCGTGCGGCCACTGCTGATAAATACAAATGCTGGCTATTGGATGGCAAGCAGATGGCATCATGATGTTGCACGACTCAGCATCGAAGGATGGCTGGTTGAATTCAGGTTCTTGCACTGCATTGCATGGGCGTCTTGGTTGGGGGATTTCTAATCAAATATGACGACCGAGGCTGAGGTGCGTTCACGCAGGAGCCAACTCCGGGGTAAGTGTCTCTCAGATAGTAAGGAATTCTAAAGACTTGGAGAAATAATAACTCCATCAAGTTTCGTCCATCGACGTGAATGATTTAAAGGAGGATGCTGGTGTTAATCAAGCGGTTCTCAGCGAGATAAGGTTACTCGTTCCATATACCCAGGAGCGGCCCAACACGCCTTCCCGGCCAATTTATACTGACGCAGACGCGTATCCAGAGAATAGATTGAAGACCAAGATTCAGTTTATGAGTATCATTAGCATCGTAAAGGACATAAAAGACTTGATCGAAATCTACTCTCGAACGCCTGAAGCAAAGTATCTACGTATCATATGCCCGAACCAACTTCGTCGCAGTCGTCCCATCATCGAGTACCCTCTCCTCCTCTTCAAGTCCATACCCTCCCCATTTCGGTAGTAGCACCGTCCAAACATACCAATAAAGCACCCCAAAGACAATCCTGCAAGGCCCAATCAGTACACATCATCCTCAAAGCCCAAACCCACAGGAAAAAACTTACACGGAACTCCCCACAATCGCATACGTCGCATAGAAAAACTCCACGTCCCCCCTGAACCCAGGCGGCGGGATGAACGGCGCGATTACCAGCGCAACACTCACCAAAATCCTCAACCAAACAGCCGGCAACCAGGCCTTGAATGGGCGGAAAAGGTTCGGCTCGCGGTAGCGGAGGAGCAGTAGTCCACCCGTAATCGCTAGCCCAAAGATCGTGCCGGGATACCCCTCGACGTCGAGGATAAAGTTGTACACGTCGCCCTGGGGTGGGAGCGTTATGACGAGCAGCGAGGGAAAGTAGTGCACTATCAAACCCCAGAGGGGGGTTCCGAAAGGGCGCGAGGAGGAGAGGATGTCGCCCCAGGGGAGAAAGCCTTGTCGGGCGATTTCTTGGTTAACGCGGGCCTGCGTCGTTAACTACCCAACTCCTATCTCCTCTCTTCCTATACAGAGAGTAGTGGGGAGAGAAGAAACCTACCAACGCAAACGTAACAACCATAACATTCCCCGCCGCCGAAATAGCAATCGCAAGCGGGAAGAGGATCCCGCCAATGCGGTCACCAAAGAGTCGTTCAAAGAGGAGGGCCGCAACAAGCTCGCCGCTCTCCTTGATCTCGTCGAGCGGGACGACGAGGAAATACGATGCGTTTGCGAGCAGGTATAGGACCCCTGACGTCAGCAGCGCCGCGGGGCATACCGTTTTGATCGTGCGGATCGGATCGCGGACTTCGCTGAGGACGTTGTTGACGTTGTTTAATCCGGCATATGAGTATGTGACTTTGAAGAGGGATGTCGAGAGGAGGTTCCAGCTCCAGTTTGACCCCTCGAACAGCGTGTCCCATGCAAACGGGTGGTGCTGCTTTTGTCCCGCGCCGCTGGCGATATCCGATGGGCGGAGCAAGATCACCCAGATCCCCGTCAATGAAATCGATCCGATGAGGAAGATCTTGAGCCACCCGAGGACGTTCTGGATCCAGATTCCCGTCTGCCGGAAGCAGCCGTGCACGATTGTGATGAGGGTTAGCAGGCCGGCTGCTACCAGTTTTATTCTGGAGTTCGCTTGGCTCGACGCTGAAGGCGAAGAGCGTGTACTTGGCGAAGATGATGCAGTTGCTTGCAGTAAATCCCAGTAGCACAGCTTGTACGGCCACAAGAGTCGACGCGAGGAAGCGAGGGCGCGGGTATGTGTATTCAAGGTAGACTTTATCGCCTCCTGAGCGAGGGAGCATGCACCCGTACTCCATCGACACGACCATTCCGCACGCTGAGATGATCGTACCTGCAATCCATAGTACGAGGGAAAGTCCAACGCTCCCCGACGATTTCACAATCGATCCGGGCGTCGCGAAGATGCCGCTGCCGATGACGCGCGACACGACGAGGATATACGCTGTCGTCCAGCTGAGGTATTTCCCGGGCGCGGGCGATGGAAGTTCATCGTCCCGACGCGTCGAGGTTTCGTCGTATCGCGGGAACGTATACTGTTCCTGAAGCAGCGGCTGAGTCTCTCCTTCCATTGTTAGTTGTTGTGATGCTGGTGACCATCTCGTGGTTGTGACCAGCTATCTGTCCGGCAGCGACTCGAGGAACCTGATTAGAAATGCGAATGCGGTGCTCATCGGCAGGCAGTGTTGTGGTGATAACATTTCGCACGTCATTTGGCTCACTCCTTGCACGCTGCTCAGCGTGTCAGGCCGCAGCATGTGTCACATTCCAGGCATCAGACTCCCGTCGCGCGATTGTGCTCCCACACCAGGGACGCGACCATCATCACTGGCAACGTCCTCCAAGCAGGAGTAGCATATCTCCATAAACGAACCTCAAAGTCCCATCTGCCTCCGCTCAAACTGTCTTAGTAACCCCTTGGGTTATCATCGCAACTGTCAAGACGGATCGGGGTATCACGCCATCCAACCCCGCGATTAGCCATGGCAGACGTGATAGCACCCCAGGATTGCGCACCTCGTCAATTGCAAATTACAATCAAGATTTCAAACCACTGCCTTGTTCAGTCGACTTTATCTTACGCTCTCGTGCGAGAGATCCCCCCCGAGTCGCGCGAGATTGGAGATTGGCCTTGCGTTTGAGATGGAGACATGCACGCAACAATTCGCCCGCGGCTTTGACTCCATCAGAAATCCACCGAGGGTCGAAGGATCGTTGACGCCAATGTCCAAGGCTGATTCATGACTAATGTAGCGACTGTAAATACTTTCATCTCTTGTCCATTCTCACATACAGACACACACATCCTAGAGATTCAGCAGTGAAGATGACGACAATAACGACCCTCACGACAACGACGCTGGACGAAAAGCGCCCGGCTATCTACCACGAAGAGCTCCTCATCGAGCAGCGAGAAAATACCCGGGTTACATCCCGAACAGGTCAAACGGTCAACACGCCAAGTTTGACGCAACGAGCGTTACTCTTACACGCCGCCCAGCAGCCCTACGCCCTGGTGACCGATCATGCCATTCCGACTCTCCTTCACAAGGATGAAATCCTGATCAAAGTACGTAGATACCTTAGCTCGAGCTCGGACCAGCATCTAAAAAGTCCACGTTATCTGATCTAACAACCGTTGCAGGTAACAGCCATCGGGCTGAACCCTATAGACTGGAAGGGCCCGTACGTCACGTCACACCCTGTCACTTCGTCCCGGCACCAATTACTAACTGTAGTAGAGCATTCAACTTCGGCATCCCCAGCTTACCATGGGTGAACGGGCGCGACCTCGCCGGGGTGATTGTGCAAGCCCCCGAAACCACCGGCTCAAGTTCAACCTCGCGCCTCCGAAAAGGCGACCTCGTCCTCGTCCCCTCGACAGACTACCGGGACATCCGGAAAGCCGCGTTCCAAGAGTACGCCGTCGCGACGCACTTTAACGCCGCAAGGATTCCCGCGACCAGTTGCGCGCATGCGGCTGCGTCCGTGGGTGTTGCGTTTGTCGCGGCGATCCTAGCGCTGGGTGTTTCGTTTGGGGTGGATTTTCGGGGCATACAGCAATGTCCCGGGCCGAATCTGGTCGAGGTGCTGGGGAAGGTTGAGCCGGGGACGATACCGGCTGATGTGCGCGACGAGTGCTTTGCGTCGAGGGAGGAGATTGAGAGACCCAAGGCTGGAGACTGGATTGCTATTTGGGGTGGTACGTCCCTCCCCCCATTTCCCTTCCTCTTGCCCATTCTTCCCTCCCACTGGACTCCCACATACTAACTGACTTCAACAGCATCAACAACAACCGGCCTCCTAACCCTACAAGTCGCGCGCCTCGCGGGTCTGAAAACAATCTGCGTCGCCGACATAGCCCGGCACGGCGCGAAACTGCACGCTGCCGGCGCCGACATCCTCATCGACCGGCATGACACGTCGCGGGCGCTGGAAATCATGCGCGGCGTCACGGGCAACAACCTGCGGTACGCAATCGACATCGTCGGCCGCGAGACGTCGACACTCTTGCAATCCGCGCTGAACCCGGAGATTCGACCGGACGGGTCGCATGCGCATCTTTTGGGTCTGACGGGGTTACCGAAGGGGGAGGAGCGCGATGAGAGGGTTGTGTATCATACGGTTCCGATTAAGTTGTTTCATTCGTCGCCTGAGGTGGGCGAAGCGATGGTGCTTTGGTTGGAGGCGCTGTTGGAGAGCGGGACGCTGGAACTGCCGGAGATTGTTAGGGCCGAGGGGGGGTTGGAGGGGGTTAATGGGGCGTTAGAGGTGCTGAGGCGGGGGGAGGCGAGTGGGAAGAGGATTGTGCTTTCTTTGGAGTAGATGTTGGATGTGGTTTATTGAAGAATCTGGTTTGATTGCTTATGATAATGATATGATATAGATGTGGCGTTGGGGTTGAGTATAGAAAATGAGTTAGTGCGTTAACGGTTTCTATTCAGTAACCCCGATTAGAATGCCTCGACTAAGCTTCGAACTAAATCAGTTTACAAATTAAGAGAATTTCATCCGCTGAAAGATGCAGCCTTGCCAGGTAGAACACAACCCCAAGCAGCCTGCCTGTCGTCTGCCCATGCCCTTGTCAACCTCCAACACCTTTGGGAGGTCCCTGATATGATTATCAATCAGATATGCGATATCCAGCATATCAAGCCTTAGTTCACTACTACTGGTCTGCGGGCCAAGCACGTAAATTCGGCAACCCGGTCAGTAGATGATGCAACACCCTGTCTCCAATGTCGCCATCGAGGCTTGGATACCCCTCCACCCTAGGAGTTTTCGTCGGGCCCAACTCCGACAAGGAGGGGTATCTTGGCCAGTGGCCCTTGTTGGTAAACAATGTAATCTGCCGAGGGGCAGACCCAGAGATATTCTGACACTCCCCAAGCTCTTATCGGAACAATCGGCATCCCCCTGTACGATCTACAGGCGATCATTGGCCCGGGCGCGCACGCCACAGCATGGTGCCATTTGGAGACGATATTGGTATTCCAGCTAGGTAACCAAGGCTTTGTCCAGAGCACCAAATATACTTCCCAATCGGATCAGAATGGACTTGGGAGCTTCTGGAATCCTTCTCATGAGAATAAGCATTACGCTGGGGCAGGATTAGCACTTGAGGGTAACTCTTAAAGTGCACTATATGAGCGTGGACTAAAGAGTGAAGCATTATGCTCTCCCGAGAGGGGATGCCATGTGCCATGTAGAAGCTAGTATTTTCTTAGTATACGCTTTACACTACTGCGATCTAAGCCAATAGACTGATCTAACATTACCAACCCAGCTAAACGTCCGCCCACGTCTCCAGATACGTCCTCAAATCAATCTGATCGGGCCTCTTGAGATGCGGCGTGAGATCAATCGTCTCGCCCTCAGCTGCTGCATCACCCTCTCTCTCCTGCGCCCGAATCTCTCTGCTCGTCCACCCATTCCCAATAAACCCAAACCGATTCCCGCTCGGATTCGTATACTCATACTCCCAATCCTCCCAGCGCGGGTCCCGTCGTAGATAATTCAACGCAGCCGCCGACGCCGGGAAAAGCCCATGGATCCGCGCACCCGGCCGGCCACCGTTGTACCAAGAGCTACAGTGCTCCGTCCAGACGGTCCGCGGGAAGAACGCGTCGGAGTACTCGAGGAAATCGTCTGTTGCCGCCTTACTCGGGACGAGGGATTTAATCCCGTGGCTGCGTAGTTTGCGTAGGATCTTGGCGATGTATGTAATCTGGTTCTCGATGCTGTTTGGAACGCTCCCGCTGTGCCCTGTTGCGTTTGGGCCACCGATCCAGAGGAGGTTGGGAAATCCCGGCGTTGCCACGCCGAGGTAGTTATAGGGAAACCCGAAATGCCCGTCGTGTCTCCAGGCGCTTTGAAGATTCAGGTTGCCGGATATAATTGGGAAGGGAGGAGCATGGTCGACATTTGCGCCTGTTGAGCAGATGACTACATCAACCTCTCTTTCTACCCCGTCCTTCGTGACGATACTCTTTTCCGTAAACCGCTCAATATGCGTCTGGATATACTCGACATTCTCCTGACACAACGCCTCAAGATATCCCGGCCCCGGCGTCGGCCGTCGACAATTTGGCGGAAAATCCGGGATGATCTTCTCCGCGAGCTCTGGCTTCCCCGTAACGCGTCGCAGCATGAGCTCGCTCCATTTCTCGCGGAGGCCCGTGTTCTCTTCACTGCCGCGGAAGATTGCGCCAAAGCGCGAAAAGTATCCGCTTTCGATCTTCTTCCGGTACGAGAGGTATGTGTCTGCGTCGTTGAAGGACTCGATTGTTTCCCGTGGGATGAGGTTTGGCTCGAGGCGGCGGACGCCGACGGTCCCGAACGAGTCGGCGATCCAGGTGCGGTTTCGCGCGTAGTGGTCGACACGCGCGGCGATGGGCTGGATGGAGGGGAGCACTTGCAATCCCGATGCTCCATTCCCAATAAGCGCGACACACTTGTCCTTTAGATCAACAGAGTGATCCCAATTCGACGAGTGGAACAGCGGACCCTTGAAGTCGTTGATCCCCGGGTAATCAGGCAACTTCCACGCGTTAAAGTGCCCAATCGCATTGAGCACTACATCCAGCTCCTCCTCGTAGACTTTATCCTCCTTCAAATTGCGGACAGTCACCTTCCACTTCCCCTTCTCGCTCACCCACTCCGCGCGCTCGACCTTGTGCTGCGCGCGGATATACTTGTACACGTCGTACTTGCGCGCAATCCCCTGCCAGTAGTCACGGATCTCGGCGCCCTGCGCAAACTCCTCGGTCCATTTTGTGTTGGGCTCGAAGTTGGACTGGTACACGTGGGCGGGGATGTCGCAGCGCACGCCCGGGTATGTGTTTTCGAACCACGTTCCGCCCTGTACTGGTCAGTCTTTCATTCCCGCATTCAATATCCAGCATTTAATGGATGGGTCTTGGTTGGGGAAGGGAGGAACATACAACATCCGCGTTCTTATCATAGATACGCAAATCCAGTCCGGGAAGCTTCGCGGGCAACAAAACACCCGCTGTGATTCCTGACAATCCGGCACCGATGACGCCGACTTTTATCGGGCGCACTTGGTCAATGGGGTGTTCCTCGAGTTGGAAGGCTGGTCGGTGCTTCACTTCCCCTGTTGCCGTCGGTGGTGCTGATGGTACTGATTCTGGTGATGTTCCTTGTGCTTGTGCTGGCGGCACCAGTACCTCCGCCGTATGTCCATGTCCAATTCCAGTTCCATGTCCATTGAGGATAGGGATCTCCGACACGATCGGTGCTTTGACTGCTGCTGCTGCCATCGTGTCTAGCAGTGGTACTCGGACTATCACTCTTTGTTGTTGCTATCTGCGAGCTGTGCCCCTTCCCCTTGGAGCTCGGCCCGTAGTCCCCTTTTATCAGCAACAGGTAATGGACCAATGCGGGGAATCCCATGATGTGATTTGCGTGTCTGCTTTGTCTTTCTCTGAGATAGTTGATTCGTCCAAGTGTTGGAGACAAGTTGGCTCGAGACAAGTCCAGACAAGACACCTTGTTTCGCGTGCGTGGTCGCGAGGGTGAGGAATGTGTCTGGGAGCACGACATTGTGGGCCGCGATGGTGCACGTTTTGCATCACCCCGGAAATACACGATTCCGCAGTGCGTATTTTTCAACTCAGTTTCTTATCTTTATCGGCGATTGCGATTGCAGGCTTATCTTGGAGATTTACGATTTGCCATCTTGGGCGTAGACTTCGTCATTTTCTTACTCCAACTTACTTGCTGAGGAACTGGCTGGAAGGTTGCATCGAGTGTCAAGCGCAAGTATCCTACTGTTCTGCAGGCCCATCAGAAAGAGACTGCACAAGCATATGAAGGAAGAAACGACCAAAGAGTCAGTACGCGATCAACGTTCCAGTCTTGTCTGGTCTCAACAGGGCATCTCTCTACAATTCTGCGTAGGTCTGGGTTATATATATTCCCACTAATCCTAAATACGCAACATCTCCAAAACCAGAAAACAAGCATCGACGCCGCACAAAAAAAGCAAGCATGGTCGATTCCCCACGATTTTCCATCCTACTTCAGGGCTCCCACGCGCCCCGTTCCTGAAATCAGCCCGACGGCTTTCTTTTTCTTTTCTTGGCAGCAATGGATACCGATGCCAGATGCAACCGCGGCACTATCTTGTTCTCACAATCACTCTACCTCGACAGCGCATTCCTCCGCAGATTCGAGGGGAGGATAAGGTCTGGTATAGCATCTGCCAGGTCGATCGGTCAAATCATCGAGGGCTTTGGATGAATATATCCATTCGTACGCTATAGAACCGAGCTGGTGGAAACATGCGTGATGGCGAGCATACTACGATAAGCAAAGTATCCTTTAACGCGCTAAAGGCGCGACTCCAAAGGTTACCTACCGTAGCGGTCGCTTGCTCCCGTTACGTTCCTGAACAGTGGACACTTTCTGCGAATGCCTAGCCCTCTTGGCGCTACGCCTGGACATTTATAGTCTACCGAGGATGTTCGGGTGTTTTCAGATGTAGATTGAGGGAACGAGATATCACCGACACGATCCTTGCATGAAAATAGTGGCCGTGGCAAACGCTCGTCTAGAATCTCTTAGGGCAACGATTCTCAGAGTCCACCGGCGACGATGTTGTGGGAAGCCCCGCTTATCACTTCCACGGCAGGTTCTAGCACACATGACTTCTTTCATGTCATATATCTATGTCTAGCGATTCTCTAGCTAGATAGCTTCATCCTTCTTACACGCATCTGAGTGCATGCGTCTTCTTTGGTCATGGCTGAGCTCTCTCCTGGAGCCGTAGGGCGCTCTGTCAGATGTTGGTAGAGTAGGATATGCGAAACGCTGGGTATGTTCAGCCTTGCGCATTTCCACATGTACAACAAGGATGGAAATAATGGCAAGAGCGATAAAACATACTAGTCACATGCCCTGTACAACCGCGGCCTTTATCGGCCGTCTATTCGTGGTCGAAAGCATAGACGAGGCGAGTCGAGCTGAGCAAGATCTATGAGCCTGACTCGAGAACCCTACGGCATGCGATTGAAACGTTACCAAGACGAGACGTCCCATCGGGGGCCTTGGATGTATGTTGCACATTAATGTTGTATATACATGTAAGTTCATAAGGCATATAGGCAGAGCAAAGCACATCCCGAGCCATGTTACACACGTTATATCGTACATCTATGTTCAGCGTATCGCATCCTTCGAGGTTGGATGTGTAGTGTACCATGCTCCTTACGGCGAGCCCCTGACGGAACACGACCGGAATGAAACCGTTTGAAGTGGTCTCAGCGACCAGGTCCACCGGGTTTGACCACGTACTGTCGCGGGTCAAGGGCTCTGGCGGGGTGGCACAGATCGTGAGAAGTCATGCGGTGCGAGCATCGCCTTCTAAACGCCACAGCGCAGCGCTGGGCTAACGGGGACCCAGGATGCGGCACGCAGGTCCGCCGGCGGTCATTGTTGTTGCGAAGTCTGCACTTCCTGTCGAATTCCCCCTCATGGTGTATCGCTCGGCTGAATCTTCTACAGTTCCAACCTCAGGTGTACCGTAGCCGTCTATTAGATTTCCCAGGACAAATGTTGAACACTCTTCTTCACACCCACCAACGCCTAAGTGTTAGCACTACGGATCTCCTGCAACCGAATAAACTCGCCCTGCAGGCGATTCGCCGACTGGAACGTCCCCGAGGTGACCTCGCGGGGCGCGGGAATAAACTCGTTCGGCGCAGGGTTGCGACTCCCATCGCTCGCAGCCGGCGAGCGCGACAATGAGCTGTGTTTGGAGCACCTCGAGTGAAGCGGCGGTAGCTGTAGTTGAAGAAGGCGCGGACGCCGGGCATGCAGACGGAGATGATGGAGAGGTAGACTTCGAGGGCGGACCAGGTGTCCAGCCAGATGAAGGTTTCTGGAGACATGTTAGTCGGGTTCCAGAATGGGTACGTAGGTAGGGAGGCAGGGAGTGGAACGCAGTGTACTTGTGATATTTCCCCCCATTTCCTGGCTGAGGGACATTATAAAGCGATAGATGCTGAGGGCCGTGACGCTGCCACCGATCAGATTTGCCTTTGTGGGATGGGATCGAAGAGGTGGGGACAAACAGAATCCCAGCCGCAAACATGGAGCAGACACCAATCTTCTTGCCCAAGGGGAGGTTCAGTTTGGCGAGAGTTGACACAGGAAGGCCAATGATCGCAACGTCGAGGGCGATGTTTATAGCGGAATGCGCCGACACGATGTGGACATGCGAGAGACACTTGCACTGGTGCTCGCCGTCCCACATGTGCCAGAAATGACTGACCGGTTTGCAGGAAAAGGTTGTAGCAAAAACTGTCGCGACTCCCCAGCAGAAAGCGACAGCGAGGACGAAGTAGGTTGCGCGGCGGAAGTTCTGGTCGGGGAAGAGGCGGAGGAAGAGAAGGAGCATCGAAATCTTGGACAGGGCAATCGATGAAATATAAAGGACTTCGATGCAAAAGCATAGCTGGCTTGTTAGCCGGCCAGCGCAAGGCGACGAATGCATGGGCCTACCAGGAGGATCTTGGTGATGTTGTCGAACAGGACGAACCAAATATCTTTGCCTAGCCCTAGGGGGGCATCTACTGAATCAGTATGGGGACAAAACTCAGGTGTTCTTGTAGACGTACGGCGGAGACCAATGACCGACATGGCGAGCGCTGCGACCTGGTCCTGTTAGGTGACACTCTTTTCGCCCGGCCCTGCACTTACTAGCGAAAGAGCAATGACAGCATCGTCAAGTCCCATGCGTGATCCCAGGAGCCGACCGGCGATTCGAAGACCGACGGCGACGGTCGAGAAAACAGCACCGGCAATGGCCACCGAGGGAAAGACCGAGTTATCGTCCACGACAGGGTAGTCGCACGCGTCGTAAAGAAGGCGCGTCGATCCTGGTCTGTTAGCACGGGCTGCCACGCGGAAAGAAGAGGCTCACGCAGATTATCCTTGACACTGCAGTTCAGTAATACACAGGTCTGGACCTCTGTGGTGAGCTGCACATCGGTGCAGATGCAGTCAAGGTCGCTGAGCGAACACGAAGACGGCCCAATGGCCCGAGTCAGGCAGAGCAGCTGCACGAGTCAGTACCCCTGCAATGTCTGTATGTATACTGTACCGAGCGGACCTTGAATGAACGTACCGTACATGATGGCAGCCCATCCATCGCTGTCAGTCGCTGGATAATGGAGCAGGGACAGCACGGACATGAGGGAATCTGCCCGGTTTATGAGATTGTGTGACAATCAGACAGTTAAACTCATCGAAAGGAGCTCCAGGTTTCGTCCGTGCATCCGCCAGTGCCGATTTTCCTAGCTGTCTACCTGCCAAGTTACAGCGACTGAATAGCGTGGGCGCTCGGACGCATCCTCAAAATGGGCTGTCTCGGGGAGTCCTCCGACGCGTCTTGAGGCGGAGATAAAACGCTCGCCAATGATAGATCAACTCCTGCACGAGGTATTCGGTACGAATTCCAGCCCCGGCTTCTGGGAGTCTCGCCTCGAACTTGCAGTTGCCTCGCGATTATGGCCGGAAAACGGATTGCCACAGCGTATGATGGATCATCGAACCCCCCGAAAAAGGGGACCCTAGCTCGTGTCGCTGACTTGGGGCAGCATTTGCATGCCGAGTCTCCAGATCTGGATCTGGACCAACCCTGGCTTTCACCACCGTTATCCGCCACCAAAAGTGGGTGTTCTCCATCTCCTGGACGCTCGGGCCCCAATCGCCGTCACATTCCACGTTGATCCAGGGTACCTATCGAGATGACAAGCCCAGAGATGACTAGACAGATAAAGCGTCAGGGATGGCTTGTCCCTCTTGGCAAACTCTGCCAGGGTCGGGTGGCTGTCGAGAACAAAGACTCGGATGTGATCGTCGCTGTGGGGTGCACATCCCACGCACCAGTCAGGAACAGCACCAGGGGAGATTGTTTGCCCTAAATGGGTTGAAAGAGCCAGACAAGTCGTCTGAAAGTCAAAGGCATTCAAAAGTACGCTCGAGCCAGAAGAGGCATGCTGGAAATGAGAGGTTTGCTCTTGAGGGGTTGAAGGCAAGTCCAGGTTCCAACTGAGTTGAGGCCGTCGCCAGAGGCTGGACCGCATATCACATGCTCCCAAACATGGGGAAGGCCAGAACAATCTATCTTGACATCCACTGCAGAAGCCTCCGAGGTAGCTAGGCATTCTTTTTGTACGGGTAACCCATCTCGGGGCAAAGCCAATGTATGGGCCGGAAGGTCATGGAGGCATATCGAAAAGTTGAAGGTCTTGTCATTCTAATGGTCGAGCGAGAAAGTACGATATTAAAGACAGAAGGAAAATCTAAACAGAGCTAAACCCAATTAGGAAAGAGGGGCTAGTTGACTTTTAGTGCGGCAAATGGCTCCAATCGCTGAACCTTCCCATCGACCGAGCGGTCTCGGTAGAGTTGCCGTATTGGATCCTCGGCAGGAGGACCCTCCGGCTGACACAATGATACCAGTTCATTGCGTATGCAGACACTAGTGTGCGCTATAGTGGTTGATGGAAACAAAAAACGACTGTATATATCAGCCAGCGAACTTTAATCCAGCCATGGATGGGTAGCCTTGTTGACCAAACGATAGCATTTACGGTCGAGAAGGGGAAAAAAAAAACCATCTGCGTTTACACGCGCCATATCATCACTTGGTGCATCCTCGCGTCCCTCGCGGACTTGCACCGGATTACAGCCAAATGACCGAGCTCAGACTTCGAATCCGGATTGATAGTCTCCGCTATCACATCTAGTCTAGTCCTCTGCAGATAAATGATTCTTTCGCCAAAATTGGCGTGAAGCATCGACACCTCCAGCCGGTTGGAGGTCTTTGATAAATTGTCTCCTGAAAATACCTCAGGAACAGTGTCTGCGCCAAGTATGACCGCCATTGGTGCCATCTATTAACCCATGCGATATCTTGTTCCAACCAACTCTTGCAATCAATCCAGTCCCGGACACTGCTCACTCGTCTCGGAGACAATCTCATCATACGGCGCCGGGTCCGTCCAGATCAGATCGAACCTGGCCAACAGATTAGTTCCCTACCTCTGCGTATTATCTTTATAGAACTATTAGTGCATTCTCACCTATCACCCGGATACTCCGGCGCATCGTCCGCCCCAAGTTCCTCAATGATATCCGTCAATGCATCATGCTCCCAGCAAATGAGGATATTCCCATCGCCGTCGTAATCTTTAATTGCATCCTTCACGCACTCGGGGTCATCGCGGTCACACGAGATGTCGACTCCGAGGCCGAGGTCGTTTGCGAGGGGGAGGACGGTTTGGTAGGGGCGGATGCGCTTGCCGTCTACACAGCATCAGACAGTGAGTAAGATTCGAAGAAAAAAAAAGACGTATCGTCGTAGAAAGGGTCATAAGATGCGAAGAGGCGACGAACTATCCTTCGGCGTCATCGCCATGATATACCCAATATTATACCCTGAATTCGCACCAAAGACCTGGCGGAGACATTGCGCGCGCTGCTCGCCCTGTGCGCTGAGTCCCGTCCCATCATTCTCAGGCTTCTCGCCGTGGCGGATTAGATATACCGTCGGCTTAGCGGAGGCGAGTGTGCTGAGCGCTAGGAGCGCGACGGGGAGGAGGGTTGAGTACATCGCGTTGGTTATGAAAATGGCTGATCAAAAGACTGGGTGTCCTGTCCCTTGTACAAGTCAAGCTCATCCAAGCTTTTATATGCTTTCGTACAGATAGGATCCCCCACGGGGCGCGTTGTGCGAATTGATGCGCTGTACTCCTGCTCGTATAGCGCTGTCAATATAGGCTAATGTGATTGGCCAATTGGGGCACGTGGTGGAATGAATCGTCGAGTTACTCTAGGATCCCTGGGATGATTGCAACGTTTCTCCACCCGGGCTGCAGGATCTCGGGACGATCGGTTTCGGCGAGGGAACCGTGGGTGCTTGTTTGGATGGGAGCTTTTAAATTTGTGTAGGCTGCAGTTGGGCGTTGGGGACCTTGTGGGGATTGGTTAGGTAGGTGAGACAATACATGCAGTGGGGCCATTTGGAATGAACTGCGCTTAAATAATTGGTCTCTGAGACTAGATTCTCCTGATTCTGTTTATGGTTTCTATTATGCAAGACGCATTATTGTAGGAGGAGTGGACGGCTGTTTACGCTGCTCAAGTGCCCACCCACCCTCGAGATGGCACAACACCTAGAATATTGTTCAGTGTCACTCATTGCCCAGGATAGCCGTGCATCAATGAGTTCAATACCGAGGCATTTCTATGGGCCCCCCTCGCATCAAAGAGGTAGGTAGGTAAACATGCATTCCTTCCTATGCCGGCTCCGCCCAAGAACTCAAGATGAAGTATTACCAACCGCCGCAAACACCATGACCACAAGAGCTATGTACATGGATAATAAAATGATCAACCAGCGTCTCCTAATGACATCGCAGGAAAGCGGTCCAGTGCTACCTTGACGTAGACCTGATGAAACACATCATCCACTCCCAAATCCTCAATTTCCAGATCGTCCAAGCTAAACCCCCAAGCATCTGCAACACGCTCGTCGGGTTTATACCCCGACATGGAGTCGAATGACAAAGTGGGCCTATTCCCCAAGAGCCCTTCTCCCACTTCACGGCCACTGATGAATTTAAACTGGGTATCAGGCGTGTGAACCATACTAGTGTTTATAGACTTTAAGCGCGGCATGTGCTGCGCTGCATAACCCAGAGATATGAAAAGACGCTGGAAGTGTTCGATCTTCATCTTGTCCCTGAAATATTCCGTTTCTTCCATCACCAGCTGTGTATCAATGATGGCGAATCCCGTTGTTGGGTCAGGGATCATTTCTCTGGTTGCGGGACTGAGGTCGCAGTCGAAGAGCCATTCACCTGCGAAAAGGTCAATCGTTCGTTAGAAGTGACAGTAGGAAAGGCATCTGATTGCGTGACTAGGAAGGAGGGATAGGAGGATGAGGGTGATCATACCAGAAGGTAAACACATCGGGAGGGCCGTTAGGGTAAGCGACTCCATATACTGCCAGTGAAGCAATAATGCCCTTGGTGTAGGCGCACCATCTTCATCCAGGGGGAAAAGAAAGTCCGTCTCCACGCTGGTGAGTGTCAATTTTAGGTCGTTAAGTGTCAGGGACAGGCTGCCCATGTTACATGAAAAGTCGTCAAAATCATTCCTCGCCCGGAGATCCAACGCCGGGAGGATATTCAACCAGGGTTCTTCCGCGTTACCATCCAGCTCGAACGATCTGAGCGTGGATGGAAGCTTTGGGAGGGCGAGTGCCACAGCTGATATTACTATTAGTTTGTAGCCATTGTGTGTTTACAGAAGAGACAGCCTACCTTGTCGTCGTCCTCGAATGTAATCAAGGTGGTCTGGGCGGACCAACTCCTCCAGATGCAGGTAGATCCTTCGCAACGCAACGCAGTGCTCTGCGATTTGCATCGCAGCACCACTCCATATGCCCTGGTACGAATAATTGCTCTCAAACAACAGCTCGTCGACGCAGGCAACCCTTGGCATGTCTGGGCAGTCATCTGGGAAGCGTGCGTGATATGGAACGGACAGCCACTGTTTACCATCAAGGACGGTCTGCCATTGGTAGGCATATTGTATTGCTTCGGTTTCTGGTTCGAGCGTCTTCTCCCGGCCATGAACAGCCATAGCCAAGGTAATCTTAAGATGCGCATCCCAGGACTCTAGGATTTCAAACAACGAGCGTATCCCCTGACTAAATGCCTCGTTATTGGCTTGTCGGACGGGATTCCGCTCGGTGTACAGCTTGCTCTCAAGCTTCATGGCGCTATAATCCTCAATCTCATGTGGCGTGACAATCGTATAATCCAACCGACGAAGAAAAGACGGCCGGTACTGTGTTGGATCAGACATGAGGGACTGGAACTGCGACAAGGATACAGCCCCTTTTCCGAGCTAGGCTCCGTCGGTTGAAACTTTGAGGCTGCGGTAGATCAATCGCTCAAACACTGGCTGCCACTGGCGGCAGACTCTCGCGTATTTAGGAAACGATGAGGCGTCGTCCTCGAGATAAAGAGCGACATGCGTCCATAGCTCGAAGGGGAGCTTGTGCGCCATGGTGCAGTGTAGTTGAAAGTTGGTGAGGCTCTGGAGTCCGCGGGAACTAGACACGGACGCGACGATGAGTAATGCAGCGACCCACTTTCGTACCGTCTTCAGAAGCATCTATATCGCTACAGAGTAGCCCCATTCATATCTTGCCTCTGTCTTTCCAAGTCTTATTTACAAAATCTGCGGATGAACTCGCGTTCCGGCACGAGCGCCCGTGTCGGAAGTGCATCGCCCCTGGCCTCTGTGCAAGGGACCATTGCTATTATACAGTGATCTACACGCCCTACTCCCTTGAGTATATTATTATTGACCAAGCCCAAAGCTCCAAAAGAGCTTTCGTACACGACGCAGCAGTAGCCGCCGCATGAGTTTGCCACTTCTTGTTCTTGTAGGAGTCGGCATAATCAGCAACTCCCTTGATAACAAGACAGCTAGAAAATGTATCCATACACCAGAACCCTCCATTTCAAATGCAATCACCCCTTTCTCTCTAAAAATCCTGTCCCTGACCTCCGCAGATCGCATCACCTGGTCACCAGAGGCTACCAGTCCAATATGAATAGCCGGCTCATGAGCTTCCTCTGTCAGCCAGCCAGCCCCGCGCTCCATGGGATACCCGGACTCGGTCCCCAACTTGCCCACCACAACCCCAAGATGCTCAAGCAGCCTATCGCTAATCCGCTTCCTCCGCTGCCTAACGAGCTGCGCCAACAGCGCCCGGACCTCCATACTTGGTCGCCCGAGATTATCCAACAGCGTGTCCTTTGGCACAAGGACACCCTCTCCGTGTCTTCGCACACAGTCATGCTGCACGACTCCGTTGCTGATGATAACGTCGCCCAGTCGAACCTCACGCCCTTCTGGGGTATTCGGCGTGCCTCCACATATGCTAACAACAAGGGCCATCTTGATGTTGGGGAAACTGGACCTGCAGAAAGCCGCTACCGCCGCACCGTGGCTCTTGCCCATTCCCGGCATGTATGCTAGGACAATGTTGTGTGCGCCCATTGTACGAGACGAATACGCGTTTGGATCTCCTGCGGCCTCTCGTGTCCATTCGTGTGGTGTGTACCCGTCGGTGATGTAGTGGTGGTCGAAGAGATCCTCGATGGTATCTCCTTCGAGAGGCAGCGCGCAGATTATGGCGATGTGGAAATCATTCCTTGTCTTCCGCGGAGGTGGGAGATCTACTATGCTCGGGTCCATGTCAACTGTAGCAGCAGAGTACGTTTTGCTCTGATCAGAGAGTCGCCGCGGCAGACTCTGATACTTCCGGTTAGTCAAAGTGGTGTGGTGAAGACCGCTCTTGACATAAAGAGCTTCACCCGCTGGCGCTAACTGCACTGCGTCGCGTTGCTGTCCAGGGTTCATTAGCAGCGGTATAGATGCGCGGAGCAAGGATCGGCTGTAGAGGCGAGCCATTTCGCGCAAGGTTTAGCTTTTATGATGAGGTCTTGCTCCCTTTATGCCTCCGCCTGCTGTTCTGCCGAGGACAAGTGATTGAGCTTGCGACTCAGCTGGATCTCGCAACACGAGTCTGCCTTGGAGCAGGATCTCGAGTTTCAGCCCCACTCCGCCTCAATGCATGGAACTGCATACACCCCCTCACTCTCAAAGCAACCAATGGCTGCGTGCGCATAGCCGCCATGCTTTGTCATTACTGGGCGCACACATGACCTGGTACCTGTACCCAGGGGAGTCAGGGACAGGGGATGGCAGGAGCTCGACTACTCGAATTTTTGAGATGGGCAACAATCGAGATGGGATATATGTGCAGTGGCCTCGCTAATTTATTGTCATTTCTCGCTACTGGCGTATAGTATTGCCGAGAATAGACATTATCATAGGACCTCCACCGCTCTGAGTTTGAAACAGGTCGAGTCTCCCACCCCGGCTCCATGATACGATCCGTGCTCTTCGGCCTTATGGCCGTTGAAGCGGAAATGTGGATTTGGCACCACCGAAAAGATACCATGTCTAGACCTACAATTCCAACTATTGCTAAGGCATCAAACCCCACGGTTACCACAGATGTCGGAGACAGACATGGATGGCAAATTTCAGAAGTTATCTACAGGCAAGTAGATCCATCTATCCCCAGTACTAGACACCACTTTCTCAACACGCGCTACTGGACAACCAGATCAAGCACAATAGAAATTCACATTGCACTCGGGCTGCCCATCATCACCAATCTCGCACGAATCGATTATCGGCTGCAAATCCTCGTCGGTACAGTTTGCGATGCAGGTCCTTGCGCTTCCGCAGGGGCTGTCATCTGGAGAGAGTGCGTTAGCAAGACAACGACAGACAGACAGACTGAGAGTGTCACAGGCAGGCAGCCGGGTCGGTACATGCATGGTGCTGCGGCAATATTAGTCAGACCAAGAGCGAAGAGTAGCGATGTGAGATGCATTGTGTTGGATAGTGCAGGGGAAACAATGGATTAGCCTTTGGACAGAGAACACTGGGGTATACGAAAGTGGAAGAGAAGTGCCGATATGTAAATATAATGTAACCTGACTATACAGCTCTTTATTAGGCTGCTAAAAGAGGGCATGTTAAAAGTTATAGAAGAACTTAGCCATGGAGCTAACCTGTTGGACAATAACTAAAAGGGGTCTCCCCCATTACATTTAGGCGCGGTGAACTGGTTCCAGGCCATGGTGTTACCTCTTTTGCAACGAAGAGCGTCGCCGAGAGCCTGCTTGATGGAGGCGCTGATATATCGGTGATGGATCATACAGGCCGTGCGGCACGAGACATCGTTCAGGAGTGGGAGGCTTATCGCATTCAACGACTGCTTAATGATGAAGAAGTAGATATAACAAATCTTAACAACATTATAAATTCTCTCTTAGCTACATCACCTACATTTTTAAATAAAATACACAGAATAAGAACGACCAAAACTATTCTATTATACATGAATCTAGTATAAGCTGCCGAAAATACTATAGAAGAACTAGCTAAAACACATAAAGGCAAAATCGTTAGCAAGCGTCTTATCTTTCTCGTCGTCGGCTTCTTCAATTGAATGCCTATGCCAGACATCTGGGAAAAGACCGTGCGGAAGAGTCTAGCTGTAACATCCCTGCTGGTAGCTCGAAATACACTTAGAGCTTGAAAGATCTTTGTCCGGATTTGTCATCATCCTTGTCACCTGGGGTGTCACCTGAGCGGCTATGCTGCTGATCCGTGTTAGGCAGCAAAATTTCTGTTGTGTCCAGGTTTGTTCTTAATTGACCTGTCGGACCTGTCCACCTTGAGCATGTGGGTGCAGTCAATCGTTCTCTTCATGGCAAGAGCTCGTCTATATGCGTAACTGTTGGAAGGAAAAGACCTGAACTAGATTAGGCTGGACGCGATAAGAGATACAGCTCTCTTTATGGACTTGTACGTATCCCTATTGCAAAATTACTAATTTGATTGCGACTGCGTCACTCATATTAGTGCAAGAAACCAACCTAATTAAATAACGCAATGTATATTGTTGTTGATGCTTAATTCGTGAGTACTATAGATGGAAGCTGATTGGTTAATTTAGTGAGAGGGGTTTCTTAGAGATCTTCATGCGTGAGTTACAGAGAGTCCTAGTCTCCCAATGCTCCAACGCTCTAAACGGAGGAGTTGGACGCGTAGTCTCACGTGGAACGGTGCAGCCAAGATGGATTGACTGTATTGAATCTGAGTGGCCAGGTTGGATATCTTGTGACTGGCTATCTAGGCACATGATTGGATAAGGGTGCATGGCCCCCAATCTCTACTTCCGTCCAATGCAATGCTGATTGAGAGACCCAGCTAGGTAGATATATAAAAGAGCTGATATCCTATGTGCCCGCTCTACTTGATGAGACTACAATACCCTACACCGAGCCAGATCTATTACAGGAAGAACCCAAAAACTCGTATTATCAAAATGGTACGTACAAGCAACACCCCTAGCGGCTACTGCTAAAACCCTCCCAACTCACCACACATTCCACTCACAGTCCTGCCCAATTGATACTCCCGCACAGACTATCATGTCTTCTCTCCGCCGCTCCCCCTCCGGCCGCGGCTACACCCACCTCGCCTGCGACGGCGTGCTGCGCGCCATTAGTGGAGACAACAAGGTCGTCGACTACCGGCGGCTCAGTCCGGAGGAGATCCAGACTGCGATGCAGGTGTTTCCGCAGAAGTATCGTGACCAGGTCAAGGATAAATTTGTGGGTGTTGATGGGCGGGATGTCACGAATGAGGAGCAGCTGTGGAATCCGTCGGAGGAGCTTGTGCCCCGGAGGAAGGAGAGGAGCGGGGTGGAGGCGCCGAGTTCGACGCCTGTGGGGTGATCTCTTCTCTCTCTCTCTCTCTCTCTTTTTAACCCCTGTCTGTACGTGACCGTAAGGGAAGGGGGTAAAGCTCTTGGATAAAAGATAGATATATGAGTGAGAATTGAGTACCCTATACTTTGTCTTTGCGTAGGAACAAAATCAATAAACCTGCAAGTATCCAGGGCGCCAAGATGAATGTATGGTAAAATGTAGGCCAAGTGGTTCTGTAAGAAGGAGATGGATATTCCAATCTCCGTGGGCGGAACCCAGAAGAGGGTGTAGAAGAAGGTGAAGAAGACGTGGACCCCAAGAGGGCGATGTGTCCGGTTTAAAGTTTTCTGAGGCGTGAGGTGAGCGGGCTGCTATGTATGCTGTTGTCTAGAGCTAGGAATAGGGCGCAGACGGAGTGGGTGTTTGGAGAGCGGAAACGTTTGCGGGAGTGAGTTAGGGCTACGTGGTGGTGGCGGGTTTTGGCACGACTCTCCACCTTCTCGGTTTTCCTACCATGGTCGGCCTGCAGGTGCACCGAACTGCCACCGTACAGTTGTTTTAAGGGCGTTTCTTCTTTGGAGACAAGTCGTTGCAACGCCAGCAATCTGTTCGGGACGTCATATTAGATTGCTAGGGAAGCGTGAACTGTTCGGTACCCATGTAAGATTGGGGGTCATATCCTTCGTTTGATAGACATTACCTACTTAGTGAAAGATTCCGTGATGCTGTGGTTGAAAATACAACTGCTAGAGCAGGTCGCTATGCAGCTTCTAGTGGCAGAGTTCACTTGGCCCGCAGAATGGAATTCTTGGGAACAGAGACTGTGGGGCAGCTAACCCGCACCTTCCGGGTTGCGAGCAACTAGAAGGCCATACTCCTCCTGAATAAAGCGGGTGTCAGGGGCAGGTTTTTAGGTTGCGAAAGCCCAACCAAACCTGTGGGCTAACAAGTTTAGTGCTACACGTAAGACCTTTCCTTTATTAAAAAGAGGTCTTCTAGTAGTTTCTTCCTTCCCTCTTCTCTTCGCATCTAGTTTAACCAATGCAGCACTTTCAGTGTCATAGCCATTCTGTTAGAACGTCTTGTTGCGGTTCCGATCAGGGTAGATGGAACTCAGTGATCGTCAGGTACCTCAAGGATCCATGCCTTGAAAGGCGTGAAATGAGACATGACTTGGCGGCTCTTCAAGAAAAAGGCATTACCTGAGCCTGTCCATGCCCTGGCCACCGCATCTTCTAATGCCTGAGTCCGCCGCTCTAGGTTTCGATCGAGATTTGTTACCTCTATCGTTCGCTAGCCCGGAAAACATAAGCGACTACGTTGATTTGACTGCCAAAGTCTCCCCGCATATTGGCTGGCCTCGCCCGCGGCCCACCATGCACCGTGTGTCAGCATTTACGAGTTGGAATTTTTTATCCCCCCAACAAAGCCATAAACACGCATGCTTCTGGACTCTGCAATAGTGGACGCTGACCTCCAAATGCCCAAGCAAGTCTGGCTTTGACAGATTCCGTACCGACTCCGCATCTTTGCAAAGGACTGGCGTGGAGAGTATACACACAGTGATTTTTCCTGTTTGACCCTTCCGCCTCTGTCGCAGCGTGCGAGCTTCTCTTATGGGATTGGGGAGGCTTCATTAGGCTTCTTTATTGGCGCCATGCTTCTCTGCGTGGATACGTCTTTGCGTATACGCATACGCTCCCCAGCACATTATTAATACAATCGTATGACTGCCAGGACTCCTTCTAATGTAGAAGTAAACTGGGTATTTGTCCTCCCCGACTATACTCAGTGCCCTAACTAAACCGTCGACTCGGCTGCCGTGAGCCCGAGCCCAAGTAGAATCCCAGCCGAGCGGGAACGACATTCTGGACCACTCGCTAGCAAGCGCTGCCCATTGTCATTGCAGAAGAGAACCAAAAGAAGGATGCGCATAGAGATGCATTCCAGTTGCCAATATTATCAAAGCATTAGCGAAGGCACCGAGGCGTCTAGAATATCGATACGAGTAGCTATGCGCCACAGACGTCTGTGAGAGGGTGTTGCGGATGTTGCGGGTGTTGCGGCGACGATGCACGGATCGTGTATACCAGCCGCTGCAGCTCTCTACGGTTCCAGCACGCATGGTTTGTAAGGCGTCATTACAAATGCGGGCTTACAAACTTTGGTATGACAAATGTAGGAGAGTGTCTGCAGATGTGGCTTGCTTGCGGTGATCTGGAGGGTATATAAGTCGCCTTTCCCTGGGTCCTGGTGGTAGTATCATCAGCTCGGAACCAACATCGCAAAGCATCTACTTGCACTCGAACAACTTCAGATCTTCACTTCAATATCACACCCTCAAACCATCATGTCGAAGCTCGTCGTCGTCGTTGGCGCCACCGGCACCCAGGGAGGCTCAGTGGTTGACGCCCTGCTCGCCGACCCTTCGAGTTACCGCGTCCGCGGCATAACCCGCAACCCGCAAAGCGACAACGCCAAAGCCCTCGCAGCAAAGGGCGCTGAAATCGTCACCGCCGACTTGAACGACGAATCCAGCCTCGTCGCAGCCTTCGCGGGAGCGCACGTCATCTTCGCCGTGACGGATTTCTTCGAGCCCGCGATGAAGGCAGGCATTGAAGAGGGGAAGAAGGTCGAGTTCGCGCAAGCGACGAATATGATCAAGGCGGCGAAGAAGACGCCAACTCTCGAGCAGTATATCTGGAGCACGCTGCCGAATGCGAATGCGCTGTCAAGGGGGAAATACAGCGTGCCGTTTTTCGATAACAAGTCGGCGGTCGATGACTATATCCGGCGGGATGAGGAGTTTCTGGCCAAGACGACTTTCCTCTACCTCACGTATTTCTCGACGAACGTCTTCTATCCGGTGTTTTTGCCGATTCATGTGGTGCGTACCAACCTTTCACTATTCCGAAGATACGTGTTTTGAAAATGTACTAATCTGGGATATAGAAATCCGCCAACAAATACATCCAAACCCTCCCCGCGCCCCCCGACACCCCAATCTCCTCGCTCAGTAACGCGCGCCACAACGTCGGCGTGTTTGTCAGGGGACTCATCAAGAACCGACCAGCCGGCGGAAGCTACGTCTTCGGTAGTGTCGAGGACACGACGCTGCAGGAGTACCTCGCGACATGGGGCAAAGCCACCGGGATCTCGGCCGCCGAGGGTTCTACGGAGGTTGTGCAGATTTCGCTAGATAAGTACAAGACTATCTGGCCTGGGTATGGAGATCTCATGGGTGAGATGATTGCGTTTTGGGGCGAGTTGCGAGAAAGGAGCTGGGAAACACCGCTTGGGAAGAGGCCTGTTAAGGTGCAGGATTTCCTTGGCGAGGAGGAGAAGAAGGAGGTTGTAAGCACCTTTGATGCTTTTGCAGCTGCAAAAGAGGCTTTCAAGAGTGCGCTCTAGAAGACACCCGGGACGATAGATGGGGGCTGAGGTCCTAGTGGAGGAGTCAAGTGGAGGAATCGGAGATTGCCTGTTTAGTTATTTTGATCTTGCTGAGATATTTAGTTAGAAATGTATTGCCCTTGTTCTCTACCATTTGTTTCGTGCTTCCAAATTCCTACCACTTTCTGTTCGCAGAAGCTGTACTAGTCGTAGAGCTCTTTATCCCTGTATTGTCGGTTGTATCTATAGGGGATAAACCCAGCGCTACAAAGGTACGCATTCTTGACATGATGATTATCGCTCATACATGTTGGAGAGCTGAGCCATGCCCGCAGAGGTTCTAGCCATGATGGAGATGTCTGACCTCTATCTCCTAGAGATAGCGAAATGGGATGAAGGACACGACAAGTGCTCGAACCTGTAGCCAGATCAAATAACCACCATGCCACCTCTCCACGGAGCCGCAATCTATTTTATTGTGTCTGGTCATTTTGTTGCATCTAGTAGAGGTTTGATAATCAGTTTGGCTCCTGACCCTCAACTTGTAAACATGAGGGCTCTTATACTCTAACTTGATTCCTAGTCAAGGAAGAACTTATAATCAACGCAATAAACTAACAGTACATAAGGATTATTTCCCGTTTCTCCTTAATCAGCGTTACAAGTAATCAAGCAACCATCAACTTCCCTGTTTCAATGTCGAATACTGCCCCGAAAATATTCCCCTTCAGTCCTTCTCTTACAAGTGGCGACGACTTTAGCAAGTTCACATCCGCCTGGACCGACTCCTCAATACTACAAAGATCTTCATCAGCGCACACGCATACACTGCCCGGACAACTGGAAACGCAAATACACCTCGTACGAAAAGGGATGGAGATGGAGAAACTTACCTCCCCTCAATCTTCCCAAATTCTAACCCCTCAACAACACCCTCATACTCTCGCGGGGCTCCCTCCTCCTTGGGCACCCGCTCCCTCAACCTCTCGCGAATCGCATCCTCGTCGAAGTTACGTGCCCCGCAATCCGTGTGCCCGATAACAAGCACCATCTCAAGCCCAACGAGCTCGTCGAGCGCAAGCAGATTTGCGATTGCAGGGCGCGCGCGAGCGCCAGAGTTGCGCGAAATGAGGAATTCTAGCTGCCCATTAGACAGGTTGATCCTACCAAGAGCAGGGCCTTCGGTGTTTTTTTTTTTCTCTAAGGTGAGCGACGTACCATGGGGATGCTCAATATCAAGAATCTTCTCCGGACGGATGCGTCCGTCTGTGCAGGTGATGATGAGCGTTTTGTAAGCGGGGATCCCGGAGGCCTTTAGTTCGGTGTTGGTTACGATGGGCGTGTGGGCTTTGGCGTAGGCTATGTTGCGCTCGATGAGGGCGGATAAGGCTGGGTTCGGAGCGGAGGTCATTGTAATCCACAGCCCTAGTAGGTAAAATCCGAAAAATTGGGTGTTTAGTGCAAGTGTAGAGTTTGTGTAGGTTCGTATTAGGAAGACCAATATAGTAGGCTAGGGCAAGTGGGCTATATAAGCCCGGGCACGTCTAGACCCAGGGTGAGCGTATTGTATCACCTTCATGGGAGATTATCAAGCAAAATAAGGTTCTGCTGACGCATGCTTGGCAATTCCGCAGAAAAGTGCAAGGGCTGGGTGGGACGAGGAGAAGAGCAAAATGGTACTTTGCGGAACGCGCGGGGATAAGCCGGTGTAAGTAATAATCCCGCATTTCCGCTCGGAAGCCGAAGGGATCAATCAGCTTCTTCAGCTGTGAGGGATGCCGAGAGAGCTCCCTAATAATGGGTGTCGTGCGGATCATTAGATGATGAGTAGCGGCCATGATTACTTAGGTCTGCTAGTTTGGTTCCTGTCCTCCCGTGGTATTTATAAGCAAGTCGTTCTTCTCGCATCCACTACAGAAGGGGAGGGGGCGCAAGCCCGTCGGTTGCTCAACAGATTTCCGGCCCTTGTGCTATCCTTCCGCTACCTGTAAACTGGTGATGCCTGTTGGTTAACTCAGTTTATGACATTTATCGGGATACCGAGTGGCAAATGGAACCACAATGGTGGCTATAAGTGTGTTTTAACTGGCTAGCCCTAATTCATCCTAGGCCTCAAGCAACGTCGCTTTGATCAGTACTATGTTAGAAACCTATTTTATTGGGTACGCTATAGCCGTGGCAATAGACCAACAATGTCCATCTTTCCGTACCTTATCTCTTGAATTTGCCGTACCGATGTTGATATCCTTAGGATTTAGGCTTTGCAAAGACAAGACCCATCTATAAACAACTTAGTATTCTACCTCATTCTCAACGATATCCGCCTGTAGGCCGAATCGATATCTCGGGCGAGAACGATCACAGATTTTTCCTGGGTACAGTGGACCTAGAGCAAATTACTAGGCAAGACGTTGAAGCCACGGATATGGATTGGATGGTGATTGAATGTCCATGTGGTCTTCCGGTGGATAATGTATGAAAGCTAAGATGTAGATCAGCCCAGCAGATCCGGTGGTCAATCGAGTACTCCTACACCAAGTATCGACTTAACGCGGAGTCTCAGCCCGTATCACAAATAGTGGCTGAGGGGCCATATACCGGACGCAGAGCTGATACCTGCTATTATATTGAGTTATAGAGGCTTTATCTGACCTGCCCCTACCGCAAACGCGCATACTTAGGGCGGGTATCCGGTCCCGGTTGCTCCTTCCTTCCTTACTGTGTTCCTTCGCTTACTAGGAAGGTGCGATCCCTGGGTCGCATGAGGAAGGCGCCACCCGCAGCCCCGGACGCAGGGATCGCACCTTCCTAGTAAGCGAAGGAACACCAACCCGGAATGAAGGACTTTTAATCGTGCCTTCCAGTTGGGGCCATGATTATCCTATGCAGGCGCGGCATGCATGTATCCGAATAGAAGCTTTTGGTACACCATACTTTCTATGGATTACCTCTAGAATGGTGGCAGCGACCCAGTCTGCAACCTTGGCAAGAAGATTCCACGAACCATGGGTAATTTCCATGGCAGTTCTATTAGTACCCGAACAAGGGCCTGCTTCCTGCTTTCAACCACCCGCAATCCCCCTTTACCGTATCTTCCACATCTGCACCGACAATTGTAGAGATATGGACGATAAAGAGGACTTGTATAGCAGAAGGACTAAGTAGTACGATTATGACTGGTGATAACATGAGTGAGCATAAACTCGTAAGGGGTAAAATTAATCGACCTCTTGCTTCTCGGATGGGGAATGGCTGGGCTTGTAACGCATACCTCAGGAGCCACCTCCAATCTGGCTCCGACGCTTACACCGCCGTAGGAGTATGCAGTACAGAACTAGGTACCTAGCTACAGTTTTACTCTATATCCCTCGAGTGATCCGCAGGATCGTCAGCTCGCTTACGCGCTTGCCTGATGGACCCACTAATACGAATGGATCGCCAGATATCAATATGCAAGACTTACACCACAACTCCGACCTAATTCCTGTTTCGGGTCTGGGCTTGCGAGGTACCTCAAAGACCGCAGAAGGGACACTTAGGCAGTCCTACACAAGTGTTCAGATTGGCACTTGGAATGCCAAGGCTGCGTTCTTTAAGAGCCAAACCAGGTTGTTCTGCCGCTATTGAACTTCTTAGCGCGGCTACCCGAGTGTGCTTGTCGCGGCATGGTTTGGACTTAGAGCGTGATATACTCTCGCTAGGGTTATACTAATAGTGAATACACAAAAAGACTCCTAGCTAGCTCTAGATACGTGTGCCAAGTACGTCCCCGCGCAGCTGAGGGCTGGAATACCCAAATTGGACAATATAGCCGAGCTGAGCGGGCGCTGGCGGCCTGATCTTTAGGCGAACTTACTAAAGGACTCGCGATGGATGGGAGACCAAACAGTTCCTTGGAAGGATTTGATACGCTGATAGATACGTAGTACGTAAGCACTACCTCATGTAGTGTGGGTTTAGACTCAGCCGCACGTTTGAGCGCGACACCGTGGACGAGTGGTGGAGCTGCGCCTGTTGAACACTTGTAGTTATAAAGGCCATGATGGCCTCTTTACTCTGCAAATTCCCAGAGCTTTTGCATTTGAGCTTGGCAGAGTTTGACAAAATGGCGGAAGAAGTCAACGTCGTCGTTATCCACTACCCAAAACCAGAGAAGATTCAAGAGGTATGCTTCCTTTGGTGGTGACTACTATTCACTACAGCTATGAGTTATCCAGATAGAAAGGGAGGTAGTTAATGGTGCTCACAGTTCCGAGACCTCGTTCTTCGCGTTAAGAACACATTTAAGCACTACCCAGGATCGCTGCATCAACACGCCTTCGAGGTGGAGAATGGGGATGGGGACGGACCTGAAATTGTCGTGATCGAAAGGTACGCTTTCCCTCCTGCGTGGTGACTGACGTACCTAACTGTTATCTTGCATCAGATACAAGGACAAAACCTCACTAGAAAAGCTCGCCGCCTCCGAAGAGTTTCAAGAGATCAGCAAGTTGGTCCCCGGATTGGTTCGACAACCTCCTCGTATTATCCAGGGGCCTCCTCTACCTGGGTTCCCGGGGAGTCAGAAGGGGTTGGAAGCTGCATTTTTGATTGATAGTCAATGGGTGTAGGTAGATAGTGCGGAGGTTGTTCCTTTCTTCACTCATCCTTGTCAAGTGCTTCATTAGGGCTTCGGTGCCAATTCGGCAGTAATGTTAGCGAATCCTCGAGCCTAATTCAATGCAAAGGGAGCCGGCTTCACCTGCAGTACTGGATCCCTGTATCCGATTCTTTTGGCAGAGAATAAAACCTTGTCGTAGAGTATATAAAACATCACGCAGTGATGAAGAATTCGCCTAGGATCAGGAAAGAAATAGATCTACCGTCCACGAGTAGCAAACGATATAACAAGAGAGCTACGAGCTTCATGCGGCCGCGGTTCGCACCCAAGGGCGTCCAAGCCGATTACGCTCATTTAGGCAACTGTGTAGAGAGGTAGTCCATCTAGAGCACCGGCCAAGTCGTTGTTATTGTTGAGCGCCATCCTCCAACCACAATGCCCTCGTCAATTAGCCACTGCGATGTGTAGATGCCCATCGCACGTTGTTTAAGAATGCACATCTGGGATGGACTTTAGTCAAAGATTGGCATGTACGATTAAGCATACGCCGCCAGATTCTCATCCTAGTGGGCGGCATAATACACAAAGACCCCCAGAAGTAAGGAGTAAAGATTGAATACCTAGACCTCCTCGATGTAGCCGCCCACTACACCCTACGCGCTGGACAGGAATGCAGATAGATAGTATATACCTAGTACCGCATCTTGACCCGCAATCGTCACGACCTATCCAGTGGAAGTGAGCTCCCACACGTCTGTTCGCAAGGCTTATGCTGCCACTAGCGGGATCTATCAGACCCACGCGACTAACCCAGCTACTTGATAAGTCTAGCGAGTGTCCAACGCGGTGACTAGAGCCACTTTAAGGCTGGCATTTGCTTGTTGCGGCACGAGCGCACGCCAGTGTGGCAGGAGCGAGGGCGTGTGTGGCCGTAGCGGCTGCTATTGCCATTACCCATCCTACCATTCCCGCTGCGCTGCGGGATTAGCTGTCGATGCAGATTACCCCTGCAACGTATGCACTCACCTATGTAAAGGCGGCCTTGACCCATGACAGCTGTCACTCGGCCACTCGGCCAATTCCTTCCCCGTGAGACTTGCGGGCAGGATCCGCTAGTAATTAGTATTGGGGGCCGGGAGGGAAAGTAACCACGGACTCACGGAGTACATACGACGCTCCGTGAGTCCGTGTGGGCCCAACGGCCCGTGGTATAAATTGTTAAGCTCACCCCACCTCAGCTCCGTCCCAACCTTGATTCCGGCGGTAACCTCTCCACAACCTACCTAAACATCCAACACAACAACTACCATACCATACCGATAAAATGTCCCTCCTCACACACCTCGGCCTAACCACACCACCCCTCGGGACCCCAATCCCGCACTACGGCCCGTACGCACTAATCTTCAACTTCATCTTCGCCTACGGCCTGCTCTCCTCGCGCACACTGAAGCAATACTACGGGATCGACCACAACTCCTCGCCGCGCGAAGACCTAACGAAATACGGCGATGCCGCGGTGTCGAGTGGGAAAATCACACGCGCGCAGCTCGAGATGCTGAAGCGGAATGAGAGCGCGCATGCGAACGCGGTGGAGAATTACGCGTTGCTTGTTGGGGCGGTTGCGGTTGCGGGGTTCGCGGGGGTCGAAAATGTCGCTGTGAATCGGGCTGTTGTTGGGTATACCCTGGTTAGGATCGCTTATGCGGCTGTTTATGTCCTTGTTCCGACCGGGTATGAGAGGTTGAGTCAGTTGCGCGGGGTTTGTTGGTGGACGGCCAATGCGTGCTGTTTTGGGCTTTTGTGGAGGGCTGGGCAGTTGCTTGCTTAGACCGTATTGGCCTGGCAGTAGGTCTGGTACTCGATCAAGTGCCGAAGCTAAGGAGCGCGAGGGTTCCGGGTCGGTTCGGCTCCCCTTCGCAGTAGGGTTACCGGGTGCCGCACGCTGTAGGAAGGGGATTAGACCTAGATAGATTAACCTCACTAACTATCGAATCATGTACTTTGACCCAGTTCGCAAACCCCGGCACATCAGTCGACTTTTAAACCACTTTTTGCTTAAGCTTTTTAATCTTGGCACTTGGTTCACGCTTAGAGTAGACCCGTCACACCATTCCCTCCTAGAAACGGAAATCCAAGCTCCTGTTTCCTGAATTCATGCATAACAGGATCCTCGTTTACACCCGTGCTCCTTTGTTCCAGCTCAATCTTTTGTAATCTGCCCCGGAGAACCACGCATGCCTCGGCCCACGCACAGAGCGTCCCCGCCAACCCCTCGAAAAGACTATACGGGTGATCCGGCATGCGGTATTCCTTCGACGCCCTCTCGGGCCCCGTATTGTACGGCTGCGTTTCGCGTGCGTGCAGGAGCATCGCCAGGGCGCGGGAGAGGAAGAAATCGGGTGTCAGAGTACCATCCGTACCGCTTTCCACATCAGCATTGACATTGACGTCGCCAGTAGGCGCAGAGTACTTCCTGCGCACTTCTTCCAGAACACCCGCATTTTCCTCGAAAGAAAGATAGAGCATAAGGAACGCCCAGGCATTCCCGGCAATCCCATGACACAGTCCACCACCCTTGACAAGTAGCCCCTCTTCCCACACGCGCTGAGTTGCGAGATGAATCGCCGTATCCCATTCTGGCGTCCAGTGGGTCTGGATCAGCTCGGGAACGCGCAGCGCGCACGCCATCAAAGACAGGAGGGCGGGGGCACCGTGGCAAATCTGCACTAGATGCGGTGGCGTGGAATGTGGTGGGATGCCTGTCGGGAGATGGCCATTCTCGGCTATGCATGTGTTACAGAGGACCTTTATTGTGGCAGCTATTGATGCGAGGTGTGGTGTCACGAATTTGGTGGGTGTTGAGAGGAGGATGGAGAGGATCCCAGCTGAAGTTGTTTGTTAGTCTTATGCGTAGTTGGGATTTGGGCTTGAAATTGAAGGGTACGTACTTAGTCCATGGGCCCTGGATATTGTTAGAAATCGTCAGCCAGTAAGGGTTTAAAAAGAAAAACTCACCAACCAAGTCCATAATACCCCTTCTTCCATACCCACATCAAGGGCATAACCTGCGAATCCCTATCTCCAAGAGGGCTCTGGCCCTTTTCCCCTAGAATCCTCTGGCACTCCGCACCACCTTGCTGCCCCGCGCTCACAATAACCTCAATCAATCGCCCAACTATGTCATCTCCCAAAGCCCCGGCGAGCAATCCCTTCTGCTTTGGATCGAAGACTTCCTTTCCTTCCACCGCCCGTTGTCGGATGTTCAGCAATGTCCATAGTAGTCCTGCTCGCCCGAACAGCACCTCATCTGCCCCAAGCTCATGGCCATGGTACATCCCCGTCGCACCATGCTCAAGGGCCATTTTGACCGCATTGCGGAGGACAACGAGGTCCGCGTCGAGGATATCCCGTGCAGTTCCCGATGACAGATGGTGTAGTATGCGCAGTGTCGCGGAAGATAAGGGCGATTGCGATGCGAGAGGGGAAAGAAGGCCGATGGCGAGATTATGCGAGGAGGGAGCGCTGGGGATTCGGGAGTCGGCTAGCGAGTGGAATTCGGCGGGTGATCGTGCGTTGTGGTTTGGTGGCGTCAGGGATGGGGATTGGTGTGCGAGGCGGAGGTATGCGAGGGCGATTCCTGAGGTCTCATTGTAAATAACCTAGCTTTGTCTAGTTGCTTAGGCTGGGGACCGAATCTGGTCTGGCGGGAAAAAACGAGCTTGTGGTCGTGGGTGGGGTGACGTACCCAGATCCCCGCTGAAGATCCCGCGCTCGTCATCTTCGCCCGCAGGATGCTTCGATTCAATCAACTGCACGCCATTGTGTACTGCTGTCTGGAGATTGACAAGAGTTTCTTGAAGCAACTCTTGGGTGATTTCCGGGGTGGTCAGGGTGTTTTTGTAGAACCGTGGACCGTGCGGCATATCCTGGGTCGCAACAATGGTTTAGTCTGGGGTTGTCGGTTGGACCAAGTAAACGGAAATCCTTCATGGGAGAGTCTGGATTGAATTGATAGAGATGGCGGGATTCGCCTCCAGGTTGAGTCTTCTGTGATTGTGTGAGTTGTTGTAGCTGTTGTGCTGAGTCCAGATTGCTCTGAGCGATTCTACCCCGCTTCCCCGCTCCGCTGAGTCACGAGCCACTTGTTTGTCATAGTTATTTAACTCGTTAGTTAGCTAACTAGCCCGTATAGGCCTGCTTAGGTCAGCCATGTCCCTTGTGCAGAGGAACTCTGGCGCTAAAATACAGACTGTTGTCACCTTTTCTGTGAGGGCTTCGTCCCCCTTTTTCTCGTCATTTCTGACTTGGACCACGCACCTCTGCCCCAGGATCCACGCCACGTAAACTGAGGTTTCTGTCAGGCCCGTCTATGCGTGGAAGCCACAACCATGAATCAATCAGCATTCCGGGTGCCTTTCCGCTCGGTGTTTACCTGGCTGCTGCTTGGGGCCTCCATAACCCGCGCTCAGCTTCATCTTTTCAATCAGGGGACGCTACCATTCTCATCAGAATGTAACAGCGCGATGGCGGCACAGCTCGACTGCAGTGTCCTTGAGACGGGGGGTACCATGTACACGCGGGACGCTGAGCTCACAGTTGACATTTTAGACGGAATGTGTACTGAGCAGTGCAAAGCGTCACTAAAGGCCTACCGAGAGGCGGTCGAGGCCGCCTGCGTGCACGATGAGTATGATGCCACCAAACATGACACCGGCGAGGGCAGCCCTGGTGTCTATAGGCCGATTGTCCTGCCAGATTAGTACCTCACCAACTATAATCAGCGCTGTCTCACGGATAGGAATGGCGAATACTGCAGCCTGAAGCTCCAGGAAGCTGATAGCATTGATCACTGCGGCAAATGCAACCTATGGACGTTCAGGGAGAAGCTCGACAATGGTTACTTCGCTAAGAGCGATCTCCTGGAGCAATATGCATACCAGACTTCAAGCTGCGGAGTGACCACGATCCCACCACCAACCCCTTCTAGTGTTTTGCTCTCTAGGTACGCTGGCCTCCTCTTGGAAGTCGACTTCACTCACCGGCAGTATTTCCTGACCCCCTATTGGCCCTGGCTAATCGCTCGACTAGTGCACCGGCACCCACCGCCAGAAGGAGACCATGCGCGGGCCGAAGAGTTCCAATTCAGCCTGGTGATACCTGTGACAGCTTTGCCTTAGCACACAACGTCAGCACCTATCGCCTGCTGATTGACAACGGGCTGCAAAGTGGATGTACGGACTTTCCCACTAAGGGCTCGTTATGCGTGATTAGGACCTGCCAGACGCATAAAGTTACTAAAAGCGACACGTGTCAGGGACTAGCGAGCAGATATAATATAACAATCACGCAATTTCGAACGTGGAATCAGGTGCTCAATGCCAGGTGTAGTAATTTAGATCTCCTTGTTGGACACATCGCATGTGTGGGATACCCTGGGGAGGCAACATCGACCGAGAATCGATATGTGACAAAGCCAGCTGGGGGTACTGCCCCTGCAGCCGCCCCACCTCCAGCCAATCTCGCCCCAGAGGTTAATACCAACTGTGCCAAGTACTATCAAGTGAAAGGTATGCGCCTTCATCGTCTCTACATGGTCAACATACGTGCATGTTCTAATAGGCAACGTTTAGAGGGTGACTATTGCGCGGTCATAGCAATGAAAAACGCGATTGTCACCAATGACTTCTACTTCCTGAACCCCGGGATTGACAAGGAAGGTACCAACCTGCGGCCACATTACAATTACTGTGAGAACTCCTATTCCTGTCTCTCTAGAAACAAACCGTTGCAGTTTGACCTAACTATGGAATTCAAGGTGTATACCCCGTTGGAAACATCGAAACATACCCCGGATATGCCGCAGTGACCGGCGGCCCAACAACCTCACGCTGGATGCCAACAATGCCTACCACAATGATTGATCTCAAGGACTTACCTACGGCAACTTGGCGGCCCTGGACATCTCTCCTCACAGCAACCACGCTCCCACTGGCCAACGGCACAAGGAAGGACTGCAAGGTGTACGAGGATAACACGCGCGGCGAAATCCCTTGCGACTGGCTAAGGGGCGTGAGGTCTCTTCTTAACTTTGAGGACTGGAACCCATCTGTCGTCTGGTGGAACTGCACACTGGCGAACAACACCCGTTATTGCGTGTCGCTGTGGGATCCGGCTCTCGAGGAAGATGACGAGGACGAATGGGATCTGGACCCTCCTGAGAACGCAGCGCCGGGCTCTACGGAAGATTGCTATTACTGGTACTCCACTGAAGAAGGTTAGTCTCACTCAATCAATCACTGACTGTCCCGGACTGGGCCAACCTAACAGGACATAGGAGACACCTGCGACAGCGTGCTGCAGTATGGAAATATCGCGCTCGACGCTTTCTATGCGTGGAACGTAAGATACCTGAGCTTTACATTCTCCTGATATCAGTGCACTGATTCCACTCTCCGTTCTAGCCGAGTGTCAAAGAGGACTGTTATAACATGACGCTGAATACTTCGTATTGTGTCTGGGGCCCTGGGTATCGTGACGCCTGCCCTAAATTGTCCTGAGATGGTCGATCAGGGCGCTCAATTACTCATGATCCAATCACCCAAATTTCCCCGAGTACCTCCCCCCAACGCACTTTCCAAAACCCTCCACCCGTCATGGCGCAACGCCTCCCACCGGAGCTATGGGCACATGTCGCTTCGTACCTCGGGCAGGATTGCTCATCTTTCATCAAATGTGCACTCGTCTGCCGCCAAGGGCTGCCCATGTTCGAGCTCCTGATTTACCGCGAAGTCAGGGTGGTGAGTGAGGAATTCCAGCTGAAAGATATGTTGATGCCTTTATCACAATTCAAATTCATTGCAAACGATCTGCGACGTTTGTATGTTCGTCGTCTAGAATATACAGCCATCTTACCCTACGAGCTTCTACCCTATGAAGCGACCAAGCTTCAACTGGATGATATATTTATTGAGGACGGGGCCCCCGCATCATTATCATCATTTGGTGGTCTGTTCGGTTACCCTAGACCGGGTTCGTCTGGGCGAGTAAATAGCAGTGATGTCTGTGTGCCGATAAACAATGATAGACTGACTATGGAGACACTTGTCTCAATGACACCATCATGGCCGATGATCAATATAGTGCGAACTCAGCCATTCAATTGGTGTCCTTCTGGCTGTGCATACAGGTAATGCAGTACCTGGACTGGCGGAGCGCGGGTCTGGCTGGTTGCACTCCTGCAACTGCCCGGGTCAGCCCGACGGAAAGGTAGGTAGATGCACCTCGGGGCCCTCGGGGCCCATCGTTAGTGTCTCTCTGAACATCTTGAGCAAACTTTCCTCTAGCACTCGATGTAAGGATGCCACCGCGACGAGATTGAGGAGTCACGTCGCCTTGGACGTGAGGTGTTCTTGCCGCGACATATCCTCGTCCATGGGTTGTTGCTTGGAGCATTCAGCGTGTGGGGTCTGGATTCTAGAAGCGGAAATTGCGAGCTTTACTTGCTGAGCATGTCTCGTCCTTGTGGTCAATACTTGCTTTGAGGACACCTCGATTTGTGCTACTCGGATATCTAGGGCAAGCGGATGGTTTACTTTCACGTTCATACAGGACTAGGATATAAAAGTGCTAAGCGCATTCCTAGGCCAAATCGATTCGGTAGAAGATCAATAGTGTTATGTTAGTTGTTGTTGGGGCCAATGGAATTGCCCTGGATCTTGTTGTTGTGCCCGTACATATTCCGAGCTCACAACGCAGGTGCAACTTTGAAATATATGCAACCTTGTATGTTCGGCTTCGTATACGTCTAACGGAATACATACAATCGTAATTGGTCCAGTACTCTTATTTTAGGTTGTGTCTGTGCATTGCTGCGAGCGAGAGACGATATAAGACTACGTTTGCTACAATTGGAAATATCGCGGACAAGAGAAATGAGAATAGGCTAAGCGATTCATTTCCACATCATCATATGTATACCCATGTATCTGTAAAGAATGACTACCGAGACAGCGGCAGAAGCTGCGCGATTATTCAACAAGCTTGGATAGCACACCCCATGCCAAGTTCCACCTCCAGCTCCACCCCACTCCACCACAAACCAACGCCCTTCCAAGCTCTAATGTCGAATCTGGCTTTGTCGTAAAGGCCCTTTAGTTGGAGTAAGCCGCAATACCGCGCTGGATCTCATCAACGATACCCTGGGAAAGAGTCTCGGCGATATCCTGGAGAGCGGCCGGGACCTTGGGGGTGATAGCATCGCGGACAGCCTCAGTTCCAGCCTTCTGAGCGTTAAGAGAGGCCAAAACATCAGCCGCGCGGCCGTCAGCAATGAAGTCGGGCTCGGCGGCAATGAGATCGTCGATGAGGTCGGCAACATCGCCAGTCAGAGTCTGGATGGGACCGACGAGGGATAGAGCGTCGAGGTTGCCGAGGGGCGCGAAGCCGGGGATGGCAGCAGCGCCGTTGTTGATCGTGGTCTCGAGGTCATCGGAGGCGTCCTGGACGGCGTCGGCGGTAGCGGTGCCGGCGACGTAGCTGGCTACGACGGTGTCGACCACGGCGACTTGGGCGCTGATGGCGTTGAACACATTCTGGTAGTCGGCGAGAGCTCGCTTGATGGGCTCAGCGAGGGCCGTGGTGGCCAAGGCAATGGAGAGGATACCGGCAAACTTCATTTTGTGGGTTGTTTTGGAGGTTGAAGTTGGTAGAGTTTTGTTGATTGCTGATGAGATGGTCGGTCGATGAGGTCGGGGACATAGCCTTGTATTTATACCTTTTCAAGGCAGTGGGATTGAGCTCTGATCAAGATACACCTCGGCGGATCATGTTGCAATTGACGGAGTTCACGATCGTGAAGGACATGTGCTTGCGCACCGTCGGATCAGGTGAGACGAGCTGATGATTTTGGGATGGTCAGTAGACGCTAGCAAGAAATATCCCTGTCCGTCCCCTCTTCCCCGCAAGATGAGAACAATGGGGCGGATTCTTCACCATCTTAGTGCGCCGTCTGCAGAGCTTGTTGGTCAATGTTTCTCATGGTCGACCAGGACATGGCAAAGCCGGATTCTGAGTACTAGCGACAGCTTTGTGTTTCGCATCATCGTATCCATATACCACCGAGACTGCCGACGATCACAAGTCCGCAGCGCAGATCGATACTTCGAGTGAGTGTAGTCCCCTTGAGGTGGTTCTAGAACTTTTCACCCTTAGCTCTTCTCCCGAGGCAAGGATCGACCGACAGCTCAATAGCTGTTGACTTCGATACACTCACACAGGGCCCTGCGAGCAGAGCCGTGGGGTCAGATAATGTGCGTCCTGGAAAAAGAGCGGAGGTGGCATCAAAGGATCAGTCAAACCACAAATACCGACTCGAGTAGAGCCGAATCGCACAGGTTCCCTCTTATGGATAGCTAAGGCTTGCGATGGCGCCTTTGCTGAGTAATTTAGGCTGTCTCGCGAATGTAACTTTGGTGGCTCGCTCAGTGAAGAATAGCGAGCAGGGGGGTTTGCGGGGAATCCACGAATTGGAGCCATCCGTTTGATCATTTTCAGCAAATCGAGTCGATTGGCCTCTCGGTATGGGGTAAGGCGCGATTGTTGGCTCATACTCCGCCCAGTTCCAGGCAGGTTATATTCACCGCGGGGTTCAGCGCCTAGGTGGATGCTACCCTCGGCTGAAGTTGGGGCAATCTATTCAAGTGTATCCGTGACTGGAAGCACGCAAAACTTGACGAAATTTAGTTTGCAAAGCCAAGACACTGTGAAGACGAGATACTTCGCCTTGGTTGCGGAGTGGCGCAATCTCGCAGCCTCCTATGGGGAACAGGCGAGATGCGAGAGTTTGGGATGGATCCGTGAATGTGGAGACGGAGAGATCTCCCGGCACGAACTGCGGGCACCACAGAATCTTTATCGAAGGTGCAGGTTATTAATCGACATCGGGCCGACTGATATGCAGTTTGGAACGCGGAAAAGGTTGATCATGTCGAGTCCTGTAAGAATTTGCAGAGGGCAGAAAATCAGCGGGAAATGCATGTTGATCCGGGACAGCCAGGGGATCTCGTCCCTGCGGGGAAGCGGGGAGGGACGAGTTGGCCGGTGCTGCAAGCGGCTTGGCTTGGCCCCCTGCAGAGCCCGACAGGGGTCCTGTTGCTGACGAAATCGGGCACAGCCGGCGCATAAATTAATACGGGGCGGTAAATGCCAGTGCTGCAGAATCCGCCAACGGTGTCTGCTGTCCTCCGCCCTCATTGGCACGTCTCCCAGGCGAGTCATATGGAATAAATGAAATGAGGGGAACGTGCTGCAAATGCATGACTAGCTGCAGGGCTACTTTGCCTGACCAAAGAAAGGCCTCCTCGACGGCTTCCAACGGCGTCGCTGATTTCATCCCGCATGAGTTGCCGCTGACGCAGGAGGAGCGACTCGGGTCAAAGGCGAATTTTACAAGGTTCAGCTGACTTTTACCTCGTCCCACGATACCATCGATGAGCCATCGGAGAGAATCGACTTTCGCGCCCTCCACACAAACCTTCCATGGTGAGGAATAACCACCCAGGACAAAAACCAATAGCTTCCAGCGCCAGAAAGCACCAGAATAGCCATTGCCGCATATAGCCAAGAGGGCAATGACTTCTCCTCTACCACCGCGGCAGGCACAAATGGTGTGACCAACAAATATACCTGCGTGGCGAGAAAGAGATACACGACCGGGGTCCAAGCGCGAAACGTGCGCTGATGTGCTGTTTTCCTGCGGATAATAAAGAGTCCAATAACGACCAGGATGTTAATGATGGCAACGGCGTATTGTCCGACGTCGAGTAGAAAGTTGTACACCTCCCCTGAAATGGTCAGACCAATCATCCTGTAAAGGAGGGCGGGGGCTAACCGAATGGGATAAACAAGATCATGAGAATTGGCGAAAGAAAAACTAAAAGGAACGCTCCGGACGGCGAGCCGGAAGAGGTGGTCGCGGCAAAAAACGGAGCATAAGGTACGAGTCCTTCTTTCGCAAACTCCCTTACTACTCGCGACATTGAGAAGGATGCGGTCATGAGATTGCCAAATGACGATAAAGCAGCGAGGATAGCAGTCAGCCACAGCATTGTGTCCCCAAACACCTTACCGATCAGCAACGCCACAACTGTTACGCCCGTCTTGCTGATTTCTTCCGGCGTTGCAACGATGAAGTAGGCAATGTTTGCGAGGGTATAGAGAAGCCCGACAGTTCCAACACCCAGCAATCCGGCTATCTTGAGAACTCGGCGGGGGTTCTGCACTTCATCAAGCACATACGCAGCATTGGACCATCCCTGGTATGTGGCTAGAATCTTGAAGAGAGCGTTTGTGTAGTGCGAAATTTCAGTCGAAGAACCAGCAAATGGGCTTCGGAAGCTACTGGCGGGATCCGGAATACGAGGCAAATCACCGCGAAGAGCGCGGAGCCCAGAGATGATTATCAGGAAGAGGATCAAAATCTTGACAGAGGCCAGTACGTTCTATCCAGGTCAGTAAAGCCATGTTCCATGGGGCGCTTAGCCTACCATAATGCGGACTCCCATAGTCCGAGATCTGATGTGTATCGTGGCTATCACCGCAAGAACCGCGATTGCGATAACTCTCTTTACCCAGTCACTCGCCGAGCCATGCAAGGCAAGCAGAATATTTTCGGCCACGACGACACTTCCGATGCCTGCACATGTTAGTAAGCTGCCATTCCGCCGATTGGGGTAGTTACCAGTGAATCCCAGGAAGATAACATGCACAGCAAAAACAGTCGTGATGAGCATCTGTGGGTGGGGATAAGCAGCCTCCAGATATACCTTCTCTCCTCCACTTCGAGGCATCAAAGACCCGAGCTCGATCCATATCGATAAGCCGCAATATGACAGAGCTAGCCCCGCGATCCAAAGAGCTAGAGTGGCACCTGCGCTTCCGACGCTGCCGGCAATGGCGGAGGGAGTCGAGAAGATCGCGGTGCCAATCATACGATTCGTACTGGTCTCTCAGCACGGTGTCTTGCACCAAATATGTGGCATTGTCGCTGACTTACATGAGAAAAATCGTCGACACAAGCCCGAGGTGCCGGCGGGGAAGAGACTGGTCGGCCGCATCGTTATCGTCGCTGTGGGAAGGGAGCAGAACTTCGTGCTCATCGTCGCTCAGGGTCGGATCCCTAGCGGGAAAAGACTGCATCATCAATTGGGTAGACTCTCGGTGAACTGGATTGTTACCAAGTTCGGATGACGGCTGATGCGGCGTGCTAGAGAGGGATGGAAGTTGGAAGGTCAAGGGGGTATCGTGTGTTTATCAGTGAAGCAGCACACGTGACCTTCCAGCCTCAGGTGTCTATCTCATTCAATTGAGCACTTTAGGGCCCAAATGCATTCACTTGTGTTAACACAAACCACATTGAAATCCTCGTCTTCCCTCTCCATATTCCTTCTCTCCTCCAAACTCATCCTTCTTCCTCTTCCTCTGCTTTCGTTTCATCCCCTTCCCTCCCTCACGCAAGCTTTACCAGCACGTCTCTCGTTACTCTCCCGCAGGAACTGCTGCTGGCCATTGCGCAACAGCTTTCTGGTCGAGATTTATCTCATCTAGCTGCCACAACAGATATGCGTTGAGCCTCCTCGAGCCCAAGCTCTACCAGCGGGGACTGCAGTACGTCGGACCCAGCACGCCAGCTCTTGTGTGGGCAACGGGATTCCAACGCATGGCAACCGTCCAGAAGGTCTTTACGGACTCCCAGCCGGAGAGTATCCTACTACTCGATGCGCTTATGGCGGCTGCTGGTAGAGGGAATGTATAATTGACCAAGCTCTTGCTCCAACACGGAGCGCCAACTGACCTGGACGAAAACCAGCGGGTTGAATTCCTTCGCCGTCGTTCACTATGGTCATGTGCTGTCGAGGCCGTACATCACATACGCGCCCCTGGACAAGTGTTACCAACATCGAAGCATCCCCACTGGGCGCCGCTGCTGGTCGGGAACACCCTGATACTGTCTCCTTCCTGCTCAAACACGGTGCGCGTGTTGATGCCCGTAACGAACACGGCTTCACGGCATTGCGGTTCGCTGGAATACGACCTGCACGAGCTTGCATTGCTGTGTTGATCGAAGCAGGCACCGATATAAACGCTCGTGACTGATATGGCAGCACCCCATTTGACAACCTGAATCAGTTGTCTTCCATGGTACCGGACAGCGTCGCAATCGGGCACTTCCTCCAAGCATGTGCGGATCTTTCTGGTCCCAGGTCGCCGGCTTTAGATATGATATCCTACGGTGATGACGACTGTAAACGCCTGGTCCTAAAGTACGGATTGCCACACCGATTCAACGTACCTCCCTCCGTGCTTCTCCTCGCTGCCGCCGCTCTCGCATACCAGGGAACTGCTCGTGCCCTCCTCCTCCGATACGAGATTGACGTCGACGCGACTGTCCACAAAAATGGAAGCAACGCAGTCATGCTCGCTGCCCGCTACGGCCATGACTCTACCATTCGACTTCTGATACCGCACATAACTCATCCCATCGAGTCCTTCCGCACTGCAAATGGCCGCTCCGCTCAATCCTACACCTCGCTGTTCAAAGCAAAAGCCTGAGCACCGTACAGCTCATTGCATCCATGTCCGAGACCCTGTTCACGATCCGCGACGAGTCCAGCGATACACCTCTTCTCCTCGCAGCTGGTCACGGCAAAGACTGGGACAGTATAACTCACTTTCTCTCCTCCTGTACCGTCGTTCTTCTCATTCGCGACATACACACGCACTTTCAGCTTCGCCAAGTTACGAGCAGCGAACATGTCAAAGCACTGGTCTCCATCCAAAGCGCGAGAGCAGAGTTGAATTCACTCGAGCAACTAGATGAAGTACTCGGATATGCCTCCGTTGTCACCTTCCTCTCCATCCTCCTTTTCCTCTTCATTTTCTTTCTTATGTTCCTCTGTCTCGGCTGATGTCTGACGCGTATATCATCCCATCACCTTCTTGTCTATGTATTACCAGCGATTCTTACTCTCATTTGTATCATGTCTTTATCTACGCTGGGCCAGGATCTATGCATGTATCATTGGATGCGCCACTATGTACCATAAGCCCCTTCTAGCCTCTTTTGTCTTCTCACCCTGGCTGGCCAAGGTCCCGCGCATGTATCGTCCAGCGCTGCGTCTCCATGTACCATAGACCACTTTCTGGAATAAATAGCGATAATCGGGTTTATTCCCATAGCTCATACAGAACCTGACGAGCGTCAATGGACGTTCCTTGGACGGGCACCACTCACTCGGAGGGGCGAGTCATGCCATCTCCTCGCCCATCTGTAACTCTTACGAATTCCAAACTCAGCTATTATACCATATCTAGCAGATAGATAAGTAATAAACACAACTCTACCTAATCTATGGTAGGGAGATACGCTAGCGCTTTTCTGTAATAAGGAGCGCCCATTTCTAAACACCATCACCGGCTGTTTCTAGCTTCGTTTTAGGTACTTCTCTAACTGACTCAACAAAGCGTTATAGCCGGTGTTCGCCAGCATAACGAGTCCTTGGTGACGTAGGTAAGTTCAGTCGTTTATTAGGGCTCCTCTGACCATGGCTATCCAAAGATTGCGGACTTTTGCAAGCTACTCGGCAGAGATAGGAATGAATCTATTTCATCGGGCGCTCCGTAGTATCCAACCCCTTTTGGCTGGTTGCTTGCATACGCGGCAGCTTTGAGTGAGTACTCTTCCCTATATCGAGGTCCTGCCTCGTTGGCAGATATATAGGTCTCATCTGTCCTGCGTCAAGCAGTACCCGATTTCGATGCGGTTCAGCCGTCGGATTCATGGCTACAAGATACTGAAACTGTACATTTTCGCCATGTAGCAAAATAATAAAGACAAACAGCCTCCCTTTTATTTCGTATATAAGATGCTATAAATTACAAGGCCCGATACTCTAACACAGAAGGAACCAAACATGCCCAGACCAGCTGACATCTATATCCCGCCCATATCTCCCAACCACGACCATATAACCAACAAATACAAAAATTAAGATCCACACATATGCGATAGTCGTACAATCAATATAGTCGTAACATGGTATCCAAAACCACGACACGCGCACAGTATCCCGTCTCAAAAGACAAACCCGCGTTGGAGAGCCCTGTCGCGCAGAAACTTGCGGTCAAGTACCTCGACAACCTCCTTCACCCAGTCGGGATGGGATCTGTCGACGTCCGGCCGACCGAGACCCCTGGGAACCAGGTACCGTTCGTACAAGCAGTACAGATGCCCTTCGTACTCGTACGCGCAGCTTGCGCCCATGTACACAGTAATGTGGGGGAACGCCGCCTTAATTGTTGTGGTATATTCCTCGGGTCTTGCCGTTCGTCGAGGGCCAGTGCGAGTGATGGTGCGGGTCGTGGCGTGGTCAAGGGCTCTGTGAAGAGAGGATTGGAGTATTAGGTTGGCAGTCGTGCTTCTACTGGCCTGCGCGAGTTAGGGAATTGTTCGGGACATACCTGATCCAAACGCGCTTTGTGCCCATTAGTTCGGATGCCTCCCAACACATCCTCAGGATGCCCTCACGGCGCCCTGGGGGGCCTCTCGGGGGGGCAACCAGCCAGATTATCTAAGTCCAAGGTTGAGAACGGGTTGGTGATGGTCACTGAGGATGGACCTACCTCTGGGTCATCGTAGGTCCCCTTGCCATCCCGATGTTGCGCTGCCGCCGCCTTATCCCGAAGGTCGTTGACCGTGTCGACGTACGATCTCACACTCATCTTGTTAACCTCAGGCTGAGGAGGCAGAGGAGGGGAGTTGACTCCGGGCACCTCATCGGTGTCCTCTACGTCGGTCTCCCTGCCCTTCTCATCCACCCAAACCTTTTTGAACCCACGCTGCCGTATCCATTTTTTGACCGGTTCACCTGTTTCCGCTCTCTTCTGGGACCGGCTCCTGGGTTTCCGGCCGCCTTTCCCGCCTACCTGTGGTGCCGCAGTGGGAGTTGTAGGTGATGTGGGAGAACTAGGCGAGAGTGGTGGCGTAAGGGGCTCAGAGACAGCAGGTCCAGTAGGTGTGGTGGGCCTGCTGGTATCAATGGGGAAGATTGATGGCTTCGTCGCGACGGGGGTTGACTCTTCGTCAGGGGTCGTCTGTCTAACAGAATCCTGGCTTCTGAAGCGAACTGATCGGCTCATTTTTAAGAAAGGTATATAGCAATTGAGCTGGGTATAGATATAACAGAAAGCGTCCAGCGCAGGAGAGTAATTGTGATGGCTTGAAGATACACATCTCTGCCTGTCATCGTGGGCTTGTCTTATACGACATCAGCCTTGCTTCTCGTACCTGTGCCTGCCATTCCTGTCATGATATGAACAAAGGCGTTTCGAAATCTTTGACTCTTGTCTGAAACATGGTGGTGGACGGCGTGCCTTCTGTTACATGGCATGGATTTTACTAAAAGTGGCACTGAATCAAACAAAGATTAGAGTCTATTCGAATGGAACGAGACTACGAGACTACAACTCGTTCTGTCGTCGCTCAGATTAGAATAAGGCCTAGATCACGATAATCGAGACGTTGAACGGTAAAGCTGACACGAATGGGAGATGCTTTGCCTGGCGGTCTTTGTGCAGGGAGGCCGCATGAATACTCTTTGTGCCGTTGCCTGCCTGACGTGAGATACGCTTTGTGCTGTTTGACAAGATCCCGCTGTCTCTGCTCGAGGCGAAAAAGCTCTTTCTGTGTTTTGAATGTCAAGTCTGGCAAATTCCAAATTTGGCGCTGCAATTAACAAAGGAGTCACGCGACTGGCAATAAAAGGACGGCTGCAAATCGGTTGAACAAAACAGCTACTGCCTTTCTTTTTTCCCACCAGGCAAAACAGACAAAGACAGAACTGGATCTCGTGACTCTACCAGCTCCGTTTGTTCGCTGAAATATAAATACTCTCGAGCCCTGTGCCCCGCGGTGGCCTTCGAGAAAGTCGCACATACCTTTACGAACGCCACTTTATCACTTGCAAAAATCACCAAAATGTCATCGCCATCGACATCCATCACTAGCGTTGCCTCCTTCGGCAGCGAAGCCAACGACTCGATCTCCGAGGTTGAATACCGCTTTCCTCCCAACGGCCTCCGAGCCAACTATTTTCCCGGGCTGGAAGATTTGTGTTTGTACCAAGCGGGAGGACACCACCCAGTTCACCTCGAAGATCGCCTCGGCAATAAGGAACAATACCGTGTCATTGAGAAATTGGGCACCGGCGGCTTTGGTAACGTGTGGCTATGCCGAATTGTCAACCGTATACCAACTGAATACGTGGCCGTGAAGATCCTCATGGCTGAGGCGTCGGTGGATCAATCAAAGGGCAAGGAAGCGAAGAACCTTTCCCGACTGCTGGAACTGGCCAAGGCCGATCCCGATATCACCAAATACTGTCTGCTGCCGCTCGACCAGTTTGTCATTGAGGGGCCCAATGGAACCCACCAATGCTTTGTTTATCCTGCTGCCGGACCTCGTGTTGGGAAGATCTCAATCCGGGCCCCGAACCCGACGAGGACCCTCAGAAGGATGGTAAGACAGGCTGTCGAAGCCATGGCTGCGTTGCACAGGCAAGGCATTTGTCATGGAGGTAAGGCACACCCCCGCATTCCTTTCGTGCTTTATGCGTTCAATGCAACCCCATGCTAACAGTAAACTAGACTTTCGGCCTGGCAATATTCTCCTCCGTCTTGATGGTCTAAATGGTCTTCCAGAGGAAGAGGCCTGTGAGTATTTCAACTGGCCCCAGGTCTGCGACATTACAGTCAAAGAAGGCTACCCAAAGCCCGGGGACTCTGCGCCAGAATACCTCGTCTTACCGGCCGATCCAGACGATGACCATCTCGCCAACGCCGCTAATCTCTGCGTCATCGACTATGGGGAGGCTTTTGACGCGTCATCCCCGCCTGAGAATGGGGTGGGAATTCCCCTCCCCTACTGCGCACCGGAAATCATTCTCGAAGGTAGATGCGGGGTTGCAAGTGATATCTGGGCACTTGCAGCAACTATTTTCGAGATCCGCACTGGGCGTAAGCTAGTTGAGCTGCTCGACGACTACGATTCCAATTATCTGGATGATCTTGTTCAAATGCTTGGTCCAATGCCGGAACCCTGGTGGTCGACCACGTGGCAAGATCGCGGAGATTACTTTCTTGATGAGCTTGATGCAGATGGGCGAGCTCTCCCCGCAGATGACAGCCTACCACTGTCCAATATGAGTATAGTGGACCGGATGCGCGGTAATGTCCTCCATTCGTTTTTGGGAGAAGGAAAGGGTCGGATTCGCTTCATGGTTCCGGAAAAGGAGAAGCCGATCTTTGAGGACCTGTTGAAGATGATGTTGAGGTGGAAGCCCGAGGATCGGCCGTCTGCAGAAGAAGTGCTCAAGCATCCCTGGTTTGCATTGGAGGATGAGGATGAGGAAGTCGTGCCTATGGAAGTCGAGGTGGAGCCTGAAGATGAGGAGACGGAAGATGAGATGGAGAGCGACGGAGAGGGTGATGGGGAAATGTCGGATGCAGAAATGGAAGGCGCGAACGAGAGAGGAAACGAGCCGAACCTTAATCACCAGATATCCTCGACGGTCGACAACAAGAACGGTCGTATGGAGAACGAAAAGGACAATCAGGCGGACAATGAGGCAGATGTCCCGAAAGCCAACCCGAAGGACGACCAGAAGGCCGACGAGAACGTGAACGAGCCGGTCGCCTATCAAAGGGTCGAGCAGATGGAATACCACAAAGATGATCAGGATGAGACTCTGAAGGTCAACTCGCCGGTTGAGAAGGTTCAAAAGAATTCGTTGGTCTCCGAGAAATCAGGATTGCTCAAGGTCGCAGTGGACACCAGGTTTCGTGGTGTTGCCGCCTGGGTGAAGAAGGCGCTGAAGTGGTCAAGGAAATGATTGCAATCTCAGGAAACTTACCTGGTTAATACCTTCTTACTTGTGATTTGTATCTTCTTTCCCCGGGCAAGCCAAGTTAGTCAGTTCTTTCGTATAGCTAATAGATGGTTGCATATCAACGAACACACGATGGCTCAGATTTTCTGACTTCATGCTACTAGTATCTGCAATAATTAACATGAGGGATGATATTCCATGACTAACCACCAAGATTTAATGATTTGTGAGCACTCAATGGAGCGGGAAATGACTCGAGCGTAGGGTCAGCACTTGGGCGAGTCCATTCGAGTTCTCGCGACATTCTCTCAGAGCTGACGACTAGATACCAGACTGCTTTGCAATGTTCAGTGCCTTCTCAAACCTCTCACACTGAGCGACCAAATCATTGCGCATGCTCGAAGTTGAAAAACTTTCCCCCGCAATCTCCATCAGCTCCCCTTCGTCAAAATCGTTGACCATATCCGGAGAAAATGCTCTAACTGGCCCATTCGGCCCGAGAGTGTGTCGCTCAACAACCTGGAGTACAACGTTATCCGTAAAGCGCTTCAGAGCAACTTTGTAGTATGCCTTCAGAATATCGTGGATATCGTAAACCGCTTGCTGCTCATTGCTGAGGTGTATAGTCTTCATTACGTGAAGAAGGTTGGTTGCAACGTTCTGTCCATCGTTGTAGCCGGCTTGCTGCAGTCTGGCGCGCACTCTTTCTTCCCGTATAGCGTTGAGGTTGTCTGCAAAATAGTGATTCACCGTCTGCAGAATCCCGCCGCGTTCATCATTGAGGATTCTGCAAAATTCAGCTGTCGCAGCGGAGTATGCAGCTTCCTGTACCTGCCTCAAACGCCTCTGCACCTTTTCTAGCACCTCGGTCTCGGTGATGATGCTCGGCAGTACGATTTCCATAAATGCCTTTACAGCGTCCGTGACCTTTTGGATATAATTGGTTGCAATTGGTTCCCATGTGGTAGTTTGCTGGCGGAACAAGTTCTCTAGGACAGCCGGGTTCACAGTGCCAGGTAGCTCAGTACCACGAGACTCGCGGTAGATACTCCGGATCCACTCAATAATACATAGATCCTGTCGCTTTTTACCGACTTCGTTGGCAGAGGTGTATTCTGGATCGAGAGTGCCACGGACCGTTTGGAAAATCCTCGTATGTCCCAGCACAGAAATCGTTTTTGCAAACGCCTCGCTTTGGACTCGTATGTGCATCCGCAACTTCAGAGGACTCTCTCTCTCGAGTTGAGGGTCGTAATTGCCGCCAAGCGCTTTACTAACTTCTCTTTGATATTTGTTTGCTACACGAGTAAGAAACCGGCGTTGGTCGATGGGCACCGATCGTGGCGGTCCGAGCAGTTCAAGAGCCTTCTGTGCTGTCCTCAAGTGGTTCTCAACATCTTTGACAACATTAGGAAACTCGCTGCGGATGTGCTCGTAAAGGAGTTGCCCGAGGAACTTCTTCAGTGGATGAATACCAACTCGGTCCTTGGAAAGCTCCGACCAGGGTAGATGAGTGGAAAAGAATCTTTGCTCTTTAACGTGGCGGTCTTCGATTGTGACTCCTTCATTTATCTCCTTGGTCGAACGGTTCTTGACAACGAACCAGCCATGCATAAGGTTCTCGACTTGGTTCTTCGCAATACGCATAACCTATCATCCTTAGTCAGACTCTAGCAATGGAGGTGACGGCTTACCCCAGCTTCGTCGCCTTTCTCCACCGCATCGCACTTTGTAATGATTCCGACAGTACGTTTGCCCAGAGGATCTGCCGCTCGTGCCATGGAGAATCTATGGGTGATCAGTAGCTAATACATCGAACGGAGATCACGGTACGTACACCTCCTGATTTGCCAAGTTGTTCCTTGCGTCCATTACAGCACTTTACCTCATTAGCGATGAGCCCTATCAAGTCAGAGTTTCGCCCACTCGCAGTATGATTGTCCGCTTGTCCGTGATATATGACTGGATAAGATTCCGAATGATGACACGATCCTCGGCCGTTTGGTACTTAGTCGGGTCTGACAGGGTTAGCTCCTGTGCAGACGCCGCTTGACTAACTCACTATGGAAGAGACCTGGGACATCGACAACGCTCAAGTGATGCTGGTCCGGGCCGGATAGCTCAATCTTCAAGGTATCATCGGAGAACCTCTTGCCGATACTTTCGATGTCCTTTGAATTGGGACCAGGTAGGCCCATGAATTCCGCAGCCTCGTGTCATTGTCAGTACATGATAAGACCCGCGACGCAGTGCCTACCTCATCACATATCTGTCCAAACTCTTCGCTTCCGAATTGATCAGCTACTAAAGTCCTCTGGAAGCTGCGAAGCCGATTATCAAGTTCATCATCCAAGGGTGTCCCTGGTCCGGGAATAATGGTTATTCTTGCTGCGGCGTCATCGTGATGTGCGCGACGGAGGACGATCTGTGTAGCGAAACGTGTGCAAAGGTCGCTTGCAATCGGGAACGACATTCCGGTGAGGCCTTCGAGGAGGGAGGATTTGCCGCTTGACTGGTCTCCTACTACAACAAGCTATACTCTGTCAGTATACTCGTGCTAATCTTGGGAGCTCTCACAACGTACCTGTGGGAGTGGAACTGTTTCACCAATTCCTAAGTCACGGAGCCTATCGATGATTTCCAGAACGTGGGCCCTCTTCTCATTGTCAAGGTCCGCCGCTGCCCTGAAGTCCATCTTGCTGCTTCCTTGCGCCTCAGTCATTTCTCGGTAATGTCTCTAGTCGCTCAGGAGATGAGGCTTTTTTGCAGGATAAAGCCAGAGACAAAATATTAGTCAACCAGGTCTTCAGGCTGTTGTAGAGGGATCTGAGGTGTGTGAACAAGACGATCCTGAGATGGGTGAGGAGACGGACAAGCAGAAGACCATATGAGAAGGAGTTAAATGGTAAATGGAGTTTAAGACGTGATCAGTTGTAGAATAGAGGTAGATGGGTTCGGCAAGAGGAGCGAGATGAAAACACAGGTTGCGGGTGGTGGGCAGCGAAACACGCTCATTTTCCTCACATGCTCCCATAGCAACACAACCTCAGAACCTCACTTGTTATCTACCGCGAGCAGGCCATCCATCGAACATGCAATTTCTTAATGTGAGGACAGCTGAATATACCTCCGTCTGATAGCGGAACGCAACTCAACGAGCAATACGCCAATGTCGGCTTCTTAACGCGGCGTGGGAGGGAACTTGGGCGCGGAACTAGTCGATTCCCGCGTAGCCTAGGTTTGATCTCCTTGAGTGAACCTTGCAGTATCCTCCTTTGTTGCTAGTAGATTGCTGACCAGTACCTTGTCTTGTAGTTCCAGAATCTCTCTATTCAGCCCCACGTCCACCGTTGTCGCCTATCCCACGCCGAGGTGATCTGAACCGAAGACTACAGCCCATCTCGATCCTCTCTCGACGCACAGTCTCTCAGAGTTTTCCGCATTACGTTCACCTGGGCAGTTCCTCAGGTCTCGAGTCCTGTGATATCGGGTATCTATGGCATTGAGACTTGCGCGGTTCGAGCACAACTCTTCTGTGCCTGTCACCTGCAAGCCCTCGAAAGGAAATCAGTGTGACCGGGGTCTGACGAGACGCAAAATGAAGACCACAGTACGGTCCTTTGCTTCGGATACTCGTAAATCGCGAATTACACGGCTCTGTTATCTAAGAATGTGTCAATTTTGAGGGGACAACAGGGGAGACAGGAAAGGTTGGATGGCCGGTGCACCTCCGTGGTTGAATTACACGGAAGTGGTACGATACTACTACTAGCGCCCAAGAGGCTCAACGGTGAACCATAATTGACCTTTCTCAAGGATATATGAATGATCTACTGCCGGCATAGCCCAGGTTCGACTATTGATCATCCGCTCGGTACTGGAGCTCTCGGGTCTCGCCACTACTTACCAACAGTTTCATACAGAGGCCCTTCCGAGAACTGGACTCCGTTTACTCGAGTACGAAAAGACATTGGGCTCGTTACCGTTTGTTCTTTATGCGCAATTGGCCAAGGAACTCGGTGACATGGATGGAGGGCGGCCTGATGCCGTTCAACGCGCGATATCTACGTCCTTGAGGCAACGCATTGACAGCCTCTGGTGCTGACCGTCAAGTTGAGACGAACGTACGTTGACTATGTTTCATACTCTCCAATAAAGTTCAATCTCGGCAATATGTCATGAAGAACCCAGCTTCTTCAACCTGAAAGCTGTGGCGAGCTCAGATTGTACTATGCTGCGGCAGATCCCAGCGTAACCCTAACACCTCGACCACACCTCAAGCCACTCTAAAGAGAACTATCTCCACAACACAGGGAAGCATTCCACTCCTCGAGTATCATTCTCATGGGTAAGCGTCAGGTAGCTTGATTCCTACCTCCGTTCGCAACCTGAACTCGGCATATGATACTGGATGATGCCCCTACCCAAATGGACGCAGGTTCCCCACGAGGAACTAAAACCATCCCACGCAAATCCTACCATCAACAAGCTTCAGTGCTAATGTACAATGATGTCAGACAGCCCAAAGTTAAACGGTCCCATACTTCATGGACCCCTCCCCTCGTCTGGAATGACCTCCCCAGGCACCAGCGGGTCAGGGGGCCCAGTGCGATCGTCCCATCTGTGTGTGGAACGACCCAGCAGCACTGCAGGTACAGAGTGATATGCATGATCTAGCAGAGTGTAGGCTATTGGTGCTGTATGATATCGGCTCTGTCTGCATATGTAGCCAGAGACGTCAAACTGCGTCGTGCAGCAGATCGTGCATCACAGATCTCAGTATCGGATTTCGACCCGGGCCGCTTGATGCTTGTTTTCACGTTTGGTAAATCTTGTGTCTTATTAATCTGACTTGGACGTTGTTTTGCAGGTTATACTACCGCCTACGTAGAAGTTATAGATCATAATGCCTCTGGGCATGGATGGCAGGTAGCCATTTACCCGAGGTGACCGTTACTTATGTGAGAGCCTTGGGCCAGACGCATGTCAGAGCGAGGTGAACAAGGTATTACTCCTATGTAGAAGCCTTTGTTACTAACATAGTATCCTCCTACCTATCTCCCCTCGCTAGCCAGGCACTGTTTGAAAGATGGTGCGGAAGTTACCGAATACAGGTACCTGCGTAGTATAGACACCAGGGAGCTAGGGATATCTCTATGCGACATCTATCTACCTACCAATAGGCATGTAACACCTATTCTCCCATAATACCCTCGCGGCAAAAGCTCAGATTGAACCTCTCTACACACTTGATAACCAGTAGATAATGGCGAACAACCTCAACTCTGCGGTCAGATGTGTTTTGTGCGAAGTATATTATGCGATGTTAAGACTTGTTATAAGCAAAGGTACGATAGATACCAGCTATCCTCCAATCTCACTATTCATATGCCCTACGCGATATGAATCTTCGTTGTACTTCCGCCAATTTATTCGGTCGACTCCGTCAAAGCCAATAGCACAGTATACGACCGTCCAGGTTGTTCTTACAACACGCTCCCCTTTCTCCGGCAATCCTTGAATTCATAGTTGAAGCCGATTGTCCGACCATTGTGAAAAGAAACGCATAGCCTATCACGAAATATTGTTGTTCGGGATCATTTTCCTTCCCTTGCGCCAATAGATGCCGATCTGGCGTTCGAAGCGAGCCTCCACTATGTGGGACTATTTCCTTCGCGGCCCACGTAATCTGCAACAAGACAATATCTCGATTCAGAAAATGAAGCAATAAACAGAAAAATAAAATATGTACGTGAAGAAACTCATCACGCCAAAGTGACATCACACCAGCGGAGTTGAGCCCACATCCAAGCCGCCGTGGAGAAAGTCCACAGTGGCCCACAGCTCCTCCTTCTGCTCCGTTCTCCTTCGCGTGCGTCCGTACGTGCTTTGACCACGATCCCGGGTCTGATATAGCAGCCCTAACCCAACACGGGAAAGGACTTTCTGTCAATGGCCGGACAAAGTGCCGATGATCCACCGGGAATCAGGATCAGGATTCAGGATCGATCGTGTTCCACTCAAGCTCCAGACTTTTGATAGAACCCTGTTTGTGACGCGTCGATGCCCCTCTCTTCCTCAGCTTGCTGCTTTCCCTCAGCTAGCTCAGGAGCTTCCTGGCGGGGCTACTCCGTACTTACGGAGTATGAGTCTCCACGTCTGGGCCAACCTAGACAACGCCATATGACTGGTCAGTAACCTTGTTTTCTGGAACCCAAGGTTGACAGGATTGTCGTTCCATCAAGATTGGGTCGACACGCGGGCGAACCGGTTCCATCAATTGGCAGGGCTGGTTCGTCAGGGACGCTCTGGGAGTTCCTGATCCTGAATCCTGCCCAATTTTCTTGTACCGTGGTCCGCTTCAGACCCCGTTTTTGCGATGAGGCTGGTCCTCAACAATTCGCAGAGTTATCCGAGATTGGTATATCGTGCAGACGGCGTTGTTCGGGGAGGACTCTCTTCCAGCTTCGACGGCAGAATGGTATCGCTGACGTGGTGACACCTATTGGAGATGTGTGTCAAGATCTCGCCACGGTCGCTCGGCCTCTCTTTGTGTCGATCGCGGATGTGCGATTCCAGGTCTCGGAGTATCATCGGCGGAGTGCTTGTACATCTATTATACTCCGAAATGGCAGTCAGCTCCAAGTCTTCTTCTCGCAATTACAAAGATTTGCCGTAAGTGACCAACATCGACCGGCCGTTCTAGTTCCGTCCCTCTCGTGCGATAGCCTCAGAGCTGTAAGGCAGAGCCATCGCCAATTCCAGACCAACCACGATTCAGGACCCTTGAATCAGCTCGCTAGGCATCTCGGCATCTGAGGCGGTCTAATCCCACCAAAATCCTGGCCAAATCGGGCTTGAAAGCTTGGTCGAAAAAAAAAAAAGAAAAAAAAAGTGAGTGTTACAGAACTAAAATCCTGACGTGGCCAGCACTGTCGACCCGGAGCTTGTTATTTCCAGTGAACTTGTCCTTAAGACCACGCCCACTTCGGGAATCCACCCGTCACACGCAAGGCGTTCGTTAGCGCCACGCCTCGACGCCCCTCTACATTTTCAACTCCGTCGCTGCAGATTACGCCGACCCACCAATTGTGACCTCGAAGGGAAATTTGGACCTGTTCCACCCTTCGAGGAAATGGAGCTAGCCAACATGTTCAGGAACAGGCGATTTGAGATGATGAGCCGCGGGGTAGTCTCGTCGCTGGCAGCTGAGGCAGGCAATCCCCTCAGACTCTCGAGGCGACTTGAGCAACACCAGCGCGCATCGCGAGATCAACCACAGCTCCTCTTCACATCTCGTGTCATAGCCCTTCCGCAATGATCTTCACATCTCCTTCCTGGGTTCCTGATATTCCAGGCGAAATCCCCGATACAATCACGGTCGGCGACTTTGCGCTCCAAGGAAACGCCAGCCTACCCCCTCAATGTGGCGGTAAAGCTCCGTTTGTCGATGGAATAACCGGAAAGTCCTATTCGACGAAGACGCTCCTGGAAAGGGTTGACTGGCTTTCGCGCTCGCTTGCGAAGGAGTTTGGATGGTCGCCGAACGATGGGTCTCCGGAGGACAAGGTTGTCGCGGTCTACAGCTGGAATACGGTCGGTCTTTCTCTTCGCTGATATCGCTACTTCATCGCTAATATGTGGCATGCAGCTCGACTTTTTTGTGACCTGCTGGGCAGTCCACCGTCTCAACGGCATATGTCTTCCAGTCCACCCCTTCAGCATCGTTCCCGAAATCGTGGCACATATGACGAGGTCGAAATGTAAGATCATCTTCACTTGCCAATCGCTCGTCGCGAACACTCTTTCGGCCGCAGAGGAGCTCTCGATCCCAAATGAACAGATCTATACAATGGCCCTTCCTGAGGGGTACCTTCCGAACCCAGAGCCGATCGATCAGTTCAAGTCGGTCGAGCAGTTGATCGCTGAGGGAGAGAAGTTGGATCCCACTCCCTCCCTTACCTGGGAAAAAGGCCGAGCAAAGACACAGGTGGCATACTACTGTGCAACAAGCGGGACTTCTGGGAAACAGGTTCGCTTTCCACAACCAGAATAACAGGCCGATAGCTAACTGGACCCGAAGAAACTGGCCAAGATCACGCATTACAACTTCATCGCGAACGTGCTACAAGCATCGATGTTCGAAAGCTATGCTAAGTCGGGGCGCAATGAGATTGCAATTGGCGCGATTCCCTTCACACACGGATATGGATTGGCCCTGGGCCATATCATGGTTTATCGCGGCGATTCGCTCATTGTCATTCCGCGGTTCGACATGCAATTGATGCTGAAATTAATTCCTCAGTATCGCATTGAGAGACTATACCTTGTACGCATTTCCTGGGCATCAAAAGGACCAGTCTTATCTAACCTTGCGGAACAGGTTCCCCCAATCCTCGCCGCCTTCGCTGCAAATCCCTTCCTACTAAATCTCTTCGACATCTCGTCCGTCCAGACCATCGTGACTGGCGCCGCAGCACTAGACCGCGTCCTCGCTTCGAAACTCCATGACCTTCAACCGCACTGGAAATTCAATCACGCCTACGGTACTACTTTACTCCAGCTGAGATTTGTACTAAGCTAACCCTTGATTTTATAGGCCTCACTGAAACCGGCGTCATCGCGACGTGGACAAGCTCGCACGACGTATGGCACGGTTCGTCGGGATCCGTATTGCCACAATTCGGAATCCGCCTCGTCAAGCCGAACGGCGAAGATGTCGAGGGCCTCGACGAACCTGGAGAAGTCCATTTCACCTCTCCTAGTATTTTCGCAGGATATCTCGGCGACGACGAGTCTAATAAGAACACCTTCGACGACAAGGGCTGGCTCAAGTCCGGCGACGTCGGGGTATTTCGCAAGGCACCGAGCGGAAACGAGCACTTGTTCATCCTTGATCGAATTAAGGATATGATTAAGGTCAAGGTAAGCCATTCATTCCCTTCGAGACTCATCCCATCTATCGTGCTTTACAACTAATTCTTCTCGGAAAAGGGCGACCAAGTCGTCCCCCGCGACATCGAATCCGTCCTCCTCTCCCATCCCGCCATCGTTGACGCGGCCGTGATCGGCGTCCCCGACGAGCTATCCGGCGAGCGCGCAAAAGCATACATTGTGCGATCTGCGACCGAAATGGCAGATATGGACGAGGAGGATCTCGCGGATCACATTGACGAGTATGTGCAGGATAGACTGCACGAGTCCCACTGGCTGCATGACCGGATCGAGTTTATGGCGAAGTTGCCGAAGAGTGAGAGTGGGAAGGTGCTGAAGAAGGATTTGCGGGCGTTGAATTGAGGTGGCGTCCCGGTACAGTGATGGCGTTATCGCCGTTCAATGGTGGTCAGCTACAGGAGAGGAAAGTATTAGAATTGACAGACTAATCGATATACTATCTGGTCGGCAATTGCCAAACCCGAGCCCGTACCACCTCATCTGAGATCTCCTGGAGAACCACAAATAAGTCTTATTTGCGTTCAGTGCGACATGTCGTATTAGTAGTCCCGCCTATTTATCGCTCGCGTCCCACACTATCGAATTCAAGATTCTATCGAACCTTAGCAGCGGACCGTATTTTCTCCGTCCGTGAATAAATGTGGAGTCTTATGGCGTTGCCGCCGTAGGACTGTTATAGCTCCGAGGCATAATGTGGAATTTATGTGGCTTGTCGTCCTACGGTATAGCGCAAGGGTCGGTAATGCCAAGGAACGCCATGGGGCACAAACGATCGACTGACCGGGTTTTGCATGGATTCGATTTTGTTTAGGGGGTTATGCAGGGTATAGCAGAGTAGTTACTGGATTATAATCAAATTGCCCTGTGTATATATATTGCGCTCAAATTCATGCCTAAAAGCGAGAGTAGTTGTGGTTTCGCGCGATTTGGGGTGGGTACAATATATATACCCTTGCAAGACCGGCGATCTAGCACTCGAAACGAAAAGCAATAGCATTTACAGAACGTAGTGACACAGGTTATGAAACATCCAATATCGACATATTATTGCTCTATATACTCTATATGCCAGACTCAAGCCCCCACATTATACAGCGTAATCCTCTTGTACGTACAATACCTGCTAAAGATCTCATCGGCCTTCAACCTCTCCACAGCCTCCATCTCACACTGGAATTGAATCTCAAATCCACCATCCTTATCCTGCGGGAACAAATACAGCAACCCGGTCTCCCGGGAATACGAACGTAAAAGAACCGGTGTCCCCAGCGCACCACCCCAATCCTGCTTCCGCGACTCGATACCGGAGATATCAGTGACGCCGATATCCGGGCCGGGGAAGTAGTTGTATTTCCAGGTGACGTCTGTCACAGCGGGGGCGTCGTTGATGAGACCGATAAGTGTGCGGACGCTCCTCTCGCCGGTGCTTTCGGTCGCGACGCGAATGGCTTCTGCGAGGGTGACGAGGGATTCCGGGGTGGATGGCGCGCAGACTTCCGTAAGAGGAATGCGGACGCGCGCCGTGGGCTCGTTGATGTTTCCGATGAAGTTATCCGAGAATGGCGGTTTTGTGCGCGCGCGGAAGTCCAGTCGTGTTGTGAAGAGCGATGAGCCGTCCGGGTGGATTTGATCCAGTTGGCGCGCGATGCTTGCGTGCTTCCAGACGAGGGCGGAGACGGCTTCGACTTTTGTGAATTGCGCTGCGTTCTCGGTCTCGGCTTGTGCGAGCGAGCTGCGCAGGGACTTTAGAGAGTCAGCACTCAGGTACCAGGTGCTCACTGTGTAGGGGACTGTGACGGGTTGTTCGCGGTCGAGGAGGATCGAGCTGGTTGGGGACTGTCGCGCAGAGCTGTCGATCGTGTATTCGGGGAGGTCATCCACTGTAACGTCGCGGAGGCCGTGATCCAGCCGCCATCGGTCTCGAGATCCTTCAGCAGGTGCCGCTGGGAGATCTGGACGACCTTGCGTAATCGAAGTTTTGGTATGCTGGGCCCAGATGTCCATGAGATGACTGATACCCCGCGCGTCACAAACTGCGTGGTGCCATGAGACTGCGATGATCACACCACCATCAATCAGGTTGACTTGCAGGAAAGCTGCGGGAAGACTATCTGCGCCTTCAGCTGGTTGTGGAACGAAGAGGACATCGTGAGGAATCTCAACGATGGGGAAGTGGTTGGATGCCAGGTCGGCGTAGCTCCCATATACCCAGGACTCGTGTTTCGTCTGATCAACCACTTTGAAGGGCACTCCGGACTCTGGTCCAATGCGCAGCTCCAGTTCCTTTCGCTGTGAGCCAGGTACGGGCGCGACTGTCGTTGCGAAGTCGGGGATCTCGCTCAAGGCCACTGCCAGGCCTTGTTTCAGGTGGTGGACGATGTCATCTGCCTTCTTCGCGGGATCCAACTCAAACACCATGAATGATTTGGCGTAGAATCTCATAATCTGCTGATCTAGCGCCGAGAGCTTGATCACATCTTCGCTGAGAGGCACGCTGAGCTTTACTGTAGTTTGCTCCATGTTGACTGTGGGTTGTAAGCACAGTTCGCAACAATCGAAGTTCGTAGCAGGCAAAGTCAATCGATGGATCGATGGACATACAAAAAAAATAGTTATTGCGATGGAGATGACCACATCGGCAGGTAGCTTACTTCAAATGGAAATTATACCTCGGAGTATTCGAGCTCAAGCAGGATTTTGCAGGAGGAAATTGCGACGTCCCTCGCGTGTTATTGCAACCACCAAATGTCGCCGACAAACGCCTTCGCCCAACACAGCTGGCATTTCCTCCGCACCACCTCACATCTCTGCCTCAACCACACACTCACCAACCTCGCCTATCGACACATTATTCCCCAACCGAGCTCTGCCCTGCGGCATCTGGCGTCCACATCTGAGCGCCCATCGGAAATGCATGGCCAACCCCACTTGGTTTCCTTCGCTCAAGGATAGCGCTGCCGATCTGTGATTCCTTCGCGTCGAGACAGCTGTCGATCTGGTTCGTCGACCCAGATCAGCTCGATCTAGTATCTTCCTGTCAGGCTCCTCGGCCAGTCCTCTGGTCCGGGCCTCGTCCTGATCATCGCATTTCCTTCGTGGCGTCATCGTTGGATAATGAGCGATAGTCTCAGCCAGTACCTGGGCGGTACACTTGCCCGCTGCAATTGCCCACTCGGCGGTAGCCACGTTCAAGGTTCCAGGTTGGCAGGTTGCCTCGAATGGCGCCGAGGCGAGTCTGGGACCTGCAGGATTCTTGACCGCACCACAATATCATGGCCCCCTAGCTGAGCGCTCGAGACTCCGTCCAGATGGAGAAGGCGGGATATGATTCATCGCTGGCTAGCGGACGAGCCTGTTGCTGGGCTCCCGGCTCCGCCCACGGCACGTAATGGAATTCGAATGGATTTGGCAAGCCCTAAAGGAACCTGAGCCCGCGGGTCGAGAGCTGCAAAAATACTCCTCCAACGGGAAGTTGATATAACATTGACCCAGCCTTTCTACATAGGTACTTGTGGGCCAGTGCTTTTTCTTTTTCCATTTTTCTCCGCGAGAAACTCCGTGAATATTACCTGCCCAATACCCAATGCAATAGCAGAAGATTGACGACGACTCTGCTTCCGTTCTCTTCCTGATATACCACACCATAATATGTCGAGCGATACGTCCAGAGTCCCTCTTGAGAGGGCAGAGAGTGAGTCTGCGGACAGTGACAGACTCTCCTCATCCCCATGGTCTGTTCTCAGCGATAATGATAGTAATACATCCGATGAGTTCGGCCATCGCGCCGGCCCTGGCTCTCTCGAGCCAATTGCCATTGTTGGCATGGGCTGCCGACTGTCAGGGAGTGCAACAGACGTTTCTGGTCTATGGGACATGCTGAAGGCAGGTCGCTCGGCATGGACACCCGGGCCGGGGACGAGATTCAACATGAAGGCGTTCCAAGAAGCTACAGGGACGAGAGCTGGAACGGTAAGCTTTGTGAGACCCTACGGGCGAAAGCATCGCAGCTAATACGGAACATTCCTTGTAGACTAATGCATGCGGAGGGCACTTCCTCCGAGAGGACATTGGTGCGTTCGATGCAGCATTCTTTGGCATTCATCCAGTCGAGGCACAGGTAAGCACTCCAGAGTCAGCCAATATCACCGTTGAGAACTATCCTAACGTCTTTTTGTGGTAGGCAATGGATCCCCAACAGCGCCTTATGCTCGAAGTCGCGTACGAAACATTTCAGAATGCAGGAATGACGATGGATTCGCTCTGGGGCTCAAATACCGGAGTGTACGTCGGCCAGTGGGCAACAGACTACCATGAGATCGCGACTCGAGACATCGACCAACCGCCCCTATACCTAATTACCGGAACCGGGCCCGCCATCACATCTAATCGCATATCATACCTATTCAACCTCCGCGGGCCAAGCTTCACACTGGACACGGGATGCTCATCAAGTTTAGTAGCCTTACATCAGGCCGTTCTGAGTCTACGAAACGGCGAAACCCAGCAATGTTTCGTCGGGGGCGTGAACCTGTTGTTAGATCCCCAGCGCTTCGCCTATCAGAGTCGTCTGAAGATGTTCTCCAAAGAAGGCCGATCATACCCCTTTGACGCTCGTGCGAACGGCTACGGTCGCGGCGAGGGTGCCACAGGTGTTGTCCTGAAACCGTTATCTGCTGCCATCCGCGACGGCGATAACATCCGCGCTGTCATCCGGAATTCCGTGCTTAACCAGGATGGAAGGACCCCGGGTATCAGTGTTCCCAGCGCCACAGCACAAAAGGAAGCCATCATCAGAGCATATCGACAGGCTAAGCTAGACCTGTACGCGGACTATGTGGAAGCACATGGTACGGGAACAAAGGTCGGCGACCCAATCGAAGCCAGCGCTATTGCGGCAGCTCTATCGCAACGACGTTCGTCTTCGCGTCCGCTGCCAATGGGGTCCATCAAGGGAAACATTGGACATACAGAGAGTGCGGCGGGACTTGCGGGCTTGATCAAGTCTGTTCTTATGTTGGAGCACGGTCTTATCCCGCCGCAGGTGAATTACCAGAAGACGAACCCGGATATCCCTCTCGACGAATGGAACTTGCGGATTCCTGTTCAGCTTGAGAGGCAAAGCCTACGAAGGATTTCGCTCAATAGTTTCGGATACGGTGGCACAAACGCGCACGTTATCATTGATGCTGCCAGTGATGCGATCTCATCATTCGGACGTCCATCATTGAGCAACTCAATGCAGCTGACATACCACTCCGAAAAGCCAAGAGTGTTTATGGTCAGCGCAGCGAGCGAAAAGGCATGCCAGAGAACATGTGCCAGGCTCGCCAAGTACATCATTTCCAAGCACCTAAACTCCATCAACCCTGATGCGGTGCTGGCTCGTCTCGCTTACACTCTATCCAAGCAGTCAGTCCATGCATTCAGAGTAGCATTCGTCGCCTCGAACCTGGATGACCTCGTAACCCAGCTGAATGCCGCTGCACAGTCTTCAGTTCCTCGGCGCGAGAAGATGGGCCAATCTCGCATTGCCCTCGTCTTCAGTGGTCAGGGTGCACAGTACGCGGAGATGGGTCGCGATCTTCTTAAGAGCTATCCTTCCTTCGTACGGTCGCTAGAGAACGCTCGACAACAGCTAGCTCGCCTGGGTTGCCCTTGGGATATTCTCAGCGAGCTTTGTCGGCCGAAGGCCGACTCGCGCGTCAACGAGCCAGCATTCTCTCAACCTCTGTGCACAGCGATCCAGCTCGCCCTTGTTGATCTCCTGAATGAGCTTGGAGTGTTGCCCTCCGCCGTCCTTGGGCACTCTAGTGGTGAGATCGCTGCCGCGTACGCCGCCGGTGCCGTTTCCTTCAAAGATGCCATTACAATTGCTTATCACCGCGGCCGGCTTGCGGGCGAGCTCGTCGCTGGTAACCAGTCTCCGGGTGCGATGATCGCTGTGGGAGCCGCGCCGGATGTTGCCGAGCAGCACATCAAGTCGATCGGACCCGATCATGGCCGTATCAGGGTGGCTTGCTTTAACAGTCCCTCCAGTGTAACTGTCTCGGGTGACGTTGCCGCGATCGATCGATTGAAGGAATTGCTAGACGGCGAGGGTGTCTTCAACCGCAAGTTGATGACCCACGGCGCAGCTTACCATTCGCATCAGATGAAGCTGATGGAGGACAAGTACACCACAGCGCTGAAGAGTCTTCGAGCTAGGCCTACTAGCACTTCCGTGCGCATGTTCAGCTCGGTTACTAGCAAGGAGCTCGATGAGAACACCGTTCTGGATGGCCGGTACTGGGTTCAGAACCTGGTCAGTCCTGTGCTCTTCTCACAAGCCCTCAAGGCCATGTGCGAGCAGGAGTACAATGGCCAGCCGCTCGATACCATTATCGAGGTCGGACCTCATTCACAACTCGAGGGTCCCGTCAACCAGATTCTTAAGACGATTTCCGGACCCCATGGGCAGGTTTCGTACACGAACACGTTGAAACGAGGAAACGACGCTGAAACGTCGCTCCTTCGTTGCCTGGGCTTCTTAGTCATCAAGAACGGATCTGTGCGCCTGCGCGACCTGAACAAGGACGCTAAGGAGGGTCAAATACAACAGCTGGTTGACCTCCCGCCATACTCGTTCGACCATGACCGCATTTTCTGGCATGAAACTCGCATCTCGAAAGATTACCGACACAGGCCACACTTGCCCCATGAGCTGCTTGGAAATCTTACTCAGGATGTCAACCGCATCGAACCCCGCTGGAGGCGATTCCTCAGCTTGAAGGAGTCTCCTTGGCTGCGCAAGCATATCGTCCAGGGTCTTATCACATTTCCTGCGGCCGGTTACATTACGATGGCCGTTCAAGCCATGCGTCAACACATGTTCGCAACACGACCAACAGTGAAGGTCGAGAACATCAGGTTCCGAGACCTTAGCTTTGGTAAGGGTCTTGTGCTATCGGATGAGAGCCCCGACGTGGAGATCTCACTCTCAATGCGCCCACAGGCTCGTACTTCGCGTGAATCATCAGGTACCTGGTACGAGTTCCGCATCTTCACAGTGACGCCGGACCAGAAGTGGACCGAGCACTGCCGTGGTCTCGTCCAAGCCGAAGTGGACTCCGTTGAAGGGTACAAAGCTGTGTTCACGCCAGAGGATATCTCTCGCATTGACTCAGAATGCACGAAGGAGCTCACCTCGCAGAAGTTCTATGCCATGAGCGAACGCATTGGACTTGACTGGCAACATCCCTTCAACAATGTACACAAAATTCGCTGCAGCAGCAACTCGTGCGTGGCTACCGCGCGTGTTCCGGAGAATGAAATGTCGCCTGGAGGAATGGAAGATTTGCTCCATCCCGCTGTTCTTGACTCTGCCCTGTTCCATGGTCTATGTGCCATTGTCATTGCTGGGGACGGTGCCTCCTCAGCATACGTCCCAACATTCATCAAGCAAATGTGGATTGCGAACCAGGCGGCTGAGGCGGGCAATGAGCTGATATGCTCCTCATCCCGGCGAAGCGATCCGTTGGTTTTCGATATCGATATCAGGAACACGGCATCTCCCGATTCAATGACCTTGGTAGCGCAGGGCGTCCGTGTCACCAGCTTGGGAGGCAATTTCTCCTCGGGTATCTCCCAGAAAGATGCGAGCCATTCGATGTCGCTTGTTCCTTACGTCGAAAACTGGACAACAGAGCACAGGGATGCAATTTGCAAAGCCGATTACGAACCCGGCTCCCTTCTAGAGAACAACCGAGTGCTAAACGCATTTTGCCTTGATTACATCCAAAAGGCGCTGCGCGAAGTGTCGCCCAGTGACATTCCGGAAGGATACCTTCACTGTTACTTGGAGTGGATGCAGAGTGTTGGGGATGAAAGTTACGATGCTTCGCTCCTCGGCGCTGACCTTCAGGATCTCGATGTTATCGGCGAGGCTATTGCCATTCTCGGACCACGCCTGCCCGACATTCTGACTGGCAAATCGTCTGCTCTATCACTCCTGACGCCAAACAACCTCCTTTCTCGCCTGTACACAGAGTGGGTGTCCGCCAGGGTCTACCCACAAATGGCTGCGTACTGCCGACAGCTTGGTCGGTTCAACCCCGGTCTGAAGGTCCTCGAGGTTGGTGCCGGTACTGGATCCGCCACTGAGCCCATACTAAGAGCCTTGAACGGTGGTAGTGAGCGTTTCATTCAACGTTACGACTTCACCGATCTCTCAACCGGTTTCTTTGAGCCCGCCAAGGCACGCTTAGGCGATCTCGCTGATGTCGTCGAGTTCCGCGTCCTAGACGCAGGACGTGATGCTCAGGAACAGGGATTCGAGGAAGCCTCTTATGATTTGATTGTTGCATGCAACGTAATTCACGCCACGCCTCGCATCGACGAAACTCTCCGGCATATTCGCCCCTTGCTCAAGCCCGGTGGCAAGTTCCTTCTCCTTGAGGTCACGCGATACAGCGTTATTTGCAACATCGTGTTTGGTCTGTTTGAAGGATGGTGGTCTGGTTACGATGAGGGACGCACGAAGTCACCCCTCCTCACTCCTACTGAGTGGTATTCCCGCCTCGAACGGGCAGGCTTTGTCAATGCGGAGACTGCTTTCATTGATTACCCGGAAGAGGAGGGTGGAAGTCTTAGCGGGATCATCACCAGCGCTCCTTACCCGGAGAACAGCGACAAGTCGCTTCCGATCCACGTGCTGACCGACTCGCCGGCAAAGGACACAGTCAATGATTTGCGCGCCCTTCAGCAGGCCTGCCCAGATAACGCCGTTTCTTTCAGTTCGGTCACCTCGCCCTGTGAAGCCGGGGGTATCGTCGTGATGCTTCCAGAGATTGCGCAGCTACTCTGTGATAACCCCGATGCAGAAGCCTGGCGCTCCTTCAAGGACTGGATGTGGAAGGCGCGAGCCGTGGTCTTCGTCAGCAATGGCAGCATGGTGAACCTGTCTGATGCAGAAGGTGGTTTGTGGGCAGGATTTTCACGGACTATGCGCTTGGAAATCCCAAGCTTACGCCAGATCATTCTAGATATTCAAACACCCAATGTGCCGATTATGGATAAGCTTGTGGAAGTTCTTCCGGTCCTTCTTGCTAGCCCGTCATTTGACCTCGATCGCCCTGCAGGCGAAGTGGACAATGAGTTCGCCGAGAAGAACGGGCAGCTGTTCGTGCCGCGCTATGTCCACCGAGCGGATATCAGCAGGGACGTTGCCCTTACCAGCCGTCAAGCTGCTCCAGAACTTGTCCCGTTCGTCGGCACAAACCGAATCATGGCTGCTGAGCTTGGCGTTCCGGGTCTGCTGGAGAGTATCCGCTGGAAAGATGACATCGAGTGCCCTCCTCTTGGCCCCGATGATGTGCGCTTTGAGCTCCGCGCCGCCAGTATCAACTTCAAGGATGTGTTGATTGCCGCAGGTCAGCTGGAAGGTATCACCGAGATGCGAAACGACTGCAGTGGGGTTGTCGTTGAGGTCGGCGAGAACATGAAGGGTCGCTTCAAGCCCGGTGACCGCGTTTGTGCTCTGTACTCTCGTTCTTATACGAATTACCCGTTGGTGCACGGTGATTGCTGTCAGATCATTCCGGATTCTATGTCGTTTGCTGAGGGTGCTTCGCTACCCATTGTCTGGGCGACGGTGTATTACTCCCTTGTCGATAAGGGCTGCCTGTCAAAGGGTGATAAGATCCTCATCCATTCTGCTGCTGGCGCCGTCGGCCAAGCGTCGATCATGCTTGCGCAACATCTCGGCGCGGAGGTCTACGCTACAGTCGGTAGTGACGCGAAGCGTGACCTGCTCCACACGAGATACGGCGTTCCTTACGACCACATCTTCTCCAGCCGCACGACCGGTTTCTATACAGGAATCAAGCAGATGACCGGCGGGTACGGTGTCGACGTTGTCCTGAACTCACTCAGCGGCGAGATGTTCCGCGAGTCCTGCAACCTCGTTGCGCCATTCGGTCGCTTTGTCGAGATCGGCCGTAAGGATCTGATGGATGATGCGCTGATGCCTATGGAGTTCCTGCTTCGCAACATCACCTTTGCTTACGTCGACCTGACTGCTGTCATCATGGACAAGAAGCCCCTGGCTAGGCGTCTGCTGCGCGATGTCGCTGAGCTCGCTGAGGCTGGATCCATTCACCCTGTCACGTTGACGACGATGCCCATCTCTGAGATTGAAACAGCGTTCCGTCAGATTCAGGCTGGTAAGCATACCGGCAAGATCATTCTTACCGTTGAAGATAACCAGGAAGTCAAAGTAGGTTTGCGAACCATGTATCCCGTGAAACTCATGCTAACCTGTCCCAGGCGGTTCCGTCCATGCCTTCCCAAGCCCAACTCCGTGAGGACGCCTCTTATATCGTTGTAGGAGGTTTCGGTGGTCTTGGCCGTGCAATCATTTCCTGGTTGGTAGAGCACGGTGCGAAGAACATCGTGTCGCTCTCTCGTTCCGGTGCAAAGGATGCTGAAAGTCGCGCTTTTGTTGAGCATATTCGTCATAAGGGCGTGACTTTGCTTGCACCTTGCTGCGACATTGCCTCCTCAGAGGCGGTTGCGCAATTGGCGCAGGATATCGAGAGGTACGGATTGCCGCCTGTTCAGGGTATCATCAACTCTGCAATGGCACTTCGGGTAAGTGGATTCCGAATCATACCTCATTCCATCGATGTCAGTACTAACCACGTCCAGGACAACCTCTTCGAAGACATGACCGTCGACCACTGGCGAACAGCTCTCGCTTCCAAGGTCCGCGGGTCCCAGAACCTACACGCTCACTTCAAGAATCTCTCCTTCTTTGTCATGCTCTCATCCACCGTCGCGATCCGCGGCAACTACGGCCAATCCAACTACAGCGCCGCCTGCAGCTTCCAGGACACATTCGTCCGACACATGACGCACGCGGGCCAGCCCGCCTTCTCAATCAACATCGGCGTCGTCACGGAAGTTGGCTACGTCTCGGAGAACCCCGAGGTCGCGGAGAACCTGCGGCGCAACGGACTCGGCGCAGTCAGTATCTCGGACGTCCTCGTCCTCATCAACTACGCAATCACAAACCCTAGCACCGACCCGACCTCCTGCGTCGCGTCCATCGGCCTCGCCCCTTCGAGTGAGGACTACGAAATTGGGTCAAGGTTCCTCAAGGCGGACCGACGCTTCGCGCAACTCGTCAAGCACGAGGGCACAACACAAAAAGCCACAGGAGAATCCGTCGACTCGATCACGCTTCTTTCATCAGCAACGCAGGTCGAGGATGCCGTCGAGATCGTCACGTCCGCTATCCTTCAGCAACTGAGCAAACTTATCGCGACACCCGTCGAGATGCTCTCGGCAGCGCAGAGTCTTGATAGCTATGGTGTAGATTCGCTCGTTGCTGTTGAGCTGCGTAACTGGATTGGAGCGTACCTGCAGGCGAATGTGCAGCTTATGGTTCTTCGTGGTACGGGGAGCATTGCGCAGCTTGCGCAGATTGTCACGAAGGAGTCGAGGATCGTTAGCTTGAAGGCTTAGATAGGATTTATTTCCGCTTTTCTCTCTTGTTTTTTCCCTTCTCTTGATCTGTTCTTGCGCTTGAATTCTGTTTGGCCTGGCGTTGTTGTGATTTTCATGTCTCATTATATATCGCCTAATATCTCCGTGTATCTATTATTCAGTTAGTATATATCAGGTCAGTGATTCGAGCCTCATCATCTTATTCATTGTTGTCCACTGCGACGCGTAGATACGGAGTACCCTCGTTTCCTCGGGGAGGAAATGAAAAGATCTGGCCAAAACTCCACAGCGGCTCGTCACGTGGAATTATGCAGCATCTGGAGTGGATAAAGCAGGATATTCAGTGGCCCACTTTCTAAAGCGCTTGGTTCTGTCATTGGTGGGATGGCTATCCAACTCATCCGATTTGTTCTCTTAAATGCCTCGAGATTTGGAGGGCGATGAGTCCAGATCTCATCCCTTCAAGTTGTCTCTGAACAATGCACCAAATGGTGTAAAAGTAAAGTAGCTGCGCTGTATACAGTTTCGAAGGTCATAGAGAGAATATGCCACATATCTTTGCTTTCGACTGCATATGTTTAAGAAGATACTATAGGTAGAATAAGGCTAAAATACTCTTCTCAATACCTGAGGCAACTAAATATATACCTTGTGGCACCTCCCCATTAAGCACAATGCCTAAGAACAAATATATGAGAAAGCATCGTTATTTACCCCAGAAGGCTCATATTTCCCAATCATATATAGCACAGATGTCATCAAGTATATATTCCTTCGAAAATGGAGGTTTCGATCGCTTTGCCATGTCGAAATTGATGCCCCAAACTGCCAAACTCATGGCATGTTCCACGGGACGGAAAGGGGCCGAAGTTCGAACCACGCGTAGTTTCCGTCCCATGGGTCAATCAAGGAACGCGAACTCAGATTGAGTTGAACGACTAATGACAAGCCAAAAACTAAGGACGATTAGCTTGGAGAAAGTAGAGTGCTTCTGCGTTTGTTTTGACTTGACTATCCAGTAGACGTATGTTTGTAGACTAATTAATGCTGCTCAGTGTATGTAGAGTGGCCAGATCCTGGCATGGGTTTCCCCCTCGTCCCGACCAGGCTTGCTTGTTCTTGCTATGCTGTTGATTAACTCCTGTAGGTCCCATTTTCAAACTGAAATAAATATCGCTTCGAAATCCAAAACCCGATTGCCGATCGGTTGATGTCTATAGTACTCCTGATAAATGAAAAGTGAATGGATGGGTATATGTGCATGTGGGCGGCGACGGTCGCTTGCGACCGGCGTCATTGAACTTGTCGCATCCGGCACCGCCCGTATCGAATGTGTTTGTTTTTCGCCGTGGATCGTGTAAAACGCTGGCCGCATTGCTCGCAGGTGAAGCTCTTTGCGCGCCCGCTCTTTTCGCGTAGGTGTCGCTCGTAGTTTCCGAGGGAGGAGAAAGCTCGGCCGCCGCAGCTGTGCTCCCAACATCGGATGGGAGTCTTCGAATTGCGTGTTATCTTTGTATGCGGAGGAACGGAGGGTGTGCTTGAAGCGGAACCGGTGTCGGACGGTGAGGAGTGGTTGCTCGGCAGTGATATGCAGGATTGTCGGTTGGCGTAATCTTGGAGGAGCGTGCTTTGGGTTGCGAGATCTTGGGCGCATGGGGAAGGTATAGGGACGGTGGAAGCGACTGAATTCTCCAACATGTCGAGAGCTGGCATCCAGCTTGTCATGTTGGTACCGGGATCGGTCAACTGTCCCATGGATGCTGTACGATTTGGAGGGGAAAGGCTGGAGAGTGGTGTTGGGCATTGGTCGGACCAATTGTCGAAGGGTACCGAGTAATCTGGTACGGAGTACATGGGCAATTGCCAGGTTGTATCCAGTTTGAAGCTGCCCTCATCTTCACCTGTGCCCAGGGAGCTATCGATAGCCCAGCTCGTCCATAACGCGCTTGCAAAGGGCGAAGAAGGTACGCTGTAAAAAGGGTTCTCGAAAGTTGACATGGTCGGAGCTACTCCACAAGAGCTAGCTGTTGCAGAGATCGAGGTGATATCAAGCGAAATATCTCCGATACGGCAAACGGGAATTGTTCTTTAGAATGCGGGAAATTATAAGCTGTCAAGCAGGAAGAAGCGCAGGAGGAATGTGCAGTTGAGTACGGAGTAACTTAGAGGGACCGCCTGGGGAGGCGGATGCGGTAGCAGAGGGGGCGAGAAACAAAGACAAGCAGATTGCGTCTGAGGCTGATTGCGGTCGCCGTCCATCCAAGATACAAGGAGTTGAGGATACGGACCAGCTCACAATTGTGACCGGCCAAGGCCTAGCTGGCGCAGCTGAGCCGGAGAGGACAGAGAAGATTTCCCCATAGTTCTGGCCCCACAGCGGACTGGATCGCTTCGATTGGAAAATGCACTGGTGTGGATGTTTGCGAGAGGACAGGATCTTGATGGGTGGCACTGGCGTTTCTCTCCTTGGATGATCGGCGCAAGCTTGCAAACGAGGTTCGTGACTGGAAGACGTTCCCACAGTGGCTTCCGTGCCTCAGATTGACGATTTGGCCCGGAACTTTGGACACGTCGGGCCGGAAATACAGCCACTGCTGTCGCTAACATCGCGCCACGGCCCTGCGCCGTATTGGTTGTCCTTGCTGAGGGCCTAGCGGAATTAGGATAAAGCGTCGGCAGCTATTGAAGGAGAAAAAGTAAACACGGGAATCGGAGTATCTCGCTACGCATGGTGCAGCTCTTCGTCTCGGCGCCACTCAGAGTCTCGAATCGTGGTTCCAGGATTTTTGATCTTCAAGTCCACGTCCCAGTCGAACATCCCTCAACCAAGCGGGCTCGCTGCCTCATCGAACAAGTGGTTCCATGTGGCCGGGTTTCGCATTGTTTTTCCGAGTACAAAGCAGAATATTAAAAACATGTCCTCATGTCATGGTTGCGTCAAAGGGTAAACCGATCGGCAATCCACCTGACCAGTTTGGACGATGTTTTGGTCATATTATTTGACATAGATGAGGGCGGCTGAATAGGTCGTCGACCAATTATGGAACAAGATCGCAAACCATGATCGTAAGTAAGGTAGGGTCTTCGTGTGCTGTCACAGAAGAGATGCGTCGAGTGCTTCAACATGCTTTTTGCCAGATCTTTGCGGAAGGCATTGCGAGTCTGGCAGACTGGCTCTGTCAGTACTGGGAGGAAGCTAATCCAGAAGTGAATTTTTCCAGGCCATGCAGTCACTGACGCACGATGGGGAACCGCTGCTGTCCTACCCTTGGAAAAAGCAAAGGCCACGGCTATTGCGTCAATTGTCAAACCTTGCTGACCGCTAGGTCCGCCACGAGGAACATGTTTTTGAGCAGTGGAGTGACTGGTCTTGAAAATGTGTGGCTGCCAAGGCATCGAGGACCAAGTGGAACTATGGGACCCTCCCAGGCACGGATCTCATTTCAGATGGGATGATCGACGTGATGGGGAGTGGAGCCGAACGAAGGAGAATTAGCTCCCTCAGTTCAACGAACGATAACAGTCCGTCCCCGATACAGAAGCTGCTATCGGGTAGCTAGGCCGTCGAGGACGTGTGGTTTGCGAGGCGGACTTCTTGTCGAGGTCTTGCTGCCACTCTCGAATGCCGACCCCAAGCGCGTCTGCTCGACTGTTGGGTCTTTTCTTGTCTATACTTACATAATTCTGTGTTCGGAGAATCGCAGAGGATTAGCTGTCTGAAGCACTGCTGGAGAGCTTCGTCTTCTTGCTCTCTATTGACATACCACATTAATACCAACCATAATTTTTCTCGATATGGCGCAAAATATGCCTGCGACCGCGGTCGCCTCAAATCAGACTATTGCGAACAATGATGCGATCGAACAGGACATCCGAGAGATTTGCGCAGAGGTGTTGCGCCGACCGGTGGGAAAGATCAAGTTGAATAGGTCTTTCGTCGCCCAGGGAGGAGACTCCCTTCTGGCGATCAAGCTGATGGCGCGCTGCGCCGAGGCGGGGTATACCATCACTATCCACGACATGCTCCAAGCGACCAGCCTCAAAGAGCTTTGCCAGTCCGCGAAACGAGAAGGAGGCAGCGACTTGTCGGGACCATCGGTTTCTCCCTCTCCGCTGGACGGTCCAGCGAAGAGCGCTGACACCGCGCCGTTATCGCTAACGGGCGCGCAGAGATTGTACGCCTCGGTTGGAGCGTGGGATAGTAAGCTGTTTCGAATCGAACGCGACGTCGCGGAGTCAACAGTCTTTACAGCCTTGAAATCGCTTGTCAGCAGTCATTCAGTCCTCGAAGCGAAGATCACCACCCAAAACGAAACTCAGGAAATGAAACTCGCACACGGCACTGAAACCAAATCATTCGCGTATAGAACGACTGAGATAACGAAAGATCTGGAGAGACTCGATGCGGAATGGATGGAATCTGGATACAAGGATGGGCAGGATGCGGAGGGGAAGCAGCCTTCGAAGTCCCTGTTTGGCGCTGTTGTGTTTGTGCAGGCGGGCACGTGCCTTGCTCGCTACCTTCGCATCGACCTGCACCGCGCCATCATCGACGCAACATCCTGGAACATTCTCCAGCGCGACCTCCAGAATGCTCTGCTTGGAAATGCCCTCGAAAAAGGGCAGTCGAAAGATGACTTTGGGGCCTGGATGCAATCGCAAACCGGTGCGGCTCCTGTATCGGACACAACACAGAAAGAGACGGAAAGTGCCAACCACATGAATGGACAGAGAAGCAATAATGGAGACACGGTGGACGAGAATCGCAACCCAGTGGATTTGGCTGCGCTAGAGACAGATGCGATGATACTTGAGCGGCTGGAAGACGGAGCCATCCACGGGGTTCTTCGCACCCAGCCAGAGGACTTTGTGATTGCGGCGCTGTCACTAGCCTTGACAGCGGCTTATAAGCCTTCTGCCGATAATATGACGTTTAATGCCATTACGAACGAGAGGCCTCGGGCCGGTCCTGGTGTTGCGTCAAATGTTGTCGGTTGCTTTGATGTGATCACGACTCGCGACATACAGAGAGAACAGGCGACTGGACTTGACCTGCTGCGCCGAGTCAAAGATGCGCGCATGGGGTTTTCTCTGGGCCTGTCAGATGCAAACCAGGCATACCATGTCCTGTTAGACCTACGGAAGCTCGAGCGAGCCACAGATACGAATTCTGCGGTCTTGCATGAGCTTCACCAGTATAACGAACTTTCGAGCCTTCCCCCGGGATGCCTTGTCTTTGTCGAGGCTTTTTGGCAATGCGACCAGCTACAAATTCGTCTCCGTTCCCGGGCGGCTGTTTTGAACCAGGAGCAGTTGGGGCTGGTTGCTGGCACATTTCGGGCAGCCCTGAAGGAGCTGATCAGCGAATGTCAGGCCACTCAACCTCATGGAACCCTGAGTGACTTTCCATTCTTAAAGCTCACGTACCCCGAGTTAGACAGTCTTGTGTCAACTCATCTCCGAGCTGTAACCTCAGATCCATTGTCCGAGGTGGAAGCGGTTTTCCCTTGTTCCCCCAGGCAGGAGGCATTTCTCGTTGCCCAGGCGGTCTACCCTGATCTATACCAGTGCTCTTTCGTTGTGAGAATCAACGCAGAGACCTCAGATCAGCCACTCGACGTTGCAAAATTACAGGCTGCCTGGGACAGGCTGGTAGAGCGCCACCCAGCACTCCGAACAATATTCATTGAGAGCTCCAATCGCCAAGGCCACTTCGACCAGGTTGTGCTGAAACCCCGATTAGGGCGAACAATTTCTGTAGTGGAAGGAAACCAGGAGACCGCGACGGAACTGGCGTTACGTCGTCCAGTTGTCTTCAAGAACTACGAGGCCACACATAAAGCCACCCTTTGTCGCATCTCGCCGTCTTCGGCGTATCTTCGGCTCGATATGTCCCATGCTGTTGTCGACGGACAGTCCGCCCAAGTGCTGCTGCGAGATCTATCTCAGATCTACAGCAGCCAGAAACTAAGCAATCGCGTGATGGCATACCGGGACTTCGTCAACTACCAAGCACAGCTCCCGATACACGATTCCATGGCGTATTGGTCGAACTACCTCTCTGGAGCCCAACCCTCCCACTTCCCGCTGTATGGCGACCCACTAGGCCGGAAGGATATCAGAAGCCTTCGTACAAAGATTAACCTAGGCTCCGAACGCCTAGAGGAGTTTTGTGGTAAGTTTAACGTCACCCCAGCTAATATTTGCCAGGTAGCATGGGCCTTGGTGCTCCGATCCTACACCGGCCTGGAGGATATCTGCTTTTCCTATGCCACCTCGGGACGTGACGCGCCACTGAAAGGCATTAACAACGCCGTCGGGGCCTTTCTCAACGCTGTTATTTGCCGTGTTCGCGTCCCACCAACCGCGACAGTCTCCCAAGCCTTGGGGCAGGTAAAGAGCGACTTTGTGGAGAGCCTGTCCCACCAGTATTTTTCTGCCATGGACGAGGCACAGTCGGGTGACTTTGCTCGCCTGAAGGGGAATACTCTGATGTCCTGTCAAAGAAAGGCAGCTACAGAGCTGCAGGGATCTGGGCTCGGATTTGAACTCGTCGATGCGGTGAACCCGAATGAGGTAGGCTGTGAACTTTCCAATGTTCAAAAGCTTTCTACATAGACTAATAGCGTATCAGTACGACATGTCGATCAATATTCAGATAGGATCGGAAGATCTCGAAGTCATGATTGACTACTGGCATTCGCGTATCGAGCAGCGTACCATTGAAACCGTCGCCCGGTCCTTTGAACAGGCCTTTGTCAGCATTCTCAATGAGAACGGTGCAAAATTGGGACAGATCGATATTACTTCTCCGCGCGACATTGGCCAGCTTCGTGAATGGAGCAAGGATATACCGCCCATGGTCGACTACCGCATCCATGACAAGGTTTATGAACAACGTCTCCGGCAACCGGATGCCTGGGCAGTTCAGGGATGGGATGGAGATTTGACCTACCGGCAACTGGACGATGCGGCGAACAAGTTAGCATCTCACCTTGTCAGCCTCGGAGTAGAACCTGAGGTCAAGGTCCCCATCTGCTTTGACAAATCGAAATGGGCCGTGATATCTCAGCTTGCAATCCTCAAGGCCGGAGGTTGTGTTGTTCCTCTTGGCACGAAGCAACCGATCAGTCGCACCGAACTTATTCTTAAGGACCTGGAAGCAACGATTGTTCTCACGACAGGCGCTTATGCTGCGCGCTTTGAGGATCTCTTGACTCATGTGCTGATTATCGACGGGGGCTTTATGGCCGGCCTGCCAGAGACCGAAAAGCCCCATTGCGCAGCGAATGCAGATAACTGCGCCTTTATCATCTATACGTCCGGTAGTACAGGTGTTCCTAAAGGCGTGGTTCTCCCCCATTCCAGCCTCTGTACTAGCCTGCAGTATATGGGTGCTCGATTCAAGCTTGGGCCTCATACGCGAACGGTTCAATTTTCAGCTTATACTTTCGACATCTCGATCCAAGACATCTATACTACTTGGCATTACGGAGGTTGTCTGGTTGTTATCTCGGAAGAGGACCGAATTAATGGCCTAGCAGCTGCTATGGTCCGGTACCAGGTCAACTGCGCCGGGCTTACATCAACAGTGGCGGGGCTAGTCTTCCCGCATGATGTTCCTTCGCTCAAGACACTGGTTCTCCTTGGTGAAGCTGTCAAGCCAGCGGTTGTTGACCAATGGATTAACCATGTCGAAGTCTTCAATGCTTACGGGCCATCTGAGTGCTCGATGCAGGCTAGCATTAACCAACTAACTCCAGGATGCAACGCCCTTAACATCGGTTACGCTTTTGCTGGAGCCCTCTGGGTTGTGGATCCCAATGACTACAACCGCCTTGTCCCGATCGGCGCACCTGGAGAGCTTTTAATTGAAGGTCCGCTCCAGGCCCGCGGATATTTGAACGACCCGGTCAAAACTGCGGCTGCCTTCGTGACGGATGCAGTATGGATGATCCAGAATGGGTTTGGTGCCGGGCGGCGCTTATACCGAACTGGAGATCTTGTTCAGCAGAATCCAGATGGCTCGATTACGTATATCGGACGCCGCGACACTCAAATCAAGGTCCGTGGACAGCGAGTCGAGGTCGGCGAAATTGAACACCACTTGTTACAGCAGGATGCCGTCCTCGATGCAGCAATTATTTACCCTCGTCAGGGTCCCTGCCAAGATCGCCTGGTCGGTCTCCTCACCCTACGGGACTTCTTTGCAGGAAAGGGATCTGGACAAGAGATTGTGCCTGTCCCAACGGAGAAGCTGGCTTTTGTCAAACCCCAAATGGCCGCAGCATCTGAACAGCTCTCACACCACGTATCCGAGCATATGCTGCCGAAGGTCTGGATCCCGCTCGAGAGTATGATGCCACAGAACGACTCTTCGAAATTGGACAGGAAGAAGCTGGGTCAGTGGCTCGAAGCCATCGACACCACCTTCCTGGAGGCACTTTCCAAGTCATCAGATATTGAAGTTATCGGTCGCGAACCGGAGACTTTCGTTGAGCAGCAGATCCAAAATGCATGGGCGGAGGTATTACGTTTGCCGAAGGGCCAGGTTCCCGTGGAGCACAAATCATTCCTCAGTATTGGTGGTGACTCTATTACCGCTATGCACGTTGTATCGTGGTTACGCATCCGTGGGACCACAGTCGCGGTGCGAGACGTGCTCGAGAGCAAGTCTATCGCGCAGTTGGCCCAGGTTGCGCAAGCGACGGGCGGAGCTACTGAACAGGCAGACAAGCCGTTCCCTGTATCGGCCATTCAAAAATGGTACTTTGAGTCAATCGCTCCTCCGGATGCTCCCTTGAAGTCTGGTGGAGCACATCACTACAACACTAGCATTTGCCTAGTGCCCCAACAGCATCTCGAATCCAGGGTCGTGGCTGACGCAATCATGGCCCTTACCACGCGCCACCCAGCTCTCCGTTCCCGATTCCAGGGTGATGCCATCAACGGATGGCACCAGAGGATTGTCAGCGAGAAGGAACAGCCTGCCGATGTGAAGAGCCATACTGTGGCCAGCGAACAAGAAGCGGAGAGCATTATCGCTGCATGCCAGGTGGGCTTGGACCTGGAGAACGGACCCGTATTCTCGGCTAGACTGATCAACATCGAAGGAGCAGAGTCATCCCAGCTACTATTTCTGACCGCGCATCGTCTGGTCGCAGACCAAGCTTCCTGGGATATCATCCGCCAAGATTTGAATATTTTGCTACAGGGAAAACAGCTTGCAGATTATAGCCCTCTACCTCTCCAGACACATACCAGGCTTCAAACCGCACAGAGTGCATCCTTATTCAACCTCCCAAAACCAGACTTTGAGTACTGGGGTCTGAGCGAATCCAACATTTACGGAGATGAAGTATCTGAAAGTGTGGCGCTTGACAAAAATCTCACCGAGGCCCTGCTGCAGGATGCAAACCGCGCTCTTCGAACGGAGCCTATAGAGATTCTCTTAGCTGCTCTCTTCAATTCGTTCAAGGAGGCATTCAGTGATCGCCAAGTACCCGCTGTGGTTGAGACGCTTCCTGGACGGGACACTGACGAGTCTGGACTCAATGCCTCGAATACTGCTGGATGGTTCGAAAGCATGGCACCGGTGCACATCAGCCCGGAACCCTCCCAGGGAGCGCTTGTCATTATTCAACAAACAAAAGACGAGAGACGAAGCCTACTCAAAAAGGGCTTGCTAACCATCAACTCCTTGCTCCTCAGCCCTGGAGGGGAGAAGAGCCCAGCCGAACATCAAAGGATGGAGGTACTTTTCCGATACGCGAGTCAGCCACAGAACGAATCATATGAACTATTTGATGTGAGAGAAACTACTGGTCCTGAGCTTTCTGCTATTGGCGCAGACGTCCGTCGCCCAGCTGCATTTCACATTGTGACTACTGTATCGGAGGGCCGGCTACACATCGAGTTTAAGTTCAACCGCAAGATGAAGCATCCACAACACATTCACGATTGGCTACATGGTTATGTCAGTACGATTCGATCTTTCGTATCGGAGCTTACGAGCGCAACACCAACATTCACATTGACCGATTTCCCGCTCGTTACTCTGACACCAGAGAGCCTTAGAGCGCTCCAGCACGACATCCTGCCGGACGCGAACATCACGCCACAGGAAGTGGAGGACATATACCCGTGTTCCCCAATCCAGCAGGGTATCCTGATGAGCCAGGTCAAATCCCCGTCGGACTATTACATTCAGCAGTCATTTGAAATTGTACCTACGAAATCATCTGAGGCACTCGTCATCGACCGTCTGCTCGCAGCCTGGCAGACCTTGGTAGACCGCCATCCGATGCTTCGAACAAGATTTGTCCGCGCCGCATCTGGCTCAAGCAACCGCATGTTTGATCAGATTGTGCTTAGGTCCTGTAAGGCTGATGTCGAACATAAGGAGTGCACTGAGGATGAACTTCCAGCGAATCTTGCTGTCACCACGAACTTGGACGAACGCCATGTTGACAAGCGACTCGGTCATAAGCTCATAGTCTACACCACTCCTTCGAAACGCACATACGGTCAGATTATTGTCAGCCATGCGCTGGTAGATGCATCGTCCCTTATGCTTGTTCAAAAAGAACTTGCTGAAGCATATGATGGAAAGCTCGTTTCTGATACATGTGGCCCGTCATACAGCGGGTATATCTCCTATCTACAACAAACTCCGGCCGATCAGGCTTTGGAATTCTGGACTAAACGACTTGCTCAGGCTGAGCCCTGCCACCTATCCGCGCTTACAGCGGATGGAACTCTGCAAGCAGTTGGGGGAGATGCTGGCAAGCGTCAGCCGCTGGAAACTGTGTCTGTCGATATTGATTGCGTTGACCGTCTTCATAAGTTCACTGAGGCGAACGGTGTCACCACCGCCAATATCTTCCAGCTCGCATGGGCTTTGGTTCTCTCCCAGTATACCGGATCTACGAATGTGTCGTTCGGATACTTGTCCAGCGGCCGGGATGTGCCAGTTAAGGATGTTCATCAGATGATCGGCCCGCTAATCAACATGATGGTGACCCACATTAACCTCGATCCTGGCATGAGTGTGGAAAGAGCGCTTCGAGAAATTCAGGACAACTTCTTCGACAGCTTCAACTACCAACGGGCGCCATTAATCGAGCTTTGGCACGCGCTTCAGCTCCAAGGCCAAAGCCTGTTTAACACTGCCCTTTCCTACCGACACGTTGTGTCTGCTGAAAGAGACCAGCTTAGCCTCTCCCTGGAACAGATTGTTGGCGAGGACCCCACCGAGTACGATGTTACTGTTAGTGTTTTCGCTGCGACAGATTTGATTTCCGCTTCCCTACAGTACTCGCCTGGCTTCCTTGCTCCTGAGAGCGCTAAGGGTCTACTATCCTGTCTCCAGGAAGCCATCCGCTCTCTTGTCAGCGCACCAGATTCGCCGACCGGTAAAGTCAACATCCTGCCGTCAGACGACATCAAGCGAGTCTGCAAATGGAACGATGAAATTCCCTCGGTGGATGGGCATCGTCTCATCCATGATTTGTTCTACGAGCAGCTACAGCTTCGGCCAACTGAGACCGCGGTTTGCGCCTGGGACGGTGACCTCACATACCAAGAGCTGGACGACATGACGAACAAGTTAGCTCACCATCTATCAAGTAACCTTGAAGTAGGCCCAGAAGTGATGGTCGCGCTTTGCCTGGATAAGTCCCGGTGGGCTATCCTTGCTCAGCTCAGTGTTCTCAAGGCCGGAGGAGTGGTGGTCTCGGTGAATCCTAAGCACCCGACACAACGTCTAGAGCTTATCCTCAAGGATATCGACGCGCCGGTCATATTGACCAGCGAGCAATACTCTTCTCGATTCACACATCTCGTTTCAAATGTGCTTCACGTGAATGAAGAGTTGTTTGCGGGCCTGCCTGCCCAATCCGAACCGCCTAGGCCCAAAGTTACCCCTGATAATGCTGCCTTTGTTATTTACACATCAGGCAGTACTGGTATGCCGAAGGGAGTGATTCTAACCCACCTATCCCTGTGCTCTAGCTTCCGAGCTCATGGCAAGATTTATGGAATGACGCCGAGTACGCGGTCGCTTCAATTCGCGGCTTACACGTTCGACGCCAGCATTAGCGATATCTGGGGCACTATCTCCCACGGAGGATGCGTCTGCGTTATTTCAGAGGAAGAGCGGATGAATAACCTCCAAGCAGTTATTGAGAAGTACGAAGCCACTCATGCTCAGGTTACTCCAACGGTGGCTGGCTTGCTGGACATTCCGAACATCAAGTCGCTCACAACACTCATTCTGGGAGGTGAGGCTGTCAGAGAAGCCATGATCGAGGAGTACGCGAAGGCTGCTGGTCGAGTCAGGGTTCTCAACGGCTACGGTCCCTCAGAATGCTCGATCTACACTACCTGCAGTGCACCCCTCGTTGACAAGAAACAAGCGCTGAACATCGGACGACCCCTGGTCGGAAGCGCATGGGTTGTTGCGAACGGCGAGAGTGTGTGTCCTGTCGGCGCCGTTGGAGAACTCTGGGTTGAGGGTCCGCTGCTCGCCCGTGGTTACCACAACGACCAGAAAAAGACGGACGCGTCTTTCGTCACGAACCCCAAGTGGGCCAAGACTGTTGGACTGGAAGGTCACCGGTTCTATAACACGGGAGATCTTGTGCGTCAGGCTCCTAATGGTGATCTCATCTACCAGGCTCGAAAGGATTCACAAGTCAAGATCCGTGGCCAGCGTGTGGAGGTAGGCGAAATTGAATACCGCGTTAAGAAATTACTCCCTGCCGTCAAGAGTCTTGTTGCAAGCCTCATTAGCCCCGGTGGCAAGTCCTCGAGTTTGGTGGTATCCGTTGCAATGGAGTTGGATGAGCAATTCCTTCAGCGTCACCTCTTAGCTGGTGACCTGGTACAAGAAACTTTCCTACCGAGCGGGCCACATTTGAAGGAACAATTTGAGAAGCTCCATACTTCGCTCTCCGAGGTGTTGCCGTCGTACATGGTACCGACATTGTTCGTTCCCGTCGACCACCTTCCTCATACTGCATCCAGCAAGCTGGACCGTCGAACCCTAAAGCAGATGCTGGAGAGTTTACCTGAGGAGGCCCTCTTCCAGTACTCGTTATCGACAAGCACAAATGTAGCACCCACCACTGATACGGAAAGGAAACTGCAGTCTCTGTGGGCTACTATTCTGGGTGTTGAGCTCGACCGTGTCAGCATCCACGATCACTTCCTCCACCTCGGAGGAGACTCTTTCACAGCGATGCGACTCGTGTCAGCAGCAAACGCTAAGAAGGTTCCCCTAACAGTAGCCGATATATTCCGCTTCCCCAAGCTGCAGGATATGGCTGCTCATCTTGACGAGCAAGTCGCACGCCCCCAGGGTACCGAGGACATTGCCCCCTTTGCTCTGTGGAAAGATGTCGATGACACAGGAAGCGTTGAGAGCCAGAAAGAACTTCAACGTATCACGGGCTCCTGCAAGGTTACCGTAGACGATATCGAGGATGTGTATCCTTGCACGCCGCTGCAAGAGGGTCTCATGGCAATTACTACCCAGCAGCCAGGATCCTATATTGGCCGTTGGGTGTTCCGCATCCGAGATACCACTGACGGAAAAGCGTTCAAACAGGCCTGGACGGAGCTGACCCAGAGGGTGCCGATTCTGCGCACACGAATTGTGCTGGGAAAGCAGTCCGGCGCTCTCCAGGTTGTTGTTCGTTCGTCCGCCGCTTGGGGTGGTGGCAACAACCTGAAGCGATACTTGGATAAGGATTTGCAGGAGTCCTTCGTTTATGGCCAGCCTTTGGTCCGACAGGCACTCATAGAAGCCGACAATGGAAAGCGCTATTTTGTCCTTACTGCACATCACAGCGCTTACGATGGATACAGCTTAGGAAAGCTCTTCGATGCAGTGTCTGCCCTATATGCCGGGCAGAAACTTCCACCCACACCATCAATTTCCCGACTCATTTCCTACCTAAGCCAGCAGGATAAAGACGCAGCTAAATCCTTTTGGCAGGCCCAACTGGAAGGCGAACTGGGCGCTCCCTTCCCCTCGCTTCCACGCCCGTCCTACAGGCCCCGACCAACACAGAAGCTCAGTTCAGCTACAGACATCGGCTCATTTGGCGGAACGAATACCCTAGCCTCCACTCTTAGAGCTGCTTGGGCGCTCGCCGTTTCTGCCTATGGTGGAAATGATGTGCTTTTTGGTGTCGCGCTTTCCGGACGAGCTGCCCCAGTGCCAGGAATTCTGGATATGCCTGCACCAACTATTACCACCGTCCCAGTACGGCTGCATATCGACCCTAAACAGCCGATTCAAGAATATCTCGCGGCCGTCCACCAACAAAGTGTTGACATGATTCCGTTCGAGCACACGGGACTGCAAAACATCCGTCGATTTGTCGGCCACGAGATTGATCTTCCACACCTTTTCGCGGTGCAGCCGGCGCAAGAACATGAGAATACGACACAGGCCAAGCTCCTGGATTACGAGCACGGTCATGTTCCTGAGTTGAACCTCGATGGCTATGCGCTCACTGTTGAGTGTATCACAAGTGAGGCAAATGATGGCCATGTGAAGATCGAGGCGCATTTCGATGAGCAAATGATCTCGACAAGGCAGACGCAAAATCTACTCAGCCGGTTCATCCATCTGTTGAGCCAGCTTGTCAAGATTGACCAAGACCAGAACCAGAAACAACTCATGGATCTAGAGATGCTAAGCACAGAGGAGGCTACCCAGCTCGCTCAATTCAACAAGGATATCCCCGCAGTCAATCAAGCTCTCGTTCACGAACTTGTCTCCCGACATGTCGCCGCAGATGAGGCGGCCCCCGCAGTTTGTTCGTGGGATGGCAATTTGTCCCGTGGGGAGTTGGACCGACTAGCAAACAAACTGGCCCACCATCTTACGATATTGGGCGTGAAACCAGAAACGATGGTTGCTCTCTGCATGGACAAGTCCAAATGGGCGCTGGTCGCCAACCTGGCGGTCCTCAAGGCGGGTGGTGCAGTTGTTCCCATCCGGGCTGACCCAATTCAGCGTGTTCATGCTATCCTGCAACAAACAGGCATTACAACAATACTAGCATCCGAGAGCCAAGTCCAAGCGCTGAAAGGCGTAGCACCCAACATTCTTCCCATGGGAGATGATCTGCTCAATTCGCTCTCCACACCAACAGAATCCGTGAAATCAGATGTTTCCCCCTCGAATGCTGCATTTGTCATCTTTACCTCTGGGTCTACTGGTACGCCCAAAGGGGTCGTGCTTGAGCATGGCGCTATGGCCACTAGCATGCAAGCGCACGGCGCCAAATTTGGGATGAATGCGGCAACTCGTGCCTTCAATTTTGCCCACTTCACCTTTGACATTTCTCTCCACGATATCATCACGACCCTCCAATTCGGTGGTTGCGTCTGCCTGCCTTCGGAGCAGGAGCGAGTTAATGACATGGCTGGCGTTATGCGACAGATGGGAGTGAATTATTCATTCCTACCGCCCCGTGTCATCCACACGATCAAACCTTCTGATGTTCCCAATCTGAAGACTTTGGTTGTTGGTGGTGAGGCTGTGCAAGCGGAACACCTCGAGCCGTGGCTTCAGGATGACATTCGAGTCTTCAACGCCTACGGGCCAGCGGAATGCTGCATCGCCTCAACTTGCAACGAGGTTGCTGACCGGACTCAAGTGCCCAACATCGGTCGCGCTATTGCTGGCGGCCTCTGGGTTGTTGATGAGAATGATTACAATCGGTTGCTTCCTCCCGGAGCCGTTGGTGAGCTTCTTATTGAGGGCCCACTCCTTGCCAGGGGCTACCTCAATGACCCTGTCAAAACCTCGGCGGCGTTTGTTGTGAATCCTTCTTGGATTTCTCAGCTTCCCGCAGCCGGCTCCCTGGACCACCCAAGTCAGACAAAGGAACGCCGCATGTACCGAACTGGTGACCTGGTCCGCCAGAATGAAGACGGATCGCTGGTATATGTTGGCCGAAGCGACGGGCAAGTCAAGATTCGCGGCCAGCGTGTCGAAATTGGGGAGATCGAGCACCATGTTACGGAACACCCTGCTGTCGTTGAGGGTGTGATCGTATACCCCCGTCGTGGTCCGTCCCAGTCTCAGCTCGTCGGAGTCTTGACCCTGCATGGCTTCATCTCAGCCGCGCCAAACCAGGATATGCAGCCTACTACCGCCGACCTACTACCAAACGCGTTGAAGCAAGCTTCATCGGTCCGCGACTATCTGCATACACGGGTACCAGAATATATGATCCCCCATGTATGGGTTTCGCTTACCTCCATGCCGCACAATACTTCTGATAAAATTGACCGACGGAGACTCACCCAGTGGTTGGAGACAATGGACAATGAGTACTTTGAAGCTGTCACTCAAAGTAGAGCCGAAGAAACCACAACTCCGTCGACTCCCGAGGAGCAAAACATCCAAGCAGTCTGGGCAGAGGTGCTTCATGTACCCATTGAGAAGGTCTCCCTTACTCGTCCTTTCCTCAGCGTTGGCGGTGATTCTGTCACGGCTATGCAAGTAGTAGCTCGATGCCGCTCGCAATACAGGATATACGTCACCGTTCGAGACGTTGTCCAGTGCGATTCCATCACTCAACTGGCGAAGAAAGCTGTGGTGAAACCCGTTACTGCTGAGACGGACAGCCACCCGTCAACAACCGCGTCTGCTCAAGTGTCAACCACAAGCAAGCCGCCTGCATTCGACATCAGCGCTGATGATCTAGCTCAGCTCGAGTCAGATGTCCTTCCTCGTGTTGGTGTTGAGAGTCTGTCCAGAGTGGAGAGCATATATCATTGCTCCCCAATCCAGCAGGGTATCTTGATGAGCCAAATCAAGGACAGCTCGACGTACCAAGTGCGGCAGGCTGGAGAGATCCGATCTGTTGACTCTTCAAGCATTGACATCAACAGGGTTCTCAAAGCCTGGGAAGCTGTTGTTCGGCGCCATTCAATCTTACGAACATTTTTTGTGCCTAGTCCATCGGGACAGGAGTTGTTCTATCAGGTCGTGCTTAAGAACTACGTGCCTGAAACGCCGGTTCGGTCATCGCGCGATGTCGACGACTTCCTCGCGTATTTCGCTGAGGCTGAGCGTCCACAGTATGGGCCTTCGCAGCCGCCATTCCAGCTTACTCTGTCACAAACGCCCACCGGACAAGTGTTCGCTCAAGTCGACGTCAATCACGTCCTCATGGATGCCTCTTCTATGGACTTGATTTTGAACGATCTCTTCCTCGCTTACGACAACAATCTCTCTACCTCTCCTGCGCCATCATACAGCACCTACGTCTCATTCATTCAACAGACATCGGCGGATGAGTCCTTAGGTTATTGGACAAAGCGTCTTGCGAACGCCGAGCCAACATATCTGCCTTCCTCCACTGGTTCGAAGTCGGTAAAACCAACCCTCAGCAGTGTTTCAAGCGAGATCGGAAACATACAACCGCTCCAGGACTTTAGGGATACCCAAGGTGTCACCCTTGCCAACATCGCGCAATTAGCGTGGGCTGTCGTGCTATCCAGATACGTTGGGTCTCAAGACGTCACGTTTGGATACCTGTCAAATGGAAGGGATGCACCAATTGCCGGAATCCACGAGATGGTCGGACCCATGATCAATATGATGGTGACCCGCGTCCAGCTAGCGGAATTGAAAACCACTGTCGCCGAAGCCGCGAAACAGGTTCAGAACGACTTCCTCGATTCATTCGCCCACCAGAGGGCCTCGCTTGGCGATATCCAGCACGCACTCCGTGTTCCCGACCGTGGTCTGTTTAATACGACTATGATCTACAAGCCCAAGGCGCCGATGGGAGAACAGCATAAGAGAAGCCTGACAATTCACAGTCTTGCCGGAGAGGATCCCACGGAGTACGACGTGCAAGTCAAAATTGTTACCGACGGCAAGAGCATATCGCTCGATCTTGAATACGCCACAACCTTCATGGACAGAAACTCTGCCCGTGGTCTTCTTGAGAGCCTGAAATGCGCACTAGCTTCTATTGCCGCCAATCCCCACGCAAGCATTGGCGATATCGATGTAATTTCAGCGGCCGATGTTCAGTCTCTACATAGGTGGAATTCTGCGGTTGATGCCACTGTTCCGGGAACTGTCCATGATAAGATCCACACACAGGCTCTTTCTCGGCCTGACGCCGAGGCGGTATGCGGCTGGGATGGAGAACTGACCTACTCCCAGCTGACCAATCTGTCCAACCGGCTCGCAAATCACTTGAGCACTCTTGGAGTGTGCCAAGAGGTCATGGTTGGCTTGTGCTTCGACAAGTCGATCTGGACTGTCGTGTGTATGCTGGCTGTTCTCGAATGCGGAGGCGTGGTGGTACCTCTGGGTTCCCAACTCCCTGTCCAGCGTCTACAACATATCCTTGAAGACACCGCGGCTCCGGTGGTACTCACCACAGCTAAGCATGTCTCCAAGTTCTCCGACATAACCGCAGCTGCCGTCCTCCAGATCGACGGCGACTTTTTGACGTCATTTCCGGAAACCACGATTGACCGAACAGAAGCAGAATTAACATCGGACAGTGCGGCTGTTGTTATCTATACTTCTGGCTCCACCGGGCTGCCGAAGGGTGTTGTCCTCACACACAGATCGATCTGCACGAGCATAGAAAGCCATGGGGCTAAGCTGAACATGGGCGCCCATACAAGAGCACTGCAGTATTCCGCCTACGTGTTCGACCTCAGTCTGCTCGATACCTTCTCAACCCTTTGCTTCGGAGGCTGCGTCTGTGTTGTCTCGGAAGAGGATCGCGTGGACATAAACAGTCTCACCCAGAGGATGGAGGCAATGAGCGTGAACCTTGCCGTGCTGACTCCGACTGTGGCAGGCCTTATGGACCCCAAGGCCGTGCCAACTCTCTCTACCCTTGTCCTGGCAGGAGAAGCTGTCCCGACAAGCGCGGCCGAAACCTGGTCCAAGCATGTTACCTTGTTCAACGGATACGGGCCTGCTGAATGTACGATTCTCGCTACCGCCAATGGCCCAATTGTCGAGAAAGAGCGCGCGCCTAGTGTGGGAACTGCCCTTGCGGGTGCAATATGGGTAGTCGACACGGAAGACCATAACCGTCTCGCGCCCATTGGAGTTATAGGGGAACTTCTCATCTCCGGTCCACTTGTGGCTCGTGGGTATCTTAATGACCGAGCACGGACCGCACAATCATTTATCACTGACCCTGCATTCATTGTCAAACACGGATTCCACTCTTGGGCTGGGCAGCGAATGTACAAGACTGGCGATTTGGTTCGCCAAGATCCTGCCGATGGCTCCATCACATACGTCGGCAGAGCTGATGGGCAGGTCAAGGTCCGAGGTCAACGTGTTGAGGTTGGAGAGATTGAGTACTGGGTGAAGCGACACTTCTCCGAGGCTCAGACAGTCGCTGCTGGGCTTATTAAAGCCCAATCCGGCCATGCAATCATAATAGCGGCTATCGAGGTTCAGAAGGATAACTCGGAAACTGCGACTACTCTGCTTGATGTGTCGGACTCTCTGAGGAAGAGGTTCCTCCAGCTCCAGACCACGCTTTCGCAGATACTACCATCCTTCATGGTCCCGTCGAAATACATTCCTATTCAGAATATTCCCCTTACGGCTTCCGGAAAGATCGACCGGCGAGCTCTTCGATCCTTGCTAGAGAGCCTTACAGAGGATCAGCTTACACAGTATGGCCTATCTGACTCTGACGACACTGAGCCATCAACAGAGACGGAACGCCGCCTCGCGGACCTCTGGGCAGCTGCTCTTAATACCTCCCGTCATATTGGCGCGAATGCTCATTTCTTCCGCCTTGGAGGTGATTCCGTCAGCGCTATGCGCTTAGTCGCTCTTGCCCGCAGCGCTGATCCTCCAATAATGCTCACTGTGGGAGACATTTTCAAGCACCAGGTTCTGTCTGACATGGCGAAGCTTGTCAATGCCAGTGAGGGTACTATCGATCCTGGTGTGGCGGAGGTAGCTCTCGCCCCGTTTTCACTGTGGACTGGATCTGAAACTGTTGATCAAAGCCAACTTGAGCATGTGGCATCACAGTGCAACGTGGAAGTGACTGATGTTGAGGACATATACCCATGCACTCCACTGCAAGAAGGTCTCATGGCCATCACAGCGCAACACGCTCAAGCATACATCAGCCACTGGGTCTTCCGTCTGGACAATAGCATCGACGTCACCCGTTTCACCAGTGCTTGGAACCAGCTAAACGAAATAACGCCGATTCTGCGCACTCGCATCATTCAAGATTCAGAAGGCGGCACGCTGCAAGTCATTGTACGGGACCGTTTGACATGGACCAAAGTTCAATCAGAGGTTCAATCTTACATTGCTCAAGACTCGACCCTATCCATGTCCTTTGGAGACCCACTGATGAGGTTCGCCATTGTGACCAGCGGAGAAGCGCAGTTCTTCGTCTGGACAGCGCACCACAGCACCTACGATGGATGGACCGCAAGAAAGCTGATGGAGGCGGCCTGGGCACTTTATTCCAGCCAGACTGCTCCCGCATTCCAACCATTCCATCGCTTCATTCAGTATCTGCAGACGAGCTCGCCTGATGATGCTCGCGAATACTGGCAATCTCAACTCGCCGGTGGGATGGGTCCCAGCTTTCCCGAGACTCCTAATAATTACTCTCCCGGCCATGTTGAAAGCATCACTCGTCGGATATCGGCCAGCAGCACCAACGAGTTTACCACCTCCACTCTCCTAAGAGCGACTTGGGCCTTGATTTTGTCACAAGAAACTGGCAGCCAGAATATTGGTTTTGCAACCGCCCTGTCCGGTCGCACGGCTCCTGTTACGGGCATCCTGGATGTTATGGGTCCTACAATCACCACTGTTCCTGTTCGCGTGGCTCTCAATTCCGCACAGAGTGTTTCTGCCTACCTCGATGCGATCCAACAGCAAGCAACAGACATGCTGCCGTTCGAGCACACTGGTCTTCACAACATCAGCAAGATGGCGTCTGTGCCTTTCAACTTCCACCATCTCTTCGTCGTTCAACCCGCAGTCGACCGCCTCGATCAGGTCGAGTCTACGTTCAAGGGTATTACACCAGTACCACTCAAAACATCCGGATTCCATAGCTACCCTCTCGTGGTTGAGTGTAGCACTACCACAGCCCAGACCGAGAACATCGTCGACTTGCAACTTCAGTTCGACCCAGCCGTTCTCTCTCCTGAGAGAGCGAACGCATTGTCGGAGCGCTTCCACCACGTTTTTACGCAGCTACAAAATGTCGCCGGCGGCAAAGAAAACAAGGCACTTGCCGACGTCAGCTTCAATACCCCAGAAGATCTAGGGCGAATTCAGGCATGGAATCAGTTCGACGACCGCATGGCTGGAGCAGATACTTGCATTCACGAGTTGGTCTATCAGCAACAGCTGTCACGCCCTGATGCGCAGGCCGTTTGTGCATTTGACGGGAACCTGACGTACCGCGAGCTCGACCAACTAGCCTCTCGACTTGCATATCACCTCAACGATCTCGGCGTTGGCCCAGAGGTCAATGTCGCTACCATATTCGAAAAGACTCAATGGGCGGTTGTCACATATCTCGCTGTTCTGAAGGCTGGAGGTACTATCGTGCCTATCAACCATCAGCATCCTAGACAACGCGTTGAGGGTCTGATCTTGAACACTAAGACCAAGGTTATCCTGACTTCCCAAGATACAGCGCGCCTTCGAGATCTCGTTCCTCATATTCTAAGCGTGAATCAAGAACTCCTAGATCAGCTCCCACCTCCCAGAAGCACGCCTTTGCCTATCGTGAAACCAACAGATCCGGCCTTTATTATATTCACCTCTGGAAGTACCGGCGTGCCAAAGGGCGTCGTGCTCCAACATACCGCTATTGTCTCAAGTATGACCAAGGGCCATGGATCGTTCTACGCTAGCCCCGGCACTCGAGCCCTACAGTTCTCTGCTTTCAACTTTGATATCAGTATCGCAGAAATATTTACAACCCTGTCCTTTGGCGGCTCCGTGTGTGTTATTTCTGAAGACGACCGTGTCAGCCGCCTGCCAGAGGCCATGGAGGAGGCTGGCGTCAACTTTGCTATCCTTACTCCGACCATTGCCAATCTTTTCAAGCCTGAGCAAGTTCCTAGTCTCAATAAGATGCTCTTGGTTGGTGAGGCCCTTCGACCCGAGGTGGCGGTACCATGGATCTCGAGCCACGTCGAACTGTACAACGCCTACGGCCCGGCTGAAGCCTCGATTTTGACGACCTATAGCAGCCGCATCACTGATCCTAGTCAAGCCCCGAATATTGGCTTTCCTTTGGCGCATAGTAACCTCTTCGTTGTTGACCCCTTTGATTATCATAAACTACTCCCGGTCGGCATGGTCGGTGAGCTTCTCATTGAAGGGCCGCTTCTCGCTCGCGGCTACCTCGGTGATGATCAGAAGACTGCTGAGGCATTCGTGACCGATCCCACTTGGCTACACCAGTTCGATCTCGGCCCGGTCACGGGAAGGAGGTTTTACAGAACTGGAGACTTGGTGGAACAAAAATTCGACGGTTCCTTCGTATACATGGGCCGACGAGACACGCAAGTCAAGATTCACGGGCAGCGGGTTGAGATAGGTGAGATCGAATACTGGGTCAAGACCAAATTCTCGGGTGTCCGTGAGGTGGCAGCAGGTCTTTTCAAGCCATCACAGGCGGATGATGCCCTGCTGGCTGTTGCGATGGAGGTGCCAAGTTCAACAGAGACGACAGGCTTACTCCCCATTTCCGACTCTCTACAAGATGCATTCAGGGATCTTCGCCGAGAACTTCTTGAAGTCTTACCATTCCACATGGTTCCCCAGCTCTACCTTCCGTTCGGTAAGCTGCCACTCACGGACTCCGGCAAGCTTAACCGAAGGGCTACGTGGGAGATTGTCCAGGAACGCACCTCGTGGTCGCAGTATTTCCCCAAGGACGACATCAAGGTCGAACCGTCCACAGAGACTGAACGCCTGCTACAAGGTTTGTGGTCGATCGCATTGAAAATCCCCGCTTCTTCCATCGGCCTCACAGACGACTTTTTCCGGTCAGGGGGTGATTCCATCTCGGCTATGCGACTGGTAGCCGCTGTTCGCGAGCACGCCCGGCTTTCATTGACGGTGGCTGACGTATTCAAATATCCTGTTCTGTCTGACATGGCTGCTGCGGTTATTCAGATCGAAGAAGCAACTCAGGTGGTTACAGACTACGAACCGTTCTCAACAGTATCAGTTAACGCAAAAGAATCTCTCGAAAGCCTTCTTTCAATTCCAGGTGAAATCGTCGACGCAGCACCTGTTACAGATCTTCAATCTCTCGCAATCACCACCTCTCTCCGCAAGTCGCGCGACCTCATGGCGTACGTTAGCATTGATGGAAAGGGTGCCCCAGATATCGCTCGCTGGGAGGTCAGCTGCACGGAGCTAGTCAAGCAGCACGATGCTCTCCGAACAGCATATGTCTGCCATGAGGGCCAGCTGTTGCAGGTGGTCCTCAAGGACTATACCCCGGGAATCACCCGATATGAGACGGATGGACCTATCGAGCAATTCTCCAAACAGCTGATTGCGCAAGACATGAACCGACCACCAAAGCTCGGACAGCCATTCCTTGAATTTGCTATCATCACCTCTCCCTCGGAACACCGCATCCTTTTCCGCCTCAGCCACGCCGAGTATGACGCCATCTCCCTGTCCTACTTTGTCAACACCCTCCAGGAAATCTATAGAAGGTTACCTCTAACAAACTACGTGAACTTCCCGCGCTACGTCTCGAACCTTGCCAGCCAGGACCTCGAGGCTAGCCGCGAATACTGGCGAACGCTACTCAAGGGGACTTCCATGCCTGCTATTTCCGCCAAGTCCGCCTCTCGCCGCCTGCCAGCTAGACAAATCTACCATGCCGCCCGAAGGGTGCCCACAACGAAACCACTCCCAGCAGGCATCACCATGTCCACTGTCATGCGAGCTGCATGGGCCCACACACTCGCCAACCACGTTGGCAACCCTGACGTCATCTTCGGAGAGGTCGTCTCAGGCCGCAGCAACGGCGACCCAATCACCGAGAAGACAGCCGGCTGCTGCGCAAACATGGTCCCAGTGCGCGCGTCAGTCGAAGGAAAGACTACCCGAGACCTCCTCCACTCGCTCCAAAAGCAACTCGTTGACCGATTACCACACGAGTCTCTCGGCTTCCGCGACATGATCCGTTCCTGCACCGATCTACCACAGGGAACACTGTTCTCTTCTCTCTTGAACCACCTCGACCAGGCCTCCGAATGGACACTTGACCTCGACAGCGGAAAGTACAATGTCTCCGTTGCGAAGACTGATGGCGCGGGCGACGTCTCAGATGTGTCTGTTACCTCCACTGCGGGGGCGGGCTATATTGAGATTGCAATGGCGTATCTCGAGGACGGGATTAGCGCCGAGGTTGTTGATAGAATCTTCAACCGGCTATGCGAGACGGTGGATACCTTTGTGAATGGGGATGTTGATTCTACGCTTGAGAGGATCGTTCCGGTGCCAGGCGTACAGCCCGGAGATGAAGTGGAGTCTAAGTTCAAGGGAGATCTTGTTGATGCTAGCATCGTTGCGTTTGAACTGCAGAAAATGGGAGTGGATGTTACTGTTGATGATGTTATCGACCAAGGTTTGACCTTGCCTTGATGTTGTATTTTTCTTTTTTACCTTGTTATGTTGCTATGATTTCCTGTTGTTAAAATTAGATGTTCCGTCTCAAATAGATCTATTCTTGATTACAACCCGCTCTACGTACAGTTCTTAGACAAAAGTCTCCGTGCAGTCATTTTGCCAACCTACCAATTACAACATGATATTATTATACCCTTAGTTTGTTCAGGAATGCACCTCGTGATCGCAGTACAAGGATAGGCAGCATACGCGAAGTACTGCTCCTCGAAGCAGAAACGCATGCGATATAGCGCCCATGTATATGATATATATGCGAGTATTCACTATAATGGGGTGAAGCATTGCTTCTAGCTTAGTGTCCTCCTGTAAAACCAGCCATGCAACACAAATTGATCGTAAAAGCAGAGTTCGAACCTTAATTAGTGACAATAATGTACATCAGATGTTCGGAGGCTCGTCAAAGGAGCATCTGCCACAGCGGTCCCATACCAAGGTAACCCGCCGGGGGCTCGGGTTGATATCGTCCATTACATCGCCTCCCTGGCTTCCATCTCATCGAGTTGGGCTCTCAAAACCCCTATATCGTCTATGAGCTCCTGAATCCAACTGTAGGCTTCGTTGAGGATCTGGCTCTGGGTGGGTGCCTGTTGCCTCAGCCCTGGCACAAGATCCTGCAGCTCCTCATATGCTTTGCCCCTGAGATTCCTCCTCAGTTTCTCCCTGAGCTTACGAGAATGCCTGGGCTGGCCCGCCAGACCCGTCTTGCGGTTCAGACACCCAGTACTGCCTGCAAATTGGGCATTATTATCATCGTTTGGCCGTGCGCGGCCAATGCTGACCATCCCTGGCGGCTGCGCGATCTCCATACCGATGCCGGCCAGCACTTTTCCGGCCTGTCTCGAGACGGAGGCGCGTGAGTGGGAAATCAGGAACCGGCTATTCTTCAGTAGTCGGTTGGTGACATCTTCCTCGCTGACTTGATTGGGGGTGGGCGCATAGCCAACTTGAGTGAAACGCTGATCGGAGCCCCAGTGAAGATGTTGTAGTTTGACTTCCGCCCCTTGCGTCGGACGATCCGGGCCACGAGCGTCGAAGATGGCGACTCGACTTTGGAAGTCGCCGGCTGTTGGGGTTACATCGCTGCCAGTGGCCGTAATAGGTGTCGAGCCGCCAACGGGGTTGGTTTCCTCCCAGTATGAAAAACTATCAAAGGTCCTGTCGGTCAGAGGTGGCCGCGAGACCGTGTGTGCCTCGCTGTATTGTTGATAGCCAGAGTCACTATTGAACGAGAAGCCATCTAATTCCGGTGTGCAATCGCAATTGATCTTTCGAACGGCTGCTTCATGCGGCGCATTGCCCGGCCATAGTTGCGGTGGATAATGGCCAAGGTGATTATTCAGAATGATATCTGTAACTAGGTTAGCATACTTCTACTTTATCAAAGGGTCACTAACACCCAAAGGCACCCACATCACCTGCAGGGCTTTCCAAGGGATTCATTTCAAGTAGAGACACTGTCCTTGCAATTCGCGGGCCGATTAAAACATTAGATTCGCAGCGTTGCGGGTGACACGGCGTCCCCAAAATGTCCCCAGACGTTTGTAGGGGCAGGTAAAATTTGGTCTCCCTTATCTTCCCTCGGGCAAGGATCCAAGTCAGCTTGCTTGCGTGGGATGGGAGCTCATGAGCCCGACGCCAAAAGCAATTATCTAATTGGTCAGATTACCCAACTTCGCGTACTGCAACGTCCAGCATTGCTGGCCCTCATTCTTCCGGATTTCGCGCAGTCTACCTGCCACTATCGTCGCCAATTCTGCTGCATGATTCGGTGGCTAGACTCGTGTCTTGTGTTCTGAGTGGGCCAGCATGGCAGGGCTCCTTCTGTTCTCGGCCTGCCACGGGGGACACCGTTTCTCTGCTCCAATCGCGGTCTGGCCCAATCCAGAATCTCAACGTCCGGATACATTCCGGGGTACCCGTCGGGAAGCTTCAACGATTGCGACCAGTGTGGAGCTGAAAGCTTGGCATCAGGTTAAGGGGCGACCACTCGGAGTAAAGTAGGGTCGGTCCCCTGCAGACTCCTGAGGTCAATTCCGGGATTCCGAGCCACGGCGGAACCATCCCGAACCCCAGAAGCGGACTTAGTACGGACGCCCCCCTGCGCACGAACGCGGGTCCGATATTCCACAGTCGTTACATATCTCAGAAATATACAAGAGCATGAGACGGTTGACAACGCGTACCCTGCGCACGCGATACGCATGCTTGCCTTTATGAATACGCTTCAGATTCTGGGATGGGAATCGAGCCCGGTGCTTGCTAGCCAGATCTACGCCGCCCAGTTGTTCGGCGGCACAGGTGCCTCGTGCCACCTTTAAAGCTCACCTGCCCAGCCTGGTGTTCTGCTAAGACCCTATGCGCGCTAGAGTTTGGTTCGTGCTGCCTTTGTTGCTGCGCTTATGTGCCTGACCCGATGTGTATCTGAAAATCGCACAGGGCTCGGGCAACGCACAATTGGATTGAGAGGCAGATGCAGAATGATAATGGGAGGATTAGACTTGAGCAGGTTCTGGCTGGTGGCATCCACGGTGCGTCTGGGAAGTGGCAGCTGGACTGGGCAGCAGCGTCCCAACACGATAAAACTATTTTTGGATGAGTCCTCGTGCAGAGCCCCCATATCTTGCGCATGATCGAGCCGGATGGAAGACGCCAACTGGTTCTTGATGTACAGACGCAGGTTGACCGAGCTAATCTTGTGCCCTTCCACAATGAATCGGTTCTCTCAGATCAGGCGATTGCAGAGAACAAGAAGGCTTTAATGCATGGCTATGTCCGAAACCCTAAGCGGGTTGGCTGGTCTGCTAAGTAGACGAGCAACGCAGAACTGCACGATTCCTCCTTGCGGGAAAGTCCCTTTTACTTTGATACATTGACATGGAAATGGATAGCTTTGGAGACTGGAGGCGACCAATTGGGGCATGGTTGTGACTTGCAAGGCTGTGATTTCAAAGGGAGCAGCCACTGAGCTTGACCGTGTTTTCTACAATCGCGAATGACTGACCGGGTTGCCAGCTTGTTAATACAATTCTCTCACAACTCGATAATCCTAGCACTGAGTATGTTTGTGCAACAAATCGCCTTAGCTGCTGCGGAGTGGTCGTGCGGTCTACTGTACATATATACCGCCAATATCACTAGCATAAAAGTTCCATGAATATTAGTGTGAAAAGATGGGCGGATCTTGTAAAATGGATATTACCTTAGGTCGTACATGCCGTCAGCGAAGCTTCTAGCGCACCGGTTGAGGGCTTATCACAAGGGAAGTACGAAAGCCATGTGAGTGTTAGTAGGACAGAGGTAAATCGATTATTCTCCTTTCCAGCATTTTGGGGGCTAGCTTACAATGACACTCCGTCTTCTGGCCGTTCTTCCCAGGCGCGCGTGGGCTGAAATCATGGCATTTCAGTAGCAGTTTGAGAAAGCTGGCCCGGTTCTGCGTTGACGTTATCAACCTTTTCAGCACAAGTAAAGAACGCAGCACCTAGGTCTGGGAATAATCAACGCCTCGCAAGAATCGACGGTTCAGGAAACTCTTTGTATCGTATGACATTCATCTCTTGCACGGCCCTCGGAAGAAACGTCGGTGAGCAAGGATCCAGAGTGTCCGGAACCAACCCGAGAAGCCCCCGCGGGATCGTGCTACACCCCGGCTGGACCCAAGGCCGCGTGGTTGCTCCGGGGCTGGTGTGTCGAGCCGATGTCCATCCTAGCCAGGACTGAGACTGGGGTTCTGCCCGTGTTTGATTGGACGAAGTCTGATTCTTTTTACTGGCGTCTTTTCCCCATGGACCTAGCTTGGATAAATTGATTGCGCGTATGGCCAATCCATTTCCGTGGTGTCCATCGCGGAGGCAACTGTCCAGGAATTCTGGTCAGCTATTCAGATTACAACATATACAGAGGGGTCCTCCACCATCGCACCTCTGCGATTCAACATTTCGTTGAGTCGAACGATGAATGACGATTCCCCGCACACTACCTTTCTCCCCCCAGTCACGTCAATGCCGGACGCAGTCCTGAAGCCACATCAGTGGGAGGTCATGCGGGCTTTGGCCGAGATTGCGATCCCAAGCATTCCCGCCAGCGCAGATGCTGTAGCTAGTGTTTGTCGATTGCCAGCAGTGTCTCAGGACGACAATGCTCGGTTAGGACACTATGATTCCGAGGCCCCAACGCCGGCGCCGGCGAGCTACGCCGAACAGTATCTGGAGGAAACATTGGTCTCACTGGATGGCTTCCAGGAGTTCATTGAGCGACTCTTCGGACAATATATACACCCCGAGGGCCGAAAGGGGATTCTCTTCATCCTAGACGCCCTGAGGTACGCAGGACATGAATGCCCCAGAATGCTGTGTTTTTGTTCTTCGCTTTTTTGTAATACAGACCTGCTTACCCACGCAGTTCTCGCCCGGGATCGTTGCTCCTCACGGGCAGCACAACGCCATTGCATCGCCAGCCGCTCGACGCCCGCGAGAAGATCTTCCAAGGAATGAGGACCTCAAGACTTGCACCACTGCGCTTGGTATCTCGCATCCTCCTGCTGATCTTCAAAAGAGCGTGGACGGCCTTGAGCCCGAGCATCCCTGGTCTCCTGGGTCTTAGCACGCGGTCATCCGTGCATCTCAAGCGCGCAGACGGGACTGCGTACGAATTTGTCCAATTCCCCGCCGCCACCAGCGGTGAAACGGATCCTCCTTCACTCGACGCCGACGTCGTCATCGTAGGCAGCGGGTGCGGCGGCAGTGTTGCAGCCAAGAACCTGGCCGAGGCAGGCTTCCGCGTGGTCGTCGTGGAAAAGTCGTATTACTTCCCGACCTCGGCATTCCCCATGACGCCGCTTGAGGGAAACATGAATCTATACGAGAACGGCGGATTCCTCGCGACGGACGACGGCAACATGGCGGTTCTCGCGGGGTCCACCTGGGGCGGGGGCGGGACCATCAACTGGTCCGCGTCGCTGGCGCCGCAGGGCTACCTGCGCGAAGAATGGGCCGCCAAGCACGGGCTGGACCTGTTCACGTCACGGCAGTTCCAGGAATCCGTCGACAGGGTGTGTGACAGGATGGGCGTGGATGATTCGCAGATTGAGCACAGCTTTGGGAACCAACTCGTCCTGAACGCCGCGCAGAAGCTGGGATACAATGCAAGGCCCGTGCCGCAGAACACGGGGCATGGCAAGCACTACTGCGGTCACTGCCACTTGGGCTGCGCGTCTGCAATGAAAAAGGGCCCGAGGGAAACGTTCCTGGCCGATGCCGCGGAGAGCGGGGCCGTCTTTATCGAGGGGTTTGATGCCCATAGGGTTATCCTGGGGCAATCTGGGCGCAGCGGTAACCCGGCGGCCGTCGGCATTGCAGGCACTTGGACGTCTAGGGCTATGCATTTTGGGCACGGTCAGGAAAGCGGCCCCCTTGTTCGTCGACGTGTGGAAATCCGCGCCAAGAGAGTCATTGTCGCGTGCGGGTCGCTTCAGAGTCCGCTCCTGCTCCGACGGAGTGGCATGCGAAATCCACATATTGGTCGCCATTTATACCTCCATCCAGGTAAGTTGAAACAAGCTGAAGGTAGAGTTGAAAAAGCTAAGGGAATCTGCTCTAGTGCTCGCATCCGTTGCGGTATTCGACCAGGATGTTCGTCCCTGGGAAGGATCCGCGCTCACCACCGTGATCAGCGACTGGGAGAATCTAGACGCCAAGGGCCATGGGATCAAGATCGAAACGCCAGCAATGCTCCCTTCCACCGTCCTACCTCTTCTCCCCTGGCACAACGGGACGGACTTCAAGGTCTTGGCATCCAAGATGGGTCGCATGGCCGGGTTTATATGTCTCGGTCGTGATCGAGACAGCGGGCGCGTCTACCCGGATCCCACCGACGGCAGTTGCAGGATTGAGTACTCGACGTCCAACTTTGACAAGCACCATCTCATCGAGGGGCTCATCGCATGCGCGAAAATGGCCTACGTTTCCGGGGCAGCAGAATACCGCACGACTTGTTCCCAGATTCCTCCCCTACTTATTCGCGAACCAGCGACGACGGATGCCAGAGTCCCAGAGCAGAATGACGCGCACTCGCAGGACGGGCTCAACAACCCTGTTCTACGTCGATGGATCACAACAGTCCGCAGCCTCGCGCCCCTCGATAACGAAAAGACGGTCTTTGCGAGTGCGCATCAGATGGGGACGTGTCGGATGGGCACATCTCCGCGGCACAGTGTTGTGGATCCCCATGGGCAGGTTTGGGGCACAAGCGGGCTGTACATGTGCGATGCGTCAGTTTTCCCGAGTGCTAGTGGCGCGAATCCCATGATTACGAATCTGGCCATCGCGGATTGGACGAGTCGGGGGATTGCTGCTGGTCTTGGACAGGAGATGACAACAATATCACGGGCGAATCTGTAGAGGATATAGGGAGGAGACTTGTGGACAGCTATAGTGGCTGATTTTGGTATAGCTACATAGTGATATTATATTCTAATGAGCAAGGAATACATTACCTTTTCAGACCCTGGTTAGCTTGATGGACGGGAGGCGGAGTCTACAACGTCTGTAAGAAGTGCAAGTGAGCCTACTAGAATCAATTAATTCAATAATGCCCAATCCCCACACTCTTGATTTGGAGTCCAGACAATTCCCTGGCTTGCACCAATCGTGGAGGTGCCACCCCCTGTTTCGCCACATGTCCGGGTGAGCAAGCTAAAATCCTGGGCTGGATCCTCGGTTTCCGTTCTTCTTCAACTAAGCCCGTAATGGGATAATCCCCTGCAGCAAAGGGTTGGTTCCCAACCTTAACATTAATGTACTATTTAGTACACTCCTTATTCTTGGAAGGGTACCATCATAACACATAGATCACCTTGCAGTATCACTTGTCACGGTATTCGCATCCCACTTGAAAGCCAATGACCTCTTGCAGGCTGTAAATAATAGTTAGTTAGTAGTACAGCCTCGCTAAGCCCACAAGATTCCCCGCGGCATTCGAAGATGCGAACCCCAACGTCAGTCTACTAGAAGACTTCTATATAGCATCAATTCCTCCTTATAGGGCCATTATCCCCCTTCGCACTGGTTCGCATACCAGCTCGAGTCCTGCTGATATCACATTTAGGTACTTAGCAAGTTACTGTATTTGACCACCAAAAGATCACGTGACCATATTAATTTGTATATACACGAATTGCCTGATGGTTGTGACTGATTCGCGGTTGAAATTGATACTTGATTAGAGGTAATCGTCACATGATCGTCCGTTGTGTGTACTAGCCAGTGGCAATTCGTGGGCTAAAGGAAAAGTCGTGGTCGTCATTGGTGGGGCTGGAGACCTGGGGCGAGGCGCAAGCACGAATAGCATCTTCTGAATCTGATAATGATGGCTTGGAAGAGCCCAGATTGTACAGCTTCTTGTCGCGCCTGGGGCTGGCGTTCTTGCCAAGTCCATTAGTAGTCTGGATAATAGTCACTGCAACTCTCCTAATCATTTTGCCGCAGTCAGTCCGGAGAAGTCAGCCAGCTAAGTGTGTCGGGATTATTTGGTCTGTCGTGATATCGCCAAAGTCCTCTGTTCGCTTGGCTATATCTAGTGTTACGATATGGGGAGTACCACTATCGCTATTTTTGCCTTGAGTATTGTCTCCATTGTGCTAACATGGCTGCTGGTGACCTTGAGGCTGTTGGTCCGCACCAAGATTCGCCCATCATTTGGTGTCGACGACTCCTTGCTCATAGTAGGCTGGGTAGGCGTCGCCCCGCTAGGCTGTTGGGTTGAATCCGCTGACCCTTGATTATCCAGCTCCTCGCAACTGCGCAGTTCATCATACCACTTTACGAACCCAGGTGCAAGTTGCGAAAGGACGCTGACTTGCTGACCCTTGACGACATAGAGTCAAACTATATTGTGTGGTTCACTCTCCGTGACTATGCAATGCCTTTCTAACCTGAAATCCAAACCAGTGTCGCTTCGCGGGGGAGCTCCTGTGGGTCGCTGCTACGGGGCTTGTCAAGATCTCCTTCTGCTTCACGCTTCTCCGGTTCCTCCAGCTCCCTTGGCAGCGCTGGTGCATCTTGTCGACTATTGCCATGATCTTCACCATTTCGGTATTCTACTTCTTCTGGATTGTCTTCGATTGTAAACCAATTCGATACTTTTGGCAACAAGTCAAAGCTCCCACAAGCGGCTCATGCAAGGCGGCCGCCGCGTTCGCAGATGCAACCTATGCCCATGCATCTGTTCTCATCGCCGCAGACGCCGTCCTTACCATTATCCCGTTATTTGTCGTGCACTACCTACACGCTGGTTGGCGGGTTAAGATATCCGTCGCAGCGATACTTACAATCGGTTCCCTGTACGCTATATTTGTCCCTCCGAATGCATCATACCCATCTCCTTCTCTGCAAAGCAAAAAGCTCCCTGTTACTAACATGGAACGTCATGACCTGTATCACAGCTCGTGCGTTGCAACTATAGTGCGGCTAACGCTCATCCACCACATGCTTGCCGCCGGCAGTTTCCTCACCGTCACCACCAAATTGGTTCTGTGGGCAATCGTGGAGGTAGCCACTAGCATCGTGGCTGTCTCGGCGACAGCGCTCCGACCGCTGTGGGAGGTACTGCGCGCTATACCCCGTTATACCTTTGGCTCGCGGTGGGGGATAGTAAGTCGGTGGTATGGATCGGAGAGAGGGACGCAGCTGCATGATCTGGCGCCCGCGCAAACAACATCGACTGATCAAATTCCGGAATCATATAATATGAGCCAGGGTTCAGAGGGGAGCAGATTCAAGGCACCAAAGAGGGCAGGTTTTGATGGCTATTCATAGTGTGCTTTGGTTAGTATAGAAGTTGGCAGGTGGTTTGATTGTTTACACGTTTAGATGTAACCAAAGTTTTGAACTTGCTGTTGCTCGCGTAAGAGACTCCATTTGGGCGATTGTCAAGGTATCTTTATTGCAGCGTGGCCAGGTTCAATAAACAGTGCTTCAGTCAAAAAAACGAAAAAAAGAGGGTAAAACATGGTGCCATTAAAAGGACAATCTAGGCTCCTTCTGATAGATCTCTTGATGTTACCTTCCATCCCGACCTGGTAAATTCATACTTCCAACCTGCCTGCGTGGACGGGCAAAAAGCATTAAAGATATAACTCAAAACAAGCGGAAGAATCATAGAGTTCCAGGATTACCACCAACACCCATCTTGTAGTTTTACGTAATAGAAAGAATGCTCAGGTCAAGGCAACGATGCCTAGTCGCTGTATTATCAACCAAAAATTTCACATTAGGGCAAATAAAGCGGGAAAGAGAAAAGATCCCCAAGGCTCTCGACTACATATCCATGCGTACCGGCAAGCCTGCCAACTCGATGTTGCTGTCTAATGCTGAACTTACAAGGAGTTAATAAATAAATGCAGCTCTTCTAGCACGCAAAGCCTCTTATCATCGTGGCGCAAGAACGTCATACATCCGCGCCAGGCAGGGCGTGGCCCTAGATGCAGCAGGAACCCGTCTGCAAAGTCTCTAGTTGACCACGGAAGCATTCCGGTCAGGAACTAGGAATTTTAATGGTCCACACGTCGCAAAAACTGATGATAACCCCTTAAAGAAATTCCCCACCTTTTTACCTTGTTCCAGGCCACATTGGCAGCAATCCTTGGGGACCGGAACACACCCGATACAGAGCCTGGTCCGCGGGGCACTTGCCACAAAGTAGGGCACAGTTGCAACAATCAGACTATGATAACGCCCACGCTGAATTCACATGGTTTAAAAGGTGTACCCGCCGAAGGGCGGCTATTTTCTTCCTTCACCGTGGCCTTAAGCCGTCCGAGCTTAAACCCGTCCCACGCCATTCCTCGCAAGCCAACCCTATTTGGTGGATAGATGAACGTGCAGGTGGTGAGCTATGTGATCATAGCCGCCAACAGGCCCACCCAAGCTGGGCAGCAAACTTGCTGGTCACTTGCAAAGTCCACATCTTCCGGGCGATCATGCCCTCAGCCAGCCCATAGCTATGATCTCATTTGCAAGGTCCTTGTTATGCAGACCCTACAGCACCGCGCCAATCTCTAAATAGACGGACATGAGGTGCAGGTATAAGTGCCATTAAGCCACCTGCGTCATATGTGTACCCTGGAGCATGCAAAGAAGGAATGATGTTAGGATGAAAGCGACCATATGGGTTATAAAGCTGTCTCCCCAAGCAGCCGGAAACTGGTACCATCTTAGAAATACGGCATTCGATCTGACCGTTTACTTTCTAATCTGACATCTTTATCTCAAATCGTTGCGACCTCGCTACTATTACCTGTCCATAATGTTGTATTTGAAGCCGCTTCTTATTTCCATTCTTGGGACACGGGCTGCCGGTAAGTCTATTCAAGCTTCTACTCTGCACAGTTCCCTTGCTGAGATATAACCTTCACAAACAGCACTCTCCGTGACAAGCCCCAAGGATGGCGACAGACTCGACTTCAACCAGGCCAATACTATCAAATGGTCTTTCGAAGAGTAATAACCCATTACCAGCCTTAATCGCAGCTAGTTGTTAATGTCCATCAGCTCTGACCCCGCCTATATCGACATCGATTTATCCAACGAAGATCACGTTCTCAGCATCAACGTCAACATCGCCAAGAACATATCCTCTTCCGACGAGACGTATACCTTTAACGATATCACCGCCGTTCCTGGGTCAGCCTCCAGTCCCCCTTTCCAGCTGCCTTATTTGACGATGATCACTGACACTGCCTTGGCATAATAAAGGTCTGGCTATGTTTTGAATCTCAAAGATGCGGCCAGTGGCAACATTGAAGCTCAGTCTGAGGAGTTTAGTGTTGTGACTCTAGGTAGTTCGAACGTTACGTCCGGGGGTGACAGCTCAGCTGGCGGAAACTCCACTAGCCAGGACGATGACGATAATGCTGCTGGGCGTTTTAATACGCAATCTACCTTGGGGATTTGCTTTGTCACGGTGATTATCGCTGCTGGTTGGTTTTGATCACTTGGTCGTATTTCTTGATGGGATAGAACATGATGCGTTTGGTTTGAAAACATTCTGCGACGCGGTAGCGCGTCGGCCGTTTTGTTTGATATGAAGCTCTTTGCATGCTGTCTGGTGATTTACCTCTCTGGTAATTGCCGCACGCTGTTGTTTTGCCCGAGGAAATCGCTTGCAATGTCCAGTACCTTTGAAAATAAGGATGCCTGAAGGATGGTTGTACCAGACTTGAGCGCTGAACCGAGTTCGCCAACCTACACTTATCAGCCATAAAAAGAACATGTTATTCTCTATACCGATATTGTTACCTCCGAATAGCATTCTTCGCGCTGTTGTAAGGTACCTGCCCCATACCCTTCCCGCATAAGCTCACTAAGCACTTGGTTCATATGGTTTTTTTGAAGACTCCCGGCAGCAGGAAGCAGACCTAAGTCAGGCTCTATTCCACAGACAGTATCTGCTCGGGCGAGGACGCACGCATGGAGTTGCTGGTGGGGAAAAAAGGTCGAGATCAAGGAAACATTGGCACCATGCGTAGAGTCGAATATATCCTTGCCCGAGGGATGTCAATTAAAAACATACCTCGAGCAACGCAGCTAAAGCTTAAACACGTCAAATCAGCTCCCTTTATCATCTCTCTTCATGTTAGACCCAGCTTTCCCTCTAGTATCCAAACATAACTTAATTAGAAAGCTCATTGGTTGCATTCTACGGCTGGGACCAGCCGCTCAGAGGCATTTTTCACCCCAACAAGAACTTAAACAAGGCGCCGCGTTTCTATGGCGTTGTACGCTGGACGTACCTTGCCCCGCCACTGATTTCAGGGTCCTCCGGAGATGCATGGGAAACATCAACAGCACCTATCCCTGATACTTTTTGTACTGGACAGCATACAGCCTATTCGAGTGACTATTCTCGCAGCCGACAAATAACGCTGCCCGCCTGAGCTTCTTGCCCCGCAGGACCCTCTCTCCTCCACAAATCTTCGCAGCGCCGCAATCTCCGTGCCGACACCAACTACAATCAGCTACTTACTCGAGCTCACGGCGTTATGGTTTACATTCGGCCTCTTGAAGCCTTTGTCGAAAGGTGGTCGCGAGTTATTAGTGATTGCCGGGCACAGCAATGTGTCGGTCCAGGCATCGAAAGTCATCCGAGTTTCCGCCGAAGGCTCCCTTCCCTACGGTCAGCCAGGCGAGAAGGTCGGTGCTTTTCTAATAAATTTTCTCCTTGGGGATCGTCTGGCATTTTGAGTCCAATCTCGTTGGCTACAGCCGAAACCGGCATAGAACATGATCCGCGGGTGCGTTCCGACACATTGTGTCATCGGGGGTAGTTTCTGGCGGTCTAAATAAGGGTCACCAATAGCTCTGCCTTCACTTTGACATTCCTGTGCTGCCTGGCGCCACATCGGCGATCGAAATATTAGGTATCGCGCTTGATGCCGCCAGCAAGCCTCCACTTGGCTAGCAGCCCTCTTGGGCAGGCCCGGAATGGTTCCGGAACACTCCAAACGCCCCTTGAAAGTGGCAGGGTTGATTCGCCACTTCCGCTGCGATATAGCCTGACCAAGTAGCGGACGTAGAGGTGTTGTTGTTCCACGTGACAGATGCCCCTATTCAAAACGTCGCGTGAGAGGTGGAGCAAGTGTTCGTACTGGTTCATCCTTGTGATAAAGATCTCTCTAGGCGGAGTGCTTTTCCCAGCGAAACACGGGATCTCAAACCGTTCTTTAGACCAGCTCATAATGTCAAGTCCAACGCCAACACCGGGTTCCTCGACCCTGCGCCTCCGCGCGAAGAGGGCATGCGACCATTGTCGTGCACGCAAGACGCGCTGCGTGGTACTCACCGGGGCTACGTCGTGCACGGCATGTCAATCATACCAGGTATATTGCGGTCTCGATCTTGAGAAACATCGCCGGTAAGCTAGATGACACTGGACTGGGGGTGGTAAAATAGCCATCTGACCGTTCAGATATCAGTACCGCCGCGTGAAGCGCCTTGCACGAGATGTCGAGCGTCAAGCGCGCCTAGGGTTTGCAGGTAGGATGTTCAGCCCGGCTGTCATCATAAGGGGGTTTGCTTTGCTAACTAGTCACAGGGGCTAAAGCAACAGGTATGGCGTTCAAGCTGGAAAAGGCATATGAGCAGCGATACACTGACCACTACGGCCCTGGCGTATCACCATCGGCAAATCACCCGAGGGCACCCTCAGTGCCAAGCTCTCCAACCATTATAGCTCTCCCAAGCTATATTAGACAGCTCCCTGATCCCGCTGATGCCAGTGCTCTCGATGACTTGGCAGCTCAAGGAGCCTTCGCGGTCCCCCCAACAGATTCTCAGTTCGCGTTGTTGAAGAGCTTCGTACAGCACGTGCACTCTGGTCTGCCGCTGCTTAACCTTGGCTCACTGCTCGACGCGATAGTATTGCGAGACGGTCAGCAGGTTGGCTTGTTACTATTCCAGGCCGTCATGTTTGCCGGGGCAGTCTTCGTTGACGACGTACATTTGCATTTGATGGGATACAAGTCTCGGAGAGATGCCTTGAAAGAACTCTTTACGCGCGCAAGAGCTTTGTATGAGTACGGTTGCGAGACTGAACCGGTGGAAACCTTACAGGCGTTGCTCCTTTTTACACTCTACCAGGAGGACCACCAGTGCGGGCCATCGTTCTGGATGAGTACGCTGTGGGCCAGGACGCAGGCCACGAAGCTGTGGCATGGAGCTGAGGTATTAGAGTCCGGCCGAGGTCTCTGGAAGCGCCTTTGGTGGAGTATCTACACCAGGGATCGCGTAATTGCCCTCGACACCAGACACCCGGTGTACATCGGCGACGAGGAACATAATGTCCCAATGCTACTGCTGGCTGACTTTGAAGCCTGCTACGCGACCGGCAAAACATACTTGGAGCTGGGCCTCGATCTCACCTTGCGCGATACGGCAACCAAGACTGCCCTGGCGCTGACTTTTATCTACAAAGCCAAGCTTTGCCAGTACATCGCCCGCATCCTATCCACCCAGTACTCAGTCGGCGTCGCCTCCACCGGAGCAGCGATGTATACGCCCCGGGGTACGGGTTTAGCTTCGTCCGAGTTCCAGGACCTCCAGCGCGAGCTGGATGGGTGGCAGGCTAGTCTGCCTCAGTCGCACCAGTTTCAGTTTCCAATAGCTGTTCTTCCCCCTCGAGGCGAAGCCCAGGACATTGTCCACGTGCAGCAGTCTGTGGTGCAGATGTTATTTTTCACGGCAGTCCACTTGTTGCATCGTCCTTCGCTTTGCCTGCCGCTCGCGGTCAACTATTTGGACGGCATATTCCGTGACCTCTCCGCGTGGAAGATCGAGTGCGCGTCTCAGAACATCATCGCAATCGCACACAGCCTCCACATTAACAACATGACCGATTGCCTGCCGGACACCGCTGTAACATCCCTCCTCTCTGCCGCAATATCCTACACTGTCAAACCTGCTCCTCGGGTTTCCCCAGCTGCGTATCCAGGTGCAGATTACCTACAACAAGCCCGGGATTGTCTCGAAAGGCTGAAGGACAGATACGAGGGGGCACGCTGCGCGGAAGCGTTCCTGAACTATGCTGCTAAGCTATCGGAGCGTTTTGAAAGCTTTTCGCTACCGCTGTCTGAGATGAACGAGGCCGAGGTTGCTAGTTCCCATGGCTCCGATGGATTTCAGTCGTGCGCCTGCCATGAGGACCCTACCTTGCCTTGTATTTATTACTGAACATTAAGTTCCGTGCATTGTTTATCTGTTGGTTGACAGTTATCTGCATCACTTTCTTTGCTTGTATATTCTTGAACGACTGTCCAGTCCGCGGGCGTTAGAGAGTAGTTTGCTCTGATTCGAGAGCAAAGTACAGCTTGAATCTTGGGGATCCTACAAACTCACACGGATTCTCATCATGATGGGCGAGGGAGGATGCCCCCAACATGTTCCCGTTTGTCCCCTCAATCCCGTTCTTCCCAAATGGGACCCTAAACAAAGAGAGGGAGAAAGCGAAATAGGGCGAGGGCCCCGATGGCCATATTATCGAGGAAACGAAAGGGTCGAGAACGTCACTTGATTGATTTGATAGATTAACAGATCAATAGATGCTGCAGAGGTGGATCACTAGCCTAGGGTGAATATCCATACAACTTCCATCCACACGCCCAACACAATTCAATCGGCATCTATTATCCCTCCCTCTTCAGAGCCTCCGCCATATCCCCCAACGTCTCAAACCTCCAATCGTAGATATTCTCCTCCAGATTCCCCATCACAGCGCCGGGCCTCTCAATCCAAACGGACGCAATCCCAACCTTCTTCGCCGGATGATGATCATGGAACTGGCTCTGCGCCGTCTGCAGGACCTCTTCGCGCTTGACTCCAAACTCGCGCTCCACCGCAGCCAGCATGTACTCGAAATTCCGCACGTCGGGCTTATAACTGCCGACATCCTGCGCGGTGATGATCAGGTCGAAGGGGAAGCCCTGGAGGCTGCCGGCATTCGTCTTGGCAAAGGACTGGCGGTCGACGTTCGAGAGAACAACCAGTTTATAATGTTTCTTCAACTCGTAAAATGCAGCGACGGTATCGCCGAACGCGGGCCAGGACCCGATACTCTCCCCGAACGCCCGCGACTCTTCGGCGCTCGGTGGGTGCAGACCGAGTTTTTCGAGGAGCGGCGCGTGGATCGTCGACAGGACGTCGGAATACAGCATGTCGGGGGTTTTCTCCTGCTGGGATTTTTCGAGGGCGTGGTAGGCGTGCAGCAGCTCGTGTTTCGTGAATTTCTTTGAGGGGGATTTGGAGAGCGCGGGCTGGAGGGCCGCGATGATTCCGCCTTCCCAGTCGACGAGGGTGCCGTAGACGTCGAAGGTGAGGAGTTTGTAGGATTTTAGGGAGGGCATTTTGGTATCTATCGCGATTGCGGTGTGGAGAGTGAGAGGGAGAGGGTTGGAAGAAGAGGAAGAAGGATGGATAAAAGATGAAGATGGAGGGGAGTGAATTGGAGAAAGTTGGAGACGAGGGGTTCTCTCTCTCTCTTATCAGTGCTGCAGAATGTGGGGACGCCTTCCGATAACATCGCGGCGCCTTCTGCGGACATTTGCTGCGCCCTGTGACATTGATATGGAGACTGAACATTCGGAGATACTCATTATATTTGGCAAGATAAGGTGTATTTTGGTTCTGGCTGTTTCTAGTCCGGATAGATGCAGTGGCTACTGAGCGTACGTGTCTAGATTGTTTCGAGCGTGCCAAGAACTGCAGCCAAAACTATTTGTATGTCTTTCACGTCATACGGCAATGCGAAACCCTAACTCACTCACTTGGGGTTCTGCTGCTCTTCTGAGCGGAAATAGAGTAGATGGAATTCCAAAGAACTGGGTTACATGCCGGAAGTGCACGACTATTGAGTGGGTGGTGTACACATCTACAGCACTTTGACCACCCCACAGTACAAGACTACACGATGAGGCGGGATTGCTATACTGAGATGAGACAGGATTCAGGACTGACTTGCACTTAGCTGCGGATAGGGTATGATTTGCAACGCCTTGGCACTCGTACTACTCCTGCTCGATATATATATATATTTAGACTGTAGGCCTACTGAGCGACTGTCGCTACTTGCTGCTTTCTCGAGGAGATGGGCGAGACGAAGGTTTTGAACTGTACGACCTATTGCGGGGTACTAGAGTGGCCATCAGTGTCTTGAAACGTCGAGTGAGGGTTAGGAGGGGAGTATGCCTGGGAGAGAGGGGGAGAGAAAAAGCACGCCAGGTAGCCTAAATATCCCTGCTCCTAGTACTTTTCAATTCTTCCATCAGTCGAACAATGACTGGTAAACCTCGTCGAGTTTACATCAATAGATCGTGTAGCCGGAGCTTGGATACTATAGTATCATAGCAGTCACACAAGTTGTTCGGATGGTAGGCAGTGACATTGCATTCTCTCCAAATATTCCCGCTCTAATTGGCTCACCTCTCACTTATGCACCCTCAGCCGCAGATCCCGCGGGGCACTTTTGGCCCTTGGGGCTGTCAGCTTGTGGGCTGGACCAATCGCTCCATTTCGATTTCCACCGCTGCGACCACCCCTGCACTCAGCTCTGCCTTTGGCGGCTTCGCCGACCGTGGCGGCGCTCAGCTGAGCTGGCTAGATTTATTATTAGGTCTTTATATATAAGATGCGTCGCGTCGCCCGCTGGCGCGACCTTAATTCACCGTTTAGAATTTCCCCGCTCCCCTGTCGCGCGATCAAAGTCCCCCACCACGGAGCGACGAAAACAAAACAAACCAGCCGCGCCAAAATGACGACCCAGCGCAGAGCCCAACAAGCCCCCGAATCCGACCCCATTTCTCTCCCCCGCGGCGAATACCACCCCGCCTCACCCAGCGACTCCCGCGCCCCGTGTCCCATCCTCAACTCCCTCGCAAACCACGGCCTAATCTCACGCACCGGTCGCAACGTCACAAAAGCCTCGCTGGAATCCGCGCTCGCAGAAATCGGCCTCGCACGGACAGCACGGCTCGCACTCTGCAGTATCTCGTTCAAAGTGCACGCCGACGAGGGCGATCCCAATGCACCAAAGGGGAGTTCGAGACTGGGGTTTCGCGAGGCTGGCCAGGTTGATGAGGATGGTGTTGACGTGCTGAATCTGGATCAGGTGGGGCGGCCGCAGGGGATGGAGCATGATGTTTCGCTGTCCCGACGGGATCGGGCTGTGGGGGATCATATGAAGCTCGATCGCGGGTTGTATGAGCAGCTTATGGGCGTCGCCGGGCCGAAAGATGCGAAGAAGCGCAGCTTCAAACTCTGGTCCCTGGCATCCTACCGCAAGTCCCTGTACGCCGACGCAAAAGCCACCAACCCGCATCTGGTCTTCGGAATCCCGCAGCATGCGGCGGGATGTCTCGAAGTCGCGGCGATGCAGGCGGTTTTCGGAAAGGGGGTTTTCAAGGGCGTTCCGCGGGAATATTATGAGGCTGTCCTGGGCGAAGAGAGGTTGCCGTATCGCGAGGGGTGGAGGCCGCGGCGGTTTATGCTTTTACTGGAGATTGCGGTCTTTGCAATCTTTGTGGCGGTTTTGGCGTGGCCTTTTTCGTTGTTTTAGAGAGGAAAAGGTTGAGGGTTGGAAGGGTGTGTCGTGTCTGGATAACCCATTCGAATTGAGCGATTATTTCCACTTATGTCCATGAGGATTACTGGAGAGTCCCAGCGTGCTTCCGATTGACCATCTCATCAACCTGCCCGAATTCTCAATTCCAAGACATCTCCAGTCTTAATGTCCTCCGGATCAGCAGGCTAAACTTCTGGTCCGGCCCTAGAATGTGTATCCATCTGTCTTGCAATCATCACCAATCCATGCCGGACCCGAAATCCTAGCGCGCAGTATGATCAGATGAGACAAGAGAGTGACCATACCATTTGACGCCCTGGCAGAAAGCACGGGCCATGTGATTGTGCTAAGCACATATCGGCTGGGTGGTCAGGGACTTTGGACTACTGCTACAGCTACAGTTACACTAGGATACGTTTATTAGTTGCACTTGCAAGTTCTTATTGCGAATGTCAATTCGACAAAAGGAGGGGACGACTGGGGACGGCCTGGGGGTTACAGACGGAGATAACTCACTGCAAGCTGCCATAACCTCACCAAGTATAGACTACACTCCATATAACAAGGGCCATGGTTTTTGTCTTCTATTCTATGCCTCGCACCCAGTCCTTTGGCCTTGTACAGTCTGCTTGCTCCTAGCTGGACCTTTCCTTTTTAAACCTCTATAATGCATGTCTTGATGCGTTAATCACTTATCTCCATCCTCCTCCTGTTAGATGTTTCTCCCATGCAAACTACTATTGGCATACTAGTACTATTGAAATATATTATTATCCTGTTTGCTTATTAGTCTTCTTGTGTGGTGCACAATAATGAAATGGATGGGAAGCTCCTCCCCAATTCAACCTGAGTACATAAATGGACACCAGCAGGCCATCGAGCTGGGGCCTGGGGGCTTGATACATGTGACCTGCACTAGAATTGTCTGCGGGTTGTTGAGATTTTTGCGAGTGGCGTACTGTAAGGACTTGTCGCAATTTAGAGGTCCTGTTTAGCGTCTTGTGCAAGAGCGCATTGCCCTATATTGCACCGGATTACTAGCTAGGTATGCGAGGTATGCTTCTGGCCAAGCACATATACAAACACAGACACACACCCACGCATACATGGTCTGTGGTTAAGCTTGACCACGTCCGGCAACCTCGCGTGCCTGCCTTCCCGATACGTCCGGCTGACAGGATATTTACAGTCTGCTGGAGCTAAGAGCAGTATGGGCTCGCGTGTGGATCAAGTTGGATTTGCTTGCGCATGGGGTTGGGATGGATGGATGCTGCTTAATGCAAAGAGGATTATGCTTGGATCGCGTGCTTGGTGCTGGTCAATGATTTCAAGTAATTGATACACAGCCATTCACTGTATGTTTTTGTTGATATTTGTGATGTTTACAGTCTCTCAACGCTGACAACAGAACCACTTTCACCTCCCCGCTGGTAATAGGCTTGTTTATCCTATGAATGGAGCTCAGCTTAGATTGATACTTTTCCCATGGACAATAGTATCTCAGGTTTTATCGCTAGGGATTCCTTTCGTGAGTGAGATTGCCGTCTAGGGTACAAACACTTTAATCAAGAGCCTGACTTCAAGAACAAAGGTATTTAGATGCTCTCGAAGTAACGTGATCTTGGGGGGAATTCAACGAGATGTATTCTACTACCCGTCTTCCAGGTCACACTACATGATACCCTACACGGAGCTAATCGACCAAAGTGGCTCCGATCGGTTCTTGGGTACTCGTGGCCGGTTGGGCTGACACAATCGATGCATGTGCGGCCCAACGAGGCTGAGAGTCTCGGTGTTTTAGACGCCTCTCTCGCCCTTGCACCTGGGAGTCTCTGTGTCGATTTCCGTCTTACTCTTCATCGCTTTACTATCTCGATAATTTGTTCCACCCCGCAATCGGTTCGATCCTGCAGTATGAGCGCTCCGTATCACCCTTGCAACCTCGACATCGAGATGGGCTGGGACTATGTAAGCCACCCGGGGCTACGCACTCTGCCTCCCCATCTACGCTCCAATCTATTGAACTGTGCCCTGAAGTTTCGCGAATTGAACTAATGTAATAAACCATATTCCCAGCGCATCGCAAGCCCACGCACACGCACAACCTCACGGGAGACTCCGAGCCGTGACGGAAACCCAGGCGCGACTGATACTTTCGCGGAGCGATATATATGTGTCCGTAGCCTCAACTTCTTTCCTTACTTTACATAGTGAGTTAGTAAGGGGGAAAACCAAGTAACTAACATGCCTTAGTGCCACTGCCATGACGGGCCCAAGGACCTTTCCCACCAGCCGATATGTGTTCAGTGTAACCATACGGTGTGTTCTCATTGCCGGGTTATTGGTTGAGCCTGGGTTGAGTTTTCTCCTTCTATGGATGGCTGGCCTAGGAGCAGGATCCGAGGTGGCTGGAATCTTTCTTTTGTTTACTTCGGTTAGACGAAGCTGGATGTTTGCCCTTTGTGACGCCACGAGACTATGTGTGGGAAATCTTCCCGACCTGGGGCGTGAGCATTAGCCGGGACGAAATACTCATCTCACCTCGCAACAGAGGTATTCAATTCGGAGCAGACACTGATATTAGCTTGCGGGGACGAAGTAGTCGACCAACACGAGATATGATCACACGTATTCAGTCAGTGCGCCGTGAAGTGAAGTAGCACAGCCAACCCTTCAAACACCTGCCCTAGCACCACCCACCTCATCGCCCATGTACATTTTGTCTATATACAAAGAAAGCCCACATCGCATCCTCAATCAATGCATTACCAAGCAACACATGTCTATCCGCATCAACCTGAATCTCACGCCACTCATCCTCATAGTTAAGCTCATACGGCCAAATACGGCCCCCACCACAATGAAACACCGCACCCGCCCCATCCCAGCTCTGCAACAACGCCATGGCCAGCGGCCACTCATCCCTCGCACAGCGATCGCCAAACGCGCCTGTCTGCCCGATCCCCAGCTCAGCGTATGCGAGATGTCGTGCAGCGCCGGGCGCTCGGTCCTGCAGGCGGGATTGTGAATGGTCCCGAAGCGGATTGGATACGATCGGATTGTCCCGTCGTAGTTTGCTTCGGCGGTCGGCGGTGGGAACGTCTGGCGCGTAGGCGAGAGACGTGAATGGATTTAGATTTGGTGGCAGGGCCGAGGCGAGGTGCGTGTGGCGGTCATTGCGTCGCAGATGAGAGCGTATGCGGGTGGATTCTTCGGGGGTTGGGGATGAGATGAGGATTGCGCGAGGATCCAGGTTATCAGGTTATCAGGGCGTTTGTTGGGATTGGTAGAGGTAGAGTGAGGGGTGTTGGTACAAGAGGGAGGTGCATGGCATGTTTTCGGGTGGTCACACTTGGAATTGTAGATTGCTGGGCTGGGCTGGCCTGGCTTGGTGAGTTGGTTGGTCTGTCGGTACCGGAACATGGACTTGGGATCAGTCTGCAGCATGCACTCTGGGGAGAAGTGCCAGTACAGCCTCGAGACTGGTTGAGGTCTCTCTCCCACATTTAGAATGTGACTGCCAAGGCATACAGAGCAGCACAAGTCCCTGGTAAAGTGGGCCAACGGATCAATACTATCACATCAGAGGGATTAATAGGCTGTCCTGGCGAATCTATATGACACACACGTCAAGCGCCCTATCTTCGTGCCCAGGCCTGACTTCTGCACGAGGTCGAAAGCTTGATTCTGCCCTACTTACGAAACAGGCTCCGCAGTTTCATAGTTGCGTTTTGTGCAGTTTCTTTGCAGATCGCACGGCCTTTTCTCGCAGCAGGCCGATGATTGGCGCGCAGGTTCGTATTCCACGAATGTATACTGATCCTAGCTATATCACTTTCTTACACATCTCCTTGCGTCTTTCGTCCTTTCAGTGGCCATCGCGTCAGTAATATGAAACCCTCATTTCCGCTCCTCTATTATACCCCGAACTAAGCATTACCCTCTCCGTCCCTCGCGAGATGCGCCGCATTAGTCTGCGCCTCGGTGACATACTTGTCGAACTTGCGCAAGTTGACCCGTTTCTCGAACCTGGAAATGCACATTAGTGTCTTCCCCCACGGGGTATGGCTAGAGGAGACGAGAGGAAGTGGGACATGAACCATGATAGACGTACAACTCATCAATCTCCCCGGGCGTCCTCCTCGTAACCTCTGGAAGAATAAACCATGCAACAACAACGGAAATCGAACCGGTCGCGGCGAAACTACGCGCACCAACGAAGACTAATATTAGCACATCCATTTCCCTCCCCGAAACCACAGAGCAAACTCACAAGAACCCCGTCTTGACCCCCCACTTTGTAACCCCCTGATTGATCATGAGCGGCGTACAGAAACTAAACATGGTGGCCAGCATATTCGACAGCGCGAGCGACCAGCCGGCCGTTTGGGCGCGGAGGCGCTGCGAGGGGATTTCGGCGGCGTAGGCGTAGCCGATTGCGGATGCGCCCGTTGTGCTGAATGTGGCGAGGCAGGCGAAGAAGATCTGGACGTGTCAAAGGGGCTCTTGTTAGATGGAGGTTGGGAACAGGGCTGGGGACGTACCAGGAGAGAGCTCAGCGATGGCTGCGTGTAATCGAAGCAGCCGACAATTCCGAGCGCGAGGACCGAGAGGACAGTCACGCCGTATGGATACACTGTTAGTGGGCGCCGGCCGAAGCGATCGGTGAGGGTGCATGTGAGGATCATGGAGATGATCTGCACGCAGGAGAGGATGAGGGTGACGAGGAAGGGGTCGGTGTTGCCGGCGTATTGGACTAGCCATGATAGATTAGAATTGTCGCCCCCTACATCTTGAACTCGAGGCCGTCTCTTGTGAACGTACAGAAATACGTAGCGTATGTGTTGAACACGGACAACCCGACAAACTGCTGCGTGATCTTCGGCCACGCGGCGATGAGGAAGCGGAGGAGGTTCCGGCCCTGGAAGACCGCCCACATGCCCTCTTGGCTGTCGCGCTGCGCGATGTGGCGTTCTTGCATGATTGTCGCCGTCATGATTCCCTGGTTGACCTGATTAGCAACAAGAACGGACGCCGTGGACCAGCGTAGCGTGGCTATAACATACAATCTGCTGCTGCGTATCATACCCCTCAGCGCGACCATTGCACATCGTCAAAACCTTTTCGGCCTTCTCGAAGCGGTCCTTGCCGACAAGCCACCACGGCGATTCGGGGATGAGCACGAAGATGATTCCAGCGATGCCGACCATAGCCCACTGGGTGTAGATCGGGGTGCGGAAGTTGTAGGGGTCTGTCGCGTTGAGGCGGTTGAGGGCGACGGAGGCGAAGAGTTGCCCGATGACGAACCAGCTGGAGAGGTTAGTTTCGCCCAAGTGTGCGGCAGCGCGATCTTGGTTAATGGATGACGTACAAGCTGTATGCGTTTATGAGGAAGCCGCGCAGTTGCGTCGGGGAAATCTCAGAGAGGTAGAGAGGCAACGTTGACTGGAGCATCCCGACGCCCATGCCGGAGAAGAGCTTCGCGACGAGCCAGTGTTGCCAGTGTGTGGCAAAGGTTTCGATGAAGACGCTCTGCAGCAGTCAGTTTGGGCAACTAGGTAGGGGTGGACTTTCCTATAAGGAAAAAAGAAAGACGTACGATCACAAACGTAAGCCAGATGATGTAGAGGGCCATCTTTCGTCCGTAACCCTCAGTCACGTATTGTAGCAGCTGCACAGGTTAACTCGGCTCATCTCCGTCAATCCGGATGGGGGGAAAAGAACAAAGCCTACAATCTGCCCAACCGTCTGACCAGCCGACTGAATCCCTCCCCAAGCAGAGACATATTTCCCTTCGATGATGGTCTCTTCCGGATCCGTCATCTGCCGGATGAACCCCTTGTTCGAGACGACGCCGCCGTTCAAGTTAATTTCTAACCCCCCCCCCTGTTAGCCGTCACGAAACTGCCGAACCTGGACGGAGACAAACACACGATATCCATCCAGCGCAGCACTAAACGCAGCCGCCATCGCAATCATCGTCACAGTCTTGTACCGCAGCAGGCCCTCCCAGATACCGAGGTCGTCCAGGTTCGAGCGCATCAGCGGCTCGCCCTTGGTGACGGCCACGGTCGGTGGCAGATGGGTCTCGTCGACAGTCTCGCATCGCTCGACGTTTTCGCTCTGCGCCTTTTCGTGGCTCATGGTGACGGTGTGCTGAATTCCTCGAGACAAGAGAGCCAAGTTTGCAGATGCAGACGACCAGGTTGAGATGGACGGGGCACGATCCATTCCATACCCCGCATCTGATTTTATAGCCAACACGCTGCCCCAGACCCAGACCTCGTGCCATCGACACCCCGAGCCCCCGCTCGTCAAGACGGCTATTGACTGGTTTTTGGGGCCATTTGCCGGCTCGTGGAGAGCTGGCCCGTTGGACCGGCGTGATGTGACTCGCCGTCCAGTGAGAGACACGGACACCAACCAGGCTGGCATTGACTAGGCGTAGATGGAGGTCGTGCCACCGGAAGATGGTTGGTGAGCTTGGGTAAACTAATTCACTAGTGTAGGCCCGGGCCGGATAATACAAGGCCAGCCACGCAGCACAAGCTTCCTTGGGAGGCCAAGCAATTACCCGAGTTGGAGGCGCTCGGGGATGTCGGATGGAATAGCCCTGACTGTTTGAAGTCCGAGGGATGGCCGCGTAAGTTGCGACGGCGACTCGCTGGGAATTATACCGAGGCGGTAATTGAGTCGTCTCGAGCCCACTAGGCCATGCGTGTTCGGTACTCGATCTTGCCCCATGGGGTTCTCCGATGTTTACTTGGTGGATGGGATATGCCAAGCACCGAGGAAGCAAGTATGAGTGACGCACGCATCATAGCATGATGCCGACTTCCACGAGTATAAAAGGCCATCGTAAATCAATATCAAAAAGAGCAGACATTGATGCAACTTTAGCAAAAAATGATTTCGCATCTACCTACCCTTTGGCTCCTGAGCCACGCTGCGAGTACCCTCGCAGTGACTTTCAGCGTCCCTGCATCTCCCCCGGCCAACGCTAGCAAGCAATTCTCCGCCGCTCCGGTTGGTGTGTCGTACGTATCCCACCCAGTCGAAAGAGAGCAACATGTCAACAAGCCAGTCCAGAGTTCTTCACTTTCCCAGAGTACATCACCGACGTCCCGGCAACGACTAACTGCCTTGAGAACCTCAAAGACTTGACCGGGGTATGGCCGCCCATGCGAATTGGCGGGACGACTCAGTATGTCATGAGACCCTCATTTTGGTGACACCAGTTCACTTGATTTGCTGAAGCTGATAAGCCTTGTCGACTACGTGATGCAGACGGTGCTGATGGGGACAGAGGTAAGCGCGGCTGCTCCTCCCATCGCAGTGACCAGCAGCGAGACACGCACTGTACTTCCACCAAGGAACGATCGGAACCTGTACGTCCCCTAACAGCTCTCGCTTCGCACAACCCAACACATCCCTAGGCCAATACTGCTGGTGGGGCCGCTACGCCACCGGAGCCCCATATTACGGCGCCTGCATGGCAACCCTGGCCCTCGCAAACGCCGACCAAATGGCGCCGCTGGACGACCAGACATCTTCCATGGCCGCGTACGCCATCTACCAAGACGGCGAACCCGTTCGAGCGCTCTTGTACAACTCGGAATATTATACCAGCGGGACGCGACCGTCGGAGAGCTACACATTGACTGACTTGTCCTCTGCTTCTGGAAGGGTCACAGCGAAACGGCTGACTGCGGGTTATTCGACCTCGAGGGCTGATCGGGGCCAGAGTCTGACGATTGCGGGACAGACGTTTAGGAATGGGGATTATGCGATGGAGGGGACGGCGGTTGTGGAGACTGGAGAGGTTGTTGATGGGGAGGCGACATTTACCGTTGCTGCGTCGGAGGCGTTGTTGGTGTATCTGTAACCTAGAACGGCAGAGTATAGTGTGGCCGGCTGGATGTGCAAGTGAGGTCGGTAAAAAGCAGAGGATGGAGGTGGAGGCGTGCAAGAGGAGGTCGGGGTAAAGGGGTCCGAAGAGAGACTGCCCAAGTACAAGTAGGAAGCAACTTCCCCGGAGATTCCGTTTCCTCTCAAACTACATTCATAACAACCGCAATCATGAAAGTCTCTCCGGATGAGCAGGCGGTACGGAGTCCTCTCACCCCTTTCCTCCTTTCCCTCACTGAGTGACCTGCCAGACCATCAACGCGCTGCAAGCAAACTGGATCTGGACCCCAGCCTGGACCGATTCCTCCCCGCACAACACCGCCGGCCGCGTCGTCCGCTTCACCCGCCAATTCCCCCTCTCTTCGTCTCCAACAAAAGCGCTTCTCCACTTCTCCGCCGACACCCGATACAAGCTCTTTGTCAATGGCGTACGAGTCGCTGTCGGGCCGACGCGGAGCAGTCCGTGGATCTGGTACTACGACACCTTGGACATCGCTCCGTATTTGCAGCCAGGGATTAATACAGTGCGATTCGATGTCGTTCGCTATTTTGCTGCGTCGCGCGGTGCTATGCCGTTTCAGCGGACGGCCTTTCCGGGGCTGACGGTCGTTGGGCATGTAGAGGCCGATTGTGAGAGCGTTGTTCTTGATTCTGCTGGTGATGGTGATGGTGGGCAGTGGGAGGCAAGCGTTGATGACAGTCTTACGTTTCCAATGGGCCGCGTGGATGATGTTTTCCTTCATGTCGGTCGATCCCCCGGTGCGTGGCGATTCCGGCTAACCATCCAGTAGATCAGCGAGCGCATCTCGCCGACGACTCCATCACAGGCAGTGATTCCCGTGGCATACGGACTCAGGACCCTCAATGGGGAGCTCGCGCCCTGGCGCTTGAGAACACGTCCGATTCCAATGTACGAGGAGAGCCGCATCGCGGTCGACACGGTTCGCTCGTGCCGGAGCACGATTTCCATCCAGGACTGGACCTCGTGGCTTGCACAGGGAACGCCATTGACCCTTGCCCAGGACTCATCACACACCCTCGAAATCCAGGCTGATGTGCACTCGACTGCCTTTCTCCGCTGGACATTCCAAGCAACCAAGCCATCGTCTATTCGGATGAAGGTCACGTATTCCGAAGGGTATGAGCTGGAGCCTCGAGCATACCCCTTCTTCCGCACAAAGAAAGATCGGCTAGACGCGTCAGGACACCTTATCGGCCCGTTCGACGAAGTAGAGTTTAACCTCGAGACCTCTGAGCCTGTCGTGTATGAACCATTCTGGTTCCGCACTTTCCGCCTCATCCGACTCGAAATCAGTGCTGGGCCCGAACCCATCACCCTAACCAGCTTCACCGCAACACAAGTAAACTATCCCCTGGCCGTGAAAGCCCGTTGGGAGGATCCCAGCGATGCAGATAGCAAAGCCATCTGGGACGTCTCGATTCGGACGCTGCGCAACTGCATGTTCGACGGCTACTCCGACTGTCCATTTTACGAGCAGCTGCAGTACTCCGGCGACTCGCGCCAAGTCGGTCTCTTCCATTACCTCCTCTCCGGAGACGATAGACTCATGCGACAAGCGATCACCAATTACGCGGCGTCGATAGTCGCAGAAGGACTCACGCAGTCTCGATTCCCGTCGCACGTTCCCCAGGTCATCGCCGGGTTCTCGCTCTACTGGATCCTTCAGGTAGCGGACCATCATCTCTTCTTCGGGGATACACCATTCACCCGCTCCTTCCTTCCTCGAATCGACGGCGTACTTGAATTCTTCGCAGCGCACGTCGACGACCTCGGCCTCGTCAGCGGACTCCCCGAGGACGTCTGGCAGTACGTAGACTGGGTCACGACCTGGGGCGCAACAGACACACACCCGGATAAAGGCGTCCCCACATCAGGCCGTGAATCCAACCGGCACACATACTTCAGCCTCCTCTATGCGTATGTCCTGCAGCAAGCTGCGCGTCTCGTCCGAGACGTCGGAAGACCGGGCCACGCCGAGGAATACGAGGCTCGCGCTGCGTCTCTCCGCTCCGCTGTCCGAGCGCACTGCTACGACGGGCAGTTTTTCACAGATAGCACGGCGGGCGTTGCAGGTGCAGACGCGTATTCGCAGCACTGTCAGGTCTTTGCCGTTCTCTCGGGAACGGCTGTGCCGGAAGACCACGCGCGGTTACTGACAGCGTGCCTCGACGACGCTCGGTTCTCGAAATGCTCGTACATGATGCGCTTCTATCTCCTCCGCGCAGCCGCCGTTGCAGGCGACGACGTGTACGAGGGATTCTGGAAGGACGCGTGGACTCCCTGGCGGAAGATGCTGGCTCAGAACCTCACGACGTGGGAGGAAGACGATGTACGGCAGCGCTCGGACTGTCACGCTTGGGGAAGTGTTCCGATTTACGAGTACTGCACGGAATTAGCGGGTGTTCAACCCATCGCTGCGGGATCGAGGAAGATATTGTTTAAGCCGCGGTTGGTGCTGAGCGAGGGGTTGAGGGCCAAGGTGGCGTTGGGTGGGGATAACGTCGCCACGGTTGAGTGGAAGACGCTCTTGTCGGGAAAGAAGCAGGTTGAGCTGCGCTTGGAGAAGCCCGTCGAGGTTGTGAGCCGGCTTCCGGGGGGTGAGGAGGTTGATCATGGTCTTGTTGGCTGCATATCACTTCAGCATTAGCCTCTCTTTAGTTGTTATGGGATCTCTTTCACTTTGATTAGAATCGGTCTTACGCACATAATTGAAGACAAGGCACAACCTTTAGTATGGTCAATGTCTGGGATGGCTGTCCTTGATCTGACTCGAATATTCTTCTTCGACTGACGCAGACTTTCGTTTCCTCCATTCTTCCTCGCACAAACTCACCGCTAAAAGTCAAACAGCCTAACCTCAGCCTCGTCTTGATGACGAGGGTATATCCGTGGTCTTTGCTCGTGGCAGAGCGAGACAGATTCTGATATTTTGGCTGCCCACGACCAGGTCCGTCAGACAGTCAAGAACCCGAGAGTAGAATAGCATCATCAGTAGTGAACTCGCTGTGCAATAATGAAAATCCATCGATATTCACAGCAATATTAGTAGTACCAGGCCGGCTTGTATCAGACATGTTATTTATGAATATTCCGAGTCTTCTGATTCGAGACTCGGCTTCCAGCTTATTCAACCTCTAGGACTCTCTCTCTTCTCACATTGCCGACTCCTGGGTACCTCTGCCATTTCGGATAGGCTCAGCCCACGGCTTGATAAAGTGAAGCTACAGCTACTAGAGGAAGGTGAGAGTGATAGAACAACCGTTCCTGAGGTTTCTACGGCTGTCGACGGCAGACTTGGCAGTTTGTGGTCAATGAGCTGGTTTGCATTCCACTCGCGTGGTCAGGCTTCCTCTCTTCCTCTCTCCTCTCTCTCTCCCAACCTAGGTACCTCAACTAGATGTCGAAAGTGTCTTGACTGCTATCCCAACCCGTCATCCTCAAATTTCGGTTGCAGCTCACGGGGAGGATTCATCAACTGTTCAACATCTGTGACAGACCTCCCATCCACGCCCTCGAGCCGTGCTTCAACCTTTTCTCGCATCCGGTCCGGAAATGTGGCCAGCAGTTCTGCAATCTCTCCCGGAGATAGAGCTAGATAGCTTACAACTTTTCGGTTCCCAGCATAGTTTCGCCACACACCGTCTATCCCGAGATGCGAGAAGCCGGCCCCAGCGGGATCTCGTGGGAGAGAGTCTAGGGCGCGGAATAGCGCCGAGTTGTATTCGGTTGCGCAGGCGTGCTTACTTCCTGCGGCTTCCTCGCGTGGCTTAGGCTGTGGCGGGGGTATCAGTAACTAAAACGAAGACAGTCATAGACGTAAAGCGTAGGATGGATGTCCGAGGGGATGGATGTCTGAGGGCCACGGCATACGTACCATCTGAGCGAATGTTTTCTCTAGTGATAGGAAATGGTCCCAAAACGGAACATGATCTGGGATCTTCTTAATAATTCAAAGCGCGGACACTTGAGGGGCGAAGTGACACAGAGAGACGATGTAGCTCGAGCAGGGGTCAGGCGTTAAGCCCGGTCTTACGCACCGTCAGTGCCGAGGTAAAGCGTTCTATCCGACAAATGGTACGCCTAGCAAGGATTACCTCCTAAAGAGGCATCCAGGAATTGCTCAAGCGATCCTACCCATCCTCTTCCACTTGCCATCCTTCTTAAGTTGTCATTAATCGAACCCTCCCTCAATAGCAATTCTTTTTCGTCGCAGTTCCAAAAACCCATTGCAACAATGAGAGTCCCCCACCTCCTCCTCATGGTCTCATATCCCGCTGGCCATGTACTCGGTAGGGGTCGACACCATCCCACTGGCCCTATCAAGATTGGTGAGTGGATGCGAATAACGAGACTAGCCAGCACAGAGCTGTATTAGACCATGTTCTTCTAGTGCTTGTTTCATCAAATCAAATGCTTGATTCCTCCAACTACAGGTCTTCGGTTAGTCTCCAAATACCATTGGTAGGAATAATGCCTCTATGGCTGATTGCCCCGGCACATGCCTAGTTCCGAGGTATCCTAAGCAATCGGAACCAGGGCAAAGGATGCTTCTCCGGGCAGGGTTGTGCTATTGTGAATAATAGAAAGTATTTGCGCCTCAACTCTGCGTATGTTCAATAAAAGGGACAAGAAAATGTCCGCCACGCAGCCGTCTCCGCTACTTCACCATAACCCAAGCCTTCAGCGCAAAAATCGCCCCCCTGATTTCGCTGATGATAGCATAATCCAGACTTGCTCTTTGATAAGATCATAAGACAATACATTGGAAATAATTGGTTAATCTTTCATATAATTAGAAGCCGTCTGTATTTACTTAATGCCCTGCAAAGACCAAGCCGACCCGCTTGAGCAAGGTATTCGGCCCTGTGTAGGGTAATGGCAGTGTGATAATAATTGAGGAGGGGAAGGGTGATTGATAATCTGGAGGAGGAGGGATTCTTCCATGACATCGAGTGAGGCTTCGCATTCTGGGTGGACTGATTTCCGCCACGCGCGGACTTGTGCGGACAGGTCTTCGATCACAGAAGGATGGTAGCGTGCACTCCTTGAATAGAGTAATATAAATATGCGCGTTTTGATGACGGCAAGCTGGCATCTTTCCCCCCTCGCATCCGTTCTTCCAAAAAATGTCCTCTATTAGAGACCGGATGAAGGTTAATATGTTACTTAACCCCGGTTATTGGTCTGTACCCTCAAGTAGCTCCGCTTGCCTGTATCTCCTGCCTTCCTTAAATAGACCTAATTGCCTACCCGCGCCACTAGAACCAAATAGAGAACTTTCCGAGACTCCAATACTTCTCCAGGTTACGTTCCCGCGATACACATATAGTGCGCGCCATGTGCATGGTTCTAGGCAGAATACTTGGTCTTGGAAGCTTTGTTTAGAGGTCTCCCACATGAGTTATATCCCTCGCACTATGGTATTAACGGAAAGACTTAGATACACATGCCCCTTAAAAGGCTGCCGCGAAGAATTCCCCAGCAGCCGTAAACTTTAAACTTATTATTCAAAGGCCCACCTTGCTTCTCTAAATCACTACTACAACTACTACAACTACTACAACTACTACAACTACTACAACTACTACAACTACTACAACTACTACAACTACTACAACTACTACAACTACTACAACTACCGCGAATTCCAATCCAAATCCCAGCGAATCGCTCCGCTTCCAGTCCATGCGTCGCCTCTTCACCACCATCTGGCGCGGAAGCGGCGTGCCGAATTGCTACGGCGCCGGCGAGCGGTTATCTATCTGCTGATGACCGTGCAGCCGACGCACTTTCTCGCCGAATACATGTTCCGCACGTACTTTGGGCTGCTCTTCGCGGACACCGCGCTGGCGGCGCCGGGCCCGGACATCAACGTCAACGGTGATCGTGGTGCGATGGCGGCGCTCCGTGGATTCGACGCGGTCTTTGCGGGCGTTGCGTTGTCCCGGAGTATTATGATCCGCAGGACTGGCAGTCGTATGTCGGGCATGATCTGTTGCAACCGGTTGACGATGAACTTGATCCGGTGACGTATTTTGACAAGGATGGGATTTGGCCGTTTCCTTGATTGGTTGGTTTTGATGTGTTATGTTGAATGTGTTGGGGAATTCTGGAGCAGAGGGTAGGAAAGCCTGTGGGTGAATGAAAACATGTATTTGGATTTCGAGGACAGTTTTGTGTACCTAGCTAGGATTACCCGGTGATGGATATGTCGAATGTTTGGGAGATGGATAGAGCCCGCGGCGAGGACGAGATGTATTTAATTCAGATCCAACGGCCATTTTGTTTTGTATTTACTGCAAGGGTCAGCACTACAGCTAGACCTAAAGCTAGACCTAAAGCTACATCCAGACCCAGATCCCAGCCCAGATACCCAAGCCAACCAACTCCCTACTCAACCCTAACAACTAGAACCGCCACCTCCCAGCCCTCCAAAAACACCGTATACACATCACTTGCAACCACAAACTCCGTCAACGAGGGGACAACGGACACATTATACGGGGTATTACTCGCATCGCGCGGGCCCGCGAGCATCTCGAGCGTGCCGCGCCCCGCCACTGGAAAGCGTACAATGACCGTCTGTCGCTGGTCTCCGTAGTTTGACAGCTTCAGATGGTAGCTGGTCGCGTTGCTCGTCGCGACCCAGTAGACGGGGCCGAATGTGGAGGTTGATTGCACGGGGTGCACGTAGGTCCCGCGGTTTGTTGAGAACATTCGCTGCACGAAGTAGGATGTTGAGCGGGTGAGGGAGGCCGGGCGGGAGTCGAAGCCGAGGAGGGTGGGCTGGATGGATAGAGTTTTAGTAGGTACGGTACACGATTCTTGAACCAAAGCCAAAACCTCACCCCAGCTACAACAAAAGCGAAGCCAGAAACGCAAGAAGAAGACAGATAGAGAGAGAATGGAAAGGGGAATGGAAGGGAAACGCACCGACCACTGCGTAAACCCGAAATGCTGCAGCAGCGGCGCATACGCCGCCATGCGGACCACATCGCTATTCCTCTCGAGCCCGATCATATGCACGGCCTCGGCACAGCTCCCCTGTACGAAGCTCCAGAAAACCCCATCGGGATCACTGAAATTCCTCACCCCATACTCACCCACAATCACCTCTCCCCCCGTGTGCCGATCCCAGTTATCCCACAACCCAAACATGGCCGCGAGATCGTCCGGGTTGCGGTAGTAGTGGTAGTCGTACATCACCCCCGGGATTGGGGGCGACGGGAGGCAGGCGGGGTCGATGTTGTTGGCGATCAGGGTGATGTTGGGATAGTGGCTGTGGATGGTATTGTGGATGAGGATGAGGCGCGAGGCGTACGTGTCGCAGCCGCCGCTGTAGTCGTCTTCGTTGCCGATTTCGATGAAGGGGAGGGTGTAGGGGGCGGCGCGGCCGTTGTGCGCGCGGAGGGAGCCGTAGGGGGTTGTTGCGGGGCCCAGTAGATACTACACGTTTATCAGCACAGGCCAACCAAGGCCGGAGTGGAGTCTGGAGTAACCTGCAGAGCCAGCAGAAGAGGAGTAGGCGTATATGAAACAAACTGGGGATCTGAAAGTGCCTGACGAGTGTCTTGGATGCTCTATCTGTCTGTAAAAGTTATTTGGGTGCAAGTGCTGACCTCCAGCTCATCAAGTATATCATCCAGATACGGCTGCATCTCTCCGGCGCGCATTATACCCCCATACGACTTTCCATCCCAGACGGTAAGCACAGGCTCCATGTCCATGTCCTCGCACCACTGCATGTACTCGTCGAGGCCTGCGTCGTTAGTGAGCGGGTTCAATGATCACGGATATGTGAGTAATATACCCAGTGCTTCTGTGTTCGGGTAATGCCAGTCACCTAGATAGATGTCAGCTTGCAATATGCATGTCTGGTTTACACTAGTAGATGTGCGGACCCTGTCTTCCAGGCCGGTGCTCAAGCGGGCCAATGGTTTCGTTCCATTTCCACCGGTTGGCGACGTCCAGGCCCTCTCTGAGAGTATCAGCGTGGTACATGAGAAGCGGGGGGGAGTAAAGTGTTCTCACATGTTATTCCCTCCTGGAAATCGCAAAAAGGCAGGTCTGAGCGCCTCGACTTCCCTCGCGATATCGTCGCGTAATCCATTCGGCCTGCACGCGACACAACATATCAGCAACTGACGGAAACCTCAAATCAAGAATACAACACCAGAAGACGACCCAACTCACCGGTCCTTATACGTCGGCGGAAACAACTGCACAAGCCCGAAATTGAGCACATCGCCCCTCGCCTCGTCCGCCCGAAAAAGCACCTGCCACTCATTGTCGCCATTATCGTCAAAATAGCCCCTCTGCATCTCCGGTCGAACAGACGCATTAAACCGCGCCTCGAAGAATCGAAACTGTGCCCAGTCGCCACGGACACTCAAATTCGTCGCGCCGTACACATTCCCACTCCGGCTCCCGACAAGTCGAACCAGAATATCGCCCGTGTAGTCGCCCATCATCCAAAACGACGTGTAATATTCGACGTTCGACACGGGGATCCCGTTGTAGCCGGAGTTCGCGAAGCCGACGAAGTCCGTGCTTGTTGTGTGCGTTTGGGGTCTGGGGGCGATTGTGACGGACAGCGTGGACGTGATGGATTCGCTCAGCGGGTTGTTTATGTCTTGGGCGAGCACGACGTCACCCAGGGGCTTGTAGGCTGTCAATCCGGCATCCCAGCCCTGGAAGCCGTTGTTGCGCAGGAGTTGGCCGTGGATGCCCCCGTCGCCTGGCTCGTGTTGGTATTGTGAGGACAACGACTAATCACTGGCTAGTGGTGGCTGGACAGGAAAGATATGATAGTACTACAGTACAACGGGGTTGGCGGCGTACCTGAATGATCCATTTCCTTGGTAGAAACGCTCGTCAGCATCCTGCATACTTGCTGTTTTCACCATCGCGCAACCTCGTATACGCAGACAGGGGAGGGAGGACAGGACACACACACCTCAAACATAATCCCATGCAAAAGCCCCCTCGTCCAGTTCCCGCCATCCTGCAAGACCGTCAGACTGATTGGCGCTGGTGTGGCCGTCTGCAGCGACGGATCCTGGCGCGGACTCAACCCCGTCTCGTCATGTTTCGAGTTCGTCGAGAGCCATAGCCAGCTGAGGCCCGGGATGCGTGTGAGGAGGTGGGTTAAACGGTCGAGTTTCATTGTGGGGGAGTTGGATATAGCCTAGTATCTCTCGGGAGGCATAATCTTTTTTCTATAATTTTTATTTGTTGTCGACCAAATTATTGATGGAGAGGACTGAGGATGTACGATGTACTCGAGTGTTGACATCACGACTCCATTCCCCTTCGATAGCAGGCACCAGCAGTTGATGTCAGGTCCATCGCCTCGTCTCGGAGATAGCTCCGTTGGCCGAGGGAGGGAAATCAGAGTTCATCCACCCCTCTCTTCTATCCCGCGTCTTCCGCCCGCGAAGTGTACAGTGAAGCAGGGGTCGGTAGGGCAAAGAGTGGATTGTGGCGCCGTGGCTCTCCCTCCACATTTGAGAGTTCAACCTCACCCGTGCCGAAGACGAATGCCAATCTACCCCGGATTCGTCATTCGCGTGCCGAATTCGTGTTTGTTCTTGGCGGCTGCTTCACCGACTTTGAGGCAGAGAGCTCTTTGTCGAAGAGGGGGGATGGTTATCAAAGCCAAGTGCGGAGACGAAGAAAAGGAACGGAGGGGAGCAGGGGACTGAGACAAACAGCGACATTCAGCCCGAGAAATCTTTTTCTGTCTTGGACAACTGGATCATATAGCCCGCCGAGGTCGGAGGGTTGCATTTTGGAGCCTGGAGGTTGTCTTTGTATTCGTCAAAACGTGCAAGGATGCCTCGTATAGCCCAACGGGCAGTGCAGATCAGGTCGGAGGACGGGGTCCAGCCGGCGGGCCACGGACCGCCATGCCTATAGCACAGGCCCGGATAGACATGTCGCTCTTTCCTCATATATGACAGAGAATAGGGGATAAAATGGGGTATGGCATGGGTATAAAACCAGCAAGCGACCCCCGTCCCGTCCATCATCTTATTCAATCCCATCCACCGGCAACTGACCCCATCCAGCTCCATCAGACTCAATTTCTCCAACTACTTTTCCATCAAGATGCACTTCTCTCCTCTCTTTACTATGGCCTTCACGGCCCTCGCCGTCCTCGCAGCAGCGGCACCCACTGATCCTGCTGATATATGCCTAGCAATCTGCTACCTCGAGGAGCCTGAGTGTCCCGGAACTTCTGTACGTTACGCTGCCCCCCTCCCCAGTTCTTACCCATCTACCTACTAAGCAATATCGCAATATGGTTGTGGGTCTCTTTTTCTCAGAAATACTGACATGTATTTTGATTCATAGTATCCGAAAAATGAGGGCGAGGTTTGTCCCCACTCACTTGATCCAGCCTAGAAAGTAATAGAAACTCTGCTCACAGAACACAGTGCTGGACCTGCTGCACTCCGCAGGCATAGGATACCCAAATCCATGGCTCAGTAGTGGCGGGTATCCGATGATGATTCACAGCGGCTACCTCAGCTCCGCGCGGATGGTTTAACCTTGCGGGTGGCAGTGAGAGTTTATCAGGCGACCAGGGATCGTGGTGTGGCGTGGTGGAAGTTAGGGTTTGCTCAGTTCTAGTGTGATGGGATTCTGTTCAGTTGATTGGCTTGCGGGGCTCGTATAGTTTAATCCGTGTAGTGCCGACTGGATTTGATTGGGCTTTCCCGGGTCCTATTGCTTGTAGTAGACACTATGGTTACGAGTCAGGGCCGGAAGAAGGGATGCATCAAAGGCAGATCATACAACCAGCTCGCCTTATAGTCTCGACACGGGCTTAGGAAATAGTTGACCAGATTTTGCGACGTCATGGCATTTGTCTATTCGGCAACCTCGGTTTTATCAAAGCAGCGCGCTTGAACGTTGGGATACTAGTATCTCCATAACCCGTTTCGAGTTAACCACTCTAGCCACGCCATCCACACAGGTCAACCGAGCCCACCAGGTTCCTGATCCGCTCCCAATTGTTCTCTTGGCTGATTGTTTCTCACTGCTCTTCGGATATCGATCGGCACTGAGTAAGCGTCGGATCCCTGCCTACACAGTTCTGGGTATTGCGCTTTACTCGCGCAGGAGGTACCACAACGCAAACGACATGTCAAGGTACCTCGAGGTCTCCAAAGTTGATAGATTGTTCATCCCGGATACATAGATAGATGTATCCCCGCTGGCGCAGATACTCTTCCTCGGCTGTATAGCATTTCCCGTGTGAATAGTATTCAACCCACCAAAGGGACCGAAGACGAATTACATATTTACACCATGCAAACGGTCCCCTCGTTGCCTCTTCCTGGGAAGGCGTCAATCCCGCAAACGCTTGATAAACTACGAACAATCAATGCAACAAAGAATCAGCCAATCACATCATCAAAGCAATACATCTCTCTGCCTCAATGCAGTTGGTCTCTTGGCAGCGCAGTGAGACCTGAGAACTCGTGTTGTCGCCCCTCAAAAGTGGAGTCAACCCTAAATTGTCTCCGAAATCTAAGTGGGCGTCGGACTCGCAGCCAATCAAATACAATAACAGCGATATTGAACGAGAACAGCTCCGAGAGCGATTCGAGCCGAGGCCCCAGACTAATCTCGCTTGGTGCTAAACTCCTCGAGCTAGACATGGTATGGATCGCAGTCAGATTTTGGTGGCGGACTTAGCGAACTGCCCATCTTCCCCTTAAAAGGGACGCCTCATGTCACTCTGCGAGGTATCGACTCGGCCATTGATTGCATTCCAGACTCAGCGCCGGCCCAAAATGCTCCCATTACTGCTTCTCTCAGCTCTCCCCCTCGCCAATGCCGCTCCGTCCACTTCCAACTCCATCGCCTGGAAGAACTGCACCGTCGACAATTTCCCGGCCCTCGCGACTCTGCCCGGCGTAGGCGCCTACCTCGACCAGCTCGGCACCGCACCACACCTCGACTGCGGCCAACTCAAGGTCCCGCTGGACTGGAACCGGCCAAATGGGAAGAAAATCACCCTCGGCATGGCCCGCTACCGCGCCGCGCCCTCGGGCCAGCGACTGGGCAGTCTAATCTACAACCCCGGAGGCCCCGGCGGACCCGGGTCGCTTTCGGCGCTGGGGCAGGCAGCGGGGGTGTCTTCGAGCTATACGAATGGGACGACCGGGTACTACGACGTGATCGGGTTTGATCCGAGGGGAATCGGGTTGAGTACAAGGGTCAAGTGCGATCCGGAGCTGTTCAACAATTATGTCAGTGTGTTTCCGACGACGCAGGCCGAGTTCGATGCCCTTGTTGCCAGGAATAAAGCGCTTGGTGAGAGCTGTCGCGATCTCACTGGCGAGCTCTTCTACCACGTTGACACGACTCAGGCTGCGCGTGATCTCGAGGCCGTCCGCGTCGCGCTCGGCGAGGACAAGCTAAACTGGGTTGGGCTCTCGTATGGATCTCAATTGGGAGCTGCGTACGCAGAGCTGTACCCGACGCACGTCGGCCGCATGGTCCTCGACGGCAACCTGGACCACGCGCAGAGCAGCGAGACGGACGTCCTGCACACCGAAGTCGCAACCTACGAGGACGTCCTGAACCAGTTCTTCAAGTGGTGCGACGGCGCCGCGTCGCAGGAAGAATGCCCGCTAAAGGGCCAGGACCTCCCGCAACTCTTCGACGACCTCGTCGACGCCGCAAACGCATCCCCCATCGACGCCGCAGGCTGCACAGAAACAACCTGCCGCAGCCCCGTCACAGGCGAGGACATCCTCTTCACCGCACAGGGCTACCTCGTCTACGAAGCAACCTGGCCAGCACTCGCCCAGGTCCTCAACGATACTCTCGCCGGCGACGCAACGGGCCTCGCCTCCTCGCGCATCGCCACGGGCCCGGATAGCCCGTACTACCCGGACATCGCAATCGGGTGCCTCGACTGGGCGCACGCCTCGACGACGCTCGCGGAACTTACATACAAATCCACCCTCGCGCGCTACCTGGCCCCGCACACGCGCGGCGTATCGCAATCCTACCGCTACCAAGTGTCGTGCATCGGCTGGCCCGCGCCGCTGTCGAACCCGCCGCATAAACTGGATGCGAAGAACATGGCGGCGGCGCCGCCGATCCTGCTGGTGAATGCGTTCCACGACCCGAGCACGAGCTACGTGTGGGCGAATGCGATGCTCGAGCAGATTCCGAGTGGCGTGTTGCTGGCAAGGAGCGGGAATGGGCATACGAGTTATGGGCTGGGCGGGGAGGTTGCGCGGCGGATTGATGAGTTTTTGGTGCATGGGACGCTGCCTGCACCGAATACGGTGATTGATGAGTGAGTGATCCCAATGCGATTGACTGGTTTTGTGTATGGTTTGGATATATCCTATGCAGATGGGTCCGAGATGTTCCCCGCGAGAATCATGAGTGCCCCGTACATAAAGTTATATTAGATACATAAATGGCTCTATCTGCATACTACTGGTACTCTATTCTTCTCTCCCTTGTGCTTTTTTTCATACCGCAATCTTTTGCATATCTGACTACGAGGCTTTCCGTACCATGCCCTCTACTACTCCTATTCGCGAGCTATGAGTACCGTACATAGGTCGCAGCGTCCACGCTACAAGTTCCAGCGGGTATGATCGAGAGTCCAGGGCCTGGAGGATTACCGTATGAAAGAAATATATGATGGTCTCTGGCAACTTTTCAGAACGAAACCCCCTCCTAAACAATATAAGAAAGTTCCCAGAGGATGCCCATCAAAGGTCACACTGGTTAACTTACATTGAACCTTCCTTGGCAAGCAAGGAAGCAGGAACTGGGGCCTGAGCTGAGTAGGCCGAGCGTGCCTTGACTATTTGCGTGGCAGTTTATTCGCGTTTGACTAGGAAGGTAGGTACCGTCACCTAGGAGACTGGCATGCAGGGAGTTTGTGAGGAAAGTGCGATGGAGGGCAGTGGTATCATGACAAATGTGGAAGGTGCGGCTCGAGACCTCGGACCCGGGGCTGAGCAGTCCGAGCGTGTCTCTCTCTTTGGATGCGAGTTTGGTTCTAGTTTGGGTAGAAAGGTACGCGCCATCACCAAGGTGGCCAGCAGAGGTCAATTAAGGAAGACGCGGTGCGATGGTCATGGTGAGTATAGAAATGGCAGCGCGGGGCTGGGTCGTTCGAGCTTCCTGACTCGGATGGGAGCAAGTTTGATACTAGATAGTTAGGTACGTACCGTTGCTGGGCACCCAGGTGACCAGTAGGGAACGAACGAGCCGAGAAGTGGTACGTCCAGTGAAAATGACGCCCGTCGAGTGTGATGCCGCGCGTCGACGTGGTTATTGTGCGGCTTGGTCCTTGCCTCGAGGTAGGTCTATTCTTATAAACGGAAGAATATATATGTGAAACCCTAACTCTTATATCTAACAACGGACGGTACCTAATTCAAGCAGATGAAATCAACAAAATCAAGAACCCACTTCGTCCTCTGAGGAGCGTTGATGCTCACTCTGACCCCCCGTAGCGTCGGTTAACATCTTTACGGATGGCATCCCCCCAAGCTGCAGAAAACGGAGTCCCTCCACTCCCATGCTCAGCCGCATATCAAATCCTGCCTGCCCTGCTGGAATCCAACCCGTAGGACTTCATAACATCAACAGACGAATGCGGATCTGCAAGCAATGTATTAGCGCGACAACACAGATCCTAGCTTTTTTTTTTTTGGTTCTGTCTTACCCAAAGGTAGTACTGCACGAGGGCCAATCCCAGACCGAGGCCCAGGCCCAGTCCCAACGCCTATCCCGCCCAGATTGATGCTGAATTGAACGTTCCGTGTACACCAGCCGATGACATCTTGGACAGTCTGGGCCCAGGATGTTGTGGATGGTGATTGTGACGTTGAGTCGCCGTTTGCAGCCGGGCTGGGCTGCTCTGGTTCACTCCTGGCTTGGCCACCCGGGGCGGGGGAAGAGGAGGGTATGGAGGACGTCGACGATGAGGAAGCGGAAGAGCAAGACATCCCAAGCAGCATCCCAGCAGCCGTCTCGGGAAGCGGAACCCCATCATCGAGCTCTCTCACGATCCGTGGAACAACGGTGCCGCTGCTGTTATCCTGGCCATAGTTCTTCTCGACCATCTCCTTGCCGAACCGCGCAATCCTCGCACGGTCGCTGAACCAATCAATGTTGGTCCGCGTATCCTGTCCAGCTGCATTATACACCCTTCCATGCTGATACGTTTTTAGATCGCGCCCTCCCTCCACATGTGCAGCTTCCGCCCACTTCCCCTTCAAGCTCTCAAGATACTGATTGTAGCTCGGCGGGGCGCCCGTCCAAAATGTCGTTACAAAGGTCACGCGGGGGATGTACTCGGCGCCGCAGAGAGCGTGGACGAAGTCGACGAGCTTGCGGTCGAATCTGTCGAAGCGTTGTTGCGTGATTGGGGTTAGGTAGAGGAGGCCTGTGATGTGGGCGAAGTGGCGAATGGAGCTGATGCCGCGGGCGATCTCCCCAAAGGTAGCTTCTTCGGCGTAGGGGTCGAAGCCTGGGGTGTCCATTATGAAGTAGGTTTTGTTTCCGATGGTGGTCTTGCAGAGCTCGAAGGTTTGGGTTACTAGGTAGGGGGGAAGTGACAGAGGGGTTTAGCGGACGTGACTTGATGTGAGATGGACCAAAAGGTCGGTTGACTCAATGTTCAGTGGGAGAAAGCTTACCAGAGTCTGCATCCTGCTGCGAGTAGCCCGAGAGATCGGTCAGGTCTTCTGACAGCGAGGACTTGCCCGCTCCACTCCGGCCCAGGATGATAAGAACCTCTGCGAGTGTGTTGGTCTCCCTATATTGAGGTTGGTGGATTAGACACAGGTCAGCGGGAAGCACGGGGCGGGGAGGGTCCTAACCTGAATCGAGCCTCCAGCTCTAAAAGACACTCTTTGGTCCGCTTTGCTTTGGTATCCATGATCGTCAGGCACGGCCCGTAATACGTTGAGCCAAAGATAGAGCTGGTATCGGCTTCGGTGATGGGGATATGCCGTAAACTGAAAGAATGTACTTTTTCACCACCCTCCATCCTGTGAATGGCACAACCATCTATTTATATTAGCGGCTGCCGTAGGTTCATGCCTCAGACAAGACCTCACATGAGGTGCACGAGACGCCTACCACCTTCAATGAATACGCCTCGTTGGAAACAACCCCTTCAGTTAGATCAAGGATAGCCAATCGCCCCCACACCTACAGGAACGCATCCGAACAGTTAGTGTTTTAGTTGGCGCCAGAACCCTGGATCGTACACCCAGCCTTGCGGCCTCGCAGCAAACGATCGGTTCACTACCGAGTCTAGCTAAACAGGGTGTCTCCCAAGAGGTCGCTCGTGCAGCCTCTGGGCTGTGCCGCCGAGGAGGATAGTATGCGCACTGCTACTAGTAGAGAATAGTTCATCTATTGGTTTTCGCTGCGCCGCCGGGCGCTGGGCGTCAACTTTATGGACTGGTTGGTCTGCCACCGGCCAATGGATCGGATTCGAGACATGAGATCGATCAGACGTCTGCATCGAAGCTATGTACCTCGCTAGAAATGGAAACCCGTCTCTGCCCGTCCGATCTCGATTCCAGCTATCCAGTAATCAAAATGAGTCAACTAAGCGGGCTAGAGGCCCTTTACATAGCAAGATAAACCCGCAGTCCGGGCTCCTGTTTGATTGCTTGATTTAGCTTTTCGCACCTGTACTGCTACTTTGCAAATCGGCTGTCTCTTTCCTTCCTCCATCGAATCGCTGTCAGGCTATTAAGGGTCGAGATGACGAAATCGTGCCATCGCAAACAACAGGCTCCAAACTCGTTTCTTGATGGTGCGATCCGCGATCCCCCACACACACTCACCAATAAGCACTTGACCAAGAGCCTGTGCCCTTCCTCACACACCTTACACGCACCACCAGAATATATTGGATTGTAGCCTTCCAGACTCCAAATTCCAGCCGTTAACTGCTCCGATGGGCATACTAGATATATTTCGCCAAGTCCGACTCGAAAGCCATCATGTTGGAGTCTTCTCAAGTCCCGTGTGCATGGGCAGGCGAGAAAGTAGGTATAGATGATGCCAACAGTGCTTAGTATAAGAGGTTCGCTAGCCGGCATACCCGACGGAGTAAGCTTTAACTACAGTCGGCAATTCTACTCTGCAGTATCTACGTCTCTCGGCCTCAATGTCTATCGCGCTTTGCTTATCTAGTTAGACGTGTCTCAATCATATCCCATTTCCGACGCCCCGGCGCCACATCCCAGTATTCGCGTCAGATATTATGCCCGGGAATTCTGGATCTCTCCTCCTAGGTCGAATCGGTCGTGTATCCTAAAACTGAGGAAGAAACCTGGGTATTTCTAATCATGCTTGACTGTACCGTTTTGTCATGTGTATCTCTGTGCGAAGACCCAAAGGCCTTGAACGCGGATATCAATATCATATCCCCGGTCCCGTCGATTGCTTTCAAGAGCATATGGGGGAGTACGCTCTTCTCGTGCGCACCTCATCTATTACCAAGAGCTACCCTACTCAAGTGATTCGACTCCTTGCTATCAAGACCGATCAAGAAGTTGACGCAGATTGTACCAGCAGACCTTACTCCATCAAGCTTACCCCGGTGCAGAATCAGGTCCCAAATCAATACGAAGGCGCTGAAATGGTACACCAGAGGGTTAAGTAGAGCCGGGATACCGGAAGGACGTGGCCGACGTTGGCGTCGGGGTTAGACTTGAACGTTGACAAGCACAAAACGACGGGTGGCTCCCGTCCGGAGATAGCTGCGCCTTTGTCTTGAGGTTCGAGACAAGTCGAAAGTCCAAAGAGAAATGGAGACACCAACGCGTTCCCAAGGCTGTGATTTGCTGATGGCCAGCCGCGTGTTTGAGGTTGATGCGGATAAGCGTTGGGGGAGAATTTAATCTAATCGAGACGGGACGAAGCACAGCCACGGATGGAGGGCCCACTGCCCGTTTGCAAGTTTCCAGGGTCTTTTGTGGTTCGATCTATTTCATTCTTTTCTCCTGATAGAGTCCCGTCGCCGTGTCCAAGACAGGAAGAATAGAGTAGATCGTGTTGAAGTAGGAATTGAATGATGAGGATGATCGTCAGGAGCAATTCTCCGGATGCCTGGAAATCTGGAGAGATTGACCGTTTCAAAACCGCTCTTTGGACAAGCAGACGTCACTGCAGGGTCCCAAACTCGGACTTTTCCCCTTTCTGGATAAAGGGTCCACTACTCAAACAGTGACAGTTGACGCCGCCAAGCAGAGCTTACGTCGGATACTCACTTGCGGCCCGTGTGTGAAGGGAAGACAGTCCCCAAGCCTTTCCCGACCAGATCGGCAGGGGACTGATAGACGGCTGTCCATGTTTCTTGCACGAATCATTTAGGCCGTGAGGTACCCGAGCCGTGCTGATCGGTTTCAGCGGAATTGATTCGGAGAAATACGTTTGAAACACGCCAAGGGAGCGCTGAATCGTACACCGAACCTCTCTTCGATATAAAAACGCGAACAGAGTCGCCATCCTGCCTCCCACTGAGCAATCCATCTCGTTGATCTGGTATCACGCACGCTTTTATTCGTTTACTTTTACTACCAACACTCTTTACTATCTTTTCCTGTCTATTTACACTCTGTACAACATGTTCTTCAAAAACACTCTGATCCTCTCCCTCGCAACCAGCGTGCTGGCCACGCAGTCGCACGGAATCCGCTCGCACCCGCGCTACAACCAGCCTCGCTTCAACCGCCTCGACCGCCGCTTCACTTTCCCTCTCCCCGAGTCCCAGGGCAGCGAGACGTTCAGCGAGCCGTATGTCGTCTCCGGAAACGAGACCTTTGACGGCGGCATGAAGACGTACGGCCGTGGTGTTTCCTGCTCCGAGGGCGAGGGTGGAGATGCCGACGCCGTCTTCATGGTTGAGAATGGTGGGACGCTGAAGAATCTTATCATTGGCGCCGACCAGATCGAGGGAGTCCACTGCGAGGGGTCTTGCACGATTGAGAATGTTTGGTGGGAGGCTGTTTGTGAGGGTACGTCGTCCTATCCACCTACAATCTCTTCCTCCCTTCCTTCCGTCCCTTTCCTCTCTTTTACCCATCTGCCCGACCTATCTTGCGCAAGCTAACATAAGATTCAAAGACGCCCTCTCCCTCAAGACCGGCTCCGGCCCCTTCACCGTAATCGGCGGCGGCGCACAGGGCGCACAGGACAAAGTCATCCAGCACAACGGCGGGGGCACAGTGAGCATCTCCGGGTTCACCGTGTACAATTTCGGCAAACTGTACCGATCCTGCGGGAATTGCGACGAGATGTACGAGCGGCACGTTACAATCGAGGGTGTTACGGCTGTCGATGGGAGCAGCACGCTTGTGGGGATCAATAGCAACTATGGTGATACCGCGACGATTAAGAGTGATACGTGTGTCGAGGGGGTTGAGACGGTTTGCGCGGAGTATGAGGGGAATGATACTGGAGATGAGGTGAGTTTTCCCAGCCTGAGGATGTTGGATTGTCTTGGATTGTGGCTAACGGATTGGATGTGTGTGACAGCCCGAGAAGATTAGCGAGGGGCCGAGCAGCGCCTGCCAGTACTCGGATCCTCTGCCTGCATGCTAAATGGGTTGGGCTTTTGATGTGCCATGTGGCCGGGGGTGGTTAAAGAGACTTGGATTCTCCTTGAGCGGCTGCGCTATAAACGTGTACCAATACTATAGTGGAAACTATCCTAAAAAATGCGATGCTAGTTGCAAGCAAGTGTAGCTCTTACAAGCCCAGCGTCACTAGGATGCGTAGTAGACATAGACTTGAACGTGTCGTGGCATGGCTTCGAGGTTGGGGCTACTGCTTGAGTCGCAAACATTGATCCTCTACTGGTTCGAGTGTAGGACTTTCAAATGAATCTCGCAGGCCTTTTATATCCGGCTTCATGTAGAACTCGGGAATTGCGTCTGCCATCTGACCTCTCTACCCCTAGCTCCTCCATCAGACAAAATGCTGAAAAGACCTGGTTCGCAAAACCCCTTACCACGAAGCCCCAGGGGGCCTAGCGCCAGTCTCGCGGCGCCTCAAACGTCGTCCGGATCCGCCTCGAGCAGTTCGATTCATACACGGTACTGAATTGACTGAATCGAATGCTCAGCAACTCACAGACTCACAGCCCCATGCAACATGATATCGATGCAGACCGCAACCCGTCCACTTTACCTTCCTCGAGAGGCAAAAAAAGGAACGGAGTCGTGCTTCGGCTGATTAATCCGGCTAGGAAGTGTACTAGATCAGGGCCAGGAACGCTCCCGCTGCCACGGGTTATATATTTCCTGCTTCGGAGCAAGCTTCCTTCAGCCCTACCGACGGCTTTCCCATTTCCCACACTAGAGACACTCAAGGCTCAGACCAAGTCCAGTGCGTATCCTGCTAGCATAGCATAACCTGAGGTACGGAAGGCCGCATGGCGCTGTGTACCTAGTACTGGCCGCCGCAACACCCGCCGTCACTGTTGCACCTTCCTTACTACCCCCAACAGTCGCCCAGGTGATGCCGCGTACCTTCCTTTTCATCCGAATACCTTTACCGGCGGGTAAGGAAAGGACGTTCGGAGCGCTCATCCCCGACTCGTTCCTTCCATATTATCCATGATATTCACCATGGCACCTTGCTCAATTTGCACTCTACTCGTCACCTAGGAGACGGCACGTGCCTTCCTATAAGAACGAAGACAATTCTTTTGTTCAAATAAGGACGGTACGTCCAGATAAGGTTACTCAGCTCCGATGAAGGTCGCTCTTCTCTTGTTTGTTTATATGGTTAGGGCTATGGTTGGAAGCTGCGGTGGACTCTGGACGATCCTTGCATGATTTTTTCTTCTCGGATAGGGTCGTTGTTAAAAGAACCTTAGAATGATTGTATACTGCATCGGTGACAAGAATAAAGCTCTGTCTGGCTTGTTTAACGAAGTACAGTAGTTTTGCCTAGTAGTACAAGTAGTGCAAGCCGTGCACGAGCCATAGCTAGTACTTCTTCTAACCCTCACGAGCTCTCCTCCGAACATTGCACAAAAGCGAGCGATTACGACCCGCTAAGCAGCCGTGCCACGGCCCTCGATTCCAGCTCAGTATGCTACGCTACTGGCTAAGGTGACGCGCATGGCGGCGCCGGCGCCGGCTACAAGCCCGACCCCCGGTCTGCTGTGTCGCGCCACCGGACTCGGTGGAGCTCGCAGTACTCTCATTGGAAGCAGAAGCAGAAGCAGAAGCAGAAGCAGAAGCAGAAGCAGAGCCAGAGCTAGAGCCACCAGTGTAAACGGGCGGACCAGGCATGGGGTATTCCTTCATGCCGCCCCAGACGCTGAAGTTGAACGACGGGTCATCCTGCTTGTAGCCGCCGGGGAATTGGATCGTAGAAGCATCCAGGGAGCCGGCGCCGCCGCCTGTGACCTTGACCTGGGCGCAGCTGGGGATGATCAGTATCTTGTGAGAAGGGTACGGGGAGAAATGGAGGAGGAGTGGGGAAGCAATAGCTTACCCGTAGTAGAATTCAGCTTGTCCGTCGTGTGCGCCGTGGACGCCTGACAGGGAAAGAAAATTAGCCTTGGTTTTTCTTCAGAAGCTTGATAAAAGGTAATTGCCAGACATACCGATATGCTCAGGGCGAATCAGGTACTCCCCATCAGGAAGACCCGCAGGGACCGTAAACTCAATCCGGTCTTTATCCCAGGTACACCAAGCATCAGTCTTGATATCCTTGCCCGTATCACAAATACCCTCCTCGTGAATCTTGAACCAGTCGCCATCCCCCTCATACTGATTCGCAGCACCGCCCTCGGGAACCCTGGACATGTACACGAGCCCCGGGCCCGGGTGCTGCATCGTCGCGCCAACACCGAGCTTCATGGCGAGCTTAGATCCAGCTTGCACCTCAGCGGTCTCGGTCTGTGCCGCGAAGGTAAAGGAGCCCTTGTTGCAGCGAAAGTCGGGCATGTCGGGGGTCATGTCGTCGCGGGTGTTCTTCCATTTGGTGGGGTTGTACTTTGCGGGTCGCGTGTTGGAGCGGACGTACTGATTGGGGGTGGTTTCAACGCCGTCGATGACGAGGGTGTCGAAGAAGTAGTGGGCTGACACTAGGGGTGCGATTGCCGCGGTGACAAGAAGGGAGAGCCTCATGTTGAAAAAGAGGAAGCGAAGAAAGAGAAGGCTCAAGTGAATGCAAGGGGCCAGCCCAGAAAAAAGAGTGTATAGCGCGAGGAGCGAATGAGAAAAGACACACAGTGACTTTGAAGTTGCTGGATCCTGTTAGCACTCGGGGGACGCGCCCTTATATCGCTGACGAGTGCGACCCCGGCAGCATAATGGCAGCGTCTGATATGAAGCTGTTTCCCGCTTCTCTGAGTCGGCGAGGGCGATCTGTATATCGGAAACGTGCCGAGCCCGTTAATACCACCCAACTCCACCATGTCTCACCCCGCAACAAGCTTGAGACGCTTCCAGGCTGGCGCCAACAATCGCTAGGACAAAGAATCTGGCGCAAGCGAGACAGGCTCAGGAAGATAAAGACTCGCTGGGAGTACATGTATTATCTTGACGCATTGTATCACTCGGAATATTCGAGCAGGCAGGTTATAGCTCTTCAGCGATCGTAATGTGGATCGATTGCCTGCATCTTAGAATCAGCTACAAGCCCAGAATCCAATGAAACATCAGGCAACAAGCGAACTAAAGAGTCACGGAATGCTCCGAGGCTCGAGCCGCGTAATATCCACAATCTCACTGGCCAGGGGCAGTCGAGTCGAGTCTCGGACCCCTTGAGTAGATCCGCAGCTCCATACAAATTCCCGACACAGGAAAATCGGCCCCACAAGGCGTAGTCAGATCCCCGCCGATGTGTCGAACCTGAAACCAGACTTAGACTGCATTTGGGAGAGGCGCTTAGTATTTCGAGGCCAGAGCTCGTGTTCGGCAGTTCGGGCGCTCCTCCTACAGCCGATACGATTCCTCTGCATCCCCTGCAGAGCGTAACCAGGGAAGGTCCTGGCTAAATGGCAATTTATCATGCGGAGCCAGCTGTTGTGGGTGTATCAGCCAAGGGAACTAAATATAGCCCTAACTCAGCACGCTGGATCCTTCACCCATATCCGGCTTCTCCTCCGCTAATGCGGACCGATCCCGACGTGAAGCATCCAAGACAATGATTGACTGAGTCGAAGCGCTTTGGTCCGACTATGGTAGAAACTGTATCAACGGCTAACTGCAAAGCCATTGCCTTTCCAGACCCATCTTGGTTCACACGCGCACGGTTCAACGAGTTCTGGACAGCCATGGCCTGGAACCGTTCCTGGAACGGCGACTCGACTCCAAGTAACTTTGAACATCCTTGGCGTGGTATATCACTCTTTTGGAGCAGGCAAGGGACGGCGAGAGCCCAATGCGACCGCTACCCAGACCTATCGCAGCGAGACGTGGCGAGAAGCTACTCGGACCTGATAACGAACATCTGGATCCGCTGGGCAAGGCAGAATTAGAATTGGAGATGATAAACATGCTGGACAAGGATTGGACGAGATTAAGTTCCCAGCATTTCTCTTGTACACAAGAAGATCGGCTCGGTTGGGACCCTGAACGTGCGCAAAGCGGATATCTGGTTTGCATCTTTGATGGCGCGAGGGTGCGGTATGTCATTCGGCCGCGGGTTGCCGATGGCATTGAAAATCTTAGTATATTGTCCCTGACCTATTGGCGATGTCGAGCATCGCGATGGTTTCAGAAGAGCAGAAAGGTCCAGCGGGCACTGAGAACATCTTGGTTAGAGAACGTTATATCCAGGGCCTTGTGGAGGGTGAGGATAAGATTCGCCAGGATCTGGTGTCGAGGTATTTCACAATGTGCTACCTGGTCCAGTCGTCAAGTGAATATTGGTGATAAGGATTGGATTGGCGAGTCCTTGTCCCGAGTTAGGAAGGCACACGCGGATTGTTCACCCCCGGCTTCCTTACCTTGCCGAGCTACAAGGAGTATGTTACCTGGAAATCAATAGTATGCTTTACCCGGTCTGAGCGATAGTACTCGTACTAGAAGTAGTCTATGCTACGGCACTAGTAGTACCTAGTAGACAAGTATAAAAGCCTTGGAATAATCACAGAAATAATTTTCGGATCCTTACTTTAGTAATACTGAGAGAAGGCGCGGCGCTGTCTAGGGGATGCAAAGCCAGGGAATTCGCGCTGGGGCACGCCCGGGTATATGGGTTGGGACTGGTGACCCCCTGGGCCCGGATCGTTTAGAGGGTAGGATCATAGAATGGAAGCGCCGTACTATGCAATGTGCCTGCTGCTGCTGGGTCTCCTTCAGGGGCCTTACTAGGTGCGTATCGCCTTACAAGAGGTGGCGGTCGCAGTGGTTGCTCCTTTGATGGGAAGGTTACTCGCGGCAGCATCTCGCGAGGGGAGGGATGCCGTATCATGCCTGGATGATCCAGCGACCCAGCGCTAGGTGACAGCCGCAAACCTGGCTCTTCTGATAATGGCGCATTGTAACCATAGCGTCCAATGGGTGGACTATCTGAGCGGTCAAAGCCATAAGGCGTTCAATTGTATGATGGTGGATACGCCAAGGCTGACTCCTCTCGTTGCAATTTGGAGCCTATGGAAGCAAACTCTGTCTGGGGCGGATATTCCAAGGGATGGTCATCCATTTAGTCTGGTTCCGGTCTTACATATTCCACGAAGCCTGCTGGGTAGCCTTCAAGTTCATCCGGGTGGCTGACATTACTGCCTGCTTCTCTTTGGAACGGAGGTTCTGCACCCAGAATGGGTGTACTTGGCAGGTAGAGCATCCGTCCCTTTGACCAGGTAGGGAGTGTCACGGTGCAATCTGTCTTAGCTGCCTGCACCTGGTGCAGGGCATCTGGTCTTTATCGAGGAGGGAACAGCGGAGGCCTCTTCGGAGGCAGAAGTCGCAAACTTCGTTGAAACGCGAGGGAGCCGGAGGAGGCGTTGGGGGCCGCCTGCGAGGCCGACTGCGGCCACGATGGCCAGTGCCGGAAAAAGTCCTAATTGAGGACAGATGCCCTGGGCCAGACTGTAGCCCCATATCGTCCATCTGCGCCATTTCCCGGTCAGAAGCAGTCACGAAGCTGTTGAAGGCTGGTATGGAGCCCGGATGACTTCTATCGGTGAGAGTCGGATCAAAAACGGTTTCCAAGTCAGGAAGGGCTTCGTTGGGAAGCTGGGGGGAATTGGCGGGGCGCGAGTTCTAGTCATCTACATAGTTCCGCCAGTCATCAGGTGGATATCGTAAGCCACGAGTTTCTGGTAAACCAAACTTAAGTAGACCATCCCAATCGCTCTCATCAGCCAGTAAGCCATTCTCATCCACCGGTAAGCCAAACGGAATAGTCGACCAGAGACTTGTGGTCAAATCAGGCATTATCGACATACCCACCTGATTCTCCAGGGCATCCCCTGCATTGCGGCTGATGGACAGCTCGCTCCGAGCAGTCGTTGTTTGTTGTGGTTGTGACCCATCCGCTTGCTGAAGCCGAGCTCGAATGTGATGCACCCTCTCTCCACAGACTCTGTGATAGTCGTCCTAGTAGGGACAAGGTTAGGGTCTTTCAGATATGTGTCGGTATGAAAGCCAAGTACCTTGCATTTAGCCTCCCGAAAAATTTTTGTCTCAAGGTTCAATCCGGCCTTTGCTGCGCTCCACAGCCCCACCCGTGGCTTTAGAGCGCAAAGCCCAGCAGTCCTGTATCAGTCGCTCAGCAAACGATGCAATACAGAATGCATTATTACCGGCTTGAGCCATGAGGTAATGCTAGGGCTTATAATATCTTAAGGGAATGACGCAACTCACATTGAATGCACTTCGTATGTCCGGTCGCTCACTAGTACCTCCGCTCGCCAACCGGAGAAAGGTCCCTGCGACTGCACATGACGATCAATGACTTTGGTTATAAACTGCATGCCGATTGTTGGGTTCAACTGTGAGGCATTCGCTGGAGGTAGAGGTGACCTATCTTCCAATTCATTCGGCTGGTCTCCGTCCGATACAGCGGGTCGCTCGGTATCGAATGGACGAAGCTCTCCCTCATCGAGAGACTCGAACCAGCTGAGTGAATCGTCATCGCTCCGTGCCTCACTTTGGCCACATGCAGTTCCTGCCTGATGTCTCTGTAGTTCAGTCTTTAGGCGAAATCTCTGGGAGCACCTGTTGCACTTGTGGCACTTCCTTATCACGCGAATGCCTTTCGGAGTCTCCTCAGGCTTATGATAAGTCCGGAGGTGCACCTTAAGCGCCTTTGAAGATTGGAAACCAATTCGGCTAAAGGGACATGAAGCCTCTGTGCATCTGATGCCTCCCGTATGTCGGGTTGATTCATGATCTTCAAGAGCACTCAGTGAACCAAAAGCAGACCGGCAACCATTGAAGCGGCACATATAGGCCAAGTGGCCGAACCGTTGTTTGAATCTGGTTAGTTGCTCCTTGCTGACACCATGGGCCTCTGTCGCAGTAAGCAACGTTTGCATGGTCCGGCAATACGCTTGTAGCATCTCACTCAGTAATGTTGGATCGTTCTCGAGTCTGAATCTGTTTGCTTCTGTTCAACAATATCAGTATTAGGGCTACATTAGCGTCCTAGGCTATTGGACCGAATGGAGAACTGTCTCTGCTTACCAACCCCACTTGTAAATGTTTTCTTCTCCACTGTCCGGTAAAAGCTGAGGGCTTGCTGGAGAAACTGTGCGATCAATGGTAGCTTTACGAGCTCGGCATGTTGAAAAGGGTTGGCAAATGCAAAAACATGGGTTGTCGGTTGCGCAGGCTTCTGAAGCTGACAATGTCGGAGATAGAGCTTCTGAATTTGGGCTAGTAAGATGTCCAAGTGTCCGCTAGCCAATTTTTCCGAATTCTCAAGACAGAATTGGACGTGGTCCAGCCAATTGTCGTACGCATAGCGAATCACACTATGTAATCCACTTGCCACTTGATTGTTCGTAACCGCAGGAGATTCATTGGGGTCAACGAGGCTCAAGCCACCGGTAAGATATGCCAGACAGGCAAATGAGATCCCGAAATGTGCATGAGCTGGAGGTACGACCTTCAGCCCAGGCCCGCGAACAAAATACCTACCAGTACTTAGCTCTGAGCCATAGATGGAACAGTAACCTACTCATGTGCAGTAAAATGTACAAATCTGATGGTATCGCCCATTCCCTCCTCCACTAGTGGTTTGCACTGCCTCAATACTGCGTCCTGTAGACGGGTCTGTTCGCCAAAATCTACATTTTGACGGTGAATTGAGGCGCCACTGAGTGTCTCGTATTTCTTCAGGGGCTTCCTCCCATAAACCATCCAAAAGAGAATCCTCAGCTTGATAGCCCTTTGTGAATCCGAAGAGCTTTCCAGGATTTGATACACAATTCGTCGGTACCTAAGCACCATCAGCTGCAGTGCGCACGCGCAAAATAAAGGTTTCCCACATCTTCTCCAGCCCCTTCGGAAGCTTGTTGACAATCTCGCGAAGTTCCATTAGAGTACTCGCTTGTCGCAGTGATGACGAAACCAATCGCACCCAGAGGAACATGCCTTCATTTGCACTTAGTACGAGATATGCGGCATAGATTGGGGGCATACCATCAGCTTTGTCGATCAGGTCTCTTTCGAGTCCTTCAAGCGCATCATCTGTATCAAGGCAGCCAAAGATCGAACGCAGGACGCTCAACTCATGACGAACAAATGCCTGGATCGCGCTTTGTACAGCAGAAGTCTCACTTTTGAGATGAACTATCTGGCATTTCCCAATTCGTTCCGCAATCAGTGCTGTATCTCGGCTCGCTATCAGGACCTTGCAACCCAGGTTGGCACGATGAGCGTTGGTCAATGTAGTAAGGTAATTCAGCACCTCCTCTTGCTGCTCATGCCCTAACTCATCTACTCCATCAACCACAACTCTGGCTTCCGCGGCTGTAGAGAATAGTACGTGAACCAACTGTTTCAATCTGTGGACGGACGGCGAAAAGCCCTTCTGGATGCATTCGCTGTAAATATACGCTGATCGGATTGGGTTGCCGCGGATTAGCTGTGTCGTTAGTGTTTTCAGAAAACTGCTGAACGTCGTCGACCCTTGTGCATCATAACTGAAAAAGTAGTATGGGACTTCCGTCCTTGAATCCTGCTTCAATGTCTGGATAACAGATGCCGAGAGAACACTTTTCCCTGGGTGCGGTCAGCCATGATAAGAGGTTAAAGTAGCGGCCGTTCTACCTGCTCCTGGTTTTCCTGTCAACCATACCAGCGGATTCTCCCTTCCAGCTTCTCTCCATCGCCGTATCTTGTTGTTTGCGAATACCCAACTGCAGGAGCCCTCATACTGGAGTCCATATAAGCGATCGAGTTCGTCCTCTTGTTCGTCCTTGACGTCTAGCCACGCTAACACTGACTGTAGCCGGGATTGCGTGTGCGCTTGCTCGGCCTTTCTCCACTCTTCGAGGCGTCTTTCACGTCGGTCCATCATGTCAATGATCGTTGTAGTCCCCAATTCTTGGGTCATACATTCACAGACTTCGACCAGGTTTTTCAGAATCAGTTCCCGGCGATCTTCGGATTCCTTCCAGTTTGTCGTGAAAAGGGGCATCCAATCTGCAAAGCCCTTAGTAAAGGTAAAGCTCAAATCGGCACGCGGAACGTACTTTTGTTATCGAAAACCATAAATAGCCCCCGATAGAAATCAAGAACATCGACGTATATCAAAGCCAGAACCTTCTGGCTCTCTGCAAAGCTTTGGCAGTTGCTCAACATGGTCGGGGTAGGAAGTATCTCAGCAACATGCTTGTACGCTTCAAGCAGTCGAGGCAGAGAGTTGAGATCTTTTGAGCTTACTTGAAGCAGCATCCATACTGGAGCCTACAATACTCAAGTTAGACATCCTGCCTTCGGAGCTGGGAAGACTCGCCGTAACTGACCCATAGCCATGATAGATAAGGAGTGCCAGCACATAAACAGTCGATGGCACCGGAATACTCTCGCAGCTTCCGTAAAAGCGGTATGATAGGTCTCATGTTGCGAATAGCCTCCGACTTGGCCAGGTCTCTCTCAAGACCACGCGCTTTGTTATCGACGTCCTCAATCGACATGTCAGAGAATGCCACTGATTCTTCAGGGTACATCGCTTCAACAGTCTTTCGGAGCTTGTTGTATGCGCCCGAAATTAGGTGCTTTGCCTGAGGCGAATAGAATATAGTATTTGGATTGCTCACTGCATCAATCATCAGCTATCAAACTAGGACTCGCAAGAATGCTCTCGTTTCATACCTTGTAGTGCTTCAGCTCGTGTACTCGGTCGCCCATTGATGACGGATAAAAGCTCTTTGGCATAGGCGGCAGCCGTCAGTGCTGCATATCCTTGCCAGTCTGTATTCTTATGTGAGTCTGAGTAGTCTGAAATCCCACGAATAACCAGACATGGCACTTGGTCCATCAATCCAGCTGCTTCCATCTCAAAGCACAGGATTCCAAGCTGTTTTGCAAGTTTGTCCCGGGTTGGTGCATGCTTTATGACTTGGTTTCCAGAAGCAATCAAGCCATAATGGACCTGCAGCGAGTCGTTGTCTCGTCGAGGATATCGGGTCACAATTCGACGATTGTCGCACTCTGTGCAGGTTTTATTCGTTGCAGGGTGGTCGTAATCCGACTGATAAAGAGCATCATGCTGTTTGCCAGGATATGAAAACGTGCTTCTCATTCCCTCGTTTTCTTCCAATTTTTTCGACACAATGTGTGCGATTTGCCCCTTTCCAATCATGTACTTTGCTTGCAACTGGGCAACTGCCGTGAGAAATAAGATTGGCGGTTTATCTAGACTTCCGACTCGTTCTAACTGCCCACCAGTCGTCGTTTTGCCATAGTCATACTGTATTACTCCCCCTGAGGTGCCAGTCGGCTTGCTGACCACCACATCCCCTAGCCGAATATCGACATCCGGGGTTGGAGCCCCGCCTCCAATGCCGACCATCAGCGCTGACTGGATTTGGGGGAAGGTAAAACGCATCTGCACAACACTCGCAGTAGCTGAGATGACTCCGTATATCCCAGTTGGAAGGCAGGCGATCGCAACGTTATGGTTGCCAATCCTCCCTAGCGTATAGGTATTGCTGTCATTCGGTGACTGTGGCAGGGGCTGGTGAACTTCTTCAAGCATCACCGAGGCGGCTGCCATTTCCAAGGGCAGCGCGCAAACCCATCCCATAAGATAGTCACTGTGTGACAGCCTCGTGCTCCAAGACATCACGTAGTTGGACACCAGTTTCCTAGTCCTGGCTAGGGGTGCGCATGGCTTGGCTTCACGGTGTGAATATCGAAGAAACAGTTGTAGAGTTGGAATACAGAACCTGAACCTCAAGTTGAAGACATTTTGATATGGAGAAGACGGTGAAAGTGATGGGATCCTTCTGTGGGTGTCGTGGCTGAGAAATAAAAGGCAAGCACTGCCTCGTGTTACCTCTCAGCCCCAACACTGAACCCCCGCGGCGTCTGACCACATGATCGGACTAAGAGCTTCCTCTCATCTCAGAACTCTTGTGTTAAGCCCTTTTCCATCCCAAGGGTCTCCCAGAGCCATGCATCCCGAGCACCGTCATAATTGACGAGCCTCGGGCTTCTCGGCCTTTGTCATGTTCTCGCGTTTCCCTTCGCCTTGCCTGCCTCGCCTGCCAGATGAGCCCACGCAGAAACGCCAAAAACTCTTCCATCCAGTGACTGAATCAGCTGTCATTCCCAGCGATCAGAACGACTACTTCGATCTCCAGGTCGATTCCGTCGATGGCTCGATAAAAAATGAATCCCTTTCTGCCGAGTCCGCTGCGATTTCACCTTGGTCGCTTTCCACAACGGTCGAGAATTTCTCTCGGATTAGTTCGTCAAATTCGTCGGTCGGCCAGAGCACGCCAGTCTTTTCCGACTGTTGCACAGAACAAGCCGGCGATAACGATTCCATATCGGCCTGTTTAAATGGCCCAAAATCAAACGGACATGACTTGGAGCTTCCAAGCGCCTCTGGGGAAAGCACAAAGCAGGGTGGATTAGTATGCTTTGGGGCGGTTTGTTCCTTCGCAAGTCCAGTTGTCCAGTGTCTCGATTGCTGATCCACTCTTCGGTGACAGGTGCTTGATCTCCCCTTTGTCCCGTCCCCCTCCGCTCCACCCGCTCCCACCGATCTCCCCACTACCCGCCTTGCCTACAACCCATCCAACGCCCTTCTCTCCGAAGCCACAACCGAGCAGCCTGTGGGGTCAGTGGCGAATCCAGAAACCCAACAATTCCTCTCCATTCTCGCCCAAGAAGAAGGCATTGAGCTTCAGATCCAGTTACGTCGCGAAAAACGTGCCAAGAAGGCGTACGGCAATAAGGGGAAAGGAGGTGTCTCGCTCAGCTTAAGGCTGAATGTTATCGTGTACGGCCCCGTCGATCTTTTCGACGATATCGGAGACTTTATTCAGGAAAACGGCCATTACCTCCAGGAACCGAGCCACTGCGACCGCAATGTACCCTACCGTAACCCGCATTGTATGTCGGGTGAAGACGATGAAGTGCCCTTCACATTTGATCTTGGAAAGCAGGAAGATGACTTTGTCCCGGCCAAAGTACCTAATCTTTTGTTCTGTTTGGAAACTTGTGAAGTACTCCCAGAAGACCACGATCCTCCGGGCTTGACAACTTCACTTTACGGGTAGGTGGTCTTCCCTGTCTTTGGTGTGTCAGGAAGCTAATCGCTTGCAGTCATCAGAAGCAGGCACTCACGTTCATGAAGCGGCGAGAGAACGGATGGTCGCTCCAGAATCCGGGGTCCGACTTGTGGAGCGCGGAGATAACGTCCACAGGAGAAAGAAACTACATCAATAACATAACCGGAGACCTGGCTCACCACCCACCTCCCGTCTTTCGAGGAGGTATACTTGCGGATGACATGGGTCTCGGCAAAACGCTTACCATTATCGCATTGGTTGCGTCCGGATATCCACAGTCCCCAGACGTCATGCGGTGGGCCCAGGAGAAGGAAACAGCATTTCGCCAGGTACCTAAAGAACGCGTAGGCCTATTCCAGCCACTTGGAGGCGACAAGCAACTCGAATACGCGCCGTCGACTCTTCTTGTCGTCCCCTCGTCTGTTCTTCAGCAATGGGAAACTCAACTCAATCAGCATCTGCAAAGAAACGGTTCAGTACGCTGGACCTTTCACCATGGATCATCGAAGATCAAGGCACGAGAACAGATCAAAGACTATGCGATTGTGGCAACCACCTTTCCGACATTGGTATCGGAGTACCAAAAAGCCGAGAGTCCACTTTTCACTACATTCTGGCGCCGAATAGTGCTGGACGAGGCGCACTGCATCCGGAATAGGCATACCGTTACCGCCAGAGCTATATTTGACCTAGAAGGACATTCGCGGTGGGCAGTGACTGGCACTCCAATTCAAAACCGCGTATCCGACTTCGCCAGCCTTCTACAATTTCTCAGGGTACATCCCTACTGCGATCGGAAGGTCTTCGCCGAAGACATTGTCAATGTTTGGCGATCGGAAGATGAAAACCTTGCCCTAGACCGTCTAAAGCGCCTTTTCAAGTACATCAGTATCCGACGTTCGAAGACAATCTTAGACCTTCCCAAAAGGACGGATCTTGTGCGCTACCTCCAGTTTGACGATGACGAGTGGGCTGCCTACAAGGCCCTTGAGAATCCGATTGTCACAATGATCGACGGGGAGCTGCAGAGCGACAACCAACGCGCAAATCAGTACATGGAGGCTCTAGCGAAGATCAGTCTACTGCGGAGGTTTTGCAATTTTGGTCCCACCCTACCAGAGTTTGAAGTCTCTGACAGCTGTGCCAGCTCTCCCGCTCGGAGCCAAGGACTCTATGTACAAGATCTCCTTGATGATCTTTTGAGCTCTGGACAAGGCCTTTGTTCAAACTGCAACAGTGCAATCAATGCCATGCAAATTGATATGGCAGGGGCCATCGCCTACTGGACTCAGTGCTCCAGTCTTATTTGTTGTGCGTGCTACCGTCCGACCATGAATGGACGTGACTCGAAAATTCAGTCCAATATGTGCGTTGGTCACATACCCTGCGACATAATACCGGTGCCACCTCCAGGTGGGCTATCCTACAGAACGTCCGTTCCATTTCTACAAATGCCGACCAAGGTGAGGTCTCTTCAAGAGGAGCTACTTCGACACGGAGATGAGAAAAGGTACGTGTATACTTGGGCTCTCCATTGCATCCGCCGCTAATATCGCCCACAGCGTGGTTTTCTCGTCCTGGACCACAACCTTTGACATGATTCAGTCCATGCTCGACGCTTCACAGATCTCATATGTTCGTATTGACGGCAAGGTGTCACAAAGAAACCGGGCATCAGCACTGTCGAGGTTTCAGACAGACTCTTCAATTCAGGTGATGCTTCTTTCGATATTCTGCGGGGCGGAAGGGTATGTATTCTCCATCACACTCCAACTATTAGCTCCAGTGCTAAAACCGAGTTCAGCTTGAACATTACCGCCGCCTCCCGAGTGTACCTCATGGAGCCTCAGTGGAATCCGAACATAGAATCACAGGCCCTGGCACGAGTGCACCGTCTCGGACAGACGCGAGAAGTGACCACAATAATGTTCATCATGAAAGACTCGATAGAAAGTGTACGTCCTATCCGACTCTCTCATACTCACTTCTTCCACCTCAACCTAGTTTGTAACCTCCTCAGAAACGCAAGCTAACTCGTATGCAGCACGTTATCAATGTACAGGATCGGAAAAAGCACCTCGGAGACCTTTTGCTTTCGCAAAGCCGGGGCGGCGCAGAAGTGAACCGCGCTCGGTTGCAACATCTACGGAGTTTACTGAATTGACCCATTGCATTTCCGGGGGATATATAGGGCATATCATTGGGACGGTATTAGCGAGTTGGGCTCATAGTTATGGTTTATGATCTTGTTCTTTTTGTTTGTTTATAGAGATACCCTGCATACCCTGCATGTTATATCTTGGCGCCTGTTCGAGTGTTCCAAAGCCGCAGTTCTAGAATAACCGTCACACATCAATCTCAATCCTTCAGCCCATGTTGATTTTTCTTGATGCCGCTGGCGCGGTGTATGGAAATACCTCTGAGATACTCCTAAGAACGAAAACATCGGCACTCAAATTGATCCCAAGGACGCGGCCGCGAGCCCTCGAGACATTTTTGCTGGAGTGCGGCATATCCTTCTCTTCTGCAATCTGTTAATAAACCATCCATACATATATATCTCCTGCCCAAATCAGGCGCATAAAACTACAAACAATTCAGCTTGAACAAATGCTACCACTGCGGGTTCGTATCCTCCGCCAACTGCGTCTCAGCAGACGCAGAATGCTGGTGTCCGAGTCTAGACTTAGACTGGCCCTAGGATCATAGTACAGGTCTCTATTCGTACGGATACAGTATTCCTCAGATATTCCTCCTCTTGTGTTTAGATCTTCTATCGAGATATCCAGACGAAGACGATGGGCGAGAACAGCTACGGATGGAAGGTAGATGACGGAAGGGCAAATGGAGTCCATTGCAGATATTCATTTATTTTTTCGATTATATATTTCATAGTTGTAGGAACATTAATCGAGGCTTGTAGAGCCAGATCAAAACTGGGTATATTTATAGAAAGCATGGCGAGAGCCGCGGGGAATTAAACTCAGCAGTGAGTCACGCAGGTAGAAAGAAAGCAGAAGGATAAGAGAGAGAAAGTCAAGTCTTCAACTTCAACTTCGACTTGGATTTCGAGCCCCCATACAAGAAATGTATGGACTGAGGAACAGCTCAGTTCAGCTACCAGAAAGCACTCTATGCATGCCCGTACGCCGCAGGAACAGGCACAGGCGCATGGACCGTCCCCTCCACCGGCGAAGCCGAGTAGTACTGCTGTTGCTGGGGTTGCTGAGGCAGACCCTGGTTCTGAGCCATCTGGGGCTGCAGGGGCGGCGCACCAACCGGCTGCTGAGCGGTCGTCGCAGAATCATCACCCGCCTGATGCGAGCCCGCAATCATAAGCGCACTGATGAACGCGAGCACGTAGAAGAACCGTTCGAGGAAGACCTGGGCATCTTGGGATTTTTCGTAGGAGCTTGCGGACCGGGTTCGGTTGCCGTAGCTTAGGTCGGCGTAACCACCCATGAGCACGAGGGTTAGGCCGAGGGTTGAGATTATTAGGGTTGGGATTGCGAGGAGGAGGGACTGTTGGTTTTGTTAGTTTGGGTCTTGCTGGGATGTTTGGTTTGGAAAAAGGGAAGGAGAGTGACTTACGCCCTTGCGAATATTCGCCCTACGGAAAAGCGCGAAGAAGAGGTTTGCGCCCCCGAGAAGGGCAGCGAGGAAGAGGAAGACGTAGTATGTCATCGTCACATCCCTTGAGGCCTCTGGAAGATCACTATCGATGCTATCTCCGCTGCGATAGATGGCATCCTGGATGCGGGTGAAGGTGGCGAGGCTGACGATGAGGAAGATGCCTGTTAGGCCCAGCCAGACAGAGTGGACGATGAGGGTTAGGGATGCGATCTTTCCGCCGCCCTGTTGCAGCTTCAGGCAGATCGGGAGGAGGATGAGGACGATCAGCAGGAAGACGGATAGGTTGTCGAACCAGGTGACGGCGATTTGGGCGAGTTGGTACTTGTCGCTTCGCATCATGATGCATTGGTTGAGGATCAGGGTGATGAAGTCGATGAGAAGGTATCTGATCAGAGAGTTAGTTTTGATCGTCGAGTTCGTCAGGCAAGTTGAACTTACAGGATAGCGAAGAAAAGCGACACAGGGAACAGGAACCATCTCCCAAGGGCCGCGCCCTTGCTCTTGCTCCTGAGAAGCCTGAAGACAGCAAGGCCGCCGATGAGGAGGAATAGAACGAGGAAGATCACGTCAAAGGCGAGGTCGACACGAGGGCCGGTCGTCTGGAATGCAGCATCGGTGACACACGAGTCGCTGGTTGACGAAAACGAGTAATCGCTACCAAGAGACCCATAGCCAGGTGGAAGGTCTCCCGAGATAGGGGTGTCCGAGTCCCCAAAGCCGGAGGAGCCTCCAAAGTCATAAGACCCAGAGGAGGAGTCATCGTTCGAGTCGGAACCATTGAGCAAGTCGTCGTAATCAAAATCACTATCGTCATAGCCGTAATAGTCATCGCTGGAGCTACCCGAGGTAGGCAGGCTTGAGCTTGTGTCAGTACCAGTAGGGTAGTAGTCATCAACATAGTCGTCGAGATAGTCGAGATCAGAGCTATCTAGGCCATAGTCGCTGAGATCCGAACTATCGATACCATAGTCGTCTAAGAGATCATCAAGGTAGTCGGACATGGTGATCACTTCGTTCTGAGCAAAGGAGAGAGAAGAGAAAGGCAGTCAAAAAGAGAGGACAGAAAAGCAGAAAGCTCCGGCCACCTGCGAGGCTGAAGGCGTCCATTTGTACATGCTCGACACGCGTGAAGACTGCTTCGCCAGACAAACCCAATTTCGACGACAAACGACGATCCCATGAAGTTCGCGCGATATGGTTGGTTCAAGACGACAACATTGAGGCTCCAGCACGGAAATACGAGGTGTATTTTTAGTGGAAATTGAAGGAGGATGCGTTGAGCAATCACTGCGCAGCGCAACCGATTCTGCAGGCGCTAGTGGACTAGGGTCGTATTTAACCTTTGCTCACGTCGAACAGCACGTTTCGTTGAAGAGTCAGGATCCGAATGCCTCCCTTCACAGCGCCAACTGTGCCGCCATGTTCCTGTCATTTCCACATTGAAGGACAGGCTGCATCTCGGAGTCGAGGTATCGCATCCCCCTGGAGAAATGGCTGCTCGGTGAGGAGACCATCACGTTGAAGGTGAAGCAGAGCTCAAGTTTTGGACTTTGACCCAAGCCCCCATGTCCTCCCGAATGACCGTTCCCTTGTTGCGGCTCATCATCATCATCTGATCCCTGGACCCTAGCGTCCCAAGCCACGATCTTGTAAACTTAAGAGCACGAGCGGGAAATGATCGGCCCAGCTGAAAGCGCTTAGGGTCGGAAAGACCTTCCCTTGGTTGGACAACGCATCAGGGTCTGCATCCTTCCAGCCCTAACCAGTCTAGCCCAGTATTGACTCAAGGGAACAGCCCCCAAAGACTAAGGATCTTCAAAGTTTCCCATAGCGCAGAGTCTAATCGTCGTTTTCCGAGTTGCTGCTGTTGATGGCGTCGTTGGGCGCTTCCAGTTCAAAGGGAAGAGTTGCCGATGGGCGCCTAGCGGATTCTGCCTGTAAGGCAGTTGCTGGAGATATTATTATCAGACGGGTGATGATTCCGATCCAAGAGCCCACTCGTGCCTGATTATTATTCCTCCATCCCATCTCAAGATTCAATAGTCCAACCGTCGCTCGTGTCCCGTGGAATGCGCCTTGTGCTTGCTTGGGGAAGGATCAGCATCAGCCCTCGTATTGCCCAACACAAAGGGAAAAAGGGGCAGGACAAACAAACAAACCTCTCAAGTCGCAGCCATCGAATGCAGAATGTGAGGGACGATTCGGGGAACCAATCAGACAAGGACTTCTCCCACGCCAATTTAAAACGATTTGTGAGCGTGGAGGCTGAGCGTTGCAGGCTGCAGATTCACAAGGTGAGGGTGAGGTCGGGTTAGAGAAGTGAGTAAGATGAGTCTCCCCCCAAGAATCCTCACGTCAGATCTCTATCTCGACTGGTGGATGCATTGACTGTCAGATTCGGTGGCACTCTTTCTCGCTGGACTGAACTGGCGCCTCGGTCTTGGGGTGGAGTTGGTAGTTGAACCAGGCTGTGTCGGTGGTACAGTCGAAATTTCTTCGGAAACGTTTCCCTGGCCGGTGGGGTCTGGCCCATCCTGGCTCGTTTTCTGTGCCTCAGGAAAGCCCTAAGTGCTTTAGAGTCAAGTATTATAATATAGATATGTCTCCAGTTCTTCCCTGTCTGTTGGAATGGAAGGATGTAGATTTCACAATTATTTGTCCACGAATATAGAGGAGATCACCTGGTAGCTGTCCTCCAGCGTCCATCCAGCGTCCATCCAGATTCCTAGAGCCCTTAGAACCCAGCTCGAGGGGAGAAAACGTCATGACTGTAGTGCTTAACCGAGATTTCTTAAACACTCCACTCCGTCGTCGCCCCAATATCCTCGCCAGAAACCGGAATCAAAAAATCACTCGCCTCAATCCTCCCATCGACATTCCTTTCCCCCTGCACAAGCTCCGTATCAACACTCAGAAAACTGTCATCATCCCAAGTATCACCCCCATCCCACGAATTCCCTTCAGAGATCTGCTCCTTACTCAGACTCGTCGGCTTCTCTCCATTCGACGCAGCGATATTCCCCGTGAGCGTCGCGACAGCCGTCCCGAATCGGAAGCCAATGGCGCCGTTGTCCCAGGCTGTGTTGCGGGTGAGGACGAAGTTGCCTGGCTGCGAGTTGTCGGTGAAGCCGTCGTGGGCGTTGCTGAAGGCGATACAGTTTGTGAGAACGTGGTTTGCGGGGCCGATGTCTGCGTCGTCGCCGCCGCCGAGCTTGTAGCCGTTGCCGTCGCCTTCGAAAGGGGTGAAGTCCCATCTGGGAACAGTTGTTAGTATGGGAGGATGAGCTGGGTGGATGAATGAGTGGGTGAGTGGGTTACCGGTTGAAGCCATTTCCCCAGGAGATTGTGTCTTCAATTGTTACGGCGGACTTGAACTCCCTAGTTCTGTGAGTGGGCGAGCTTATATAGACAGTAGGTGCTGATGGACATACCATAGATCAAGTCCATCGTCGACGTTATTCCACAGGCGTGCTCCACGGAGGATATTGCCCTCTCCCGAGCCCTCCTTACAGGCGAACCCATCTGCGCTCTCACCGTTCTTGCGCGGGTCACGGTTCCCGTACGAGTCGAGATACAGGACGACGTTGTTAGAGGCTGCGCCCTGGATCTGGAAGCCTGCTAGCGTCAGCACGAGCCCTATAGTACCAAGAACGGTGAGAAGGTCACAAACCAGTCTCGTAGTTATCCCTTGTAACAATGCGCTCGTAATGGTTGTTCGATGCATCCCGCGAGTACACTCCATACGGCCCGTTGATTAGCTCAAGGTCGTAGAACTCCCAGTACTCTGCATCCTCAATGTGCAGGATTCCGCGGTCGCTGTTGGGCAGCGAGGCATCTAGGTCTGCTGGTGTACTGGTTCTGTTAGATCCAATGATTTACTGTGTGGTGGCGATACAATACTTACCCCGGAAGCTTTTCGCCATCGATGATGACTGCCTCGCCTTCATAGGCGCGGAGAACATACGGCGCTGACGCCGTGCCGCTCTTGGTGATTTGGATGTTTGACGTCGGGGAGTATGTCCCGCCACGTAGGTAGATGGTGTCTCCGGCAGACGCCTGGTCCACCGCTAGCTGGATGGAACGCAGCGGTGCTTTGATAGTTCCTGCAGCGTTGTCTGAGCCATCAGGAGAGACATAGATATCTGCCGCGAGGACAGCAGGGAGGAAGGCTGCAATGCCCCAGAGTGAGTTCTTCATTGTCAGGATAGTGACGACGGTGGCTTCGAACAGCGAATTTGCTGAAGAGCAAGAGCCTGATACTTATATATGAAACGATCCACACTAATGGCGACATGGTCTCCAATTGCCGGAAAATCTCCATAAGAACAAATTGAACAATCAATATATCCGCGCAAGCCAAGCCTGCTAGCGTTTCGCGTTGATTTATACTCCTGTCGATTAATCCCTTGCTCACTTCCGTGAAGAATCCGGGCTCCGGGTGTATAATCTATTTCTCATATTCTCCGAGGGCTCGCGCAAGCAGTTCTGGGTACCATCTCCGACCGACGTCCTGGTGACTGATGATCCGGTGTATCAGGGTGCCCTCGCCAGTGCGACCGCGGAATATTTTGTTAAAGGTCACCTCAGCGTCCGACCGTGCCTTTTCGTCGCCAACCAACTCTTTGATATGCTCCGGGAATTCCAGGTTGATATTTTCGACTGACAAATCCAGACTCATGCCCTGGAAGACGGGGATGGAGAAACGCGGGCCCAGCGACTCGCCGTCGGCATTAACATAGTTCTCCGGCGCAAGACTCACACGGTGCGTCGTCGCCGTACAAACACCCCCTGTAATCGCCTCGAGTGCGCGCCCGATATTAACAACCAGCGAGCCCTCGATTGGTGGAGCGGAGATCCATACCCCGGATTTATTCTGCACCTCGAGGCCATCGTGCGGGGTTGCCTGGAGGAGAAAGGTGAGGAACTCCGAGTCCTTGTGCGCGCCGACACCTTGCGATTCGGCGTCGCTGCTTGGTGGTGGGTACTTGATTAATTTCATCTTCTGCTGTACTGGGACGTCGAAGAATTGCCTCAGGGCTGTCGATGGCAGGTCTAGGGCCTCGGCGATCAGGACCTGGAAGTTCTCCGCTACTGGGCTTAGTTCCGCGAGGTAGGCCTCGACTGAGGTGCGAAAGCCTGGAATTGCGTTTTCGTCCGGCCACTAATACTAAGTATTAGTTGTTGGGTCCTATATCCGGTTGGATAAAACAGTGAGATACCTGATTCGGCCCTCGAATATTGCGATACAAAGGCTCATCCGGACCAGGCTCGGGTAGCTCTGTCGCAAACTATACCAGCGTCAGTCAAAACAAGCCAACGTCTCCTACACTCGAAAGTGCCAGAGAAGCGCACATCAAACTGTTCACGAAAGTCCTGCTTCCTGGCGGTGATCTCGGCGCCAAGCCGAGAATAACCGAGGAAATGCTTGCTGTTGACCATTTCAATCTCGAGTTTCTTCTCTAGCGGCAGCTCGAAGAGCGCTTTGCATTTCTTCACCAAGTCCTCCCTGATATTGGGGGCGATCGGGGCGTTGACGAGGTAGAAGAACCCCACGTTGACCAAGGCATTGCGGAGTTCGGCGAGAAAGGCCGGCTTTGTCGTTGCCGAAGTGGATGCGGCGTAGTCGAGGATGGGGATTGCCGTGAATGAGTCAGTTTGGATCGTCATTTTGCGAGTTTGGTGAGCTTGTTGGTGTTTGGTACATGAGTTGATGAGCAGGGAGGAGTGGAAGGGGTGAAATAGCCGAGCCAGACGAGTTGCGTCTTTTTAGCGGGGGTGGAATCATCCCACCAAACTCCAACGCAAGCTGGGGTGGACTGGACCGACAAGATCGCCATCTTCCCCGGATTTTACGTGAGTAAGCTTACTTTGATGGACAAAGTTTAATCCTCCAAGGAATTGATCAGATGTTTATTTAAAGAATTAGAATTATATACAACAAGCTTTAGTTAGGTGCCTTGCCTGTCCAAGTTCGTCAAGCCATAGCAAAATACAGTCTGTCACGAAGCAAAAAAGTCATCTCCAAGGGTATTAGGTACGATGGACCGCTTAGAAGGCAGCAAGGACCATCATGGCACCGGCAGCGAGGATGGCAGTAGAGCCGGAGAGGGTCATGGCACCATCTATTCATCGTTAGTGAGTGTTCTTCGGTTAAGGCCTGCAAGACAGAGTAACATACCATCATTGTCCCCAGAGTCCTGGGCAGGGGTGCTGTCATCAGCAGTCTCGTCGCTGGAGTCGTTGGAGTTGTTGGAGTTGTTGGAGTTGCTGTTGCTAGAGTCATCACTGGAGCTCGAGTCGTCGCTGGAGCTGGTGTTGTTGGAGGTATTGTTGCTGGAGCTGGTATCGTCCGAGGTGTCGTTGCTGGAGCTAGTATCGTCCGAGGTGTCGTCGGTGGATTCATCACTGCTACTGCTGCTTGAACCACCGCAGATACCCTCAACCTGGCTCGTGAGCGCATTGGGGTCCAGGTCGGCCATGCCCTCGAGATCAGAAAGCTCGCAGGAGGAGTTCATGGCGCAGTCTGCGATGTCGGTCATGAAAGACTCAAGCATAGCAGTAGCGTCTTCCATTGAGCTCTGGGTGGTGCAAAGGCAGTCGGTGTCGCTGATGCTGCAACCAGAGGCAGACTCGATCGCCTCTGTGGCGCAAGAGCGCAGGCACTGGGGCAGATTGTCGTTGATGTAGTCCTCAAAGGTATCGGCCACGACGGCAGAGGCGCCGAGAAGAACAACGGGGAGAATGTAACGCATGTTGAAGGATATGGGATGGTACTTTGCTTGGGAAAGATTAAGCGAAGGGATAAAGAAAGACTCAGGACGAGGAGAGGGGAAGAACAGGCGGACTCGGACTGTTTAATAGGAGGCCGCCGAGCCTTCTGGGGTTTTCATTTCCAGCCCTCCAGGGCGTGGACAAATCAGTTGAGGCTCATTTCAGGGCCCAGGCAGACCCTCAAAGTGGAGGTGAAGGGGCACTGCGCGCGCATTGAGCGATATGAGTGGCAGTTGTGGCCATGGGGCAGTGGGTAGCGTCGTGTTGGAACCTTACCAGGCCGATAGAGGAAATTAAAATCGAGGAGAAACGAACCAGAATGGCTCAGTTGTTGCCCTCCGCCCCCAAAAGAGACCCTCAAGGGCCAGGAAAGTCTCGGCATTGGAACTAACGTCCACGAAATAAAACCTCATTCGACAATGGAAACCAGAATGCAAGCCTCTGGGAAAAGCTGAGGAGTTGTGTCATTGGGATACTTGGCTTGACAAATCTATTAATAACGGTAAATTTTGTCGAGTCTTCCGTGGACGTTGCAATTATTGAGAATCGAGACGACTCCAGTTCCCTCGTCGTCGGAGAATCGTCGGCGAGTTTTGTTAGCCTTTTGGTGGATCTCTTCAGGGACCTACTCCGAGTAGAGTCCCAGACGAAAGGACTGGCTGAAACTAGCTCGCGTTAGCTGACCTGGTCTGGAAAGATTTCTGGAGGATTGTCACAATCCTTCCACTTGAAACAAACGCTGCAGGGTCTCTGGTGAAAAAGCCATCATCCCACCAGTTGTCCAGGTTATAATTTCCTGAGATGCTCATCTCGCGGCGGTGTTTTAGGTTCCTTCGTCTGCGTACAGCCCCTGAGTCTCAGTGATCGTCTCTGCCAAAGCGGCCTCGCTTCGTATTGCCTCGAACCAAGTTCCGCGGCAGTGCCCAGCAGCTCAGCCGCAGAATCGTCTCCATGAGTCGGTCTCCAAATTGCCGCTCCACATATTTCCACCGAGACCGGTTTTTTTCCTTGTAATCGGAACAAGATTGTTGCAAGATTCTCAACTTATAGATACACCAAAAAGGAAGCATATTTGCGATGGGCTCAACGGTGGTGCAGACACGAAGTCTGTGTTACACAGACAGTGCGTGCAGGTGGCCTTCCAGTCGAAATTCACTGCAGGTGACACCGAGGTTCCCCACTTTTCTTCAGAATACGAGACCAGGAGCCTGAAGACCGCAGCCAGGAGCTTGGCATCACGTGTTTTGACAAGGATGACCAGAGGACCTGGACACTCGCTGAATTGAGTGAGGTTATACAAACTCATCAATCGTGGGATACCAGGCAACCAAAGGATCCTGTGGTCGCCGGTGTTCGTCAAGGCAGGAATGGGCCAGAACCACGGTCGCGGCGATCCCAACCCGCAGTTCACAATTCGATCAATCTTTCGATTCGTTCATCAGGAAAGATGAGCTCATGGGGCGAGCTTCTCCTCTTTGCAACCGACCGGAACGAATCATGAAGGCAGCTGTTCAACAGATGATGTCGTTGACATCATTCTTGGCCTCTCCTCCACAGATCTTGCGTCAATCCTTATCACGATGACTAACCCACAAGGCTGATAGTTATAAGAATCGCTTCCATTGCAAGGGCGCAGCATATAATTCATATATCTTATACTACTGAAATCATTCAAGTCTATCCAGAGTCTCTCCAAGATGAACAAGTTTGCTCACTTAGGCTCCAACCTTGGGCACAAGCAGGAAAACGAAGGCCAGACAGGCTCAAGCGGTGGCCAGACTGACTACCTCGACAGAGGTCAGTTCCCACCCTCTGATTTAGATGCTCTAACAGCTCGATTAATGCCAGGCAGGTCTTAACAACGCCGAGCAGAGAGTTGGCGGCCAGCACTATGATGAAGAGAAGATGAAGAAGCCCAACAAGAAGGTTACCGACAAAATCAAGGATGTGTTCCATGGCAAGACTGGGTATGCATCTTGCTCAAGTCTCTCGTGATAAACATACGCTAACGGTCTTCAAGTCACAACATGCCCGGAACCCATTGATCGTGCTCTTTTATATTGAACCATGTGGTTTGGTCAAGCTGGGCTGGCCAAGTGTATATGTAGTTTAATCAACGCGTCTCAGTCTCTCCCTGCGAGGTAATGAATCATGTATTTCGTTAGTAGGTGCTTACTACTTGCAACGAGCATAGCTTTTCTGTGCGACTCGGAAATCGATACTGTGTTAGATGATCACGTGGTTGGTGTGTACTTCCGTTCTGGGCAATCAACACACCAACACTGGTCGCCCAGTTCCTTCGTCACCCTTTCTCTCAATCACTGCCATAGCTTTCTTGCTTAAACGCTTTGCTATTATCCTCTCGAGCAACGCGAACTCGGTATCACGTTCACACCGAGAGCTTCGTGCCCTTGTCACGCTGTAACCGACCAACACAAAACGCGCTCGGCCCGAGCCCCTCCTGCCGAAATCGCAGCTATTTACCTGAGACAATTTCCCAGCATGGCCGATCGCCTCCACTGGGGCCTCTAAGGACTCGATGGGCGGAGATTCCAAGCATATGCCACCTTACTTCGGCTACAAAATGGAGGACAGGGGGACGAACCCAATTGGAGTTGGAATGCTGGGACGGCTGTGGAAGAGAGTGAATCCTTCAGTGATGACGAAGACACAAAGACGACAGTCGCACAGGGTCTATGTGATTTCCACGAACCTCGGCTAAAGAGAGCCTTCCTGGACGGCATTGCGGAACTTGTTTCCAATATCCGAAATGGGAAACACGATGCTGCGTCTGTGCTCGTAGAAACCAGGGAGGGGTATACCATGCTTGTTACGAAGAACAATTGATTCGAGGAGAAGGATGAACTGTTTCTCAAGGTGTTGGAAGCCTCGTTGAGCAAGATCAGTCGGACTGCGAGTGAGATACGTGAAAAGAGTACGCTACTCGTTTCCCTTTTTTTTCCCTAACGAACTAATGCAGCCAGGCTTCGAACGAATCAATGTTAGACTTGGTCTCTGGCATACTCTCAGAGACTACTATCAGCCTCGGCTCCTAGAATGGGCAATTGATCTTAGAGTGTACCTAAGAGAGTACCAATCCCCCGAGCAAACAGAAAGGTCCACGCCTGTATGGCATGACGAGCAACCTCTAATCGTCTCAACCAAACGCTGCAACAATCAAGCTTCACAGAGAAGGATCGGATAAGCCGTCTAGTGGACGCATGTCTTACCATACACCGCAGCCACGAAAACAGCATTGATAAACTTCGCAACGGGACCACTACTGCCGCTCAAGGTCTATGGCAGAGCATTTGTCTTCTGGGAAGTCTACGGTCTGTTTATAACGATTTACTTCGCGCAGCGGAGGGTCTCCCAGGGTTCGAAGAACTGGAAATCCTCCCGGTGACACTGGGAGTGGAACAGCACAAGAAAAGTCTGCCTGCCGAGCCCTGGTCACTGGCCGATGAATTCTTTGGGGAAGTGCTCAGCGACGGTAATGCCCAGAGGCTTCTTGGCCGAAATTGGAGCGAGTTGGAGCTCTTGCAGAAGTTCAGTGACGAGCTCCAACGGCCCCCGCAATTTCATGTTGAAGTCCAGTTCGCTCTGTATCTGATGTCAGTAGATGAGTCAATTGGGTCAGTCTTCAACTACATCGGTTGCAGCAAGTATAGCTGGCTTCTCTGTCACATGTTCGTCAAGGGCTGCGGGCAATTCGAGACACGAGGATGTCATGGGGAGGGTTTAGGTCCTTGGTCTATGCCAGAAGCAGGCGGCTTTTCTCAGAAATACCTTCGCCGTCTCGCCAATGTACTCAACGCTATCCAGAAAGCCATGGAAGATCGACTTAACAAGCCCGGAAACAAACATATCGAGATGAGAGAAAATCTCTCGCTTAAAGGCTCATCAATCGCCAGCACAACGGATTTTGTGGAAGAACCTCGTCTTCAACGAGTAGGGTCTAGCAACCTACACAGCCGGAGACCGTCGCGTCCCGAGAAAGTTTTAGAGGGAAGGTATGTACTCACACCTTTTACTGCTGCATGTCATGTTGACATTGCTAGTATCGGTACCACCGCCGTGGTTGATGATAACGATGAATTTCGAAACAGCACCATCGAGTCCGTTAGGAAAAAGCGGCTTCTGCAATGCATGCGATCAGCAGACTTCTCGCCGCTGTTCAGAATGCCAAAGTGGTTGGTTCTGTAGTGTACAATGCGAGAAAAATATGCCAAATGCGCACCAATCTCAATGCTCATTGTGGGCTCTAACGACTGCCGACTACCTTGAAATGGCAATTGAAAAGGATGAGCTATCTGATGATCCCCAGACATTGGAAGATTACGGCCTCAGTCGCTGCACCAGTTGGTATCAGAAGTCTCATCTCCTTGGGTTTTACAAAGGCCTGCTATGGTACCGGAAAGTTGACGCTGGAGAGCTTGACCGCTGGCTGCGCGAAGGCTCTCTTGTCGTGAACATTGTAAGAGAGTACAATCGCAGGCCTAAGAGCAACAACCGCTTTGGTTATTATCCATGGTTCCTTAAAAACAAGCACTTACTCGACAAGAGAAAGCCCCTCGGCGAGAACCACCAGGAGCAGGCTTTCCAAGGCTGGATCAAGGAAGCAAAATCTCACCTACCACTAGAAGAGCAAACACGGGACATCGAAAATATGCTTGTCGGCGGCCGAGTGTCTGGCGGTTACGGCAATTGCTCGCCCTCGAGGGCACAAACAACATTCCTTGGCAGCTCCTTGGTGCGGCAAATGACTACGGTCTCGCTGTGTCCGTGGACAGATGGAAAACTGGGCTTCCGGAGGTTTATCAGCAGGTGTTTTCTCGGGGTGATCCAATGGAATTACATGCCGCGCGTCTCCGAGGGAAGGCGCTTGAGTATGTTGTGAGTGTTGTGCAAGATATCGATCCCATCGCGGCGTTCTTCTTGAAGTCTTTGCCAGCTCAGTAGCGGGTTAGGGTTAGCCCGCCGCGGCGTGGTTGAATCTCGCAGAACGGCTCCTGGTGCGTCTTGTTCATTGATTACAACTTCCTTAGTATGGCTCGGATGCTCAGCAAGGAGCGACTCAGCGGAACGTTGTGGGAAAGAACCAGGATGCGGATGGCTCTTTCCTTGCGAGTTTGGGAGTACTGAGGAAGGAACAACCCGACCAAATGTGCTCTTTCCTACAACGAAACAGGAAGGACCGATCAGGCGAATGTTGGTCGCTCCTGCCTTGATAATATGGACCAGCCCGACGAGGAAAGTACGACCGGTGCCGCTCTTGCCTTTGATGCTTGGGACAGATAAAGGAGGAGTGACTGGATGTGGGAGTATACTATTATCACAAATATTGATAATCACTTGTAAAAAAGAAATAATATAAAAAATTTTACCTGTTTTTACACCGTTGCTGCAACTAGTAATAGTTGATGGATATCTTATCTTCGCTCTAATTCCGCACTTTTCCTCAGCCCCACTGATCTCGGAACACAAAGTTCCTTCTTCCTCCCTCACCAACACTCCACATCAAACAGCAACACAAATTCCGACATCATGCCATCTCAGTGCTTCGAAAGCTCTCGTCGGGTGGAGTAAGAGCCTCAAATTACGCATAGTCTTGGCTCTTTATAGGCAATCTCCTTGCAGCCATGGAGGGCCCCTCATCGTCAAAACGCCCAAGCCCCTCGGAAAAGCCTCGGAGCAAAAAACGAGCCAAGTACACCCAGCTCGCCTGGTACGTCTACGCCTCTCTGATACTAGTATTCTATGTCTATTCTGATGTTCTGACGCCTCTAGCAACGAATGTAAGCGTCGGAAATTGAAATGCGACGGCAAGCCGGTCTGTTCGCGATGCGTTCGCCAAAAAGCGCAGTGCACCTACACGCCCAACAGCCATGCTTCGGGCAACGAGCCTGCGACGCCGGTAGGTGGGCAGGTTCAGGAGGATGGGTGTGTTTCGCTTCAGATCCATGTGTGATTTACCGGCTAATTCTATATCACTGCCAGGGTCTCGACTAAATTCAGAACTGTCGACCAGCACATCGAGAGTATACAGCGCGAGATGCGCGCTATGGCTGCGCGTATGCGCGAGCTCGAGTCGGCTAATACACCAAACGCCAGTGTGACCGCTAGCAACAATGCATCTCTGTCCTCGTCATCAGTCAGCGCGAGCCTCCAGCGGATCCTGAACCGTCCCGGTTCGCCGGATTACGTTGGCCCCACGAGCGCAGAGTTCGGAATCACGCAGCGCCAAAAATCAACCGGAGAGAGCGACGGCTACGGCGACGGCGAGTCCGAAACTGAATCCACAACGGCGCCCAGCCCAGTCGCTGTCTCGGACGTCGAAGCCATGTCCAACGATCCGCTGGGATGCTTCGGGAAGGAGGAAGCGCTCCGGCTGGTGGACGTTTACGAGAATAATGTCGGCCTGATGTATCCATGTATCGACCTCGATAGCGTGCGGAGCTACGTGGATGATTATTACAAGGATGGGAGCCGGGCTGGGCCGACGCCGCCGGGGATGTCGGATCAGGACTGGTTCTTTGCGCGGGATGCGGAGGTGTTGAAGATTATCCTGGCTACGGCGCTGTTGGCTGAGTCGCATGGGCGCAGTGAGCGGGCGGCGTTGCTGGCTGATAGTGTTGAGGACCGGTTCGCTGCTCGGGTTAAGATTCCCGAGGTTGATATGAAGGAGTTGCTTATCTTGACGTTACTGGTGAGTTTTCTCTTGCACCCTCGAAGCTGTTCGCTAATAAGCAGTCCATCTTCCACTCCTACCGCGACGACGAGGTCATTTCCTGGCGCTCTATTGGGATGGCCGCTCGCGGCTCCATGCAACTCGGCCTGCACAGGCAGGAAACATGGCTGCGCACAGGTGGCATCTTCCCGGGCGAACTAGCCTGGACTTTTGCGTCGCGTCTCTTTTGGTGCATCTATGTCCTCGATCGCAAATGGTCCTTCGGAACAGGCCTCCCCTTTGCAATCCAAGACGCAGACATGGACACGAACCTTCCGGAGCCTGGCGCCGCAACCCCGTACCTTACCTGCATGATCACATATGCGCGCCTCAGCTCAAAAATCTGGTCGCTCGTCATGGGCTGGAGATCTCGCCCCAAGGCTGCAACGGCAGATTACTGCTCGTACCTTGACTTTCAAGTCCAGCAGTGGATCCAGTCCATCCCCGCAGAACTGCGCTTCGATCCGAGCCCGTCAGCAGGTGACGCAGCAGACCCCTCGTCAACGGAGGAGAATAAGAACACAACCCTCCAAGTCCTTCTCGCCCTACAGGCAAACCAGCTTCGTATCCTCGTCTACCGTCAGAACCTACTCAGCGCGGAATCCATCGAGGCGAATCCGCCAGGCGCGTCTGTCGCCGTTGAAACTGCGAAGTCGACGGTCCATATGCTTGATTACTTCTCTCGCGTTTCTCAGATTTACTTCAATCGTCCCGAGCCGTTTAATTACTTTCTCTTATCTGCCCTCGCGGCGCTGTTTCTCGCTGTACTGCATGCTCCCATGAGGTTTCGGGAGGTATGTCGGGGCGAGTTCTATGCTGCTGTCGACTTGGTGAGAAGGTCAAGTACACGGGTCAATATGTCCAGGAGGTTGAGGAAGATCATCCGGGGCCTAAAGCAGGTGCGGTTGGTTATGGACGGTGCAGGATCCGCGAAGCGGCAAAAGCAAGCACGAGTGCAGATGCAGACCAGAGGAACAGAAGAACAGATGTACACACCTATCCGAGACTCTCGCGCTGGTCAAAATATTAACGGAAATGACACGCCTTTCTCTGGTAATCCATATCCATCACCGAGCTTCTATCATGCACATGAGCCCCGGGAAGCACAATATGGCCACAGCCTCCCGACGCCACAGCACTCAGCGTCGCTGTGGCCGGTATCGTCGCCTCAGAAAGAACAGGTAGATGAGAACAGCTGTGAGGATCTTACCAGTTTCTTTGAGATGGCGGGTGGCCTATATTTCGATCCGCGGCTTGACCCGACAATTGGTACTGATATCCTTCCTGACCACAGCGCGCTGAGTGATGCGCTTGGTGCGTTTGAGGCAGAGGATGAGGCATTGACTAGGGTTATGGTGGGACTACTTTAGATACGACAAGGAACTGACATGACATCGAATTCATTCACACGTCTATTATTTCAACACCTGCAATCTTACGACAAGTCTAGTGCTATCGCTGGTTTTACTGGAGAGCACGTTAAGCAACCTCCCCGGACGGCCCCTCCAACACCGTATCCAACGATGGAGCCACGCCCAGGTCCGGCGATCCATCCTCATTCCATTCAACACGCAGCGCGGCAGTATACCGGTTTCCGTCGCACGCGCCCTCCGCAATTCGCGTTGCGTGATAGATATTCCAGATCTCCGTGCCATCAGGGCTCGTGAAGAACCTACAGCAGTTAGCAACACGCCTTTTAATCAGCCAACAAGGAAAACAAACCCGTTATGGCCCGTCCCATAATTACCATCCGCCGAAACAAACACCGGACCCTGCGACTTTGTCCACGACGCACTATCCAGCGGATCACCTGCACCATCATACTCGAGCAGGGCAAGCGAGTAGTTCGCCGTCCAGCAGTACGACGCCGAGTACGCGACCCAGATTTTCCCATCATGGTACAGGGGCGCCGCGCCCTCGTTCACGGGGGCTCCGACCGTCTCCCAGTCCTCGACTGGTTCGGAGAGGATGTGCGTTTCGCCGATTGTTGAAGGTGTGTCAAGGGTTGCGATGCAGTTGCATTGGATCCCATTGGCCATGCAGGACCAGATGAGGTAGTTTTGCGACTCTACCGTGAGGACGGTGCCGTCGATGCCCCATTCCGGGGTTACCTGGCCCAGATACGTGTATGGGTCCCAGGGGGAAGCGCCGCCTAAGTTGTTAGCTGTGTGCAGATTTGGAGAAAGGAAAGGAAATACATACCTTGAAGAACATGCACGCGCTGGTTATCGAGCGTGTCGCTGCTACCGGCGGTGTAGTACAGATACCACCTATACCAATTAGCAACTTCACCAGTATTTCTTCAGGTGCACGAACACTCCATCGATGAGGTGGAACTCCGGCGCCCAAACGCTGCAGCACCGATTGGGATCGCTGTCGCTCCAGACAACCTGGACTTCGCCAGTCTTGAGACCCTCGAGTGTTGTCGCGCGCGTAATCTGCACGTCCGTCCAGGTCGTCGTCGTCAGGTAGTAATACCCATCGACGTACACGGCATAGGGATCGCTACCGTTTGGATCTTTTAGGGGGTTCGTGAAGGAGGCCGCATTAGATGCGCCGAGGAGGCTGGAAAGGAGGAATAGGGAGCGGGCGGCGCTCCGGAGTGAGAAGATCATCGTGACTCCGTGACGAATCGCTCAATTGGTCGAGATCATGAACTGGCTAATTGTTCTAAGAATTGATCCAGGGCTCAGTGTCTGCATCCCTTTATACAGCACCTGCCACGCCCCTCCTCCGCCGGAATAATTGGTGGAAAGCGACAAGAAATGATCGCTACGGTTATTCCCCTGCGAGCCTTGACTCCGACAGGCCAAGACGTTTCATTCTCCGTTGTCATGCTATATTCAAGCCTGCGGAGTTGCGCAGAGCGAGCTCCGGAGCATGACTCGTCGGTTAAGAGGTGATTTTATTAACCGACGAGCAAAGTGATCGACCCTGTGGAGGAGTTTCCTGTTTGCCTTTCTTCAACCCCGCAATTTCTCCGCGATCTGCGTTGCCATGATTCCGATTCCGACAATCCTGGTTCGCATCGAGGCGACTACATGTACGATGATGAAATACTACTGTTCCCCATGACAGGGCTGGCCTGTGGCTTCGGCCCCGTTCCGCCAAGTCTTCACTCCGACGCTTGAAACGCCCACTGCTCGAGACTCCCCCAGGGTCCGCCCTCGGAGTTTCACTAAAATTGGATGGCTGCAGATAGAATGGGATGCAGCGAGTGGCACGACCGCTCCGAGCCTGCTCTAGCCCCTATAAGACAAGAGCTGGTTTGTCTGGACAAGTACCGGCATGTTCCATACGCTGCAGCCTGACATGGTCCACCGGAGGATGGAGGACAATACTATATCCAAAATGCCACGGCGCACGGCAGTTTAAATTTACAATTATAGCTAAGAAAAGGAATCTCCACAAATGGACAGCCCCTGTCTCATTCCGAATTCCAATGTCTTGATATCTCGGTGAGCATTCTGGCCTCGTGGCTGTAGCTTATATATTCGGCCTCTGGCAGTGAGCCCCTCCCAAGGTTCACCAGCCAAGCAGATTATCAGGTCAATCCTATCTTGTCGTTTGTTCCTGTCCCGTCGCAATGCATCTCTCAGCCCTCGCAGCATCATCGCTCCTCGCCGGCGTGGCGTATGCCTATGGCGCCCCAGGCACCTGCTCCGGCGCCTGCAACATTCACGATCCAGCTTTGATTCGCCGCGAGTCCGACGGGAAATACTTTCGCTTCTCGACGGGAAACCGCATCTCGTATGCCTCTGCGCCGGCAATTGGGGGACCCTGGACGGTGCTGGGTTCCATTCTCCCGGATGGTTCGTCGATCAATCTTCCAGGGAATGATGATCTCTGGGTATGTATGATTTTCTCGTATGATCTACGGTTGATCCTGCAAATCATACCCCCCTCCTTCACGACCCTTTCTCTCCAGTCTATAGCAACACCAATGTACCTTACGCAATATGCTGATCAAGAATAGGCCCCCGACGTCCAATACGTAGACGGCACCTACTACGCCTACTACTCCGTCTCAACCTTCGGCTCCCAAAACTCCGCAATCGGCGTCGCAACCTCTCCCAGCATGGACCCAGGAACCTGGACCGACCGCGGCAGCACCGGAATCCGCTCCGACACTTCCAAAAACTACAATGCAATCGACGGCAACCTCTTCTATGACACCGCCAGCAGCACATACCTCATGTCCTTTGGCTCATTCTGGGGGGACCTGTACCAAGCCCCCATGAAAAACCCGCCGACATCCGTAGCGGGCGCGAGCTACAATGTTGCGTTTGAGCCCGAGGGCGCGCATGCGGTTGAGGCGGCGTACTTGTATAAGTACGGTAGCTGGTATTATCTTTTCTATTCGGAGGGGAGTTGTTGTGGGTATGATGCCAATATGCCGGCTGCTGGGGAGGAGTATAAGATTAAGGCCTGTCGGTCGAGTTCGCCTACTGGTGGTTTCGTGAGTTGTCCCGAGAGATTTCGGCCCCAAAGGGGAAGACTAACAGTTTGTGTAATAGGTCGACGCAAACGGCGTCTCCTGCACCGCGGGTGGCGGTACGGTCGTCCTGGAAAGCCACGATAATGTCTATGGACCTGGTGGACAGTACGTCTTCCCTTCTCTTACTTCTTTCTTTCCTTCCTTCTTTCCCTTTAAGCCCCTTTCTCCTTCTTTTTTCATCTTCTCTTAACCCCAACCTACACACGTCATCATACAGCCTAAAGATGTACCTCGGCTAACAAAAGAACAGAGGCATCTTCACAGACCCGACTCTCGGCCCCGTGCTGTACTACCACTACGTCGACACGAACATCGGCTACGGAGACGGGCAGAAGCTGTTTGGCTGGAATGTCATTGATTTCTCGAGTGGGTGGCCTGTTGTTTAGATTTGGCTTGGCTCTTATTTTCTTCTTTCTTGGTTTTTTTTCTTATTCCGCTTTCTGGACTGTACTGTGTTCTTGGTTGCACAATCGTGTGTACTATTTGGTAAAGGTGGAGGCAAAGGTTAGTTTGTACATAGTACGACTGTAAGGAGTCGCGGATCGATCTCTGAAATTGAAACGAAAAGTGATTGTTTGTCGAGGATTGAAATCACAGTCCGTTTCGGCTTGTTCTACTCGCCTTTTCTAGAGGAAGAACTAAACCCTGACTGGTATCCTATCTCGAGTAATTCCATACATACCCAAGCCAAGCCCTAAATCTAATCTCGCATACCAAGCTATCTATCCATAAAGGAAAAGGCAGTATACCATAGCTCTTGGTAACCCCCAGACGACACACCCAATAACAGCGCCCATCCCGAAGTAGCGCCCCCAACTCGCGCCTTTCGTTGCCCCACCGTTCCCACCTACACGGGCAATAAGCCAGCCAAAAAATGCTTGATCGTCGCATTGTGGCGCAAGCTTTCAGGTTGTGGGATTTCAGCCCCAACCATGAATGATGTGATCTCATTGAGTTGTTTATTAGGCTGGGGGCTTCAGCGGTGTGGGTAGTTATTCTCCGAGTGTAGGGTGGTCCTGGCTACCCAAGATATTAGGTAAAATCCAACAGAGTCCACGCCCAATCCCCACCCCCACTGAGCATCTACACGCGAATCTACTACTCGTCCGCCAGCGCACCAGAACTCAGCCCCGAGACACCCTTCTACCAGGTCGCGTCGACGTTTGGGAATCTAACGGAGGAGAGTCCCGTTTCGCAGATTTATCCTGCTTTTGCGCCAGACAGCGACCGCGATGTGGTGCTGCGCAAGAGTCGGTATTACGCGGGCGATGGGAATTCGCTCGAGGAGATTTTGAGGGTTAGGCGGGTTGAGGTGGTTATTGGTTTGTTCTCTCACTCTTTCCTTTTATTCCTCCTGTCCACCCCCCTATGGGAGGCGTGTTTTGGGGGTAACTTGGTATTCTTGGTTGACTGGTCGATTGCGGGGTGTACACCTAGTCCGGCCTCAGCACTTCGGGCGTGCTATTAGCCACGGCATATCGGCTCTTCGATCTGGATTACTTGGTGTATGTCTCGTATCCCCCAAAATACCTTCCCTCCCTCTCCTCTCCCTCTGCCTCTGCCTCCTGGACAGGAATAACCATATCTATACGTACAGCTACGTTATCTCCGACACCACGATCCAGCCCAACTCTCCAGCAACCAAGGATTCGATCCTAAAAGACATTCTACCCAGGCTCCCTGTGACTGTTATCAGTCTTGAGGAGGCGCTTGAGGCGTTGGAGAATTCAGGGCCTGCGAGGTGGTAGGCTATTTGCGAACGTGAAGAGGTGTGGGTGTTTTCGATGTGGATGTGGTACGTGAGTTGGGCCTTATGTGGATTTGGTAGGTATAGTTAGAGGACCGAGGATATTTTGCCTGTTATATGGTAGGGTTCGGAGTGGTCTGGTGAATGTTGCGTGCCCTGAGTTTGTATACACTTAAGAGATGGGAGGGGAGGTGGCGGAGGGATAGACAAGATATATTCGAATTTTGGTATATAGATCATTATTTTACATCACGCTGTTAGATGAGATTCATTATAGTTGGGCATTCCGACAGCACTCTGACGAGCCCACGACTCGCGACGCCGCGTTCTTCCCCGAGGGGACGTCCAGCGACGGGTTCGCCGTGAAGAAGTCGGACGGCTTGATCATGAGCTGGAAGATTTCCACGGGCCTGCAGTGGTTCGTTAGTATTCAAGCATTCAGAGGTCAAAGATCGAGGGGAGTCTTACATGACAGGCCAATCTTCAATACGCGGATTATGCGTGATACCAAACGTACTCCAGACAACGACGTCCGTATCTGCAACTGCATCGCCCCGCTTAACAGCATCCGATACACCCTCCACCTCCTTCTGGCTCTGCAGGGTATACCGGCCGCCAGCGTAGAGCTCGCCGTCTTTGTGCTTCGTCACCCACACGTGGTGCTGCGCAAACTGCGCGCGTTGCGCCTGGATCGAGTTCGGGTCCGCCAGTAGCTTCTGCGTGGCAAGTGGAATGAATTTGTATCCAATTGGTTTCTGGCTGATGGGGTTGATCTTGTGCGGGTTGACCATTTTGACTGTCCGGTTGAGGTCTGGCGCGGCGTCGAAGAAGCATGCGCGCTCGACGGTCTCGGAGGTGACCTTGTAAAAGTTGCCGTTGGGGTTCGTAGCCTCGTTCATGGGTACGGGGTGAGATTCCTCGACCTGAACTGAGTTTTTGACCCCGTCAATTGCGGGGTCGATGCGCACGCAGAAGATGTGCTGGTGGTTCTGCGCGAGGACGCCGCCGCTGACGACGTTGCCGTACTCGCTTACCTTGCCGGCGTCGATGTTGACGACATTGAGGATACCCGTTGCGCGGGCTTCGACGGTGATGCCGGCGGACTGGTCGAACTTGTAGGCAAAGACGTACTCGTAGTTTGCGAGGGTGATGATGAACTGCACCACTAGTTCGCGGTTTCGAGTTACCACTGCACGGCCGGTGCGCCAGTTCGAGTGCTTCCAGCCGATACCGTTGTCTTGCTCATGCAGACAGATGGCGTTGGGGAGCTTCTGTGCTGTGCCGTCCGGACCGGTGATGATTGCGTCAAAGTATTTGATGACGCCTAGGCAGTCGCAGCCGATGGATAGGTTGTTTGCCATGTTGCCGCCGCCACCGTCGCCAAAGTCAAAGGCTTGCTTACGGTGGAAGGGTGGCCGAGGATCAGCATAGGGGACGGTCTATGCACGTTAGTTTTGGTTTGACTCACTCCGAAGAGGACTTACCATCTCACTGATACTCAGGCGGTGCATCACGCTTCGACCATCGTACCATACATCATGGATAGTAGCACCTTCGCGGGGATTGAACGCGACACGGAACCGCCACTTTTGCCATTCAACAAGCGACTCATTTGTGATACGGAATGAAGGGCCTTCGGGCTGCACCACATTGAGTGGCTTCAGATCCTTCCGTGTGCCCTCAGGGAGTAGCTCAGGCACATAGTCTGATCCCTTGCAGTGTCCGATAATATCACGCTTGAATGTCTGCTCACGTAGACCGTCTCCCTTACCTCCTGTAGCCGGCCGGTCAACCCTAATAATCTCTTGTGTATGGGCGTCCATGATTGGAATGAGAGGAAGCGGGTATGAGTAAAAGTTGGCATCGGGGTTGTTGGTCCTTGCATCCCGCGCAAAGCACAATCCCTGGAAGAACCGCCTGTTTGGTTCAGTAAGGTCTAATCCGCCATATGGCCATGGCTCGATGACTACTTCGAAACCCTCTGGGAGGTCAAATTCAGCGAGAGCTTGTTTAAACAGTGGCGAGGCGAAACAGCGTTCTACCAGCGTGTCAAATTCGCTCCTGCAGATCGTTAGTAATGTACGCAACGTCACATGTAGTAAACTTACAAAGTCAAGGCAGCATGGTGCTCCTTGCCCACGATAGTATGCTTCACCGACTTCTTCGCCACAACATCGACCACGGTCTCTTCGTACGACGGCACCCGGTCGGAACCAATGACATCGTACTGGCAAAGGGCTAATCGAGGTGGGCGGGGAGTTGTCGGGCTCAGACGACCGGAATGTTCAAGTGCAAGGAATTCAAGAAGCTGTTCTTTCGGTGGTTCCTGAAGAAAGATCTCCCGAAAGTCAATGACGGTGTTGGGGTGTTGAGCGACGACAATATCACGAGCGAGATTGATCTCCTCCTCGGAGAGGATGGCAAGTGGGTGAGGAGCCATGATTGCAATGTTAGAAGATTGATTGAGGAAGGATGTCTATTATTGAGGGGTCACAGTCGTTTTGTATGTGAGTCGAGGCGTAACATTTGCCATTTTGGGTCGGACAGCCTGCTCGGAATGGTCGGAAAATGCGGAATGGTTCCGACTCCCAGCTCTCAAGCCATCGTGCCCTGTATATTCGGCTGGACTTGCTATTTTCGGAGCAAAATGCGCCGTGGACAACTGATAAGACTGGCACGATGCGGGGAAGCTTGCTCTTATCAACAGCCTCCAACGTTGTACGGTTGTACAGATCAACTTGGTTGGAGGCTTACGGCCGCCGCCTTTTCTGTCACCCTTGCTTGCGCCATGATACCAAGTAGTAAGTCTTGATTCCCAGACTCGTGCAAACAAGAGAACCGATGGAAGAATCATTATTCTCGTGATCCGCTCTTCGCATGCGAAATGCCAAGGCCATTTCTTCACTGCGTGAGATGGTCGGATTTCGGAGTTAACACTCTCCGTGCTCCGACTTGGAGTAAGTTGCCAACAACTTTTGTTCATCTAACAAAACGCGGTGCCAAAGTGAGTTGTGCAGAGCCATGGATCACGCATATTTCGTGTTGTGTTTCGATTCGACTGAGCATAATCCGATCGAGCGAATCCAAGGGCAGACCGTTGAATTGGAGACGTGGTGATGACGGCAGCGGGCAAGCGGACAAGTAACACGCCAACTTGCAGGGGCCGCAGCAAGGAACCAGCCCACCGAAGCGCCCGGTTATTGGTCGCGTCAGGCTGGACTTATCTGATGAATCTGTCGAATCCCGCCGGAATCCGTTGAATTGGCGCCAGATTCAATAATGATTAGAAATGCTGTCAGCCAGGTTCCCCAATTTCAAACAAAAACCTTAGGAACCCACCGAGGAAGCTCGACCAAGTGCCCTTCGCTTTCAGCGTCATCGACCCCAGAAACCTTCCCACTTCATCCCCCAACACCAGATGGGTACGGCCAGCGGTTTATCCATTGTATCCCCATTTCTTATTGTTCAAGTAGGCGGGAAACATTCGCAATGACTGCACGCCAGAATTCCGACCCCGGACCGGCCCTCGAAGAGGCCATGCCCGATCATGAGCAGACCCCTTTGCTCCCGCGCGAGTCTGCCACAGAGACGGCCACGACGCCGCTGTCCTACCGGAGGGGAATGACCATTTTGCTCGCCATGGGGATCCTGATCTTCATTCAGGGTAGATATTGACGTCGCTTGCTAAGAATATCCGCTGACTCCACCAGCGATCAACATGTCCATGATGACCACGGCACAATCCGAGATCGCGACAGATTTAGACGCCTTTGGAGAAACCACATGGTTCAACTCGGCATTTATGGTATGAAAACTGCTTGTATCTATTTATCGCATCACAGCTAATGTTCTCAGATTGCTGCCTCCAGTGTCACGCCTCTCGCCGGACGGTTAAGCCAGATCTTTACGCCCCGGGTCTACGTTCTCTTCTCATGCGTATTGTTATCAATTGGCCTCTTCATCACGGCTGGAGCTCCAAAGTTGTCTGTCTTCCTAGTCGGTCGAGCTTTTAGCGGTGTCGGCGCTGGCGGCCTAATGATTACTGGTATCATCCTGACCTTGGACTTGGTCAATAAGAAGCGCCGGGGCGTATTCATTGGTATCGTCAATTTTGGAATGACCATTGGGGTCTCACTGGGAGCTGTTCTGGCTGGCGCTATCGCTCCAACCCTTGGATGGGTATGTCACCTTGTACGATTGACGTGCTAGTCTAATCTTCATCTAGCGACCTATTTTCTGGGTCCAGGCACCGGTGGCCTTGGTCTTAGGTCCGGTTCTGTTCTTCGCCATTCCGTCGCACCATACTCACGAAGTTGGCGATTTAAAGACCGATTCTCTGCGAGAGAAACTCAAGAATGTCGACTATGCCGGAGCATTCTTTTTGGCACTGTCGATATTCCTCCTATTGTTCAGTCTCGCCTCGCCAGTGATTCCGATTACACCAATCATCTTTAGCGCGGTATTCTTCGTTATCTTCTGGGTCATCGAGTCACGATTCACATCGGAACCTATCGTCCCGACAGAAGTGCTGAAGACTCGAAGCGTCCTCCTCACCTGCCTAGCCGCTCTCTCAGCAATGACTGCCCGCTGGGCCGTCCTCTTCTACTCACCAGTCTACGCAATGGCCGTCCGGGGCTGGTCCTCCGCCTCTGCAGGCCTAATCCTTGTCCCCACGAACGCAGGTTTCGGAATCGGGGGTCTCCTCGTTGGATGGCTACACATCCGTCATGGCGAGAGCTACTACCTGTAAGTACCGTATCACCTCTCTCACTTAAATGGTTAATAACGATGGTAGATCCAACGTCCTCGTCTACCTCCTTTTCGCACTCTCTAACCTCCTTCTCTTCACCCTCGCAACGCCCACCTCCCACACAGCCGCCTACGTCGTCGCCATGTTCCTCAACGGCTCCATGATCGGCGCCTCGATGAACTACACCTTTATCCACATCCTCCACCTCACAAAACCCTCAGTGCACTACATCGTAACCGCCCTCGTCGGAATGTCGCGCGGCTTCGCAGGCAGTTTCGGCTCAGCAATGGGCGGCGGATTCTTCCAGCGCGAACTCAAAGCGGGCTTAGAAGACGGCTTCGCGAAGCATGGTCTCACGGGGAAAGATGCACTCATCCATAAGCTTTTGGGGAGTCCCGCGCTCGTTGCAAAGCTGAGTGGTGCGGAGAAGGAGGTTGCGGTGCAGAGTTATCAGAGGGCGATTCAGAGTTTGTTGCTAGGTGGGTTTGGGATTTTGATTGTGGCGGCGATTGCGCAGGCAGGGACCGGGTGGACGGCGCCGCCGCCTGAGGAGGAGACGAGTGGGAGAGAAGACGGTGAGGAGAGGAGGGAGGATTGATATCGAGATGATTATTAGGGGATTGCATCTTGGTGTTTTGGTGCGGCATCGAATTGGATTTGATATTGATTTTTTGGGTCTTCATGTCAGAAATACGGAACATACCTCAGCAACACACAAACTACCCGCCCTCCTTCCCGTCCCCCTTCCTCAAACCCAAATTGAACACCAAAACAGAAGACAAAAAGACACTCGACAAGACTGAGATTCGAACTCAGGACCCCGAAGGGATTAGCTTTCTAAACTAACGCCTTAACCGCTCGGCCATCTTGCCCGATTGGGTGTTGATACAGAATTATTGCCGTCAAGGCCGGCGACATCGAGCTGTGGGTGGGGATATAAAAAAATTCTACGTGAAGTGGATAGACTCCATAATAACGAATCCAGTGGAACTGTGGGAACAAAAAAAAAAGAAATCGACAAGACTGAGATTCGAACTCAGGACCCCGAAGGGATTAGCTTTCTAAACTAACGCCTTAACCGCTCGGCCATCTTGCCCGGTTGATAGAAGGATAAGAATTGTTTGCCGTTGTATCCTCAAGAGCAAGAAACCGTCAGTAAGATCATGTGATTTTTTTCTCTTATGCCTTGGCGACAATAAGCTCCCCATATTCAGGTCGATCTTCAATGCCAACAGACTCCTCGTAATTCCCTGGCATCTTTTTCCCTGAACACAACTACACTATCCGAACTTATACAACGACTCAAAATGCCCCGCGCTGTCCGAGGTACGATATCTACCTACCACAAACCCCGACGGATCCAAGGAAAGCTAAGCTAACATCACCTGTTGACTCCAGGAGTCCTGATCGAATGCGATCCGTCCGTGAAAGCGATTATCCTGAAATACGATGAAGAGCGACACGACTATATTGTCGAGGATCTCGACGACGATCGGCATTTGGTCATCAAGGAGAGTCAGTTGCAGAATCTGAAGATTAGACTGGGGAGGGTGAGTAGCCCCTTGACAACTGGATGGATGATGGGTGGACGGGCGAGGCCGAAATGGTTTGTTCTGGGAAATCTCAGTGCTGATGAGGGGATAGGAACTTGACGAGAAGGTTATGCAGCCGGAGGAGTCGGAGTCGGAGTAGATGGGGACGTGTCATGTGGATGGCTACAACTCAGGTGGAAGGGAATGCGCCGCCTACCGCGAGGACATTAAGCGTGGATGGACTCTTAAGAATGCTTGGATACTAGATGGCTGCTTGGACGACTGGCTGATTGGGCGTTCCTGCAAGGTATCGCCTCAGTCGACGCATGCCTTCACAGTCTAGGTTCGCAGGTATGCCTTGAGGCGGACGGTATTGGGGAGACAATCAGCTGGATTGTGTCCGGCTCGGAGTGATTTAACGGCCAACACTATGGCCACATGGATGGTATCTGGTTTCTCCTCCTAGATTCGTCACATCTATCCCATCGCCCGAAGATGTTTCTAGAGCCGGTAACGAACAGAACTCTACGGTCAAAGAAACATAACCCAACAAGGTGCTCGAATATTCCAAGCGTCATGAAGCAGTCACATTCCAAACAACGAGAATAGAAGCCTGGATGCTCTTTCGTCAGGCAACGCTGCTGTGGCACGAATCCATGTTGTCACGTGACTCATCGAATGTCCGAGAAATATCCAGACCCTACGAGATGCCTCAAGCCCACAACTGAAGACGTTTCGTGAAACACCACGCTTTATCCAGAACGCCTGGGCTGTATCACGAAAAAGTAGATGCCTGACATCATGGGCTCTTCTCGAACCCCATCCAAAAGGCATATAAGCACCCTCAACCACCGGCCTATCTCACCATCACATCGCAAACAAGCAAATCATCTACAAGAAGCAATAGCTTAACAAGCTCTCAACCGACAACCACTTTCCAAACCTCGAACATCACTTCCAACTTCTCAAACATCTCAAACATCTTTGCGACCAACCAAACAACCACAACCAACATGTCTCTCTTCCGCACCATTCCCACCGCCTCCGACTTCTCCCCCCTCTTCCGCCTCCTGGACGACTACGACAACCACCGCTCGACCAGAGGCCAAGGCCAGCACACCTCCGTGCGCTCCTTTGCACCACGCTTTGACGTCCGCGAGACCAAGGACGCCTACCTCCTCGACGGTGAACTCCCCGGCATCGCACAGAAGGACATCGACATCGAGTTCACCGACCCTCAGACTCTCGTCGTGAAGGGCCGCTCGGAGCGCGAGTACCACTCTTCCAACGTCGGCGAGAACACTAGCTCCAGCTCCACCCCTGCCGCTGAGAAGCAGCCCCAGGTTGAGGATGCACCCGAGGGCGAGGGCACCGTTGTCAGGACTAGTGGTGAGAAGCAGGTCGCCAAGCACACTGAGAAGCCGCGCTACTGGGTTAGCGAGCGCTCTGTTGGCGAGTTCCAGCGCACTTTCAGCTTCCCGTCTCGTGTTGATCAGGATGCGGTCAAGGCTAGTCTGAAGGATGGAATTCTTTCGGTTCTTGTCCCCAAGGCGGCGCCTCCCAGCTCGAAGAAGATTGCGATTCAGTGAGTGGGATCTTGAAACCACGAACAGCTGAATCCACAAAGAAGGAGCTCCGACTGTGATGGATCGATTCGAATGAGGCTATGATTTGTTTCTGTTTTGTTCTTTCATCATCAGCATGAGCATGAGCATGAGCGATAGCGGCGGTGTTTCGAGGTGTTCGATTGAAATGGTCTCTGCTTCTTGTCTTTTCAAATCAGTTCTGTAGTGTACGCAATACGCTCCTTAATTTAGTCTAATCAGTTAATCATCGATCATCAATCATCAATTTCCCCTTTGCTATATATTCAAGAAGTAGTCCTCGATTGTAGTGGTACTCTTCTCTATACAACAGAGCGCCATTCCGGCTTCGTAGTCCTGCTCCTGTAACCTACAAGTCGCCGCAGCCGGGGTATAGGCAGTGTTATCGTCCCAGCCTTCCGCGGAGGCAGAGAGGTGTGTTCGACGCTGATACAACAGCTGGCTGAGTTCTCGCCTTGTCTGCAAGGAGCCACCTCTATAAGAAGAAGGTCGATCCTGGACCGGCTGGTGAGGTTGAAACAGCAAAGAAGAACACCGCATTTCTCACTGCGTTCATACGCAAAGTGGGCATGTAAAAACGGCCGTCTTTGTATGACCAGTGCGCGAATATCCTGATGACTCCTGTGGTAAACAGCAACCGGTTCCACTTTTGTACCATCGACGCCGATGTTGTAGTTGGAGTTGGCAGCAGTGTAAAGCTGCAGCTTCATGAAGGTCAGTCACAGTTTCGAACAGCCAGCAACGCGTTCTTCGGCCTTCCTTCACGAGGTTCTCTAGGGCTTGAAAGTGGGGGACGGTAAGCGGATGGAGCCGGTCGATCCGATGTCCGATCTGCGGGGAAACGATCAGTTGGTAAGGTACGCGTTTAGAAGGTTCTGGTGGCGTACATCCCTTTGCTTCCCTTTGCACCCGGCCAGCAGCGACTAACAAATCATGGAAGTGATGAGGGTTTGCAGCGTTAACCACCTTGTCGCCGCCGCAATAGCGAGCTTCACTGCGCCTCTGGCCGAGCCCACATCGTTGTGTTATCGAGGACGGCGCCTATTTGAGGGCCATGGTGAATATCGTATCAGGCTAACAACTTAAAATACCACAGGCGACATTGGCATTCAGAGCACTGAGAACGGCCTTTCGTTAGGTCAAAGTCGCGAGGTGTGGAAGGAAAACGAGGGTCCCGTCGGGGAACTGGTTATCACCGCGCCTCAAGGCGGCTCGCTCCCTTAAAGCGGCGCTCTCCCAGACGAGCAACTGCAAGGCTGTCCGGCATGATCTCTCAAATTAGGTGAGACTGTGCCCAAGCTGAGCCTTGGGCTCACCTTCGTTTCCCTCAGCTCCCACCTCTATTCCCATTTCATCTTCCAAGTGGTCCGACCTGTGCCAAAATCATCAAAATCAAGATGGCCGAGCCTTTGTCCGTGGCGGCGAGTGCTGCTGGACTCCTAGCAATTGGAATCGAGAGTTGTAAGATCCTCGTTGCCTACTATGATGGATTTCGGGGTCTCGATACGGATATCGACAATCTCAAGATCAAGTCCGAAGGACTTCTGGATACACTTCAAATCATTGACTCTCTCCTCAGCAAGCCCGCCACAAGCCTTGCTATAGATCCTGCCATAGCCGCCGACATCAATACGAAGATTCTGGCAAGCGAGAAGTGGATCAACAAAATACAGTCAAGATTTGCGGAATGGTCTGTTGTCTCCCAGCGTACTAGTATAGGTGGTAAGATACGAACAACTGGCAAGAGAGCTATGTATCCCCTTCGGCGAGAGACTCTATTAGATACTCTCAAGATTCTCGAAGGACTTCAGACGAATCTGCACACGGCGCTTCTGGCGTAAGTCTATCCAATTGATATTCAGGCCTCAACCCGGTCGTCAAAACTGCCTGTTTTTAACATAAGTGGCTACTAGACTGCAAATTCAAGACGCATCTACACTGGCCAAACAGACCGATATGATACGAACAGTGCAGAATTTTAGCACCACGATGTTGACCAGAATGCAACAGTACGAGACCAGCTTGAGCAAAATGGTACCTGCGTCTCTGGCTGAGCCTTGCAATGCATACTGACTCCTCCTAGGAGCTCACGATCCAGAATCTATCGACGACAACACTCTCACAGCAGGCCCAAGACAATGATTGTTCACAAAAGAGCTCGAGATGTCTTACCCAATCGAGGAATAAATTCTGCATGTGTCCAAGATTAGCAGGAGGATTCCGATTGCATCAGGCTGCTTGTCCTCTCTATAACCGGTCATGGCAATCCATAGCACGATCGAAAAGGCTCGCATTTTCCAGTCACTGGCTAGGCCTCTCAATTGAGGCAGCACTATCCATATCGACGGGAGCAGGCAGTCTCTCCTTAAGTCCGACACTTAGGTTTCATCCGATTGTACCGCTTCATTCACCTGCGTTCGAAATTCTATTAAGAATGTCGTACTACCCTGGTCTTACTGGTAGTCAAATACTGGACTTGAATAAGTCTATCATCCGAGATCTACAGCAGGCTTTCGATGAGGGAAAAGCAAGCCCTTACGATAGGACTGCTGATGGCTTCACTTTACTCAGTGTAAGTCCCATCAGTCAAAGGGCCAGAAGTCGCGTGGCTAATCCGAATAGATGGCTCTTCATTCCTGCCTTGAAAGCAGGAAGATGGGCCCTTATGACTATCTTCAGGTAATGGAATATCTCATCAGCTCTGGCTGCCCGATAAACATTGAAGTGAGGCCAGATGACTTGAATAATCCGATAGTGGCTTTCGCATGTTGGGTGAGGTGAAAGCTCTTTCTCGTTTTATAGATCTCGGGGGTATAGTGGTGGATGAACATTTGCTGGGCTATTCATCGGCCAGATCACTACAGCCCTTACTGTCACAGAAAACAGAGGGTAACTCAAAGTAACATTCGTTTGCTTTACTGTAGAATTACTGATCCTTACCAGGATTCCATCTTTCGGGCCTAGTCGATGCAGTGGTAGCTCAATCCGAAGATCGCCTGAAGAGCCAGCTGCAAATCGGCGAACACCATGTGGAAAAGCCAGATATTGGGGTTCATCGTTTACTTGAGATCTCCCTAGGGTGGCCCGAAGGTCTACGCATTCTACTTCAGGCTTACGCCCCAGAACTAGAGGAATGCCACATGGGTGAGCTCTTGAGAGATGCTATAAGGTTTGGCATTGTGGAGTCGGTTCAGGTACTCCTTGATTTAAATGCTCCTGTGTATGGTGCACATCTCGAAATGTGCGCCTCCGCGGAATTGGGGGTAATGGTGACCCAACACTTCATTGCCAGACGAGAATATCTTCACAAACTTGGTATGACAATCCTACCACAACAGGTGCAGCAACATCTTGGTCTACAAATCAGCCAGCTCCCTGATAAAAATGCACGTGAGTTATACACCGAGCTTGAGGCGATGCATACCAGCATCCACCCAAGCTTTCGTCCCCACGATCTGTACCCGATTTTTCACCATGGATTGCGGATTGATCAAATGGAGCACCTATATGAGGCCGGTTTCCAGGATATCGATGCGGTTGACGAAAATGACTACACACCCGTGCTATGCCTGCCAGGTTACCCCCGTGGTTCGAATCCGCCATGCTACGTGATTGACAGGGCCTTGTGGTTGATTGATAAGGGGGCGAGCCTAGACTTTCCTCAAAGGAAGCCGCACATCATGCCAAATCATATCCTACCCGTCAACATAGCTCAGGCGTTCTTCGACGCCCAATATCTGCTACGAACGCCGGAGCTCAATGCTTCGCAAGGCCTTTCCGTGACCCATCGAAATTTCCTGAGGAGGGTTTTTACAACAAACTGTAGGGACAAATGCTGCTGTTATTGCTCGACTGCCGGCTGCTCTTCTCTCACGGCAGCTTTGCGCCTTCTATTACGTCTTTTATCAGGTGACAATGGTGGCCTTAGCCGCTACTTGGAAGGCGAGAAGAGGGCTCGGGCTTTGCACAGCCTCATAACAGAAATACAAGGGGAGCCTAGGGTTCCACAAGATGTCATCCGACTCCTAACCTTCACAGACCTGGAACTCACACATACATGCTGCCGGGTGAGAAATTTGTGGCATAAGTCCGGCGTTCCCAATTTCGGTGGTTGGGGTCGCGATTTCTCGTTCCAGGCCTTTGACAGGGACGAGACGATCGAGATCCACGACGAGGAACAGACCCTCTTAGTCGAGTTCGAAGACCTCGTTGAGCAGCTGAATGCTGACTATACCATCTCTGGTCTTTCTTTGTGGGAGTTCCTGGAGACTCACTGGAGTCAGAAAGTCATGGACTATCTCTCACACAACGGAGAGACTATCCGTGTCGATTCTCTCTGCAACCTCTTAGGGAAGAAGATTGTGGAGGAGGCCTGACTCGCTTTGGGTACTCCAGAGTCGTTGGCAAGAGAAATGGGGAAAGGACTTTGCCCACCTACCATGTCTCTCTGTGATGATTGTCGGATATTTCGCTGTGTGTACAGTTTGACCTTTGGATGAGTTGCGTTGAGATCCGATGTACATGGGAGATTGTCCGCTGTTCTTTTCGTCTGCGAATATCTAGCTCTATCATGCAAATAAACACCTATGTAGGAGCTGATGTCGCAAAACAGCCGTAAGAAGGGGGAAAAGGGGAAAAAAAGAAAGATGGCCCGAACTGGGAGTCGAACCCAGGACCTCTTCCAGACAGAGTGTGTTTCACACCCGAGAGTGACCCCGAAGGAAGAATCATACCACTAGACCATCCGGGCATGTCGTATCAAAATTGAGGACACTCTTGTGCTGTCAGAGAATGGTCAGGAGCTGGGAAGGGAATTTGGACGCGATACCCGTGACCCTACCATGGTCCATGGTAGATAGTACCTAGGTTCGGAGTTAGATAAGGTGACAGGTGTGGAAGCGTGGCTTTCATCCAACTTTATGGTTTGTTTCCAGTTCCCTCTGCCGAGTCTCCCTTGGAACTATACTCGGCGTGAACGGCCCCTGGGAACCAGGACTGATGTCGACTTAAAAGGGCCTACTAGTACTTTGATCTGCTTACTCGGCACCAGGTTCCCTGTCAACGGTATGGCTGTAACTAAAATCGCAGCTCACGATACCTCGACACGCAGAGACCTCTCCAAGCCAGTGGTTGATTCGCTATCGCCGACTACTTGTCTGTTCCATGAGCCAAGATGCTGGCACCCTGATCCGCCGAATACCATTGATAGCTCAGCCCGGGATGCGAATGCGTACAGTTTAGCTCCCTGTGGCCTTTGGTCAGGTGTGGATCTGTATCTGATGTAATATGCTTGCGGTATTCTCCATATATCAATTCAGATATATGGACAGGTTAGGAACGGCGAGTATAAGTCGAGGTATTCTAGTGTTTACCCTCTGGTGACTATATGTATATATTTGAACATGTCCACAGAATAAAATGGCCAAGCTGGAATGACAACACTTACGGGCGGGACCCACTGCTACAATGTCACGGTCGGAGCGGCCTAGATGCCTGAAGGGTCAGGCCCCTGGTCAGAATGGTTCAGGTACATGAGGTGCCTGAGGGATCAGGCTCATCAGGAAGGGCCGACAGCTAGGGGTTAACTAATTAACTTAGTTAACTTAGCTAATCCGCTCACACAACCTAAGGAGGTTGGCTAAGGGGTGAGCTAAGAGGTTAACTAAGGAGATTAAAAGACCTTAACTTAATATTATCTTTTTAATAGCTAGTTACTTAGGTCCCCTAAAGGTCCTAGATATCTTATAAAGTAAGAATTAGTTTTATCCTAATTTAATATCTACCTTAGTAATATTATACCTAATTAACTTCTTTTTAAGATTCTTATAATTTCTAATCCTTTATCTTTAATTACTTATAATATTATTATAGTTTCCTTATTATCCCCTCCCTCTAGCCCTTTAACTAGGTTATAATTGTAAGAGTCTTAAAGAGAAGTTGATCAGGTATAATATCATCAAGGTAGATATTAAATTAGGATAAAACTAATCCTTGCTTTACAAGATATCTAGGACCTTTAGGGGACCTAAGTAACTAGCTATTAAAAGGATAATATTAAGTTAAGGTCTCTTAATCTCCTTAGTTAACCTCTTAGCTTACCCCTCAGCCAACCTCCTTAGGTTGTGTAAGTAGATTAGTTAACCCCTAGCTATTAGCCCTTCCTAATAAGCCTAATCCTTTAGGCACCTTATATACCTAAACTATTCTAACTAGGGGCCTAACCCTTTAGGTATCTAGGCCACTCTAACTATAACACGGCACCCCTATCTCTAAGGGATCATCCTAATCTAGAAATAGAATATTATAATTATAAATAGTTATAGAACTATAAATAGAACCTTAAAGGATTCTTTTATAACTAATTTTAGCCTTATAAGTCTTTAAAGACTTCTATTATAGCTTTAGAGAGGAAATAAAGGAGGGGAGTAACTATTTATTATATATAATTATAGCCTTCTAGTATAATTAAGTATATTTAGCCTTAAAACCTTTTACTTAATAGCGAGGTAAATAAAGAAGGTAATATAATAATAATATTTTATAGATTTTTCTTCTACTCTCCTTTTTCTTTTTATCTTATCTTCTATAATTTATTTACCTTCTCTTATCCTAATATCTTCCCTCTCTTAACTTATCCCTATTATTTCTAAGATAGTTTATATTTACCTTATCCTTACTACTCTAATAATACCTAAACTCTTTTAGTGTATGAAATGTATAAGAATATCTACTAAGTCCTATAACCCTAAGGCTAAACCCTTTAAACTATTTAAGATCTCCTATATTCTTAATAGTACTAAGTCTATACTCTATTACTAATATTCCTATTAGAACGTGAGTTATTTAATGGTAGGTTCTTTATAATATAGGTAGGCTTTTACTAATATTCCCTAAAGGCTATAATAGGGATGCTTAGTAATATAGTTAATCTCTCTTATTATATTAAATAATACAAGGGATTCTTTAATCCTAATAATAATATAAATAGTTAAAACTAGGCTCCTAAGCTATTCCTAGCCTTTTTAGAGGCGATTCTTGATCTAGTTAGTGCGTTTAATAACGTGAAGACCTAATATTAAAAGGAATTTAGCTTAATTAGTATATAAAAGGATACTTAGGTAAGTAATCATGATTCTTCCCTAATTTATAGGTAAAAACTAATTCTTATTACTCTTAGTCCTAGCAAGTTAAATATGCAAAATAGTATGTGAATCATTATTAAGACTTCCCTACTCTACTAATGCCTCCCTCAGGTTCTAATGATAATACTTAGAATGAATACTATTATGCTAAGTTACTACGCCTCTAGCCTGGTGATCTAGAGTATGTATTATAGCAAGTCACCCTTCATAACTTTTACTAGATAATAAGGGCGGAGGTAGTCTAGTTTTATAGTAAAGATCTAGCTAACCTATTCCTAATAGCCTAGGAAATTAATAATAGCTTCCCTCTCTACTTGGTGATTTTATAAGGGATCAGGGCGTTTTTGTTTAATATATAGTAGTGATCCTCAAGTGTTTCATTAGTAATGGTTAAAATAGATTTATTTTATTTTAATTACGTGTTATCTATTTCTGCGTTTATTCTATACAAGTGTTTGCGTTGTTCTAATAATTTATTAAGAATTTATTATAGTTTATTAAGGATTTCTATAGTTTTTCTTTCGCTGTTTAAATTATTATATAAGTTTAGGAGCGTGAATGTCACTATTAAGAACCCATTAATTATATTTAGAAGGCTAGTCTTTCTACTTAAGCAAGTAGAATATTTCTCTATTATAGACTTACTTATCTTTAATTTCTTTAACTTCCTATTCTTCTTCTTTAGTAAGTTTAGGTATTATAAGGGGATTATTAGCTTTCCTATACTATAGTTCTAAAAGGGATACATAGAAAACATTATAAATTTAGTTATATAATTAGAGTAAAGTAAGATAGTACGCTTATATACCTATAGCATTAAGTACTTAAAATAGTCTAATAAATTTAGGGGATAGTTTCTAACTTAGTAGTTTAAGATTTAAGTTTCACGTGGAGAGTTTAATAAGTTAAGAGCACTTAAAAGAAATAGAGAAGTAAGTATAATTATAGGCTTTTATATAGCCTTTAATAGCCTTTTACTAATATTCCTTAAGCTTTTCTTAAAGCTTTATAAGTTTCTTAATCCTATTATATACTACTAGTACCCTCCTAACATGAGGATTAGCCTTAATCTAAGTTTAAAAATTAGATAAATAGCTATATAAGGCTTTAAAGAGTGAATAGCCTATTATAGAATTAATAGTATTATTATAAGTATATTAAGTAGTAGGAAGTAAAGTAGGCTAAATAAGATAATTTTTATTAATAAAATAATAAAGATATTATTCTAAAATTTAATTAATATATTTAGTTTGCCTATTAGTTTAGGGGTGAAATACTATTAATAATTAGAGCTTAATATAGTAGAAGTATAATAGTTCCCCCTAATATCTACTTATAAATAGTAAGCCTTAATTAGAGACTATGCCTTTTAGTATACTATAGCATAACGCGACTTTAGTATAGAAAATTTAAGCAAGGTTAGGAGTAGAAATAGTTATAGGGACTAGTAAAAAGATACTCTATTTAGTAAAATAATTAATAATTACTAGGATAGCATTAATAATTTATCCCTAATATAAGATAGGAGGTAATCTAGTAATAAAATCCATAATAAGCTCCTAAAAAGGTTAAGAAGGGCATGGAAGCATCTTAAGTTCATTATATTTTTAGTAATAAGGTGTAATAGTGCCTTAACATGCTTTATAATATTTAATATATTTAGTAACTTGGTCTTTTATTAATAGCTAATAAAACTTTCGCTTAATAAGCTATTAAGTTTAGACTCGTCTAAAATGGCCTACGTGGGGATCATCATAATACATCTAGATAATAAACATGCGTAGTTCCTATATAGGGGGGACATAGATTTATTTCTAAAAATAAAGAAGACTATTATAATTAATAGACTAGTACTTTTGGCTAGGTTGCCTATTCTTAATAGTAAGCTTCTAATAACGTGTCTCTAGATCTTTGACTTAAAGTTAATATAGGATCTCTTAAAGGTCTATTTTCCCTTCTATTATCTTTAACTATGAAGTAATAACCTAGGGAAGATACTAGTTTAAATATAAATCTTCCTATATAGCCTAGTTAGCTGATTTTATACTAGATCCTAAGGATCTCTGCTTATTATAGGTACTAAACTAAGAATAGACTTCCTCTAAGGGCATCTTACCTAGTTTAAACTAGGATTTCTCATGCATGAAATCTAAAGTTATTATTAAAGAAACTTTAATAATATAGCTTTGAATTAGGGCTAGTAATTCAGCCTTTAAGGTCCTTTTAAAATTGCCTATATATTTCTAGGAAGGACTATCTATAGGATTTCTCTTACCTACATAATACTTAATAATAAAATTAAAAGGGGTTAGGAACAAGCACTATCTTACTTGCCTATTATTCATGCGTGGTTGATGCATGAAGACCTATAAATTAGTATAGTTAGAAAGAACTTTAATAGTATAAATTATACCCTTAAGGTAGTAACGCTAATATTTAAAAGAATAAATAATAGTATATAACTCTTAATTAGGTATAGAATAGTTCTATTTTATTAGTAAAAATTTTCATAACTAGATAGTAACAGGATGCCATATGCCTTGTAAATTAGGTTATAATATAATACTAGCCATTCCATTTTTTAAAGCGTTAGTCTCGATTTGAATAGGTAAATAGAAATTAAAATATCATAATAATAGAGCAGACTTAAATATAGTAATAAGTTATTAAAAAGTAATCTTTTTATATAATAAGAAGTTTATAGATCTAGGTTTCTTACTATTTTTACTACCTTAAAGTAAATTAGTAAGAGGTAAAGTAATTCTAGAATAGTCCTTAATAAATCTATAATAAAAGTTGTAATTTGCCTTTAGGGGCCGCCGTATCCGGGAACGGCCATGCCTAACCTGGAAATGCCGCCCGCCACCGCCCGGCCCCTCGCTGCTATAAAGGCTGCGACCTCCCGGCGTCGTAACGGTATTGTTTGGTTTCCTTCCTCAATCTTACACCGGCCTCATTTCCCTCGCTGCGGTTCCCCAACGACACAGCCCTCGCTGAGGCATTTTGGAAGATTGTTTGCGCACCCACCCGTTGGACGGGATTTCCCAGTTTGCCTTCGGTGCTCTTTTCTCCTTGGTCTGCTAACTGGTTGGTGTGGCCCCTTGAATCCATTTGCCTGGTCTCTAACGTATCGGCAGGGTAGAACCTACCACCCCCGTATCCTCTACCGGCCAGAGTCACCCAAACTTGTCCAGGCGCGCACCATTATCGTCCTATTCTGATGCCTATGGAATGGCTCTTTCGCTGATATGCTGTTGGGTGGGGAGGTCCCCCCTTGGATTGGGAGAGCCTGCCGTATTCCCCTTCAGCGGGCTGGCCGGAGCCGTGATGCCATTCACGGGTCGCCTGTGGTGGGGATGGATTGACATTGCTGCCTTCGGATAGGGATTCCTCCGGGCTGACCCATGATCTGATTGGATTTGACTAAAGCAGGTTTGTTTCAGAGTGGAAAGCAGTAGGTTGCTCTGCCTTGGAATGGTGCCCCGATCTCCAATTGCTCATGTGAGCGGATTGTCCGCAAGCCTGGTGGCGAGCTCTGTGCTTCTTTAACCATTTTGGGCGATTTTGAAGCAGTCAAATATTCGAGCACTTTCCCCTTTGGTGAATCCTGCGAAACGGCCGCCGTGTTCGAATGGATTCCCGTCTGGTGATTGGTGCTGAACCCACCACCCACCAACGCACAGCTGGTCGCTTTCAGCTCGCCCGGCCGTGCGATTTAGTTTCTGACGGCGAAGGGCCGCTTTTCCGGCATCGGTCTCACTCGGTGGAGCATTTTGTCCATGTGATGACGGGACATACCTGGAAGTGATCACACGGACAGGAATCATGCTTTGGATTGCAGCATGGAGCTGACTGGGTCTTGCCTAGTTGGGCCATTTTTCGTTCTAGACAGGCAAATGCAACAACGATTCCTCCTGAGCAATCGCCATTTTTGGCAATTTCCCGGTTCTAGGCTGCCCAGATTTCTTCCATGAATCTGCCCCGGCTAAAATTAGACTTGTGTTTACCGCAACTCCTACCGGAGTTGGCGATTTGGGGCGATTTGGTGACTGAGTTCTCCTCGTTGAGCGACCTGCTGGTAGTTGTTTCTGCGGCGCTTTCAGCAGTCCGACCCTCAGCCACCCAGGTAACATCCGCCTTTCCTACACTCCTGGAACATTTGAGAACGCAAGTGGGTCTAGAGGGACTGCAACTCCGCTACATTACTTTGTCCTATGGCGACGACCTCCTCATTCTGGGATTACGAACGGACCGTTCGGCATGAGTCTTGCCACGGTGACGTCGAACGGCATAGATAGTGCGGGCGATATCTAATATAAATGAGAGGAATGCACCTCGAGTTTATCATCTCGCAGACACTGGATTGCTAATTATCGAAAAGTTTTTCCATTATTCCCGCCGGCCCTAACCCGACCCCATTACTCGCCTCTACGTTTATGGTGGACCCAAAATGGCCACCTTTCTTTACTACAACCCGAACGCAAACACCTCTCGTTACTCCCAAAAGGCGCGCTTCAGCAAACGGCAGTCGATTTTACTCGACAAGGGACAATCTGCATTGAACTCAGATCACGAACGCAAAGTGAATCGTGGGCCCGCTTCTTCCATTTGCCCTGCCCAGTCCAATATTCGCGATGTCTATGACTTGCAGCCTGCAGGACCTGGTATGTTATTAAAGAATCTTGGTCTTGGAAATTCTGTTAATGCTGGATGCTACAGCCCCTTCAACGGCTACCCTTAGAAGTACCGAACCGCCAAATCAAGATATTGAAACTTTCAGTGAACGTGCTATAAGTGACGTTGAATCGCTTCGCAGCCTTTTTTTGGGGTCTGACCTAGGTGCTGGTGCCGGATCTTTGGTTGGTGAATTGATTTCACCTTTGTCCCCCCGACATACGCAGTCTCCCTCTTTTGATGATGGACTGGGACCTAGAAATGAGGATGCATGCATAACCCAACCAGATTCTCGTTTTGATGGACAGGAGTCCATTCGCGACTCTGAGCATTCACAGAGTGTTCCATCAGGGCCAGACTTGGCCACATACTGCTTGAATCTTTCCCCTTCACCGGAACTGCGTGCCCATGATTTCGTGATCGCAGGCGACCACATTACTGGCCACCAATCGGAGGTAATATTCCCACTGCTGGCTGATGACCCACCGAATTTCGGCGAATCAGCCGCCATTTGGGAGAGTGATGATCAATACACAATGAACGACGATGAGACCCGAATAGACGCCAATGAAAGAACTAACATTGGCCAATGCATCAATAGGCCTGCTTCAGATTTTGGCCCACGAACTGGAATCAGCAGCCCGGCATTGACGGAAAGCTCAGACTTTGGCTCCCCTCACTATTTGAATGACCATGATAGTCCTGTTGAAAATTCCCATGGTTCTATACGTGATTCTGAAACTTGTCCTATCGTCCCCGCAGGGGAGACTTGTCTTACGGACCTCGACAATACAATCACAACGCCCCGGCAGCCACTTGTGGATAAGGAGAGGGAAGGCAACGTCCCAAATATCGCAGTGGTCGTGCCTGAGTCAACTCGACTGTCACCACCCATTACTCTTAATGGGGCATACCCGGAAATAGGTGCGCAAGGGCATGCCAGTGCGGAGAAACCTCTTGGAGAAGGGCCTTTCACATCTAATAAGCCAACACCCGCGCGGCCCCCTTCACGAACCTCCCTTTATCCAAGTGGCCGGAAGACGTTTGCTAAATTTTCGCATGTTGAGATCCCAAGCCGCCCTCGAGCAGAAGTGAGCCGGCCTTTAGTTGCACGTACATCTCCTAATCAACGTGATTGGAGTTGCCACCCTTCATTAACCAACGGTCCGTGGCGTTTGGATGGAACAACTCTGTCAATCGACCTTCGGGACGCAGAGCAAGTTCCAATCTTTGTTGGGTATTCCAGTTTTCGTGTTTACGATGGTCAACTTACACAATCCCTTACATTCCTCCAAGGGCCTACCAAGAGCCCACCAGTCAATGAACCTGCGCAAACGCCCAGCCCTACTGTGCCTGCTCGTGGACCTCTCTCTACTGAACAAAAGCAGCGGCTTGTGAAATTAAGGCAGGAAGGATATACTTGGGATGAGATTGTTCCTAAATTTCCTGGCAGGAAAAGGGGTAACCTCCAGGCCATCTATTCTAGAAGCCTGAAAGATTTTCGCAGACCAGGCTCTCTGCATAACCCTCCCTCCGGGCGCGCATCGTCGTTATTAAGGTCATCCTCGAACGGTCGTGTCCTAGCAGAAATAGCGGGCAATGGCCGTATCACAGCTCAACGGACAAACCAGGATTTGGGGAAGAAGTCACGATATAATCTGCGGGCAAGGGGGAATCGGTGAATGACTATGTTGCTTATACGTGTCCCTACTATCGCCAGGTATTCAAAATCATATCCCAAATAATTCAATTTTCTGCTCTGCTCACCTCTATTGCTTTTGTTGTCGACACCCAGACTGACGCTGGCCCGTTCGTGAGAAACCTGGAGCCTACCACTACTCAAAGTCTAGCGAGTCTATCTGTGCCCAGCTACAGTAGAATGCTGCCCTGACAGAAGTGCAGCAGGAACGCCAAGATCTTAAGAACAGAGTAGCCTCGCCCACGAAGAGATCCTTCGCGAAATCCGGTCCCTTCGTACCTCTATCGCCACCCCAGATCCTACAAACACCCCGTCCTATGCAGATGTCGCGCGCACACCTCCCAGTCAACCGAGCAATATACGGACTCTCTCATCGTTCAACACGACACCAACCACCTTCACCGACACACTATTTTGCACCATAGATACCGCGAAGATGGCAGATAATGAAAACGATAGAATGTCCACAGTCCCATTCTTTATTAATAAGCCTAAATAAAGTCTATGGAACGAACGCCATATTAAGCTCCTTCTTCCCCTTGGTCTGGGCCATGTTTTTAACAAGCTCACACCAATTAGCAAACACATCATGTCACCACAATACAATAGACAACCAGCTTCGAAACGACTTAATGCGCAGATTAAATGCGATCCTCTGCGGGCCTTCCAACCCAAGAATATATTCCCAGCCTTCCTTCAACTTCGGCAGAAGGTTCTTGAAAGGCGGTAATTGCTTCTCTGAAGTCGCATGTGCATGGGGCTTCGTTAACGAGTCGCAAGTGGTATCACACGGTGGTTCTTTTCTTGAGGGGTGGATGGTTTTTGTTTCAATAGCAGTTTATTGGCTTTATGTATCCCGAGGGGTTATTAAAGCATTTGTTGCTGCATCGGAGGCAGACGAGAGGTGCTCTCTCTCGAGGGAGTATCATGGAATGTTGCAGGTTCGCGAAGGTTCCGCCAGGTGTCCGTGGAGAGGTTTCGAAACGGGTATTATCGCAAGACTGTGCTGGATCAGATGAAGTATCCCAATCACCATGCCGCGCCGCAGTCGTCGTGCAGACGTGTTTGAACGGGTTCGGAGGCCGGTAGGTAGGATCTTTGAGTCTTCCTTCACGGCTAACTGAAACGTGTTGGATATTTTCCTTGCATAAGTTATTTATTCCAAGGTAACTTTGCTGCTAAAGCTTAGATCTGAGTGTCGGGCCCGTGATTTGATAGGGGGGAGGCGCTTGCATGAAGTGAAGCTCTCGATTGAGCTTCCGAGGATTGTTGAGCTTCATGGTCGTGGTATATTCAGGTGGGAGCAGGATTGTAAGGGGCAACGTAGGTTACTTGAAGCTGAGGTGATCGTCAGATTTTATCGGGACCTAGCGGTCGGTCAAGAATTCCCAATTGACGTGCTTATAACCGATCGCATTGGTTTCTGACATCGTGACGATCAAAGGGCGGTTTTGAGGTCAAGATACCCCCCTCACCGCCTCCAGAGGGCGCGGCAATATCCTGGGATTCGGATTCGGATTCGGATTAATTCATACACCGTCCCAGCCAATGATATCTATGGCTATGCGGGAAAACACCCCCCACTAGGATGGTCGGGGCGGTTGCTAATACTATATCCA